GCAGGCAACCGGCGTGGGTTTGAATCCTCCTAGAACCAAAACTCATATTTTTTATCTGATTATCATGACTTTCCTATAGATCGCTGGTGAAGGACTAAGCCACTAGAATCGCTGGATCATCAGTGAAAATCTCGTCAACGTGATTCACGAAGCATTGTTACTAAAATTGTTGAACGATTCACAATAAAAAGATTGTGAATCCACCATCGAGTAAAGCATCTCCGATTGATTGACGAACAAGCTATCATCAGGAAGAAGACGATCTGTCAGGAGACGAGTTGCCACCTCTTGAGAGCATACCGGATGCGATGAAGAGCCTCCTCTTGTTGTGCGGACCTGAGGATGAAGCTCCCTGACACGTGCCCCACCTCCATCTAGCTCCTCTTGATAAGTCTTCATTATCATGAGTTAATAATTAGTAAATAATATAGTTTTAGCCTTAACTCGTGATAAATAGACTTATATTTGTGTTAAAGTGTGAAAAGTGGTTTTCAGTTGATTAATGTGATTTTTTGGGTAATAATGTGATTTTATACGAATTTATCTGATTTTTACAGTCTTACTTTTGAGATAAATGAAGAAAAAGAAATAAAACTAAAATATTGCAAAATGGGGGGACCCGCCGGCCAGCCGGGCCCGCAAGCGGGTCGGAAGTGCAGTCGGGAGTAGCCGCGAGCAGGGGCTCGAACGGCTTGGACCGATAGGGGCACGTGTGCGCCACTCCCCTCCCACGTCACCGGTGGCCAGCCGGCTGTGGGGCAAAGAGTGGTCGTACACGCGAGAGAAGTGACTTTGCCTAAAAAGCTAACATTACTATATATTCGCCTGAAAAATCGGCGCACAACCGATGTGAGTCTAAACCCGCGTCACACCTTCCTCAGAAGGGGGGGCGGACAACCGGCGCGGGTTCGAATCCTCCTAGAGTCAAAATTCATATATTTTTATCTGATTATCGCGATTTTCTTGTAGATCGCCAGTGAAGGATTAAGCAACCAGAATCGCTGGATCATCGGCGAAAATCTCGTCAACGCGATTCGCGGAGCATTGCTACTAAAATTGCTGAACGATTCGCGATAAAAGGATCGTGAATCCATCGAGTAAATCATCTCCGATTGATCGACGAACAAGCCGTCGTCGGGAAGAGGACGATCCGCCGGGAGACGAGTCGCCACCTCCTGAGAGCGTACCAGATGCGATGAAGAGCCTCCTCTTGCTGCGCGGACCTGAGGATGAAGCTCTCTGACACGCGCCCCACCTCCATCCAGCTCCTCTCCGTCGGGTGATAGCCGCCGAAGAGCCGCAAAGTCGCCATTTTTCCGCTCTGCCGGGTGACAGTCGCCGAAGACGACTTAGCGACCCATTTCATTGATCTCTAGACTTCGCGAGAAGATCTAGAGATTGCCCACATCGTCTTTGTCTAAGGAGAGCCTTCGAGGCCGTGGACACTGCACAACAATCCTCCCGAACGCTCAGGATTCCGGTGCATCACCGACGCATCGCCGTCGCGACGCCGGAACTCTGTTTTCCTGCTTTGAACTTACTTTACGCTTCATTTAGTGATAATTTTTGTGATTTTAATTTACCAAAATATACTTTGTTCTATTACGATTCTTCCGACTTTTACAGATCTGAATTTGATTAATTAAATCGTCTGAAATCGCTTACGTAAGAATCGCCGGGCGGAACTCTGTTTCTGCCCGATTCGCGTTCGCCGGGTGCTGACGTCATCCTGACGCCCGCACCCTTATTTCCTTTTTTTCGTGAATTTTAAATATATTTCCTTTTCATTTCCTAGTATAAAATTCATAGAAAATCGTATTCATTGAGAAACATTCTGAATAATTACCAGATATTACATCCCTGTGATCGACCTAGAAAATTATCGCTATTTTTGGAACTTTTATTGAATTATAATTGATATATTTATTTAGAAATACTTCTAAATATCCGAAAATTCGTATTTTCTAGTTTTATAAATTTTAGATTTGCGTGATTTAATATACAACGACTGAGTCACGTCACCTCTCCATTAAGTGACAGCCGCCGAAGAGCCGCAAAGTCATCATTTTTTCACTCTACCAAGTGATAGCTGCCGGAGATGATTCGAGGAACCATTTCATTGATCTCTAGACTTCGCAAGGAGATCTAGAGATTGCTCATGTCATCCTTGTCCAAAGAGAGCCTTTGAAGCCGTGGACACTACATGACGATCCTCCTGAACACTCAAGATTCTAATACATCACCGGTGCATCGCTGCCGCGACACCGGAACTCTATTTTCCTACTTTCAACTTAATTTTTGCTTCATTTAGTGATAATTTGTGTGATTTAAATTTACCAAGATATACTTCATTCAATTACGATTCTTCCGACTCTTATAGATCTTAATTTGATCAATTAAATCGTCTGTAATCGCTTACGTAAGAATCGTCGGGGCGGAACTCTATGTCCGTTCGATTCACGTTCGCCAGACGCTGACGTCATCTTGACGTCTGCACCCTTATTTCCTTTTTTTGCAAATTTTAAATATATTTTATTTTCATTTCTTAGTATAAAATTTATAGAAAAATAGTATTCTTTGAGGAAAATTCTAAATAATTACTCGATATTATATTACATCCACGTGATCGACCTGAAAAATTATCGCTATTTTTAGAAGTTTTATTAAACGATAATTGATATATTTGTTCAGAAATACTTCTAAATATCCAAAAATTCATATTTTCTAGTTTTATAAATTTTAAATTTGTGTGATTTACTATACAACGACTAAGTCACATCAATGTGTTACTCGAATAGAGGTGGAGGGTGAGGGGAGGGTATCTCTAATTAGGGGAGTATAAGAGGAAGAGGGTCACACAAAGTTGCCGGAGGATGTGAGCGAGGGGTGGGAGATGGGGAAGAAAAGGAAAATAGTGTGAAAAGTTTGAATGGAGGACAAACATGAGGGTCTCGTGTGTCTTGATGACAGTAGTTCTTGGTGTATGGAGGTTAAGGAGGAGCAAGACGTGAGGACATGAAGGGTTGGGGTAGAGGTGGGGCACGAGCACCTGAGGGAGGTTGTTAGGATCAGCCCAAACATAGTGTAGACATGGAGATAATGTAATCTCTAGTGATTTACAAATTTCACACTTGGGTGAAAGCCATACATGGGAGGTATGTGTGAGACCTATCATGGGGAGAGCAGACAAAGGTAAAGGCATACTTCACCAGCCATCTCCTCCTCCACATAAGGGAACGTCCTTAGATAGGGACAGACCTGTAACACAAGATGCGAGGTCCCAAAGGTCACCCTCAAAAACCCCACTACTTATAAATAGTAGGGACTTAAATGTTCCAATAGGAGTAGACCCTATCACATGGGGATTGGCTGGAGAATCCTTGAGGTAGGGACAACTTAGGGCTTCAAACTTGAGATTTGTTCATGTCAACATGTAGGCTTTGTTGGAGTTAGGGGGCAATGCGAGTTGTGGAGTGCAACCAGCACTCTCGAACAACACTCGCCCTTTGGTAGGGTCTAACCAGTCAGCCACATGAGGACATGTGGAGAAGGAAGGAGGCAGACATGGAGCTAGAGGGGAGATCATAGAGAAAGGTCTTGGGGAGTCTAGAGGTTTAGAAATACATACGGATGCATCTCCTCAGGGTGAGGCTAGTATGGGTGATTCTCCCATCCTTGATGAATTCGAAGATGATTGCTTTGAAGTAGTGGGAAAGGAGTTCACCCTAAAGTCGATAGGGCGGAACTCCTTGATTTGAAGAGCACCCATGAGAAGGTTGTCCTGACTTAGCAGTAGAACTAGGGAGGAGATGGAGGAGTGGGATGCAAGGGAACAAAATGATGATGAAGGGAGATGGTGTTAGAGAAAGAGGTGGGGGCGGATGACTGGGACTACTAGGAACCCATCAGGTGTGTGGGGGTACTTGGGGGAGTCAAGAGATTGGCCCGCTTAGGCCTTGTGATCTCAAAGAAGGAAAGGGGAGAGAAAAAGGGGGAAGAAAGGGAAAAGAATCGGGAGAGTGCAAGGTAAGGCATAGAGAGGGAGGTTGAGTGAGATAGGAGGTGACCTTCCCAACATTAGAAAATGTTCCTGGGAATGACAAAGAGATGAAAAAGGTAGATGGGCGAAGACATCTAGGAATGCCTTTTCGGAAGATGAGAGTACACATAGTGGGATTCATCACTCAGTGTACTTTAAGCATAGACAATCTACACAGAAAGGTAGGAGATTAGAGAGGCTGAGCCAATTACGAATTCAACAAAAGACTATGAGTGATGATTAGCACACTAGTCTGGAACTATAGGGGGATTGACAATATGCCAACCCAAGATAGAATTAAGAAATTGATTAGCAAACATAGAGTAGAGATTATGGTCATTCTAGAACTTGTGATGTCTACTACAAAAGTAGAAAATATTAGAGGAGTTGTAGGTTTAAACAATGTTTGGTGTAACCCAATGGCCAAGATTTGGCTATTTTTGGCAAACCATCTATCTATGAATCACATATGTCACATAGACCAGTCCACATCCATGTCTATATCTGGGATGGAGTGGATTTCATGTTCACAGCCACATATGCATCACATGACGGGACCATGAGATGCACATTATGGTAATCTTTGAATGATATGAACATTCCCCCTAGTACCCATGGGTTATGGCTAGGGACTTTAATATTATCAAATTGGGTTTGAAAAAATTGAAGGATCTAAGGTAATTTGTGGCCCAAAAGATGAATTCAATGAATTCATCTAGGGCCAAGGTCTAGTGGAACTAGTACACCAAGGCAACCTCATGTCATGGTGCAATGGTTCTAAGGGTCATGATAAGTCTTCATTATCATGAGTTAATAATTAGTAAATAATATAGTTTTAGCCTTAACTCGTGATAAATAGACTTATATTTGTGTTAAAGTGTGAAAAGTGGTTTTCAGTTGATTAATGTGATTTTTTGGATAATTATGTGATTTTATACGAATTTATATGATTTTTACAGTCTTACTTTTGAGATAAATGAAGAAAAAGAAATAAAACTAAAATATTGCAAAATGGGGGGGACCCACCGGCCAACCAGGCCCGCAAGCGGGTCGGAAGCTCAGTTAGGGAGTAGCCGCGAGTAGGGGCTCGAGCGGCTTGGACCGATAGGGGCACGTGTGCGCCACTCCCCTCCCACGTCACCGGTGGCCAGCCGGCTGTGGGGCAAGGAGTGGTCGTACACGCGAGAGAAGGGACTTTGCCTAAAAAGCTAACATTACTATATATTCGCCTGAAAAATCGGCGCACAACCGATGTGAGTCTAAACCCGCGTCACACCTTCCTCAGAAGGGGGGGCGGACAACCGGCGCGGGTTCGAATCCTCCCAGAGTCAAAATTCATATATTTTTATCTGATTATCGCGATTTTCTTGTAGATCGCCGGTGAAGGATTAAGCAACCAGAATCGCTGGATCATCGGCGAAAATCTCGTCAACGCGATTCGCGGAGCATTGCTACTAAAATTGCTGAACGATTCGCGATAAAAGGATCGTGAATCCATCGAGTAAATCATCTCCGATTGATCGACGAACAAGCCGTCGTCGGGAAGAGGACGATCCGCCGGGAGACGAGTCGCCACCTCCTGAGAGCGTACCAGATGCGATGAAGAGCCTCCTCTTGCTGCGCGGACCTGAGGATGAAGCTCTCTGACACGCGCCCCACCTCCATCCAGCTCCTCTCCGTCGGGTGATAGCTGCCGGAGAGCCGCAAAGTCGCCGTTTTTCCGCTCTGCCGGGTGACAGCCGCCGGAGACGACTCAGCGACCCATTTCATTGATCTCTAGACTTCGCGAGAAGATCTAGAGATTGCCCACGTCGTCTTTGTTCAAGGAGAGCCTTCGAGGCCGTGGACACTGCACAACAATCTTCCTGAACGCTCAGGATTCCGGTGCATCACCGACGCATCGCCGTCGCGACGCCGGAACTCTGTTTTCCTACTTTCAAACTTATTTTACGCTTCATTTAGTGATACTTTGTGTGATTTTAATTTACCAAAATATACTTTGTTCTATTACGATTCTTCCGGCTTTTACAGATCTTAATTTGATTAACTAAATCGTCTGTAATCGCTTTCGTAAGAATCACCGGGCGGAACTCTGTTTCCACCCGATTCGCGTTCGCCAGGCGCTGATGTCATCCTGACGTCCGCACCCTTATTTCCTTCTTTTTCGTGAATTTTAAATATATTTCCTTTTCATTTCCTAGTATAAAATTCATAGAAAATCGTATTCATTGAAAAAAATTCTGAATAATTACCAGATATTATATTACATCCCTGTGATCGACCTAAAAAATTACCGCTATTTTTGGAAGTTTTATTGAATTATAATTGATATATTTATTCAGAAATACTTCTAAATATCCGAAAATTCGTATTTTCTAGTTTTATAAATTTTAGATTTGCGTGATTTAATATACAACGACTGAGTCACGTCAGGTCACCTACGTATCTACCATCAATTGGATAGACACTTAGTCAACACCAAATCTCTAGAGTTGAATCCTATTAAAGCCATATATCAACCCAAAACCAACTTAGACCATTCACCCATATTGATTGAGGTAGGAAAGTGTCTTCACTTGGGAGGTTCCTTCTTTAGATTCCATTGATTACTAAATGGGATTTGTTAGGCAAAAATGGGGAGGATCGATTTCTAACTGCCCAATAATTAATTTCTTATTCCAAATTAGAAACTTTAAAGAACACCTAAGATGGTGGAATATAAATGTTTTTAGGAATATTCATCTAAAGCTAGATATCAAGGAAAAAGAAATTGAACAGCTGGAAGATAATTTACAAGAGAGGATAATAATGTATAGAGATAGCTCACAGAAACAAGAAGGGTGTTTGAGGAAATATTAGTCCAACAAGAGATATTTTGGTGACAAAAATTTAGAATCAAATGGCTTAAGGAAGGGGATCAAAACACAAAAAATTTACATTCCACCATGAAGCTGAGAAAGCTCTATCTCACATACATGAGCTATTGAAGAAATATGAGAATGATAGAAGAAAAATGATTGAGGCATGTAAAGAATATTTTGAAGAGCTACTGAAGACAGGTTATATTGAGGTATATGAGGAACTCAGAGTGCATCCCGCGAAGTATTTCTCAAGGGCAAAATAACTTGCTATGTAGGATCCCAAATGATGAGGAAATTAGGAGCAGCTTTTTTAGCATGAAGCTTCATAGTGCTCCCAATCTAGACGATTTAAGTGTTAATTTCTATACTAACTATTGGGACACGATGGGATCTGACCTCTACATAGTAATTAAGAATTTTTCTACTGTAACACCCTCCCTAGATCTTAGAAGGCTACCTTCATAGCACTGATTCTGAAAATTCTAGTATCAAAATCCTTTGCAGAATTTAGATCAATTAGCCTTTGTAATGTATGTTACAAAGTTATCTCCAAAATCATATGTAGATGACTAAGACACATCCTCCCTACTATTATCTCCAAAGAGCAAGGTACCTTTGTAGAAGGATGCCTAATCCAAGAGAGCATACCTTTAGTTCAGGAAATGCCCCAATCTATTGAGACCCACATCCCTAGATCAAATTTGATCCTCAAACTTGATATGGAAAAGGCATATGATCATCTTGAGTGGCCTTTTTTATATTGTGCTTAGAAAATATGGGTTTGTGGAGAGATGGATTGACTAGATCACATCTTGCATTGAATCCAATCATTTTTCTCTCTTGTTGGGTGGCACATCATCCCCTTTCTTATATGGCCAGTAGAGGTTAAGACAAGGAGTCCCTCAGTCGTCTACCCTTTTCATCCTAACAGAAGAAGTCTTGAGCAGAGGCTTAAGACAATTATGTGAGAAGTGGAAAATCCTCCCTTATTTTATAAAGAGAGGATACCCGCTGATTAGTCATTCTCTGTTCGTGGATGACACCATTATATTCTTGCATGGAGGAAGTAAATCAATTAGGATCCTCTGATTTTTGAGAAATTATAAAAATACCTCAAGATAGAAAGTAAGTGAGCGGAAATCCTTCTTTTATATCTATAGGAAATCTTTGCCATCTACTATGAGGAGGGTTAGCAACTCTTACAAACTTTAGACAAGGGTCTTTCCTACTTGACTATCTAGGATGTCCGATCTTCAAAGAATTCACTAAGATAGAGTATTTTGAACCCCTAGTTAATAGAATTAGAAATAGGATAGAGGGATGGAAGGCTAAAATCCTTTTCCCATGTGCTCGCATCAACTAATCAGACACATACTAAGTAATATCCTCATACATTTAATGGTTGTCTATGATTTACCGTTATGAATTATTACCAAATTAAGTATATGGCAAATTTCCTATGAGGAGGCAGTAGAGAAAGGAGAAGAATGCATTGGATCTCTTAGAAATCCATATGTGCACTGAGAGGAGGACTAGACATTAGAGCTTTAGATGAACATATGCTCTCTCTAGGAATGAAGATAGCGTGAAGATATAATACCTCAAAATCCTAGTGGGCTGATCTAATGGGGAAAATATGGTAAAGGGGCCCTACTTACGGATGAGGTAAAATGTCTAGTGGTATAGAGAAAATTACAAGAAATGTGGATTATGATGAAAAATATTATATTGTGGAGGGTAGGCCATGGGGAGATGAATGTGTGGAAGGATAATTGGACTGGTTTAGGGGCCCTAGGAGACTACTATCAAATTGACATAGATAGGTCGAACCTAATTGTGAAGCAACTGATGAGAAGGGAATGGAGATCTATGCTAGAAGCTACTGGGATCTCCTATAGAATAGTGAGTTCCATAGACCTTAACATAGACCCAGAGCCTATTCAAGAGGATGTAAGAATATGGATGCCCACTATAAATGAATTCTTCTCTACGAAATCAACATGGGAGGATTTTACAAGAAAGGCCTAGTGAAACCCTAGGTAGTGAGATATGGCATGAGTATCTCCCTATGAAAATCTCAATCATCTTATGGAAATTTTTCTATGGACATCTTCCAATAGATAACAACATAAGGAGGAGTTACCAGATAACATCCAAGTGCACATGTTGTGAACTGAGGCCTTAGGAAGAGATAATAGAACACCTTCTATTCAATAGTGAATGGGCTTCGAAACGTTGGACATGGTTCCTAGGTGCATATCACTTGTTGAACCGATCAGATAGAACCTTCCCATGGAACTGATCACATAGAACTTGACGAACCGATCACATAGAACCTTCCTAGGTGCATAGGCCCAAACAAAAAAAGACCATGGAAGGAGTCCTCCCTAAACTTACCTTTGCCTGCTGATTGTGGGAATTGTGGAAAGGACAAAATGCTATACAAATAGGTGATGGCCAATGCTTAGCTGCTGTCATCATATATAGGTGTAAAATCTAGGCTGGAAAAATTGCTTGCATGGTGCATGACCAGCTTGCCATCACACAAGTAGTGCAAAGATCCCTCCAGAAGTGGGGGGTCCACCTACTTGCCTCCACAAGATCCTACATCATCGAAATCATAGTTTGGACCCCTCCACCCCAAGAAGCCATCAAACTGAATGTTAACGAAGCTTCAATGGGGAAGGTACTATGTGCCTTCCACAAGGGGTATGACCATGCAATGAATATGGAGGTTGAATGTCGGGCTTTGATAGATGGCCTCACTCTCTATTCCAAATTACAATTTTTACATGTAGAAGTAGAAATTGACCCTTTAATTTTAGCTATAATATTATGAAATAAATCCTATAATATGTGGTGACTAACTCAATGGTGGCAACAAATCCTAGATCATATACCTTTAATATGTAGGATAAATCATCAATCTAGAAAAGGAAATGACCTGATAGACATGCTTGCAAAAATTGGTGTGCGGCTGCAACAAGATAGTGTATTCAATAACTAGGAGGGCCTTCCAAAGGAAGTGAGAGGCAGCTGCAACTTAGACAGATGGGGCCTCCCAAATATCTGACAAAAATCAACATGGGCCCCATCACAAACAAGTAGTAGGAGGGAGTTAAATCCCCTTGGAGTATGAGTCCCCAATCCATACAACTTATTTTTATAAAACCTACAGCTCCAAGGCCAGCAAGGATGCAGGATATGGGGCCCACAATCACCTTTTAGATTGAAATCCCCACATATCAAGGAATCAACTAGACAAAGACCCAAGAGGATGATGTGAAGATAGAATGGAGTAGTCTCCATAACTACCCACAAACTTTGTTACTACAATGTCTAACCCTCTCTCTGTAGGATCGAGATGGTCTCCATGGTCTTCTCCAAATTACTCATCTTCACTGATTCCCCAAAGTTCTACTGGATGTGGGGCACATGAAATGGGCATAGGTGACTGACCTGAAGTACTCAAGACAATGTGGGAAGCCTCTGACCTATTCTCTAGAGACTAGATGCCTACCCATGGACATATAATGCACCCTCTGTAGAAAAGATGAAAAGGCGGGGAAAGTTTGGGGTTGTGGAGTGAAAGTGCAAAAAGTCAGTAACTTCCTCACCCCCCAAAAAAAAAAAAAAAAATTGGGGAAAGAGAGTAGAGGCAAGGGAGGAAGGGATAAATTCATGAGAAAAAGCTACCCACTTTACTTGGGCCGTCACCTACTAAGAGCAACAAAAGGGTATAGTCTTAATTTCGGATGAGAAATCAATAGTCAAAGGAGTACAAATCAAGGGGATATCTCCTCACTAATCTACATCAGGTGAAGGTTATTTGGGCACTTCTCAAGCCCTTTGCCTATAAAACAATAGGAAGACATTAAGATGGTAAGGTGGAGAACCATTAGGCCCACCTAGTAATGAATGGAGGGGTGGGTGACATGGACCATTGATCACATATGTACCCTCTCAAATCTTAGCATTAGGAAGTGTGGAAGTGTGGAGAACCACACCACCAACCCCTTCCCCCCCATTAGACATAGCACTCAATGTTTGTACTTGCTTTCCCCCAGATATGAAGAATTTACTTTGGGAAAAAAAAAAGTTGTGTAGACACACGACTCAGACCCTAAATATCAAAATGAACAAGTTCAAAAGGAGATGTAACTCTAAGATATGAATAGGAAAGAAAGATTGTTTTAGTGTCTTTTCAAATTCACAAGAGGTAGACTTAAGGGTAGACAAATGCGACAAACCACGAAACAAATGCTTACGCTTTGAAAGAGAGGCATGCCCAAGTTAACTATGAATTTGAAGCGGAGAGACATTAACACAAGCCATTGGATATAGAGGATGCAAGTAATAAATACCACAATGCTCAACTTTTTATCAATCTTATTTTCAATCTTTAGATTCTGTACAACACAAGATTCACGAAGAACCGAAGTCTTTGATCCATTGAGAAGGGTGAGCAAAGAATGAGAAGAATTTGAGTATGAGGTGAAATGAGAACGTATATTGGAGATATGATGAGTGACACCTAAATCAAGGACTCATGGCTGAGACATGTTAACAAACATAGGTGTTATAGTAATATATGGTTGAGCCATAGACAGCTGAGTCATAAAGGGTTGAGACAATGGTCGAGTAATAAAGGCAACATGCTCATGATGGTGCAGAGCAAAAGGTACAATTGGAGTCCCAATCTACTGAGATAAATATTGAGCAGTCATACATTCTTAGACAACTCGTTGCACCTCATCTTTGGTCAAGACAAAACCAAGGGGAGTGGATGGAGTCGGTGGTCGAGTCGGTGGATGCGCAATGGTCTCATTTAATATAGCAGTGTGAGCCTTGGGATACCCATGAAGAGCATAGTAATGATCTTGAATATGACCCTCCCAATCACAATGTGAACACTCAAGATGACAATCAGATTTACCATGCTTGCCACCACATGTGCCTCCATCACGTCCCCGATCTCCAAAGCCACTAGAACAACTACAATTAGAAGGAGCAACAGAAGAAGTGGCTAGGGTAATAGACTCAGGTGATGGAGAGGAAGCCACTAAAGTAATAGGCGCCCAAGAGAGATGGTGAAAAACTTCAACAAAGGAAGGAACTTTTAACTTTAACAAGAATTTGCTTCATGCACCATCAAATTCTGTTGGAAGACTATGTTAAAAGTTGATGACATTGGATTGATCACGTTGGCACTACATCATTGCAAGATTGGTGGATAGTGACATCAATGAAATAAGTTCTCGCTTAGCCTTAACAAATGTTCCAAAGTACTCCACTAATGAGCAATGCTCCTTTCGCATCTCATAGAACTTGGCTTGAACATCATATTGGCATGTGAGATTGTTGGAGTAGATCAATCCAAGATGATCCCACACTTGTCGGCACATGTTGAAGTCATGTACAATATCATGCACATGAGGCTCGAGGGAGGCCCACAAAGAGCCCAATAGATGTTGATCATCATGGTTTTATTTCTAAAGTGTCTCGGGCTTCATCAATGTATCCTCCGTAATGAGAGGCAGTAGATCTTATCATGCAAGATAAACACTAACAATACGGCTCCATTGTCAATAATTCTCAACACCCGATAAGTGGTGAGTGACGATCATCGCAACCCTCGATGAAGGAGTCAAATGTGTTGTAGGCATTGCAAGAACAATACCCATAGATCTCATGGAACTCCCCAAGTTGTCAAACATGTCGGCGGAGAAGTGACGCAGGGGGGAGTCCTTGAACACACAGATAGGCCGCTGCTGGAGATGTACACCTAGGATGCCCTAGGGTAGACAGGCCCCGGGTGTGCCCTACAAGATGGAAGAGGGCAAGTGGCCCCTTAGGATGGTCCTAGGGCAAGAAGGAGCTTAGAAGAATGCTGACCAGCTGGAGGTTGTGTTGGCCAGCCCTACTGGGCGTGCACGACGTGCATCGTGTGACTGTGAACTGCATGCTACTGCACAAAATGCATGGCTACGTGCTAATGTGTACAACAACACATGATGTGCTGCTACGTGCGACGATGCACATTGCATGATGACATGCTGCTGTGTGCAACGACACATGGTACTTGGTGGCTATGGCGGCAGCGGTGGTGGAATGGCAGCCAGCATCATGAAGGAGGCAACAGTTGATAGAAAACCCTAGTAGTTTCTATAGAGGCAGCAGTGGCTATGACGGTGGCAACAGCAGTGGCAGTGGCTATGGTGATAGGGACAACAATGGCTACGGCAGCCAGCATCATGAAGGAGGTGGTGACCAATAGAAAACCCTAACACATTGGTGGCAGTGGCTATGGCAACAAAGGCAGTGGCTATGTTGGCCGTAGTGACTACAATAGCCAGCGTTGCGAAATAGGTAGAGGCTGATAGAAAGCCCTAAAGTTATGCAATGTAACTTAGTTGTTGTATAATAAATCACATAAATTTAAAATTTATAAAACTAGAAAATACTAATTTTTAGATATTTAGAAGTATTTATGAATAAATATATTAATTATAATTCAATAAAAGTTCTAAAAATAGTGAAAAAACTTTAGGTCAATCATAAGGATGGAATATAATATTAAGTAATATTTCAGAATTTTCTATAAATAATACATTATTTTATGAATTTTATACTAAAACATAAAAATAAAATATATTTCAAATTGACAAAAAAGAAAAATAAGGGTGCAGATGTAAGAATGACATTAGCACTCAATAAATGTAAATTGAGTGAAAATAGAGTTCTACTCAACAATTCTTACGTAAATGATTATAGTTGATTTAATTAGTCAAATTAAAATTAATAAAAGTTAGAAGAATTGTAATTGAATAAAGAATAGTTTAGAAACTTGACATCACACAAATTATCACTAAATAAAGTAAAAATTAAGTTGAAAATAGGAAAGACAAAGTTTTAGACTCACGATAGTGATCATTAAAATTTTGTATTTAAGAGGATCATCAAATGATGTCTATGGCTTCAAAGATTCTCCTCGGATAAGGACGACGTAGGCAATCTCTAGATCTTCTTACAAAGTCTAAAGATCAATGAAATAAGTTGTTGAATCATCTCTAGTGGCTATTACATGATGGAACGGACAAAATGATGACTTTGCGACTATCTAGTGGTTGTCACCTGATAGAGATGAGCTAAATAGAGTAGGACGTGTCTTAAAAAGCTTCATCCTTAGGCCCGCATGATAAGTCTTCATTATCATGAGTTAATAATTAGTAAATAATATAGTTTTAGGCTTAACTCATGATAAATAGACTTATATTTGTGTTAAATTATGAAAAGTGGTTTTCAGTTGATTAATGTGATTTTTGGGTAATTATGTGATTTTATACGAATTTATATGATTTTTATAGTCTTACTTTTGAGATAAATGAAGAAAAAAAAATAAAACTAAAATATTGCAAAATGGGGGGAACCCCCCGGCCAGCCGGGCCCGCAAGCGGGACGGAAGCTCAGTCAGGGAGTAGCCGCGAGCAGGGGCTCGAGCGGCTTGGACCGATAGGGGCACGTGTGCGCCCCACTCCCCTTCCACGTCACCGGTGGCCAGCCGGCTGTGGGGCAAGGAGTGGTACACGTGAGAGAAGGGAGTTTGTTTACAAAGCTAAGATTACTATATATTCGCCTGAAAAATTGGCGCACAACCGATGTGGGACTAAACCCGCGTCACACCTTCCTTAGAAGGGCCGGACAACCGGCGTGGGTTCGAATCCTCCCAGAGTCAAAATTCATATATTTTTATCTGATTATCGCGACTTTCCTGCAGATCGCCGGTGAAGGATTAAGCAACCAGAATCGCTGGATCATCGGCAAAAATCTCGTCAACGCGATTCGCGGAGCATTGCTACTAAAATTGTTGAACGATTCGCGATAAAAAGATCGCGAATCCATCGAGTAAATCATCTCCGATTGATCGACGAACAAGCCATCGTCGGGAAGAGGACGATCCGCCGGGAGACGAGTCGCCACCTCCTGAGAGCGTACCGGATGCGATGAAGAGCCTCCTCTTGCTGCGCGGACCTGAGGATGAAGCTCCCTGACATGCGCCCCACCTCCATCTAGCTCCTCTTCGTCAGGTGACAGCCGTCGGAGAGCCGCAAAGTCGCTATTTTTCCGCTCCGCCGGGTGACAGTCGCCAGAGACGACTCGACGACCCATTTCATTAATCTCTAGACTTCGCGAGAAGATCTAGAGATTGCCTACGTCGTCTTTGTCCAAGGAGAGCCTTTGAGGCCGTGGACACTACACGACGATCCTCCCGAACGCTCAGGATTCCGGTGCATCGCCGACGCATCGCCGTCGCGACGCCGGAACTCTATTTTCCTACTTTCAATTTAATTTACGCTTCATTTAGTGATACTTTGTGTGATTTTAATTTACCAAACTATACTTCGTTCAATTACGATTCTTCCGGCTTTTACAGATCTTAATTTGATTAATTAAATCGTCTGTAATCGCTTACGTAAGAATCGCCGGGTGAAACTCTGTTTCCGCCCGATTCACGTTCGCCGGGCGCTGACGTCATCCTGACGTCCGCACCCTTATTTCCTTCTTTTTCGTGAATTTTAAATATATTTTCTTTTCATTTTCTAGTATAAAATTTATAGAAAATCATATTCATTGAGAAAAAATCTGAATAATTACAAAATATTATATTACATCCCTGTGATCGACCTGGAAAATTACCGCTATTTTTGGAAGTTTTATTGAATTATAATTAATATATTTATTTAGAAATACTTCTAAATATCCGAAAATTTGTATTTTCTAGTTTTATAAATTTTATATTTGCGTGATTTAATATACAACGATTGAGTCACGTCACCGCACAATAAGAGAAGGCTCTTCATCACATCTAATACGCTTTTAGGAGGTGACGACTCATCTCTTGACAGATCATTCTTTTCTCAATGACGACTTATTCGTCAATCAATCAGGTATGATTTACTCGATAGATTTACGATTTTTTTATTGTGAATTGTTTAATAATTTTAGTAACGATGCTCCACGAATCATGTTGATAATATTTTTGCCGATGATTGAGTAATTCTAGTAGCTTAATCCTTCACCAATGATTTGTAAGAAAATCATGATATAATCAAATAAAAATATAAGTTTTAGCTCTAGTATGATTTGAACCCTTGTCGGTTGCTTGCTTGCATGAAAGAGAGAAAGAAGTACGTAAATATCCTTATAAAGTGACATTATCAAAATACATCTTTCTGATAAATAAAGGGTATTTGAGATACAAAAATCATAAAATCATTCTACAAAAGATGTGACTGAGATTTAGTCTCACATCAATTATACGTTGAATTTTGAGGTGAATATATATATTAATACAAGATTTAGGAATCAATGAGTCCTTTTTTCGTATATGTATGACCACTCCTTGCCCCACGCTCAGTTGACCACTAGTGACATGGAAGGAGAGTGACGCACATGTACCCCTTATTAGTCTATTCTTAGCTACTCAAACCTCTGCTCATGACTCCACTATGCTTCAAACTTACTTGTGGGCTTGGTTGGCCGATGAGTCTCCCCCTCTCTTTTCTTATCTTTTTTATTTTTATTTTATTTTTTCTATTTATCTCAAAAATAGAATTATAAAATTATATAAATTCACATAAAATCACATAATTAGTCAAAAAATTACATTAACTAACTAAAAACTATTTTTTTCATAATTTAATATAAATATAAATTTCTTTATCATGAGCTAAGATTAAAACTATATTATTTATTAATTATTAACTCATGATAATGAAGACTTATCAGTATGATATCATGAAAATAAAAATATTATTATTATATTAAAAAGGACATAAGTCTGATATATATAAGGGTGAGGAGAGAGAGAGAAAGTAGGCAAGTCTCATATATCTTTACACAAGTAAATATAGGTTATCATGACTTTAGAAAACACCGATATCTTTTATTTAAAATTTATATTTCTACATAGACAATTATAACTAATTTTTTTTAAATTAAAAACATAAATCAAGTTTCATCTAAGATAATACAACATGTCTTAATCAAATCTAAATAAGTGACTAGTCTTTAACAATAACCTAAAAGTCAATATTACCTCCACTTCTATTATATTATCATCACTTGAATAGATATAACTTTCATAATTAATTAACTTCTGATAATAGAGTCAACTCTGTATAGACACACTTATGTGAATAGTAGTATTATAGTTTATCTATTACATACGTAAGAGTATAAAAGTTAAATTAACTTCTGAACAAATTAAAGTGAAAAAGTCACATTTCTTTGTACGCTAAGTATGGTACTTGGTACAATCTTTCTTCATATGTCCACCATACTTGCAAAAGTAATAAGTAAATTCTTATCTTGTTTCTTTTTATGTTTTTTTAGTGGTGGTCCACCTATAACTTCATTGTCCTTAGATATTTTCTTGATTTTGTTTTTAGAAGTTATGGCCAAGTAAGTAGTAGGATTGGAGGGATTATTCTACAGGTGAGGTAGAGGCTACTTAGCATTGAGGGAGCAATGGTAGAGGCCAGTTTCGGGTGGTTGAATAGCGAATTGGAGAACCACCTGTGAAGACCACCCTCGGGGGGTATCTTTTCATCGTATCTCTTGGCAAATTTTGATACTTGTGGATATATGGTAAGATCTTAGTTACTATAGATGTAGCCATTCATTCCTGCGTGAGAAAATAATGAGGCTTTTCTTTATGACTTGTACACAATGGTCATTGGCGGAGCATAGGCGCCCACAAATCAAACAGCTGTGGAGGCCGTGGTGACTTCCACCGACAGCCAATAATCAAAACGGACGGTTCAGATTCATCCCCCGTAATGTGACGGTCGCCGGTAAGAAAGCGATTTCAGCTGGTGGACGGCGTGTTATAAAGTCAACTTGGTCGTAGGAGCAGTTAAGCATAGGTGTGGTTACGTTAAATGACTAAAATACCAGCCAGACCTAGGACAAGAGGCTAGCACAACGAAACGAGGCAAACCTGGTCCTCTTCTCGTAATTAACGGATATCTCAGGGCTATTATTAACATGTTAGAGCTGCTTAAGCACTGAGGCCTCCTGAGAGGTAGCTCGCATCTCTCTTTCTATCTCTCTCTCTCTGTCTCATTCTCTCTCTACTGTCGGGGCTGGTGGAAAAGAAGAGGATTAGTAGAAAAGAGAGGGGGAGGGAGAAGTCGAGGCTTGGTGATATTCTGGTCCTACCCCGCCTCATTGGCGTCGCTACTGCTGTAGATCTGGGATCGGAGCTCCTTCTCAGTGATCCGGCAATGGAGCTGGGACACGGGAGCTTCGCCGTGGGGAGTAGATCCATCCCCAAGGTCGCCGGCGTGGTTACTCTGCTGGTGGTCCTCTTGTGCTCCTGCCTGACTTCAACAGGTCGGGCACCGCCCCCTTCTCCTCCCTCATTCCCCAATCAAACCGAGGTTGGCGACTTCCGTTCGTCTCATGCGGTTTCGGGATCTATCTGATTGATGATGCTTGGGAATCGTCTCACTCAAGCTAATGTTTCGCAGTTCCTTGATTGAGTTGCATCTTACTGTTTTAAACCGTTTGGGTGTTTATGGAGGAAGGGAGTCGATCCTGGCCTAGATTCGCTCATCTTCCTGGTTCTCGACCCTTCTCCGTTATAATCTTCCGAAAATACGTCAGGTTTTCCCTCCCGTAGATCTTGCATTCGCTCGTGGAGTTGCCGAGAGCATGTGGCATCCGTGATTTTACTGATGGCGTTGTGTCTAGGAGAAGATTTTTTCTTATTCGTTAGTCTAGAACCGTCTGAAGTGCTTCGTTCGTCGGATTTAGAGACATCAACAGACTTTAGACAACTTGAAATCTACGTAATCCGATTACATAGATCTTAGGCACCCCAGTAATTGGTTCTTCGGGTGTTGTAGCGTGAATCTCGCTGCCTCAAGTCTTGAAATCTACGTAATCGGAGATTTTTAACATACTATTTGTTGAATATGGCAGATGTTTTTTTTTAAAAACAATTAAAACGAAATCCTTGATTAAATCTGAAATATTATGGTTGATTTATTCTCCTGTTGATCATTTTGCAGAGGCCTACGACGCACTCGATCCAAATGGGAACATAACGATAAAATGGGACGTCATGCAGTGGACGCCAGATGGTTATATTTTAAGTATCTGGAAACAGGAGGATCCTCACCAGAGGGGCCCCCTCTCTGCCAAAAGTTGCAATATTGACGCACGCTGAACGCAATTTATATGGAATAATTTCGTCGTCTTCTAACGCTATTTCATGGATTACCCTCTTAGGCCGTTGTGACGATGTTCAATTACCAACAATACCGCCACATCCAAGCTCCAGGGTGGAGCTTGAGTTGGAAATGGGCGAAGAAGGAGATCATATGGTCAATGGTGGGGGCGCAGGCTACAGAGCAGGGAGATTGCTCGAGATTCAAAGGGAACATCCCCCACTGCTGCAAGAGGGACCCGACTGTGGTTGATCTGCTTCCAGGGACTCCGTACAACATGCAGATAGCTAATTGCTGCAAAGGAGGAGTCATCAACTCTTGGGCTCAGGACCCAGATAACCACGCCGCCTCCTTCCAAGTCAGTGTGGGGATGGCAGGAACTACTAACAAGACTGTCAGAGTTCCAAGGAACTTCACCCTGAAGGCACCCGGGCCTGGGTATACATGTGGAATCGCGAAAATCGTCAAGCCCACTAAGTTTATCACGCAGGATGGGAGGAGAACCACCCAAACTATGAGTAAGCCAGTTTTTCAATTCTTATATTTTTCTTCTTTATTATATTTTGTTCATTTTGGGCGTGGAACTTCAGACTGATGAAGATTTCAACTAAACGGTCGATAACTTAGCCGTGAAATCATGTAAAAGGACTGGGAAAGGTTTATAGTGTGTTCCGTGAACTGGCTTCTAGTACAATGCAGGATGATGTATTTCTAAATATGAACTGGATTTGGTTCTTTAGTATGTCCGTCTTATACACGGGTATGCAGCCTGTCTCTTGTTCTGTTGTTCTGGTTTTCTTTAGTATGTCCTCATCTTCCTGCAGTGACATGGAACGTCACATGTACATACTCCCAATATTTGGCCCAGAAGACCCCCACTTGCTGCGTCTCTCTCTCATCCTTCTACAATGATACAATTGTCAATTGCCCTACGTGCTCCTGCGCATGCCAGAACAACATCACTCAGCCAGGAAGCTGTGTAGAGTGAGCTCCTCTCTCTCTCTCTCTCTCTCTCTCTCTCTCTCTCTCTCTCTCGCTCGCTTGCTGTGTGTGTCTCTCTGCCTCTGCTGACTTGTGTTCTGCGTGTTACTAAACAGGGCTGACTCGCCATATTTAGCATCCACTATTAATGGGCCTGGAAAGGCTACCTTAGCACCTTTGGTGCAGTGTACATCCCACATGTGTCCGATAAGAATTCACTGGCATGTCAAGTCCAACTACAAGGAGTACTGGCGAGTGAAGATCACGATTACCAACTTCAACTACCGGGTGAACTACACCCAGTGGAACTTGGTCGTCCAGCACCCCAACTTCGACAACCTCACTCAGATCTTCAGTTTCAACTACAAGTTCTTGACTCCTTCCGGCATCAGTAAGTTCTCTGTCTACACATCATCGAGGGTTCTCCCAGTTCTTCCTTAATCAGACTTAGCTGCTTTCGTCTACCCTTTTCGTTATTTATAGTAGTTTGCACGGTCAATGAGCTGGGCCGAGAGAGAAACCCGATTCTGAGGGCCAAGCCCGAGAAAAGCCGGGCCGGATTCGGGGATTTAGTGAATGCAGCATCTCACTTGCTCGTGCTATTGGTCGTTGACCTCTCGAGTCTTGATTTCTCAGATGATACTGCAATGCTGTGGGGGGTCAAATTCTACAACGACCTGCTCATGCAGGCGGGCCCGTTGGGGAACGTGCAGTCGGAACTTCTCCTTAGAAAGGACGCGTCGACCTTCACCTTCGGAAAGGGCTGGGCGTTCCCCCGGCGTGTGTACTTCAACGGAGACAACTGCGTGATGCCACATCCTTGATGAACGTCTTGGTCTCCTCGTTGGACTGCCACAGCGGCAGAGGGAGGTTCAAGTCAAAGAAGATGACCCCTCCGAGCTTCTTTGAGGCTTTGATGGCCCGCATTGCTGTCCTCAGGTTCTCGTTGAGCAGAGATGAGGAATTGAAGTAGAACATCTTTGCCTGAACGAGAAAGAAACAGGATTCAGCCATGAACTAGTAGAAACAGATACAATTATCTAAATAAGGGTAGAAAAAAATTACCTCCTTCAGCGCATCGACGTTGACCTCGGAACTCGGGAAGCTATCCTCGGCACAGGGTTTGGTGCAAGTCGTTTTCAGGCCGCCCCTCCTGGCGAGCTTCATTCGAGACACGGCCGTAGGCTTCGAGGCATCAATGTTGATCGAGCGAGTCTGGACTTGGTTGGCATTAAGATGATAGAGCACGGTTTGACCATACTCATCGTCGCCAAGCTTCCCCATTAATTCGACACGACCCCCCAAGTTTGCAAGGAATCTGCCGCGTGAGAATAGTTCAGGAGAAAGAGGGAGAACCCACAGGCTACAGTTCCCGGATGTGAGGACCAACACACGCAGGCAGGCTGCTTCTTGGAGCTGCCTCGCCGCCGGAAGCGGCGGAAGGAAAACGGTGGGGAAGGGAGAAATCCAGAAACAAAGACGGGGGTTTTTGCCTTCAGATGTACGATGCAGTTCTTGCTCTCAGCAGGCTTCCACCCATTGACCTTCAGAAGAAGACCTCTCCCCATTTTATGTTTTTTAATCCTCCTCCACGGTCCTCTGGGTCCTCCAAGAAAGCTCTGCTGGACACTAAAGTCAACGTCTTGGTCAACAATATATTCTGTTGGATCCCCCCATATCTCTTCTGCCCTTCTATGATGGTAATCCCCTTCCCCTGTTCATACCTACGCTGGTCGTCCATACCAAGTAATCGTCTTAACCCATTGCCACATCTGAACAAAAACTGTCGTCAACCCTCCAAGAACTTCATCCGTTATGGGGACTCCCTAATATGGAATCATATACATAAACTGAGCTCTAAAAATGGCAATTCTGATGACACAGCCTGAAAATCGGCCTCCCTCAAGCCCAGCTTAGAGAGAGAGAGAGAAAGAGAGAGAGAGAGAGAGGAGTACTATGTTGGTTTAAAATGGGCCTGATGAACGGCTCTGATGGGCCTGGTCAGTGGTCGGGTGGGGGGTCGATACCAGAATTAGGTGGGCTTTCGTCAGGAGCCAACAACCGCCGGAAAACTGGCAGCTCGCCGGCCACCACGATACGATCACCGCCAGCTGGACGGCGACCCTGATAGGTACGGACCACCCTCCGGGGGTTCTTTTCACCATATCTCCTGGTAATTTGGATACTTGTGGATATACGCTAAGCTCTTAGTTATTGTAGATGTAACCATTCATTCCTGCATAAGGAAATAATGGGGCTTTTCTTTATGGCTCGTACACCGCGGTCGTCGGCGGTGCGTAGGCGCCGACAAATCGGACAGCTGTGGAGGCCGTGGTGACTTCCACCGACAGCCAATGATCAAAACGGACGGCTCAGATTCATCCCCCGTAATGTGACGGTCGCCGGTAAGAAAGCGATTTCAGCTGGTGGACGGCGTGTTATAAAGTCAACTTGGTCGTAGGAGCAGTTAAGCATAGGTGTGGTTACGTTAAATGACTAAAATACCAGCCAGACCTAGGACAAGAGGATAGCACAACGAAACGAGGCAAGCCTGGTCCTCTTCTCGTAATTAACAGATATCTCAGGGCTATTATTAACATGTTAGAGCTGCTTAAGCACTGAGGCCTCCTGAGAGGTAGCTCGCATCTCTCTCTTTCTATCTCTCTCTCTGTCTCTTTCTCTCTCTACTGTCGGGGGTGGTGGAAAAGAAGAGGATAGTAGAAAAGAGGGGGAGGGAGGAGTCGAGGCTTGGTGATATTCTGGTCCTACCCCGCCCCATTGGCGTCGCTACTGCTGTAGATCTGGGATCGGAGCTCCTTCTGAGCGATCCGGCAATGGAGCTGGGACACGGGAGCTTCGCCGTCGGGAGTAGATCCATCCCCGAGGTCGCCGGCGTGGTTACTCTGCTGGTGGTCCTCTTGTGCTCCTGCCTGACTTCAACAGGTCGGGCACCGCCCCCTTCTCCTCCCTCATTCCCCAATCAAGCCGAGGTTGGCGACTTCCGTTCGTCTCATGCGGTTTCGGGATCTATCTGATTGATGATGCTTGGGAATCGTCTCACTCAAGCTAATGTTTCGCAGTTCCTTGATTGAGTTGCATCTTACTGTTTTAAACCGTTTGGGTGTTTATGGAGGAAGGGAGTCGATCCTGGCCTAGATTCGCTCATCTTCCTGGTTCTCGATCCTTCTCCGTTATAATCTTCCGAAAATACGTCAGGTTTTCCCTCCCGTAGATCTTGCATTCGCTCGTGGAGTTGCCGAGAGCATGTGGCATCCGTGATTTTACTGATGGCGTTGTGTCTAGGAGAAGATTTTTTCTTATTCGTTAGTCTAGAACCGTCTGAAGTGCTTCGTTCGTCGGATTTAGAGACATCAACAGACTTTAGACAACTTGAAATCTACGTAATCCGATTACATAGATCTTAGGCACCCCAGTAATTGGTTCTTCGGGTGTTGTAGCGTGAATCTCGCTGCCTCAAGTCTTGAAATCTACGTAATCGGAGATTTTTAACATACTATTTGTTGAATATGGCAGATGTTTTTCTTTAAAACAATTAAAACGAAATCCTTGATTAAATCTGAAATATTATGGTTGATTTATTCTCCTGTTGATCATTTTGCAGAGGCCTACGACGCACTCGATCCAAATGGGAACATAACGATAAAATGGGACGTCATGCAGTGGACGCCAGATGGTTATGTTGTAAGTATATGGAAACAGGAGGATCCTCACCAGAGGGACCCCCTCTCTGCCAAAAGTTGCAATATTGACGACATGAAAAATACATGTAGTTTTCTGCACGTTGAACGCAATTTATATGGAATAATTTCGTCGTCTTCTAACGCTATTTCATGGATTACCCTCTTAGGCCGTTGTGACGATGTTCAATTACCAACAATACCGCCACATCCAAGCTCCAGGGTGGAGCTTGGGATGGAAATGGGCGAAGAAGGAGGTCATATGGTCCATGGTGGGGGCGCAGGCTACAGAACAGGGAGATTGCTCGAAATTTAAAGGGAACATCCCCCACTGCTGCAAGAGGGACCCGACTGTGGTTGATCTGCTTCCAGGGACTCCGTACAACATGCAGATAGCTAATTGCTGCAAAGGAGGAGTCATCAACTCTTGGGCTCAGGACCCAGCTAACCACGCCGCCTCTTTCCAAGTCAGTGTGGGGATGGCAGGAACTACTAACAAGACTGTCAGAGTTCCAAGGAACTTCACCCTGAAGGCACCCGGGCCTGGGTATACATGTGGAATCGCGAAAATCGTCAAGTCCACTAAGTTTACCACGCAGGATGGGAGGAGAACCACCCAAGCTATGAGTAAGCCAGTTTTTCAATTCTTATATTTTACATCTTTATTATATTTCTGTTCATTTTGGGCGTGGAACTTCAAATTGATGAAGATTTCAACTAAACAGTTGATAACTTAGCCATGAAATAATCATGTAAAAGGACTGGGGAAGGTTTATAGTGTGTTCAATAAACTTACTTCTAGTGCAATGTAGTATATGAACTGGATTTGGTTCTTTAGTATGTCCGTCTTATACAGTGGTATGTAGCCTGTCTGTTGTTCTGGTTTTCTAACCGCTCCTCATCTTCCTGCAGTGACATGGAACGTCACATGTACATACTCCCAACCTTTGGCCCAGAAGACCCCCACTTGCTGCGTCTCTCTCTCATCCTTCTACAATGATACAATTGTCAATTGCCCTACGTGCACCTGCGGATGCCAGAACAACATCACTCAGCCAGGAAGCTGTGTAGAGTGAGCTCCTCTCTCTCTCTCTCTCTCTCTCTCTCGCTCGCTCGCTCGTTGTGTGTGTCTCTCTGCCTCTGCTGACTTGCGTTCTGCGTGTTACTAAACAGGGCTGACTCGCCATATTTAGCATCCGCTATTAATGGGCCTGGAAAGGCTACCTTAGCACCTTTGGTGCAGTGTACATCCCACATGTGTCCGATAAGAATTCACTGGCATGTCAAGCTCAACTACAAGGAGTACTGGCGAGTGAAGATCACCATTACCAACTTCAACTACCGGATGAACTACACCCAGTGGAACTTGGTCGCCCAGCACCCCAACTTCGACAACCTCACTCAGATCTTCAGTTTCAACTACAAGTCCTTGACTCCTTATGGCGGCATCAGTAAGTTCTCTGTCTACACGCCATCGAGGGTTCTCAGTTCTTCCTTAATCAGACTTCTTAGCTGCTTTCGTCTACCCTTTTCGTTATTTATAGTAGTTTGCACGGTCAATGAGCTGGGCCTAGAGAGAAGCCCGATTCTGAGGGCCAAGCCCGAGAAAAATCGGGCCGGATTCGGGGATTTAGTGAATGCAGCATCTCGCATGCTCGTGCTATTGGTCGTTGACCTCTCAAGTCTTGATTTCTCAGATGATACTGCAATGCTGTGGGGGGTCAAATTCTACAACGACCTGCTCATGCAGGCGGGCCCGCTGGGGAACGTGCAGTCGGAACTTCTCCTTAGAAAGGACGCGTCGACCTTCACCTTCGAAAAGGGCTGGGCGTTCCCCCGGCGTGTGTACTTCAACGGAGACAACTGCGTGATGCCACCTCCAGATGCATACCCATGGCTGCCAAATGCAAGCCCTTCATTAAGGGCCCCACTGCTCTTGTCGGCCACGTTATTCTGGGCAGCTCTAGCTCTCCTGCTCACCTAGGCATCTGAATCCAAAGAGCACAACTGCATGAAATTTTGTGTCTTTGTGAAGTTTTCGCCTGCATTCAAGGGCTAACTCTGATCAATGAGCGAGCAAGATGGATGGTCTAGGAGCCCAATGCTCCTGTCATAGATATTGGAGTTGTGCTTTTGTGCTATGTATATTGTGTTCTTTGGCTTCCGCTGCTGCCATCATGATCAGGAGTGAGGAAGTGCATGTACTGCTGTTAATTTTTACACATTTATATCTAATAAGAATTAGATATAAAGGATTTGTGTTCCTTTTTTTCATTTGCTTTCAAAGCTAATGACTCAGGATCTGCACTTATCTTTTGCGTTGGAGCACAGAATTTTGGAGAGCTTATGAATTCTTGTGGCAGACTCTGCGTTCTTTCCACTTGTTATGTACATGTTTGCAGGAAGAGTTGAAAAAAAGGAAAGAAGTGATCTTTGATCTGACGAACACTTACAAACGGCAGTTAGCAGCAGCGCCCAGAGCGCAGAAGCAGCAGCAATGGATTCAAAACTGAGCCCAGGCATGGTTCCGTGGGCGGCGTTGGGCAAGGAAGGGTATGCCTCCGACGGCGGAAGCGTGCACTCCGCGCCATTGAAGTAGACTCCGGGGGAACGACCACCCCTGCTTGAGGGTGAAGCTGTCCTGGTCCTAGCGGAGCAGCAGCTCCGACTGCACGTTCCCCAGCGGCCCGGCCTCCATGAGCAGATCGTTGAAGTACTTGATCCCGAAGAACATCCCGGTATCATCTGCCAGACGCAAGAATCGTAACGCACAGAGGAAGAGGAAGAGAAAGGGCAACAACGGGTTCTCGTTGGAAGTACTCACTGATGGACTGGTAAGGGACCAGCGGCTTGTAGCCGAAGCTGAAGACCTCGGCGACGTTGTCGATGTTGGGGTGCTGGGCGACGAGCGTCCACTGGGAGTAGTTCATCCGGTGGCTGAAGTTGGTGATGGCGATCTTCACTCTCCAGTATTCCTTGTACTTGAGCTTGATGTGCCAGTGGACCCCGACGGGGCACATATGGTGCGTGCACTGCAGCGACGGACCGCCGCCCTTGCTCGTGGTGTCGGGCCCCACCGCACTCAGGAGCTTCGAGTCGTCTCTGATGGCGGGCCGCCGTCGAAAGATGGATCTCTCGTCAGATAAATAAGGTGGAGGGGATTATAATGGAGATTGCAGGGCTGCGAAGAAGACTCAGTTGTTGCAGTTGTGCTTGTTCTCGCAGCCGCAGGCACAGGCGAGGCAAGGGGTGATTGTGGTGTTGTAGAAAGACGAGAAGGAGACGCAGCAGGTGGGGTTCTTGGAGGCCAGGAACTGGGACCAAGTGCAGGTCACACTCCAGGTCACTGGTATGAAGAAGATTAGGGGGAAACCTTCAATTCCAAAGGATTATCATCGTTTCCCCCATGATTGCAGGAAGACGATCTCGAAAACATGGCCGGAAAGGGACTGATTGGGGAGAAGCTTATTGAGAGCCTGGGTCTTCCGGCGACCGTCCGGCGTGAGGAAAGTGGTGGAGGGGACGATCTGTGCAGGGCTGCAGATGTAGCCAGGGCCGGGTGCCATCAGGGTGAAGTTCTTTGGCGGCCTCACCGTCCTGTTCGTGGTGCCGGCCTGGCCGACGCTCAACTGGAAGGCGGAGATGGATCCGGCGGGGTCCTGGTCCCAAGACGGCACCACTCCGCCCTTGCAGCAGTTCTGTATCTGCTGGTTGTAGGGAACCCCGGGCAGCAGGTCGACGATGGCCGGCGTCTTCTGGCAGCAGTGCGGGATGTTGGCCTTGAACTTGGAGCAGTCCCCCTGCTCGGTGGCCTGCGCACCAATCACGAACCAGATCACCTCCTCCTTCGCCCAGGTCCACCCCATCGTCCACCCGGGGCTCATGATGTGCCGGTACATCTGGAAGTTGTTCATCGTCACCATCGCCTGGTGGCGCGTGGAAACGAGATCGACGATCCCCGCAGCGATTCAGATCCAGACGCGGCAAGAAACAGAGAGGAGACTCCAACTGAGATCGGACTCACCACATAGCCGTCCGGCGCCCACGACATCACATCCCATCGGATGGTGTTGTCGTCGTTTGGATCCAGCGGATCGTATGCCCCTGCATTCAAATTCATCCACAACTCACATCAGTAAGCAACTACTCCGCTCCATCGAATCCGCAAGACTCAAGAGGCATCTCAGAGATCGAGATCACCGACCTCCGGGAAGAAACCGTAGAGGTAGGAGAAGCAGGACGAGCCTCAGCTCCGTAGTAATCTGCGCACCCCGATCGCTCGTCTCCATGGCTCCGGCCACCCGACGGCTCTCTCCGGGGAGATCAGGAAGGAACGGATGCTCCTCGGTGGCCGCTTGAGGGAGCCTGATGAGGAAGGGGACGGCTCAACCTTCGCCGCCATCATCATTCCTTCCTCTCCGATTCCCGTCTTCCCCAAGCAATGCGCACCTCCGGCGAGGGGCGGAGCCTGCAAAAGACGCGGGAACTTTCAAGCAAATTACCGTCCCATTCCTCACTGAAAGTTTCGTCATTGACAGGTACCTCTTCTCGCCCACGGCAGCACCCTCTAAGAATGTTATTTATATTTATAACTTTTCAAGCAAATTACCATCACTTTCCCCATCGAAAGTCCCACTCGACACGTACCTTTCTCCTACGCACCAAAACCATTTTAGATATATATTTATATTTATACCCTTTCAGGGAATTACCGTAACATTCCTCGTCGAAGTCTCTTCCTCGACAGATATCTCTCCTCGTGCACGCTAATACCCTATAATATTTTAATTTATATTATTAACTCTTTCAAGAAAATTATCGTGACATTTCTCTTTCTCGACGGGTACCTCTTCTTCTTCACTAAAAACCCATTAAAAATTTAATTTATATTAATACCCTTACAAACTCGTCTTTGCTGATGGCGCAAGGAAGGTGGCCGGTGAACAGTCCCAATCCAGGGCCCTCTGATAATGGGCTCTTTCATTGGGCCCATTATATGGGTCCACTAACACGATAGCGTGCTCCCGCCCGATGTGCGGGAATCGGCCGTACGCCCGTGCGTCTCGACGACTGCACCACTCTCTTTCTCTCTCTCTCTCTCTCTCTCTCTCTCGCTTTCTCTCTGGATGGTAAGAGAAAGAAAGAGAAGGGAGAGAAGGGAGGATCTCTCTTCTCTGGGTTCTCCTCCCCTCGGATGGGTCAGTGGAGGGGGGCGATCGCCATGGTATTGTGGGCATGGGTGAGCGTAGTGTCGGCCTGGTCGATAGCGGGATCCAAGGTAAGCAGCATTATCTGGCCTGGCCATGGCCGCCCCTTCTCTAGCAGGGAGATCTCAGATCCGCTGTTGTGCCGCTGCTCTTGCAGCGCCTCGACGGGTGCTCGTCGGATAGCGACTGCGAGCCCGGGTTCTACTGCTTCTCCTGCATGGAGGGCTTCCGCAGCTCCCACTGCGTCCGCTCAACGGTGACGAACCAGTTCAAGTTGGTGGTAATTCCTCCCCATCACCGCTGATTTTCTTCTCGTCCGTTTGAACGGGTCGATCGGTGAGAGAGAACTAGAGAACTCCATGAATTGAGAGATGTTCTTCTGGAAGACATCCCTGCCGTCGGTGTGATCTCCGTCACGATTCTCCATCGATTACTTGTTAGAGATGTGGATTTGACATTAACGCCGTATTTGATTGCTTGACCACCATTTTATTTTATATTTTTCGGTTTTGTTCAGAACAACTCTCTGCCCTTCAACAAGTACGCCTACCTGACCACCCACAACGCGTACGCGATCGAGGGGGAGCCGTCTCGGACTGGAGTTCCCCGGGTCACCTTCACCAACCAGGAGGACTCCGTTACTCAGCAGCTGAATGTAGGCCTGCGTTTCCTTTAGATCTTCCTTGTGTTCCTCTCTCTCTCTCTCTCTCTTTCATGGCTCGTGGGGTTGATACTGATCTTAATTCCTCTCGTCTCGGCGAATTCCTCTCTGCTTACGCAGAATGGTGTCCGCGCTCTGATGCTCGACACCTACGACTTTGAAGGGGACGTCTGGTTGTGCCATTCTCGGGGTGGCAAATGCTACGATATTACTGCCTTCGTAAGTCACTCTCTCTCTTTCCCTCTCTCTCTGTGTTCTCTCTCTCAACATATGACGAGGGAGAATTCACGTTTTCATACCATAACGTTCCTTTCATGCAACCCAATCATAAGAAATGGAGAAACTCGTGGGAGAAGCCTCTCAGTAACCCCTCCGGACCATTTGGACTCTAGTTAGGACTACATATTATTTCCAAACTGGGGATAGAGAGAGAAAGAGAGATACCTTTACATTGTTATACGCGAAGAGTGTAAGTGTGTGAGAGAGAGAAATATGTGTAAATATTTATATGCGAAGAGTTGTTGTGTGAGTGAGTGAGAGAGAGAGAGAGAGAGAGAGAGAGAGAGAGAGAGAGAGAGAGAGAGAGAGAGAGAGAAAGAGAGAGAGAGGGTGAGAGTGAGAGAGAGAGAGAGAGAGAGAGAGAGAAAGAGAGAGAGAGGGTGAGAGTGAGTGAGAGAGAGAGAGAGAGAGAGAGAGAGAGGGTGGAAAAGCACCCATACCATGACTGTTCTTGTCAGTCGAATCATCGCCACTTTGTACCCCCAGGAGCCCGCCGTGGAGACGTTCCGAGAGATAGAGGCCTTCCTCGCGGCGAACCCGTCGGAGATCATCACCTTGATTCTGGAAGACTACGTCCGAGCTCCCAACGGGCTGACCCGAGCCTTCAACGACTCAGGCCTGGTCAAGTACTGGTTCCCGGCGGCGAGGATGCCCCGCCGCGGCGGCGACTGGCCGCTCGTCAGCGACATGATCGCCGCCAACCAGCGGCTGGTGGTCTTCACTTCCATCCCCTCCAAGGAGGAGAGCGAGGGCATCGCCTTCCAGTGGAACTACATGGTGGAGAACCAGTGTGAGTGACGAGTCACAGCCGGAATATCTCACCAAGTCTCCTTGCGCCGGCGGGGAGATATTTGATGCCTCTGATGCGATGCTCTTACGAAGGTGGGGTGGGTCCGCGCAGATGGAGACGGAGGGATGAAGGACGGCAGGTGCCGGAATCGGGCCGAGTCCGCACCGCTCGACGACAAGACCAAGTCACTGGTCCTGGTCAATTACTTTAGCTCCATCCCTCTGAAGCAGATCACGTGTGTCCACAACTCCGCCGACCTCATGGGCATGCTCCATACGTGCTACGCCGCCGCCGGCAGCCGCTGGGCCAACTTCGTCGCCGTTGACTACTACAAGGTAAACACCCCCACGACTTCCTTTCAACTTAGGCTCTCCACGAAAGATAGACATTATAGGCAACCGCCGTTCTCTTCAATGCCTCTTTATTTCCCCCACACTGATCTACAAAACACGGATTTTCGGTTTTACCCTCCAATTAACTAGCTAGAAGGGCCCTGATCTTTAGTTTATCTACTTAGTTCTTATTACCCAGTCCCTCAATTGTGATTCAACAATCATCGTCCCTGAGTGATGTTTGGTTGTGATGTGAGTGTAGCGGAGTAAGGGAGGAGGGCCATTCCAAGCAACTGACACACTCAACGGACGGCTATTGTGTGGCTGTGATGACGTGCATGCTTGTGCAGCAGGGCCTCCACGGTTGTGCGCAAACCTCAAGGGAGTCGCTAAGCATGGGGATGTAGATAGAGGGACCATCGATACTCAACTCCCCACTCCCCTCGATACCTTTGAATGAATACAAATGGTTTTTCCCAACGTGTAAAATGAAATTTTGAGGAATAAATATTTTTGTGATGTGTTGTTGATGGTGATTTCAAGGAGGCTACAAGAGGAACCAAGAGGGGCAGAGACTGAATTGGTATTTTTTATTTCAACTATTGGACTCTTCGAAAATCAGGACATTGAACCCAGATCTTACAATAGCTTGGCACACTAGCCTACTCCACATTCTAAAGATCTTGTGCTTATGTTCTACTCAATCAAAGTGATACAATTCGTGAAAGCAAAGGCTTCAGCTAGTATTCAATCAACCCTCATAGGTCTACCCAACCAAAATATTTCTTTGAAACACTCCTTTAAGATCCATGACTCTAGGAGGCCAACTCAATTAACATGAATCTATTTTTTCTTAGATTTACAATTATTTGAAATAACCTTAATTTTTCTTAGGTTAATCTCTTCTAGATTCATAATTTTAAGAAAGATAGCTATTGAATGTAATCAAGAACAAATTAAGAATAGTTTATAACTCTTAAAAATTCAATACATAGCATTCATGGAATTAATTCATTGGCCTTGAGATATATAAATGTTTTGTGAAGAATAGACTTTTAAATGCTTAAAATAATTTTTGTACTTTTGATCCTTGGATAATTTAATCTCTGCTTGAGCATTAGGAAAATGTTTCTGGTATAAAAATCGATTTTTTTTACGATTTTTCTTTTTCTAACGGTAAAAAAGTCTTCAGATGGGAACGAGTAGTTTTAGAAAAAACTACTTTCTTATTCTTTTAAAAAATGCGACATATGGTAGAAAAATATCTCTACAATTTTTAAAATTATATTTGAGAATTTTAATATAATAAATTCCTTTTTTGGCTCATATATGTTCAACTTTAAATATGAATTAACTATTTTACCCTTCAATGCATCTCCCTAAATCTTGAAAATAAGAGGACCACACTAGTTATGAAATCAATCCCATAATCAGTTGTAGCTATTCTAATCGTAAGATAAATACTTTGGTAATAATTTAATAAAATTTTAGTATATTGTTTTATGACACAAAGGTACCATTTAATCTTCCATTTTTTCATTATCAAAACTATAACCCTCTAAAAGTCAATAGGTGATCTCAAAACGCTTTCAATTATTTACTCAATTTGACACTTTTTAAGAGTCATTGTTAAAAATAATTGAAAATTTATTCCAAACATGATATTAATGGGTAATATAGCTTATGATTATCACCAATGAGTTATGTTGTCTCAAGAGAAATTTTAACCTAAAAATACCCATCATTTGGTGATGTATGTCATGTGTAGTTTCTAAATATGAATAAAATAAAGGGATAAAATAGAAAATGGTCCAGTACTTTGGAAGTTCCTAATTAGTACAAATCATTTCCAACATTGTGTGTGAAACTTCATAATTTTGAGTTATTTTTTAGCCAAGAATCAATTGAATTATTTTCTTTTACTATCTTCTATCATGTTATTTTAGGTCCCCATAAACTAAAAAATTCTTTATCAATTATTTCTTTGTTACTTTTTTATGCCTTTGGTTTTGATGATTATAAATTAAAATTTATTGACACATTATTATTTTATATTGATGATTATTTATTTGTGTCACTTATATGTTTCAAATACTTAATGCATTCCACAAATTTATTACAATGATTTTTTATTAACATAATTTGATTTCATTACTCATGATTAAATCTAAAGTTCTAATCAATTAAATGGTTGTCTATCTTAAGATTAGTTGAACATAAAATATTATCATTTGAAGAAAAATCCAGAAATGAAAGGTTAAGATAAGGTCATATGCTACAAGTTGGCACATTTGTTAAAGTGAGAATTTTTGTTTGGCTTATACATGATGAACTACCTATATATTTAGATCATCAGTTTTTATATGATTTTATAAAAATTCTTCAAAGTTTCATCTGCATTAAATTAGAAAGATAAAAAATAATATATTTAAATTTCAAGTTTTTGAAATAATATTTCAACTATGACTTGGTAGATTCTTATGTAGACAAAAAGAGAAGAAAATTTTGATGATGTAGATCCCATGTAGATCTCTAATTGTTATCCAATAAGTTCAAAAAATCTTGTTCAATTTTGAATTTAGAAGGCTGTAAAAATATGAAGAATCAAAGTTTGAAAGGTTTCAATATTATAATTTTGTTTTAAAAAATAGACAAATATTGTGAAAATTATTTATTTGAGGAAATAGAGAATATTATAGAATAAAGACTTATTTATTCGAGAATAAATTTTAATTTTAATTTAAAAACATATAAATATTCAGTATTCATCATCAAACTATTTGCACCTCACACATCTATGACAAACAAGAAAGGTTAATCTTTTTCATTAATATAATTTAACAAATGGTCAACTCATTTACTACAATAATTACTTTCTATCAGGTCATAATGTAATTGAATGATAAGAAGAGTGTATTTGACCCAAGAGGTGTTAACCCTTTGTGAAGGTGAAGTTGTTTGGTTTGGACAACTGATCATTTTATAGTTATTAGAGGGTTTTTCTATCTAAAACTAAAAGTAGTTAGATGAGAGGTGAAGTAGTTAGGGAGAGGGTGTTGGAAAGTCCTATCATAACATGTGTTTTGATATATTTATTGAGATGTAGATAGGTATGAGTGGAAATTCAACATAAATATAAAAAATGTAAATTTTTAGAAACTCAAATTCACTCCCTTCTTGATGTGTCAGCTAACCTTATAGTTACAATAGTTTTCAATATTCTATGGTCCATATTATTGAATATTTATCATGATTAAAAAAATCTTAACTTGATTGAGAACTACTATCACATTTCTCTCCCAAAACTTTATAATATTTTTGCTCTCTTTCCCCTTCTCTCTCCAGACCAACAAAGACAAGGACATCATAGCACCAAGAAAAGTGCCTATGTACCTTTATTAACAAGGAGGTATTATTATTATTATTTAAATTAAAGTAAATATGTTTCTTCAAATAGTCAATATAGGGATAGCTAGAGCATGTAAATAGAGTTTTAAAATTTAATATCAGCCAAAAGACTAGGTAAAAAAGAGAGGATTACTTATATTTCATGTAAATTATGAAAAATCAAAATTAAATGGCCCCTCATTTTAAGTTTAAGGTCTTTATAGATAATTAGCATGTGCTCATATCATTTTAAACCCAAAAAACAAGAGGTTATTTATTCCCTTCATTGATTCATCACTAAAATTTGATAGATTTAACTATGATTTACTCTCTATCAAGATATCCATACCCCACCCACACCCCAACAACTACCAACATTCTTCAAATTCCATTCATTGATTTACTCCCTTCATCGATTCATCACTTTAATTATGATTTAGGCATTTGATCATCATTGGCATGAGGAAGGGTTGGAATTTGAAGAATGTTGATAATTGTTGGGTTGTGGGAAGGGTATGGATATTTTGATAGAGGGTTGATGACGGGATTAAATCAAGATGTAACAACCCTCTCATGGAAGAACAAGGTGTTGGATGTAGAAACTCACTATTAGGTTGAGGTAGTATGACATATATACCAGTGCACACATATCAGCACAAGTATGGGATACTACAAGGATAGATGTGTAAAGGTGTGCATCAAGAACAAAACATACATAAGAACATAGTAACCTCATTATGACATAGTAACCTCTTATTCCTTTTTTTGAAGAAATGAGATCAAATACATGAGAGCTCACTACTAGCATGAGATAGTGTTAATGCAGCGCACTCACTAGATAATTCTAACAAACTAGAAGGCTCAAAAGTGTGAATAGAAAACTATTGGCTCAAGATGACGTAATGTCATATCTAGTCCATAATAAAATATATCATAAACATACCAGATATTATTTTTTCTGCTTTTAGTTTGTTTTAAATTTATTTAAAGATACTTAAAATCTATTTTAAAGAGTCAATAAAATCAAACTACCATTTTACAAGTGTTATAATAAAAATTTGGTACACTCAAAGGTCTCACATTATAACCCCAAAGGAATTTCTTAGTACTACAACAATTTCTTTCTTTGGGATTCTCTCTCTCTACTTCTAGATTCAAACACATTTGTGGATTCAAAGAAACCCTTTTAATCCTGTGGATTCAAGATTGCCTCAACAAATCCTTGTAGATTGAAGGGTAACAATTACTAGTTATGCAAACCCAAATCTTAGCTTCTTCACCAAAATTTATGCTTTGTGGATTCAAGGCTGAATTTTGATATCTTCTATATTAATGATGTATCAAATGTGGCCACACATGTGGGTGAGTGTGCATTAACATGGTGCAGCACATATAGAGATATGTATTGACACAATATAGCATATCATCAAAGATAGTATTGACACAATATCAACATGACATGACATATACAACATGGTGAAACTTCTAGATGTGTTATGGGGGTAACATTATAGACCATAGAGGTAGGGAATGTAAGGACATAGTGGCTAGCAATTGCTACAAATGAGGATTGCCCCCTCACCATGACTAGGGACAGTAATGTTGATAGTTACACCAACAACTAGTGTAAATAGACCACCCCCATATCTACTCAAGGTAGTTATAGTGGCATTTATGAGGGCTAGACAATGTAAGGACATCACCATGATAAAAGTGGTGCCCTCTAACTAGGGAAGAGGTTCTCCAAAGGGGTGAGGAATACACATCTCTTGAGTCTTTGTGTGCTTATTCACATTGGCAAGACCACTCAACATCACTTGAGTGATGATTAAGACTGACACAATGAAATAAGAGTGGTTAGACTTAAATGAACCCCTCTGACACTCATGCATAAGTGCAAACACCTTGATTAAGATGAATTGATGATCACGAAAAACACCTCATGAACCTTGGAGATGTCACCTACGTAGATACATAGAGCATATGGGACTGTTGGTGTGCCCAACTCGATTGGATGATTTTACCATGACAAGAGAAGGTTCAAAGGGTGAGTCTCATAGGTCATGAATATGAGGCAACGCCATAACATAACATTGGCACAATGCAACATAGTGCCGCATGAGCAATGTGGCTATGGAGGCATGTAATATCACGCAACATGGTGCAGCACAAGGTTGTACGAGGCGTAGAGGCATGCAATGCAAAAGTGTGGCACACGTCTTAGGAAGAACAAGGTCAACGGGGTGGGCATGTCAACATCGCAACAAAGAGGTGGTGAGGTCTCACTTAAGCGACTTCTGATGTTTAATCATCTCATAAGAGGAATGGTTACTCTGCCCTAATAGAGTCATAGTGGCACCACAATTCTGGTGCTCCAAAGCAGTCTCATCAAAGATTATAGAGGTTCTTCGTTAAAAGTAAAAGGGACTCACTATCTTATTAAGTAGACTGGTCTTCCATGAAGAAATGTAATCCTATGTTAGAGGAATACACAAACCCATATACAAAGTAACCGTACAGCAATTAGTTTGCTTGGTGTCATCGAAGACAACTAATACTAGCAAAAGTGGAGTTAGCGAAGTAAGCTTATAGTGACCCACAGCTCAGCTCCAACGATTTAAGAGGTCGCCATCGCGATGGGACAGTTATTATCGTACGTTTCCTAGAACTAAACTATTGGCTGTGGTCCGGTGACGCTCTTAAATGGACCGCCGGCCGTGTGGAAAGCAGCAGAGGTCTTCTCGTAAAGGTTGTCAAGAATTGGTCATCTGGGCGGCGCCGCCCTCACGAGGATCTCCCCGGCAGGGCCAGCCGCCGACGGCGAGCGGCGCCTGCCGGCTGCCCTTCGCGGCCGGCTCTTGTCTCTTTCGTGGAGAAGAGAGGTCCGCCAGTCCGCCGGCTGGTCAACCGCGGTTCGATCTTGTCGGAACAATCCAACTCCGACCAGGATTCACGCATTAGGTGATGTAGATTCGCAGCATCTTTTGTCGGAGATGGAGAAGTCTACCTTGAATCCGGGCCATCGCCGGAGACCCGCCCCCGGCGGTCGACAGCGCTAGCGACTAGCCTACCGCCAGCCATCAGGGTAGGCCGCCGCGCGCGTGGAGGGGCACACGAGCGGCGGAAAGTGAAGAAGGCGACGGGGGCCGGACGGCGGCGTGGGCCTTTAACCTTCCCTCCCACCCCGGGGCAACGTGTGAAATAACGGCGGGTCAGGTTTCTTCCAGCTGGACATTCCACGAACAACTCATGGACGCTCATAAATAAACCTCGCCCCTCCCCCCTCCCCCCGGAGGCTCTTTTCCGTATTATATTGACGCACAGCGGGCTCCCACGCCCCGCCTCATACTTCCTCTTTCATGTCACGCTGCTTCCCAAAAGCTGCCGGCAAAGCTGCGAGGGGGCGCCATAAAGAATTGGCGGGCCGGCGGCGTCGGGGCGGGCGGCGGCCGCGCGCGTCCTCGGTAACCGGCCAGCCGTGGCGTGTCCGCTTCCACCGAGCTCGGCGACCGACCTTTCCCGGGATCGAATTCCCCTTTCCCCTCGGTTTACTCTTCCCCATGCAGGCCAGTCATCTGTCTACCTGTGCCGCCCGTGCGCATGGCGACGGCGAAGAAGACGGAGAAGAGCCGGACGCCGGCAGCAGAGATCGGGCCATCGGCTTGCACGAGACCCCGCAGGTCGTCGTCGTCCTCCTCCTCTGGCTGGCCCGGGGACCGCCACACGAGCGGGTACAATAAATTGACCGATCTATGAAAGGCCTCCCCCGTGAGCAGGCTCAGCACTGGCACCGCCGACAGCCGCCGCAGAGGGCAGCTACAATGTGGTGCCCCCCCGGCCCCCCTCTGCCGGTAAATTAGAGAAAAGTCCTCCTCCACTGCGTCGGTTATTAACCGCCCGGTGTGGGTGTCCGAATCTTTTAGCCCAGAGGAGGTATTCGTTGTAACAGGAGTGAACACGAGGGCGGCCGCACCGCCCACGTCGGTGAATGACTCGTAGGACTCCGGGAAGCCATGCTCTAGTGACGTCACCACGTATCGGCTTGTGACCCCCCGCCTCCCTCTTCACGGGGTGATTGGTCACACTCTGGTCTTCGTCCAGCTGCCTCGGCTCCCGAGAGAAGAAAACTTCGGGGCAGCAGTTCCCACTGGACCCGAAAACTCTCTCTCTCTCTCTCTCTCTCTCTATGCCGTCAAGCGTTCATGCCCATCTGGGAATTCACATGCTTCCAAGAGTCGGTTCAGCAGTAGAATGCGATGGGACGAGCAGATATACTTGGCGGGCATGTGAGGGACAAGGAACCTTCAGTGCCCACCATGTGCCAAACCCAACCCCCCCCCCTCTCCCCACCTCCTCCCTCTCTCTCTCCATCTCCCTCTCTCTCTCTCTCTCTCTCCATCTCCCTCTCCCTCTCTCTTTCTCTCTCCCCTGTTGATCAGAGAAGATTTTTCTTTCCTCAATGGCCACTGGACACCAGCTCCTCTTTGTATATTTATGGTGCGAGCCGCCTTGGAGAGTGCCCATACCGGGCAGGCCGGTTCCAAGCCGACTCGGCCGATTCAGACCCGGGGAGGGCACGTGTGGGGAATCTTTTCCTCGCCAACATATGTACGAAGCTTTTGTGAACTGCGAGGGAATGTTATCCTTCTGCGGGCACGTGTGAAGTTTGACGTTCGTAGCTGTTGTCAATCTCGGGGTGAAAAGATTTCTCTCTCTCTCTCTCTCTCTCTCTCTCTCTCTCCCCGTCGTCGTCGTCTTCTTCCTCTTCTTCTTCTTCTTCTTCTTCTTCTTCTTCTTCTTCTTCTTAGGTCGTTTGCTCCTTCCCGGATGTCTTTATATAGCTTGCCGTGGTGTCGGATTTGAGAGCAAAACCATTGCCATTGGAGAGCTTGGCAGGAGCTCGAGGCGGAGACATGGTGATCCTCGGTCTGGTCTTGGGAGGGGCCTTGGGATTCCTATTCTTGTGCGGCGTCCTGTTGAGGTGGAACGATGTGAAGTATAGGAGCGAAGGCCTGCCGCCGGGGACCATGGGCTGGCCGGTGTTCGGGGAGACGACGGAGTTCCTCAAGCACGGGCCCAGCTTCATGAAGAACCAGAGAGCTAGGTCTCTCTCTCCTCTCCCTCTCTCTCTTTCTTTCTGCTTTCTTCTTTTCGCATCCCGAATATCGTTCTTCCTTCTTTGTCTCTCCTGGTTCGCCAGTACCCTGTAAATTTGTTTCCATGAAGCTCGAGTGGCTCTTCTCAACCTCTCTATTAGTCTCTCTCTCTCTCTCTCTCTCTCTCTCTCTCTCTCTCGCTAACCATCCCCGGCTCCTCTGTAGGCACGGAAATCTGTTCAAGTCCCACATACTGGGCTGCCCCACAGTCGTCTCCATGGATCCAGAGGTGAACAGGTTCATCCTCATGAACGAAGGAAAGGGCCTCGTTCCGGGGTACCCTCAGTCGATGCTGGACATTCTGGGGAGGTGGAACATCGCCGCCGTCCACGGCGCCCTCCACAAGTCGATGAGGGGGGTGCTACTCTCCCTCATCGGCCCCACTGCGATCAGAGAGGAGCTCCTCCCCAAGCTGGACTACTTCATGCGGTCTCATCTCTGCGGATGGAGCGGCCAAACAGTTGATATTCAGGAGAGGACCAGAGAGGTCGATGCTCACGAACAACTCCCCCTATGTTTAGAGAATGCGCCATGAAACTTAACGAATGGTTTGATGGGTCTTCTTCAGATAGCCTTTCTTACTTCTCTCAAGCTGATCGCCGGGATTGAGGCCGGCAAGATCGCCGACAAGCTCAAGGAAGAGTTTTCCATGGTCGTCCTCGGTACTCTGTCTCTTCCCATCGATCTCCCAGGCACAAACTACCGCCGGGCCTTCCAAGCAAGTCTCCCTCCCCGTACACGTGCTTGATGACAGACCTTATCTCTCTCTCTCTCTCTATCAATTTCTCTATCTATCTGTCTCTCTGTCCGTCTAAATATGTGTATCTATCTATATACAGTCAAGGAAGAAGATAGTGAGCATGCTCAGAGAGTTGGTGCGGGAAAGGAGACGTTCTTCCAGTACCGAGAGCAGAGATATGCTCAGCTCGCTCCTCCAAACTGAACCGAAGACGGGGCGTGAGCTTACAGACGATCAGATGATCGATCTACTGATCACCATCATCTACTCCGGCTATGAGACCGTCTCGACGACGTCGATGATGGTCCTCAAGTATCTCCATGATCATCCGAGAGCTCTTCAGGAAGTCAGGGTAAGAAGCCCGCTGGATCCTCACTGGAAGTATGTGAACCTAATTTAGCTGTTAACCGTGGATCGTTTTCCGTCGTCAGGAGGAGCACTTGGCGATCAGGAGGAGGAAGTCAACGGGGGAGGCGATCGACTGGGAGGATTACAAGTCCATGAACGTCACACGTGCGGTAAAAACGAGTCACACCCGTTCCTCGTTTTCGATATGAGATCAGCGGTGAAAGCTTACTGAAGTTAGTTTGGTTGTGCTGGTTGTTGCAGGTGATCTACGAGACCATGAGATTAGCGACGATAGTTAATGGAGTTCTGAGGAAGACGACTGAGGACTTGCAGATAAAAGGGTTTACTATTCCGAGAGGGTGGAAGATCTACGTCTACACGAGGGAGACCAACTACGATCCTTTTCAGTACCCAGAGCCTCTCCGCTTCAATCCATGGAGGTGGCAGGTCGGTGAATTCCTTCTCCCACCCGGCCACAGAGCTCTGCGGCCTGGGTTGCCCCTAGACTGACCCATATTCTCTCCACCGCCATCGCCATGGCAGGATAAGAGCTTGGAGTCGCACCATTATTTCACTCTGTTCGGCGGAGGGAGCAGGCTGTGTCCAGGGAAGGAGCTGGGAGTGGTGAAGATTTCCATATTCCTTCACTACTTTCTGACGAGCTACAGGCGAGCCTTCTCCTCCTTCCCTGTTTCAAGCTCCCTGTTCTTCCTGTAAATCTTACCCCCACCGCTTAATTTCCTATTGTGGTTCAGATGGGAAGAAGTCGGTGGGGAAGAGATACTGCAATTTCCAAGAGTGGAAGCGGCGAAGGGTCTGCATATCCGGCTCCGGGACTACTAATCCTCTGGCTTGTAAGGCCACTACACAACGTGAGGGATAGAGAGAGAGAGAGAGAGAGAGAGAGAGAGAGTATCGTTTACTTCCTACAAAATGTTTCGATACGTCCAAGATTTTCCTCTCGATGTAGCCGGAAGGGAAGAAGGAGAACAGTGATTCAACGGCTGTCAATAAATGAGACATCTCCTTTCCAATCCCTCGAAGAAGCAGGGCGTAATGGGGAAGCAGATTCCCAAAGCTGGGAAGAAACTTCTCACCGGATATACCTTCGCGCTGTTCCTGCACACGCCGCGGCAGACGCAAAGGCGACTGCGGCATGAATGGCTCGCCTATTCAGAAACAGGGGATCGGAAGGTAGGCGAGGGCGCATTTATGGGGGACCCATGTGTATGGAGCGCAATCGATCCTCCAAGGCGTTCCCCCATGTTCTCCGCTGTGCCCTCTGTCATCGTCCTCCTTCCCCCGCCTGTCAATGCTCTGCTACAGCGTTTGGGGTGATTCGGCCGACTCTTCTTGATTTATCCGGAGCTCCCCTCCCTCCTCGAGACAATGACGTAAGGCCCTCACTGATTCCCCGACGGATGCATGAGCTCAACAAGACCAGTGGATCTCAGTGTCGACCTGAGCTACAGTATGATCTCGTATGTTCCAATCTCTCTCTCTCTCCTTCTCGTCGAGTCTGAAGGCCTACTGCGCGACAGAAAAGAAAGAAACCAAAGAAGACTTGAGAGTCTGATGAAATATGTCTACGTCGATTTGATCGTCGACGACGACCGGGATTGATGGCATCCAACAGCCATGGATTGGGCTTTACTTTTGCAGACCCCAGGATGGGATTGAAGCCATTTCCCGGTCTTGGAATGGACGGATACTCAGCCCGGTTTCCTCCGTCTTTCGTCGTGATCGGCGTTCGGAATCATCCCGAAAACGAAATATACGACCTTCTTTACTAATAATACAATAGATTACAGTTCAAACTCGAGACCGTGGATGCAGTTGACCAAAATATGAACGCAGTTATTCATGACAGGGCACTAAAGTCTCCTATCGTCAACACCCTAGTGAACCTAGTAGAGAAGCACAGAGAGGGAGGGGAAGAGAGAGAGAGAGAGAGAGAGAGAGAGAGAGAGAGAGAGGGGGGGGGGAGGAGGGGGGGACCGACCCGGAAGAGCAGGCTGTCCTTTCTCAATCACTCACTGCGGTTCCACAAAACATCACTCCACCCATATGATCATCGTCAGAGGCAGCTGGGTCATCTCAGGGGTAATAATTGACGGAAGCTCGCCGTCATCTGCATCTAATCGAAGATCGTCTAACAGTAGAGCGGCTGAAATAATTAAGAGCACTCCTTCTCGAGAACCTCGCCGCCTTAGAGTCCGAGGGAGAGCGACCGGAAGGCTTCAGAGGCGCCGACGGCAGGAGCTCCATTTCCTCCACTGTCGCCCTTTTCTCCCCGCCGAGGGTTCTCAGAAGGCCGAGGACTGTAGCTTCTGATGGCCCACGGCACCGAAACCTCACGTGGATTGACGCAGGCATCCCCAGCCACTCTCCACCCATCACATCTCATCAATCATCTCTCGGAGAAACCGGCGGCGAACGGCGCCCCACACGTCTCTTCCGACGTCTCTCCCTCTCTCTTCCTTCCAGAACGGGCAGGGAAAAAACCACGTCGTCTCCTCCAGTTGTACGGGCCGTCAGCGGGGACAGAAAGCTCCGGCCACGGCCTTGCACCATCCGCGGCGAAAGCTCCGGCGAATTCTCGACGGTGGTTGAACGAAGATCGATCGAACCAGTCGGAACATTATGATTGGAGGAGGACGGTCGAATGAAAAAGAGAACAGTCTTACCTGAATTCTTAGGCACCCTGCCGGCGGCAGATCACGGAGCTGTGTTAGCCTCTCTGGTCTCCCCCTTCGTGTTCTAGAAGAAGAGGACCCAGTATAAATCTACGCTTTGTACAGATCTTCGAAAATGGGAGATTCGGAAATTTTGGACTGAACTTGCTCAGAGACAAGTTTGAAATATTTCATAGTTCCATCGCAAATAAATACGCCGGAGAGGTGAAAAAAATTCGTTCTTTATTAAATGAGAGCCCAGGTGAGGCCACCTTGAACATCGGAAAAAATTCGCCACGTCGCCGTCATGCATCATAATTTTTAATGAATGATCGTGAGAAATTAATTCAATTTTTATTCGTCATTATACAGCGTGAAGATTCCAATTAACCGCATGATAATGACTTAATCATTAGATTTAACTGATCTTGTCCTTTTATGGGATTATTCTAATCCTGATCCGCCCTTCAAACCCAAAACTTTATTTGCCGTAAATGCACTAGGTACAAATAACTTAACTAACTAAGTTTTACTTATTTACATATGATGAATTAATTTATAATATTTATCAAGCTTCGTCATCCATCTCTCACCGCTCGCCCTGATCCCGCGTTCCTCCTCTATTACCCTTCTCTTTTTCCTCCAGGTGAACCGGCGAGTGGTGGCGCCGCCTGTCCAGTCTGCGGGGCTCTCCTGCCCTCTGACGATCTGCCCCACTCATCCTTTGAGGGTGAAATCCTCGTGGGAGCTGAACCAGGGTAGTCGCCGTCAGTGTGGATAACGCGCTGGACTTCACCAATTGCTGAGGGGATCCAACTGAGAATGGGCTCCGCCGATGACTTTCGTTTTTCCGTCGTCGGCTGACACCGCGGATAAGGTTTTAGAGGTGGAAATCGGTCCACCGGAGACTTCGGGGTAACACGCGGGTAGGTAGGTGGCCGTCATGGGACCCCGGCCTTCCTTTGATGGACCTTTTCGCCATTCGAAAAGCGGGCTCTGTGCGTTCCCCCCAGCAAGAGAAAGAGAGTCGGGGGGGGAAGTAAGAGGTACATAGACGGATAGATAGGTACTGGTATGTTGAGTGATAGAGATAGAGAGACGGAGATGGACGGAAAAAGAGAGACATAGATGGATGGGAAGAGAGAGAACGACAGAGAAAGATAGAAGAAAAGGCATTCTGTTCACATATCTTACTGTTCACAACGAAAAAACTGTCTCGGAGTTTAATCCGACAGCCAATCCAGAATCTAACGGAGGCGCGGAGAGAAGAAGGAACCGGCGATCGCAACATAAAACTCGGAGGGAGAAGATGCGAGTATGGCGAGCTTCTCCGCAGACCAGTACCAATGGCGCTTGCAGTAGAGTACAATCCTAGGCTGGAAGTCCGCTCTAGAAGCGAACCAATTCATAATTGGGCAGATCGAACAAATCGGAGCTCGAGTCGCTCTCCGACCCATCCTCTCCCTCCTGCTCCTCCTCACCCCTCCTCCAGAAGCTCCTTTCCTCGAACTGCAGCAAGCTCTCGCAGTAGAATCTGCTATCCTTCTCTGACATCCCATTAATGGATACCCTCCTGCCACCCTCCCGTAGAGGATCGCCATAGCCGGATCTTCCTCCATGGAAGACCTCTCTCGGTGCACCTGAAGCAGCTTTGGAAGGGCCGCGGCGCCAGCTTTTATGATGGGTCTTCTTGTCCACATTGACCTTGCATGGAGAGCGCGAAGAGTAGACAAACAAGGACGACTCGCTGACTCTCCTCTTCCTCCTCCCCGTTGACCTTCCCTCGTCCTCATGTTTGCAGGAGACACTGGCTCTCCCGGGGATGGAGAGTGCGGATTTCTTCTGTCTGGAAGAACCATGTTGGAAGAAGGAGATCAAGAAGCTGGCTAACCTACCACCAGGCGTGAGGGGCTGCTTCGGCTTCTCGTCTCTGACCTTCTGTCGAGGAGGTGGCCCTTCTGTCCTCCTCTCCCCTCTCCACTCCTTCTCGACCATGTTCGACCTTCCCTGGACGGTCCCGGAGTCTGCTGCTTCGGCGTAGTAACTCGCCGCTTCGAAGACGTCGAGCTCGTCGGCTTGCTTCATGTTGGAGAGTTTTCTATCACAGCTGAGTAGGTCGATTGTGTGTAGCTTTCAACATATATATAAAGGTGCATAACATGCACACGCAGATAAATTTATAGAGAGAGAGAGAGAGGTAGGGGGACATTATGTAATAATGTCCAACAGAGTGATAAGATACCGACTCCGACGATGGTGAAAGCAGGGGGCAGATGCAAGCTCTTGGGGGTCTGAAAAGGTCGGGGGGTTTCCAAATCCATCTGGCAGACTCACCCCCGGGTTCTTCATTCGTCTGGTGGGGCTGAGAGAGATGGACAGCCGTATGTCTGGTCTTCCTCTACCGCCGCCTCCGCCCCGTATCTCCGGCCAACCTACGGTTCTCACCTTTCTTTTCGGCATCTGGTCGACCAGTCGGTAAACGAGGAGGATTCAAGAAGGAATCTTTTCCTCCTCCATCTATATACATCGAATTTGGTCTCCCCGCCCACCCCTCCTTCCCCAGAGCTTCATGCACACTAAATTAAAAAAAGGATCGAAGAGGGACAGAACGAAGACAATGTCGGCTAGTTCAGCCAAATTGGAGCTGGCCCGGAGGCCCTCAGGGTCCACAGCCGCCCCCCTCCCTCCTCAAGGATATGTAGTCTGTCGCCGCCGCCGCAGAGAACTATTGCCTTGAGCCACAGAGACCCCTCAGCAGGACAGGCCTATTCGTCATCGTCGTCCACTGATCTCCGTTGACCTGTTGATGGCCTTGTCTTCTTGTATCGCTCTCTTCTCTTTTACTGCCGGAGAAAAACCACCGGGAAAAACAATAGGCCCGTTGGCCCGGTCCCCCCCTCTCGGAGGGAAATGAGCCAAGTGGCTGGGTCGCAGCCCGCTCCTCCATCCTCCTCTCCTGCTCCTCCCCAGCAAAGAGAGGGAAATCAGGTGGAGATTGGGAGCTCTAGAGATGCATGGAGCCTTTGTCGAAGGCCTATACCGCGCCCCACCTCTATTCGATTGTAACTAGCATTGAGTTAATTATTGACAACAGAGATGGTCTCATGTGTTCATAGAACTTCCATCTACTTTAAATATTATATTGTTGCATGTTCTTTCCCGTTTGCTCCATCCACATCTGCAAGCATTTATGATGTTGCATGATGGCGAGTCGTCGAGTTATTGTCTGCCCATGCATCTATCATCATGCACACTTTGAGGCTGTACCACGTGTTCGTTGGTCCTTTTTTGAGGCGTATTTGTGAGTTCCTCAGCTCTCGAGTTGGCATGTTTTGGGTAATATAAAATTTGGCGCTGTAGCACTCACATTTTGGCACGGCTAATAATGCATTTGAGGCCTACTTATGCCCTATCCAGTCAAACAAGGCTCTTTGAGCCCCTTTAAATTCTTTCCCACGTCTACCTTGTGGTTGTTCCTTCATCTCCCAATGTTATCATCTCGGTGCTCCACCTTGACATTAGTTTAGTTGTCAACCTTCATGGTGAAAATCTCTTCTATGTGCCACGTCCAAGCCCCACCATAGAACGAAATAACTTGCCTTCAGCATATTTATTCTTGATATCCAACATTAATGATTGCTTCATATACTCGTGCAAATAATGTGTCGTAGAACTGGTACGAGTCATGTCACAACACCCATAGATTATTTACAAGAATGAGTTGTAAGTCGAACTTTATTATGAAAATATTTGATTTGATAAGTATTGGTTGAACATAGTATGATACATATAGGCTGATGCAAGACATTTTTTTTATAGGAACATAGTTTTGAATGTGACCTCTTACCTCTTGGGTGTTTACATTGCTATAAGGCGCTGATTGAGATCTCTCACAATGTGGTGAACCCATATGTTGAGTTTTACACTATATTATCATTTCACATCCCTCATTGGCTACAATACCAATTGCTATGAGGTATGGTTAGGCATGCTTCTTTTTGGCCTTGTGTCAGCCTCATCATCATTCTTAATATTGGGGAGCATGCTTGATTTTTTTGTCACATGAACTTTGATGAGACATATGATATGCAAGGGTAAAATGGTCATTTGTATCATCACATCCTTATCTTTTTTTACTCAGAGACATCATAATCATGCTATATTAACATTTATAAAAGTTGCATATAAATTAAATATCATTTTTACTTGGGTTTTAAGTAGGATTTGACTTAGCTTAGAGTGAGGTGAAAAAAGAAAAAGTAGAAAGCAATGTAGTTCCCAAACCTAAGCTATAGCGTTTGTGGCATGTGAAATAGTGCACACACATGCTCCATTGACCATAGTATGTAAAACACTACCCACACTCATACCATCATAATGGATTGGAAACTTGTCATTTAGATCTCACAACTAACATTAAAATGACTAAAAAGTATAATATTTCTAATCATGGGACTGTAAAGAAACAGAAATATTTCCTATAAAAGGAAATGTTTGAAATTAATTTTTAAATCATCTATTTTCAGCTTTATCAAACCCTTGAAAATGTAAAAAAATAATGTGATATAATCTACAACAAATCACTCATAAGAAGGGTGTTGCTCCAACAGTTACACGCTCCACACTCAAAAGAAGCTATGTACTTACAGTTGTAAATTACTTATTAATTATTATTATATTCTTATATGGGGTATTATTTATGGTAAATTGCCGCTAGTAGCAATAGCTTGAGAGCTACTAGCATTGGTAGACGAGTAACTACAAGCTTGTGGAGTTTCATGCATACGTCTCTAGTTTTACCCCTATGGACCTCTATGGGCTCATTTCACATGTATTGTTTATTGGAGCACACTTCAATGCACAACATATCATGTGCATGACCCATTTGGCTCTATATGCATTTGCAAATTATTCAACATGTCTATATGTAGGTGGTAGTACTAAGTTTAGTGCCAATATTGCATGCCTAGACACGTTGCTACATAGGCCTGCCCATGTAGCATGCCCATACAGCTCATCTACACCTACCTGCTGGGAACCCTCCCCACTTGGTGCCTCCACAGTTCTTCGGTGGGGTGGGAAGTCGTCAACCCTCCTCACACATTATAAGAGCCCCTGTTCTTACCCTATGTGTTCAATGTCACATAATAATAATGGTATATCAAATATAAAATATATGAATCTTATTTAAATAAATAAAAATAACCAAATCATATTTACTAAAAAGTATGAAAAAAATGGTTTTTTTCAGGATATTATAAAATAATAAATCAAAATTTAACCAAATGAAAATATTTAGAGCATAGTGTGATGTAATTGTAGATCCTATTTTCTAGGTTAAATCATTTAAACCACGTCATGGGCATAAGTACTAAAATTATTAAAATGAGGTTCCTAGAATAAAGGTACGCGAGAAAGGGGTGGAGAGAGAAAAAAACTGCTCTTTGAAGCCCACCCGAGGGAAGCGCTTAGGTACTCTTCCTGGTGCCTTCTTCCGCCGCGGGCTGTCGCTGCGAGCGATGAGATTCCGGGAGGCATCCCTTCTCCGGTGCTGCTACAGACGGAGGGGTGATATCTGTTTCCGGTTGATCGTCCGGACCCTGGGGACCTCGTCCGAATCTGGGCTCCTTCCCTCGTCTACGCCGACACCGCCGTCGCCGCCGCTGCCGCCTCATCCGTCGCTCATTGTACCTCATCTAGACGACGAATACCATTTTCCGGAGGAGCGGAGCGACATGCTCTCTTCGAGGGTGGAGAGGCTCTCGAAAGGACAGTCCGTCGTGTCCGCATTCCAGAGTTGGATGGGGGACGGGTTTCCGATCCACAGAGGCGACATATTTCACGCGATCAACAGGCTGAGGAAGCTGAGAATGAACAAGAGGGCGCTCGAGGTGAAATTAGCTTCCTCGCATCGCGTCAATTTATGGTCAGTAAGATGTCTGCGGGTCCTTTGTACCTTGGTCCTCGTGGTTCAAGCGATCGGATTCTCCCTTCTGATGCCTGGTTTTTCTAGGGTTTCAACACTTGTCAGCAGCGACAATGTCTTTGGATTGTGTCACTTGACGAAGATAAAGTCTCTAAGAGTTTGAGAATATTTTAGAGAGCATTTATCTGCCATTTTTGGTAGAATTGCGTTCTCCGTGTTCATTCAGCCTCTTTATCACTATTTATTTCAAAATTTTCATCATTTTTTTATCAGTTAATTAACGCAACATCTGGTGTTGCTTATATCTTGCGTATAGTATGACTGTGGATTCATCTCTTACTTGTCCAGTATCTTCATTGGTAGCTCTGGTTTCATGTAGCTTATGATTTGGAAGTGTCAGGTTCAACCCTTAGAGGCCGATCACTGATCTCTGCTAAAGAAATCCATTTTTAATCTCTCCAAAATCTTAGGCATCATCTTATTTCAGAAGGAAATAACGGGCGATTTATTTGATTTCAAACATGGGGAATAAATTCTCTGCTAGAATATAAACACTTGACCGCATCTGGCTAGAGCTCTTGAATTTTCCTCTTGTGTGATTCCCACCTAGTTTAGTTTTCGACTATGTTCCTTCTTCTCTAATTCAATCATTTTGTCTTATTTTGGATGCCCCACATGGAAGAAATGCTTTCCCAATATTTTCCCTGAACCCAGCTTTTTTATCATACTTTATTTCGACACACCAGGCCCCAGGTTAAGCTGGGCAAGGTGGTACTGAATCAAGATATTTTCACATAACGAATTCATATAGGTTGATCACACTTTTCCTGCATCAAATTGTTTTGTCTGGAGATGCTGTGATCCAAAGGCTTTGAATCATGGAATGATGACAGCTGATTCATCACAGAGATTGAAGGATCTCTGAGCAGTGAGTTTGATCTGTTTTTCTTCATGAAACTTGGAAAACAGATCACCTCGAATTGCCCAGTAAACCGATTATCCTTTTCTCTGTGTTAGAGAGAGAGAAATTCCCACAGTTTCCTCATTATAGCCTGAACCAGAGATCACAGCTCCCCTCTTATTTCCGAAAATACAGTGCTACACAATGACATGAGGAATGCCCACCAGTTCCAGTGACTGAGTCCTTGGGATCTTCCATTGACAGGTTATGGAGTGGGTGATGAGAGAGAGGCCCTACAAGCTGAAGGAGCTGGACTACGCTTTCCTCCTCGAGTTCACCATTAAACTCCACGGGATCTCATCCGGCGAAGGGCTCTTCGCCCGCATCCCCACCGAGCACCAGAACGAGCTGCTCTACAACAACCTGGTCATGGCCTGCCTTGACAAGGGCCTGGTCCGGCTCCCACTGGCCTACATGAAGAGGATGAGAGAGCTGGCCCTCCCCATCTCTCCTTACATATACAACCGCCTGATCATCCTCCATTCGTCCCCAGATCGCAGGAAGATGGTCCCAAAGATACTGATCCAGATGAAGGCCGACGGGGTTCCCATGCACACATCGACCTTCAATATCCTCCTGAAGCTGGAGGCCGACGAACACAACATCGAGGGCCTCTCCAAGGTCTTTGCCGACATGAAGAAGTCCGAGGCCGTGCCGAATGAGATCACTTATGGGATTCTGGCGATGGCCCATGTGGCGGCAAGGCTATATGTGGCCGCCGAGGCCTATGTGGAAGCCATTGAAGATGCTAAATCGGGTAGCAACTGGTCAACGCTGGATGTTCTGCTCATCTTGTATGGCTGCCTGGGCAGGGAGAAGGAGCTGGAGAGGACCTGGCGGGCTGTTCAGGAGCTTCCGCACGTCAGATCCCAGAGCTTCTGCCTTGCCATCGAGGCGTTTGGGAGGGTGAACCGGGTTGACCGGAGCGAGGAGCTCTGGAGGGAAATGAGGTCCACCCGAGACTCAAAGTCAACGAGGCGGTTCAACTCAATGATATCGGTTTACTGCAGAAGTGGGTTGTTGGGGAGGGCGTCGAAGCTGTTGAAGGAGATGGTGTTGACCGGCTGCGACCCGAATGCCATCACGTTCCGCCACCTGGCGCTGGGCTGCTTGAAGGCCGGCCGGAGGAAGGAGGCCATGAGAGCCCTTGAGATGGGGGCGGACAGGGCCGTCAGTTTTCAGGTCAGAAGGTCAACCCCATGGTTGGAGACGACCAACCTGATGCTGGAGGAGCTTGCGGAGATGGGGGACCTGGAGAAGGCTAGGGTTTGCTTCCAGGAGCTCAGAGAATGCAGGTATTCAAGGTATGCCTTTGTGCACAACACCCTCTTGAGGGCTCACATTAAAGCCAAGGTATATGATCCCACTCTGTTGAAGAAGATGATCTTGAGCGGGGCCAGGCCTGATGCAGAGACTTACAGCCTTCTGAGGCTCTTGGAGCAGCTCAAAACCTGATCCCTTCTCGGAATTTTTTTGATGGCTAATAGAAGGAAAAATGAGTGCTCTTCTTGCCCTGATTATTCTTTTAGCTGTGACAATTTTGCCCTAATTTTGCATAATTTTTTTTTTCTTCCGGAGGAAAATGGAGAATCAATAATAAAATCGATGCAATATATTCTCGTCTGATTATTATTTTTTTTGTTATAAATGTGAATGGAATCGTATTTTTTAAATTAGGAAATAATGAATAAAACAGGCGATTATAATTAGTGGGTCAATCATATTCGGTGTAATTTTGCCTCTTTTTTTTTTCCGGAGAAAAAAAATGTTAGAATGGGGAGTCAATAGCAAAATCGATGCAATATATTCTCGTCTGATTAATTATTATGTTAATTATAAATATTAGTGGCAGTGAATGGAAGCGTATGTTTTAAAATAAGAAATAATGAATAAAACAGGCGATTAAAATATCATGGGTGTTCTTGAAATATTTGGATGGTCGACGGCCTGATAGAATCAAAAGATCAGTTAATTTTATTAAAAAGAAATCATTTTAAAATATTTTACGGTATTTTATTTTGTGAGACGCAAACTCAGCAGCCCGATATGTTCTGCTTCACCAACGCCAGAGAAGGCGGGTAGGCGCGGGCGGATCGGAGATGGATAACGTGACTGCGAGCGAGGTGGCGGGGATGGCGGTGGGAGCTCTGCTTCTCGCCGCCACCGTCGCCGCTCCCAGAGTGGACGCATTCATCTCTGCTTCCCAACGGAGGTACTTCTCTCTCCCCCCTCCTCCCTTCCTGATAATCCTAGGGTTCCAGTGCTTCTTCTCTCTTTCTCTCTCTCTCTCTCTCTCTCTTAAGGGGAAGCAGAACTGCGGCGGCCTCTCTGAGAATTGGGGCTTGGGAATTTCATGTGCTTTCCTTCCCTCCTTCCTTCATCTGCACTGCTTCAATTCGTTCGAGCGTCGTCGTGTTCGCAGGTCTCTTCGTATGTGCTCGAGATGCGGCGACCTCAGAGTGATACCCTGCTCGAAATGCGGCGGCGCCGGCGTCGTCAGCGGCGGAGGGCTGCTCTTCGGCCTCCCATTTCTGCCGAATCCATCGGACGAACGGAGCGCCACCGCGGCGCGGCCGCCCTGCCCGGAGTGCCGATCTAAGGGCCGTATCCCATGCCCTCTCTGCTCCGGCAAGCTCCCCTCATCTTCTTCCCCCCTCCCCTGAATTTTTGGGCCGAATTAACCGTGGGCCCAATATGAATGTTTGTCTATTTGGGCTTTTACAGAGCTTCCTTTGGCTCACATTGCTTCCTTTTGATATGGTTGGCCCGCTTTCCGAGATGAATCCAAAGGAAATCTAGCCAATCAGGCTGCTTTGCGGCGGGACAAGACGCCATCCGCCGCGTAGGGTACGACACGTGTTCTGAAGAGGTCGGACGGTTTAAGGTTTTGGCAGCGGGGTCCTTTCGGACAGCAAGCGTCTCTCTAATACCTTCGGCCGTGAAAATCGGAAAAGGCATCGACTTTCTCCTCCACTGTTCAGTGCATCACTACTCTCTCCCTCTCTCTCTCTCTCTCTCTCTCTCTCTCTCTCCCTCTCTCTCTCTAAGAGAATGGTGTGAAGGCCGCAGGAGGGCGGAAGAGAAGGGCCTCCTTCCCCAGGACGATCTGCATCGTCTGCTCCACCTAACAGTTGGTATAATCAAGATGGTTTGCGGTAAACGCCGGGGGATTTTCCATTTTGGGATTGATTAGGAGGAAACGAAAGGGGAGAGGGCGCTATAAGGAGGAGGGAGGAGAGGGAGAGAGAGAGAGAGAGGTTGAGAAGAAGAGATGGGGAGGGGGAGGGTGGAGCTGAAGCGGATCGAGAACAAGATAAACAGGCAGGTGACGTTCGCCAAACGGCGGAACGGCCTGCTGAAGAAGGCCTATGAGCTCTCCGTGCTCTGCGATGCGGACGTGTCCTTGATCATCTTCTCCAACCGCGGCAGGCTTTATGAGTTCAGCAGCAACAGGTGATCACCTGAATGACCACGGTCCTCCCAGCCCTTCCGCTCTCCTTCTTGCAGGAAATTTCCCGGGAAATACGAGTCTGTGTTCACCCAGGAAGAATCAGACGAGTACGAGTGTCTGTCTTTCTGCGCGTATCGGCAAGCTTGCCGATTCATTTTGTGCGAAATCTGTGCAAATTGTGTGTATATCATCACACAAAAGAACCACTGTACGAGCCCCAAAATACACGAAGCAAGGGTGGAAAAGGAACTCGGGACATCCTTGTTATACCGATCGCCTTCTCTCGGTGCAGATTCTTGGTTGTTTACTTTCCGTCAGGTTTCCAGATCTAGTTTTTTCTATTGAGAACTCTCAGTAGATTCCTCTCTCTCTCTCTCTCTCTCTCTGAACTTTACTTCTTCCTGTTCATAATCCTTTAGGGTTCGCAAGAAGCAACTATACCTCTCCGCCTGAGGACTCCCCGGATGTCTCACCTCCGAGGTCTAGGGCTACTTTTTCGTATCAATCTTCCTTTCTCTGTAAAGAAACCTGAGAAATAAAGCTCACCTGGTGTCATGATAGTTGACGACTGAGGTTTCAAAGAATCATCGAGGCATGCTTTTCCTTTCAGCCTGCGCGATCTCCCCTTTGCTCTCCAAAACCCTTCTTTTGCCCCCCTCTCTTTCTTCCAATGTCACCCTTACCTTTAAAATCTAGGGTTCTAGTCAATAGCTCGCGCCGCTGGGCTTCTGTTCGCAGATGTCCCATCGGAGACTCCATTCGTAGGATCCCTATCCTTCCTTCCCCTCTCGTGGCAAGAACTGTGGATCTATAACCTTCTGAAACAGTCGAGCTCGAGAACTTGGAGAGGCTTCAGTGGGGGGGATGATGGGCCGTTAGGCTCTGTCAGGTATCATCGTGATCGGTGAACGACAGCTAGGGTTTTGCAGAAGCATGACATTTGAGGCGATCTCGAGGAAGAAGGTGAAGCCTGATTCTCAAACGGAGGAAACCCTACGAGTCCGACGTTTATTCAAGATCAGACCACCTGAAAACCAGGCTAGCATCAGACGCGAACGATCGAATTTTCTAAGTCAGCTTGAATTCCTTCATTTGACTTGTCTGGATTATTTTCTCTCTGGTTCGTGTTAGGGTTTGGATCTAAACAGTTCTTCAGAGGCAATTTCATCTGTCATAGAAATATTCTTCCACTTGACTAGATTATATCATAGCATGAACTGATCATCCAGAAATCGGCGTCTTGATTGAATGATTAAGAACCCAATGGCGTCCGTGGAATTCCAAAATCTTTAGAGAGAAGTTAGGCTTTCCTACTGATCACAGAAGCATCAGCTCTGAATGGCGAGCTGCAGCCGCCACCTCTGAGTGAAACCACCTTGTCTTTTATTTCCAATAAAGTTATTCCTTTATCTGAGAATGTTTTTGTGATAAAAATATCAAATATATGGATTTTTTTTGCATTAAATGCATATATTTTTCTTGTTAAGACCATAATTACAGGAATTTTTTAAGTAGAATATATATTGAAGCTAATAATGGTACCTCTGAGCTTTATCAAAGTTCTTTTCCATCTAATCTTTTTGTCAATGAAGTATGTTTCTCATATTTCTTACTAGCCATCTAAGTCGACAAATTCTTGAATATAATGCAAGTAAAATGACATCTATTTTCATTTATGTGCAAATATATCTAAATTTTATCAAGAAAATGGTCCCAAGTTCCATGTCAGCTGAGCTATGCTTGGTTTCTCATCGGACACAAGGGTCTGTTAGTCAACCCCAGTGACACAAAAATCTACACAACTAGTGTACAATGTGGATATGACAGAAAAAATTAATCAAAATGAAAAGGATATTCAGGTCAATAAGGAATATGAATTGCAAGAACAATATGGATAGTCTAGTGCTCATTTTAGTTTGACTTTTTTCTCATGTTTTGATCTTTTCACCCTCCTGTTGTAATGAATTAAAATCTTCGATAGAAGGCTTTTTCTTGGGCATCCTTATGAGATAGAGAGAGAGGGAGTAAAGAAAATAATGTTTATGTTCGCATGGTTCTTTATTTTATCATTTAATATCCAGGTGAGAGTTCAATAATCAGCAACAGATTTATTTTCCCTGCATAAATGAGAATATAACACTTTTATTCTATCATCTCTTCGTTGCAGCATGCAAAAGACGTTGGAGAGGTATCAAAAATGTAGTTATTCTATCGCGGAGCCTGTTGTTCCTTGTAAAGAGACTCAGGTTGCCCTCTCCATCTCGCCTCTGTCAGACGTCTTTCCAAGTTATGTAGTTAATAATTTATTTATTCTGATAAATATTATATTGAGTCATCATCAAGATCTACAGCCTCATTGATTTATTCCGGTTTATTAGAGGCATTTCGATCCTGAGAAAATTTCGTAGATGTCTTATTCATGCTAAAAAAATAATTAAAATATTTTTTTGGGGGAATAAATAAAGTGATTTCCCTAGTAATGAACTTCTTTTCAGGGAAAAATTATTTATTATTTTATTTAAAATTAATAAAAATACCCCTTTTATCATGGATGGATCCACCTTGTGTCTGACCTAATCGGACCCTAAATCTAAAACCCCCTCTAGAAAACATTTTCTCAAACTTCTCTTCTATTCCCTTCCCTTCTTTTCACATCCATTATTCTCTCTTTTTTTCCTTTTTTATTATTTCCACCTTCCAAAAGAAGGGGTGGGGAGGCAAAAAATGGTAAAAAAAAAAAAAGGTTTTTAACCATGTTTTCCGTTGGTGCTGTCCTCAAGCAGAATAGTTATCAGGAGTATCTGAAACTCAAGGGGAGGGTTGAAGCTCTGCAACGGTCGGAGAGGTAATCTCGCCGGCTCAGATCCAAGAACAGCGTGTTCCAGCATTTTCACACCTTCTACGTGACCTGTTAAGATACCGCCTCCTGCTGCAGAACCCTTCTTGGAGAAGATCTGGACTCTTTAAACACGAGGGAGCTCGAGCAACTCGAAAACCAACTAGAGATGTCTCTGAAGCACATCAGATCGATAAAGGTAGATCTTCTTCTTCTTCATCAGATGAACAGAGCGATATACCTCGTCTTTTTCTTCCCCCGGTAGCTGATATGAATCCCGCGTCTTATTTTTCATGGTCAACGTGTTTCACAGACGCAGGTGATGCTCGACCAGCTCTGTGATCTCAAGAGGAAGGTAAAAGCGTCTGATTGCTGTATTATATTCATTGTTCCCACGTAGTTTCTGGCATTTAATATTTCCCATGCATGGAACTCTCACGTTGCACAGGAGCAGATGCTGCAGGAATCCAACCGAGTCCTCAGACAGAAGGTGATTTAATTAAAACTATCCACGATACTTTCTAACAATGGAAAGCAGATGGCGATCGCAATCCGCTTATTATACCCCGTCGATCTTGAGATTCGTTCCAATGCGAAACCCTGATGACGGCGCTTTTCACCTGTTTCTCCGATCGAGCAGCTGAGTCCTTGGTCGACCACGAAAGCTGAGTTCTTTTTCTATTTCTCTGGCAGCTTCAAGAGAACGGCCCGGAGAACTGCCTCCAGCTGATGTGGGGGATCAACGGAGTTGACTCGGGCGACCCCTCGGGTCACCAGGCCGCCGCACATCCGGAGGGGCTCTTCCAGCCCTTATTAGGGTTCGATCTCCCCCTTCAGATCGGGTAGCCACCTCCTCCATCAGATCCCCGAGAAGAACACGCGTTGACTTGTTGTCCACCCCACTAAAGATCTCGTCTTTCTTACAGATACACCCACGTCGGTGTCGACCAGCTGAGCCCCCCCGCGCTGACCCAGAATGTAAGCGCCGGGTTCGTCAGCGGGTGGGTTTGATCAGTCAACCCTCTCCCCTCTCACTCACGTCTCTGCGTAAGTGAAGAGTCCTCCCATGGCTGATGTGTGTGTCCTGTAACCTATTAATAAGCTGCTGAAGAGTGATCGGGTAAGAGAGAGAGAGAGAGAGAGAGAGTAATATCCCTATCCCTGCACTAGAAACCGAATGGATGAATTTACTTCATGCTTGGCTGAACCATATACTTTTATGAGGATTAGATGTATGATTTATCTTCGCGAGCTTCTTCGTGGGATCTAAACTAGGCAATAACTGGAAGAACCGGCTTCCGAGCTGATGCTCACCATCACAGACTCATTCTAAAATCAGTAAATATAGAGATGGACAGGAATCATTTCTTATTTCTTCATTCTCATTTTCCATACTTTTTTAGAAGAAAATTCTGGAATGGCGGCAGCCGCCGTCTCTGATCGTCTGCCGCAATAACTTCCGTGCGGAGCACTAAACCCGGCCTTCTTCGCCCCAGAGACGGCCCCCGCCGCACACGGGAGGCGCCGTCTTTCGACCGAAACACCACCGCCCTTCTCTCTCTGTCTCTCTATCTTTATCTATCTAACTATCTATCTATCTATCTATCTATCTATCTATCTATCTATCTATCTATCTATCTGACTATCTCTCTCTCTCTCTCTCTCTCTCTCTCCGCCGTCTCCATCTCCGGTATTATAATATCTTCCCCTACGACCTGCGCCGACAAAAACATGTCCTATTCGGGCATCCGCTCTAACCCTCTCCTTTCCGTATTTGTGCTATCATCTTCTCCTAATCTCCCGCGCGGCCCGATGCATCGACCCGCCGCCTCTGGGTCCGGCGGCTCGGCTCCCGCTCGGACATTATCGGATAACATTCTTGAGGGGCGGACGTAGTCAGGCACGTGCCGCCAAAATGATCTATGAAAATATGGTCGTTATTTGTTCCAACTCCTCAATTAAATATTCTACTCTTTCGAAAACCAACATAAACTATTTATTACCTTTTACCCCGAAAAAATCACCACTAATTATTATTACTTAAAAATGTAGACTACTGATGGCTTAAAATATATTTTTTTTTAAATAAAAAAATAGGGGATCAATGTAGACGAAATGGACCAGCTCGAGAAATCCCAACAGCTTAGTGAGAGAGAGAAGAGAGAGAGAGAGAGAGAGAGAGAGAGAGAGAGAGGGCCCATTCAAAGGATTAATTTATTTTAAGGCAGAGAATTTTGGTGTATAATATTTAATAAATAAGATTAATCATTGTGCCGAGGTGATTGCGTATATCCCAACTTCATGGCGGGCTAGGGAGATCTAACCTACTGCCTACGCCTGATCTAGACGACTCGTGTGATGGATAGATGATGGGTTAATATCCCCACCCCCCCTCTCCCACCCTCCTACGTCGGCCGTTATTTAGAGTCAGCAAGGGATACGTTTCGTGAGATGACTCGTCCACGTCGGCAGATTCGACTCGGAACGGACCCCACTCCGACACGCCAACCTCACGCTCTGCCGGCCCCAGGGGTGCGTCGTCACCATGTTTGCGTCATCGTGATGACGTCATATACGGAAGCACCTGCTCGGGAAAACCGCGCCCAGTGGACAAAGGGCATTCCGTCCATGATGGATGGGAGCACCGGAAGGGGAACACTGGAGGGACGGCTGTCGGGCGCCCAAATCCGCCGTACAGATTCTCCCCAGGGATTCCAAAAAAGACGTGCTATCACAGGTCGCCACGAGGGGTAATTCGTAAATTCACAAAGGAATGGGTGTGGGGGGGGGGTAGTTTCATACGAAGAGGGCGGTTGGAGATACCCAAGTTGCCGGGTGGGGACTGTACGGCGAGGCTGGAGGCCTCGGATCGTGTTTTGGGGAGACTGGCCAATGGGAGATCGACAACGAGGCGAAGAAAACCGCCGGATTTCTGGAAACCGCTCTTCTCTCCTCGATGTGAACCCCCGCTCGGTCCCGTCGAGGCGGGGATCTATATATTGGGACTTCTCGCGGTGCTGCTGCTCCGTCGACTCTTCTCTCCTGTCACCGTCAGTCATAGCTGGCTCTGTAGTCCCTGCATCTGATTCTCCTTCCTCTTCCTCGCTTCTGCTCCGCTACCGGAGGAGGAACGACGACGACGACGATAAGCTGCTCGTCGGAGAGATTCATTTGGTTGTTTGTTTTTTTTTTTTTTTGGTGGATTTTGGTTGCGGAGGAGGCGATCGATCAGCTTTGGGTTTGGTTGGAGGAATGGGGAGAGGGAGGGTGCAACTGAAGAGGATCGAGAATAAGATCAACCGACAGGTGACCTTCTCGAAGCGGCGGTCGGGGCTGCTGAAGAAGGCGCACGAGATCTCCGTCCTCTGCGACGCGGACGTCGCTCTTATCATATTCTCAACCAAGGGGAAGCTCTACGAGTTCTCCACCGATTCGAGGTAGGCGGAAACGGACCCTCTCGGAGCGATAATTCAGGCACTCCGTTCCATCTAACTATTTTTTTTCTCGATACGGATTTGCTTCTGCTCCGTGGAATTATGTCTGCTTGAGTGCTCTATTCGTGGAGATTACTTTCCTTATTCTCAATCAAGCGCCCAGGCGCTGCGTTGAGTCCTTGCTCCGGCTCTTTCAGGGTAGTATGTCGTAACTGTTTCTACTCTCTTTCCTCTTGTTCTGTAGTAGTTACAGTAGTAGCACAGGAATAGTTTCTGCTCTTCTGCGGTAGTAGCTAGGGAGGGAGGATGCCAGAAGAGTCAGTCGAGGCAGGATTCCTAATAACAATACACAAAATAATATTTCTACTATAACTCATCAATACCGTCATCGTATATTTTTAGGAAATGTACGACAGCAGGGTTCAGTTTAAAAGGCTTTCCTTCTCTTATTGACCTATCATTTTCCTTGAGAAAGCGTGGGACGCTCTCTTATCACGTCAGCAACTGGTGCAACCAGTCGCGTTTTTCCTTTAGAGTTGTCTGATATCATGTTCCTCTTTTTCCATTCCGGGGAATCTTAACGACAAGTGAAAACTGGGATAGAAAGAAAGGGATGGCAATATCTCGCTTTACTTTCTGGAGCAACGAAAGACGATTGAACCCTAAATTACGTAGAAAATTTTCCGCACGCCATTACAGTCGACACAAGGACGTTCTCATCACAAATCAGCAGATATTCAAGCTCGACACCCGCGTGCTCCTTTACTTCACTCTCTTCCTTGGGAACTTTGTAGTGGACAAAATATTTCAGTGGAGTGTACTGATTCAAGCCATTCTTCCTCTCTGGCTTTGGTCAGCGTTCTCTGTCATTGGGAATTTTTTTTTTATATAAACCTTAAAAAGTATGATCTGCAGATCTTCAGCTAGCGACAGTAAAAATTGATGCTACCTTTATAATCACATTATGCGTACACATTTTTTTTCCACGGTAAGATTGCTTCCATTTTAGTCATTTACCCATTTAGCAATTATCTTCGATTTTTTTCTTAAAATCAACTGCAGAATAGTATGTAGATACTTTATGTTCATACAGTCTCTGAACGAAATATAGGTTGCAGGATAGCATGTGGATACATTCATGAAATTTATTTTATTTTTCATTAATATCGTATTCTATGGTTCTTTTTGGTTGCATAAAGGCTCTTTGTTGGTTTATCAGATTTGGCTTCCCTTTCACTAAAAAAACTAGCCACTTTCATCCCCGCTTGTCTGTGCTACTACTCTAGCGTTCTAGGCACCGTGATGTACCATCAATTTAGTGGTTTATCTACTTTCTGGAAGAGGATACTTCTGCGTAATTTTTTTGAATGATTTGTAGAGTTTCACTAAATATATATCTAATTCGAAAAATTTGGCAAGATGTAATCGACTCAAGGACGAGCAGTACTGAGTTGTTTATACCATTGGTTGGTGCACTCATGCTGTAATTAAAATTCTAGCATCGAGTTTTCTTTTGACTTCAGATCCATTTTTCCCAACGAAACATTGTCATTGGTCGTATTTAACGTTAAAAAAGCAACCTTTTGGATCAAGCTTAGGTAAAACAGGCAGGATGAGCTTCGCGGCTAGTCTGATATCCCTGCGACGGAGTAGAGATGAGGGATCCTGTTAGGTGCATAACCGAGTTAGAACTCGCCATCCGTCATGCAGCATTCCCTATTTTGGAAATCTTTAGATTATCAAAACCCATGTGGAGAACTTCCAGATTCAAAATTGGACTTCACAGAGCTTTTTGTTTAAATGAAAAATAAAAATCAGCCTTTTTCGTTCCATGGTATGTTACATTCTTAAAAACGACAAAATAGCGAAGGACTAAATTCTTGCGGAAGACCATGGGAAAGAGTGTCTGCCCGTTCAAACTGATACATTGCTCGTGTATTTTGTGGACTGGATTTTTAAATAATTCTTTATTGCGTTTTGTGCTCTCCCTTGGCGTTTTAAATAAGTTTTAATGTTGATTTTTTTTACAAGTAGCATGGAAAGGATTCTCCAACGATACGAACGATATTCTTGCACACAACGAGATCACGCAGCAGCAGATCCTGAAGTACAGGTATGAATGTTTCAAAATAGAATTCAGTCTGTTGTAAGACCAATCAGTATCATAAGAACTGGCAACACTGGTTGGTTTGGTAGCATCAGAAGTAATCTTACTATCTGAGAACAAGATCTAGTTAGAAATTCGTCATTAAAAAAACACTAGAAGGCTTGACCGAATTTGTGTAGGAAACATGGCTCCTTGAATATGGCAAGCAAAAGGCCAAGATTGAATGTTTGCTGAAGAACCAAAGGTATGGAATACAGTTAAAACTACTCAAGCGCGAAAAGTATATTTCTTCGTAAATGATGTGGAGTCTGGCGTTTTCAGGCATCTGATGGGTGAAGATCTTGATAACTTGAAACTCAAGGACCTCCAGCAGCTGGAGCTGCAGCTGGAAGGTGGGCTTAAAGAAATAAGATCAAGAAAGGTGCGTCTTACTCGTCTATCTATTTCAGAACATCATATTTTAAAGCGCATGGTTACTGTGGAAATCATTTAAAATACCCATTTAAATCGATGCAGCACCAATTAAATAAAAAAATAATAAAGCAACATGACAGACCCAGTTCAGGCTAAGTTGCCAGATAGTAGAGGCTATGAATACTAATGAAAGAGAATCTGTGAAGACCGAATGCAACCACACCTCACCTTCCTCAGCTGTCTATGCATCGCAAAAACCCAGTGTAACCTAATATATATCTACCTCGAACGTCACATTTCCATGTAACGGTTTATGTAGATTCTGTATGCATTGCAGTTCACTGTCCTACATTCATAAGAGAAATAAATAAATATTAATTCTTTGGATAATAAGTAATTGGAAAGTATGGTTTCTCTTTGTGCTAAGCGGAGGATTTCCTATCATTTGTAGAGCGTTCTACTGTTCGATTCCATCGCGGAGCTTCAAAGAAAGGTACGCTCAGATCTTCATCAGGGAGCATGGCCATTAGATTCTACATTAATCCTTCGTATCTCATGAGCCAGTCAGCCATATTTTCATCTTTACGTCTCCCTTCGGTAACCCTAAACTGAACTTGTCTCTCCGTTGATTGCTGTTCGAGCAGGAGAAGACCCTGGAAGAGCAGAACAACGTGCTGCAGAACATGGTAATCCAGAGATTCGTGCATGGATTCTTAGCCGACGGCTCCCACATGTGACACCTGTCTGTTTCTTCCTCTGAGAGCAGCTCCAGGAGAAGGAGAGCGTGGTTGCTTGTCTGGCCCAGAGGGCTCACTGGGAGCTGCATCCCTTCTACCACTACCAAAACCAGAGCGCCACTAGCGGCTCCTCGTCGCCACCGTCCTTCTCCCTGGGCGACACGCTGCCCGCCACCACTCTCAACATCGGGTAAACCCAACCCCACCCCCCCCCCCCTAGAATGTCAACGTTCGATCCGACGTGGGATTCAACTGACGTGGCTCGTCGGAAATATACCTTGCAGGATTTACCACCCACCCGAGGAAGAGGAGAACCAGCCGCCACCCCGCGTCGGCAACACTCTCCCGCCATGGATGATAAGCCACCTCAACGCTAGTTAGGTCCACTCTCTCTCTCTCTCTCTCTCTCTCTCTCTCTCTCTCTCTCTCTCTCTCTCTCTCTCTCTCTATCTGCCCATTTATCTATCTCCGTATATGAGAGATGTGGGAAGGGCGTCGCATCGAATCACCGAGCGGCCCAGCTTTTGTAAATTATAGGAATATATGGTATAAGGGAGAGCTTTCCATGGGCGAGATGGGGCGATTCCCATATATCGTGGCGCCTTCTTGTCGGCTTGCGTTGACTCGACTACCATCCTCCCCCATCCACTCTAACCTTCGGGTTTAGCTGGGCCGCATCCCGCACACTATGGATGGCTCAGAAGGCTCGTCAACCCTTTAGAACAGCCCACCAATGGGTGGTGTTGGTCTCTTCTTCTGGGTCCGATCGCATTTCCCATTGTTGGTTGAAAGCCCACCTGGCTTTGACTTTCTATCAAGAGATTCTTATCTCTCTTAGTAGATCTCCACTTCATGTAAGATTTGCCTTTGACCAACTGCATCCATTTGATGTACTGCATTTCCCATTGTCGGTTGAAATCCCACCTGGCTTTGACTTTCTATTCAGAGATTCTTATCGCTCTTACTAGATCTTCACTTCATGTAAGATTTGCCTTTGACCAACTTTACCCATTTGAGGTGCTGATTCGTTCTAATCTTATCGATTTTTCTAATTTCTGCATTATCAGTTAATCACTCTGCATTAAAAATAATCGTCCTGATAGAATTTCCGACTGATTGATGGCCATTTGCTTGCGGGCCTGCATGGCACGAAGATCAGGCCCAGGCCCAGTAAGAAGTAACAGTTGACTAGTTCCGTTGCCGCTTCTGAGGCGGTACCCGCGGCCGCCATCTGGGCCGCTCACATGAACCAATATTACTCTTCTCCTTCGGCCCATGTTTGACTTTTTGAAGAAACTCCCACAGCTCACACGTGTAGTAGTCAACGCGGTTTCCTTTCGGGGAGGCGACCTTTCTACCCTCCGGTGGGTTGAGGGGGTGGGGGTTTGGTTTGAGGGCGGAGAGGGACACCACTGTGGCTGACGCCTCTCCCCCTCCCCCCCCCCTGCCCCCCCGGGGCCTTCCTATCTCTCTCTAATCGCGCCCTGGAAGGAGACCTCGGAGCTTCTGCAAGGTGCGTCTTCTTCTCTCTCTCTCTGTCTCTCTCTCGCTAGCTGTGTTCATCCGATCCTTAGAAGAATCTGTACCCTTGTTCATCCCATCATCTATCTGGAAAGAGGGCTCAAATATGCTGCTCTTCCGTTGACCTGTAGATACAGGGGATACAGGCGGCAAGCCATGGGCGAGAGCTCCGGCAGGAAGCGGATCCAGATCGACGTGGTCTCCGACACAGTCTGCCCATGGTGCTTCGTGGGGAAGAAGAACCTCGACAAGGCGATGGAGCAGTCTAAGGACAGATTTGACTTTGAGGTCCTCTTCTCCCATCCCCTCTCCTCCTGGAATCTAATTCTGACCGTAAGTCTCTCTGTTCTGATGAGCCCTCCACGCTTCCTGTTTCTGGGCAGGTGAGGTGGCATCCCTTCCTCCTCAGCCCCTCTGCGCCCAAAGAAGGAATCAAGAAGTCGGAGTTTTACCGGCAGAAGTTTGGAAATCAGTCCGAGAGCATCAACTCCAGGATGAAGCAGGTCTCTACGCGCTCCCTAGCTGGCCCTTCATCTGCTTCCATTTGACTTTCTGCGATCAGGGGTGGACCTCCATTGTCGTTTAATGTGCAGGTTTTCCAGAGCCTCGGCTACGAGTATGACCTCTCTGGCTTGTGGTGAGTCAACGCCTTGATGCCCGCCTGCCTGCCTTCATTAACTGATGAAGAGGGCTGAAAGGGAGGTGGTCAAATGTTTGCAGGGGAAGCACCCTGGACAGTCACAGGCTGATCGATTTTGCTGGAAAGCAAGGGTTTCAGAAGCAGCATGATCTTGTGGAGGAGCTGTTTCTGAATTACTTCACCCAGGGGAAGTATATCGGTGACAGGTGGGTTGACTTAGAGACCATTTCTCCGTCCTTGCCATTTTGTTTTATTTTTTAAATAATAAAAATAAAAGACGGGTTGACTTAGAGATCATTGATGAGGAATGTTTTCTGACCCGCCAATTTCTTCAATGATATCTTTAATTTTTGGATTCTAACAACAGCATGGTCTCGTGGAGAAAAAACAGTAGGGCTCTTTCCACATGCTCGTGCAACGATCATACCCACTTGGCATCTCGCCTCTCTCCTGTAGGGCGTTGACTTGTTTGGGCGTCACATTCATCCTAACTCAAGTTAACATGAGACAAGTCCTTGTGACGTTGATGCAGGCAAGTCCTGTTGGAGGCTGCTGAAAAGGTGGGCGTGGAAGGTGCGGCAGAGTTCCTCGAGGACCCCAGCCAGGGGCTCAACGAGGTCCTCTCTCATCCTCTCTCTCTCTCTCTCTCTCTCTCTCTCTCTCTCTCTCTCTCTCTCTCTCTCTCTCTCCTCCTTCTCTCTTAAGAAAAATAAAGGCTTCAACCACGTTTGTACAGGTTAAAGAGGAACTGGGTAGATATGCGGAGCGAGTCAACGGAGTCCCACACTATCTGGTAACTTGTGTAATGAGATTTTGTTATCTTCTGGGCACACCCTGGACTTGGAAGCCTCTCAAACTACCTCCTTTCAGATTAACGGAAAGGAAGAGTTCAGCGGCGGGCGGCCACCGGAAGCATTCCTGCGGGCTTTTGAAGCTGCTGCCAAGTGAGCGGGCCCATCGCTTGGAGAAATAAACGCCGCCCCATCGTTTGGAGATATTGTGGGCCTGCTGCTGTTATGGATGCAGAAAAACTGGCTATGAATGGGCCCGATCTTTGAAGAATTAATAACCTACATAGACTATGGTTTGCCTGACTCATCGTTCTTCTCCATCCTCTCCCATTTCTTGCGAGCAAATGAGGGTAATATGTCTGGAAATGAAGGTCGGATGGCTCTCTCTCTCTCTCTCTCTCTCTCTCTCTCTCTCTCTCTCTATTATGTGAACTGCACAAATATCCTCAAGAACTATAGGATTCAGAATTCCATCACTCCTCAATAATAGCCATCATGTTTTCATTCAATAGCTTCTCTCTCTCTCTAACACACACTCAATCTCTCTCTCTCTCTCTCTCTCTCTCTCTATGATGTGAAGACTGCGCAAAAATCCCCAAGAAGTATAGGATTCAGAATTCCATCACTCCTGCTCAACAAAAGCCATCATGTTTTCATTCAATGGCCTCTCTCTCTCTCTCTCTCTCTCTCTCTCTCTCTCTCTCACTCACTCACACACAGACAGAGACAGACACATGCACACACTCACTCTCTCACTCTCTCTATGATGCGAAGACTCAGACGTCTACTTGGGGGAAAGAACAGAAAAAAAAATGATTCTTTTATACAGATTTGCCACATAAATTTATGTATAGTTGTAGCTCTAAGTGAAACGGTGCTGAGCATGGATGGATGTTGGCATCCGGGGGGATACCATCACGATTTCACCTACATACATATTCACAAGCTTTACAGTTTCGCCTGTCAGGGGATGATGCTTGAGCAGCTGGCTTCCTCACCAGTCTCACGAGGCCTCACTAAAAGCCATCTCCTGAAAAAGGATAATGTCAAGAAATTTCAACAAGTTCCCAAGGATATTATTCCCTTCAATAAATGAATGCTAAAACAGACCTGGAAATCAAGAAAGAATGAGAAAAAATAAAATAAAATAAATAATAATAAAATCCCAACAGTGTTCTTCTCGTTTTTGACTAAGTTATAAGAAGTCCAACAGAAACGTTCGTCGCTGTAAAAATGTTCTTGAGTTGATTCTTCCCCCCCCAACCACTGAACAGGTTATAGAATCAACTCTGATAAAAAATTAAAAAAAAAAGTTACATCTTTCAAAGCAAAAATAAGGAGACCATTAACGCCAAAAAGGAAGAAAAATAAATGGATGATTACCGTGAATCTGTCGAGTATATGGATTTCCATTCAGATGATTACAGACGGGTTTAGTCAGAAATTCCACAGATGATCGATGAGTCGGTTGGTTTATCTCAGATCCCTTAATCCAATCCTCAACACTGAGCAAACTGTAGAGTATGCTGATTCAGAATTCGTTGTACTCTCTCTCAATCATTCTTCGAAATAGGTTCAAGTTTCCTGGTTATAAAACCAAGACCGTGGGAGAATTTAGCCACCACAAAGAGGAAAATTTTCTGGGCAGTTAGCCAGGCAAAAATGACTCGCAGCAAGAAAGCAGCACTCAAAAGTTGGGTAGAACACGATCTGCACAAGAGGGCAAGGATTTGAGACTTTCTAAGTCCTGATTCTGAGGGATCAGCCAAGTCAACCACCCAATGATTTGATCATTCCAGGAGGGCCCAGCTTGATTGCTAATCAGGCTCCTAAACAAGGAGGACCAACCATATCCGATGTGTGGCAAGCTATACGTCGAAATGGTACTAAAGCCCAAGCAAATTCAGCTCATCGATCTAGATAGGGTTTTACTTTAAATGGGGAGGTGGATGCCATTCGGCTGTAGTTACACTACACTTCACTTTAACGTTAATGGTCCCAGAAAAGTCCTCAAAGCTTCTCTCAGAATCCCAGTCAAACAGATCGAATAATATACAGTACTCGACTATCTGGAACATCCCTACACAAACATTGACAGCAAATCTACACGTTATATGCCTAATGGGGATAGTAGAAAGCAGATGAAGTAATCGGTATCTTGAGGAAACATCTCATCAAGATGGGGGACGTTGTGTAGCACCAAGATTCTGGTGCCCCTCGTCAAAAATAACCAAGTTCAGGGGCTGAGTATATACTAACGTCAAAAGTGACAAGTATATATACATATACGATATAATTAAAATAAAAACCATACACACAAAATAATATCACTCAGAAGACATAGACCAGGACCCAGCCAAGCATAAATGGGTTACCTTGCCGCAGACAGGGCATGCATCACTTCTCTCCATCCATTCATATATGCAACCAAGATGGAAATAATGAGAACATTGCATGGATATCTTGGGGTTCTCAGGAGTATACTCTGCAAAAGAAATCAAGGGGGAAAAATTCACACACCAGCACCATGTAGGAAAATTTTCCAATTAACTGCTCATAGTTTTTTGGTAAATTTGTTCTATCATGATAATTCAGACGCAGGATTCGTTTGAGCCCAAGCTGGGCCTTCCAAAAATAATAATAAAAGGATATTTGGTATTGTCAGCTAGTTGGCTGGTAGGTTGAAATTCTTTAGCAGACTCTTCAGATGTTTTCTGGTGGACCGTCAGTTGGAAGATATTACACTCCCTTCCATGAAACACCAAAAAAAAAGGGCAGAAATTTATCGAACGAGGTTACTGATACCCAGTGTAAACCGACACCAAATAGCTATTTACGTTACGTCCTCTAGCATTAACTTGTTTACATTCCAGGACCCAGATTTGGATTGACTTGCGCACATGAGAAAACTTAACTAACGTAACATCTGAAAACAATAATTCAGATGTCCACAACAAGATCCAGATCAGCGGATTGAACAGTAAAAATGGTATTCGTAACGTTCAGACTCTGGAGAAAGAGTATGCAATAAAAAATCCTTTGTCATATGTCATACAAAGCTACATGCTGATAGAAATAAGCATCAGCAATAAACAGTTTTTACATATGGTTGATTTTAATTAATGGAGAAATTATGTAATTGTATGATCTTCATCTTGTACCATTAGGATAGACTCCATCTTGCTGCAGAAACGAGGAACTTTAGCTACTCGAGGGCTGTCTGGACCTAGGAATTTTCTGAACGTTAGCTACTTTAGCTACTTCAGACATGAATTCCGACACAATTGTAGGACCCACTTTACCTCGATGTAATGAATGCCAGGTACGTCTTACAATTGTGATTAAAAAGATGACGAATAACTATATGAAGTAATAGAAATTCAATTACTACCTAAAAATAAATATATAAAAAACTTATATCCATATACCTTCAAGACAAATTGGGCACGAATCTTCATCCTCAAATGACGGATATATGTATGTTACTTCACTTGAGAGATATCGCGCTGTCTGGTCCACTGATGACTCAGAAAGGCTTAGTTTGGATTCTCCTACACTATCAGAAACATTCTGCTTGTCAGTCATTGCAGCAGATTCCGTGTCAGAGTCATACAATCTCCGTCTGAGTGGTTCTGGTTCTTCATAGAAATGGCTTGAGGATTTATCATGTCGAGCGAATCCATGATGTAAAGGAGAGCATCTAGGATCATCGTAGGCTAAAGGCCATGGAGGAGGACGATATGTATCTGAGATAGAACCATCTCCTTCTCCAGACACCGTAGAAGTTCCATGTTCAGGTGAATAGATGGCGTGTATTTCTTCCCTTTGGAAAAGAGCAGTGTACTGAAAACAAGTAATTACAGAAATGGAAGCATCAACCACCTTACAGTAATATAGCTAGATGACTAGGGAAACTTGTGTACAAAAATGGAAATCAAAAGATATTGAAAATGCAAGCTTTTACTCCTTAGGGTCTTACCCGTAAAGAGGAAAGTTCTTCCCAATTCACGACTTTCTTTTAAGCATTATGAGACCATAGTGTTTTACTTAACCATCAAAATCGACAAGCACTATCTCAAATGTAAAACTTAGTCGAATTTCTCTTACTTTTTTCTGGCCCTTTAAAAAGATACATACAGTGAATTTCCAGATGTTTTGCAGAGTACTTTTAGTAAGCATGCTATCTTTAGAAGAAAAAGTTGAAATTACTGGCAACTCCATGTCTGGACTAAATTCAGACAATACCCCAGACACGAATATTTAAATCTTTTGCCATTGCGATGAATGCACCAAATTGATGGAAATCCAACTTTTAAAGCCAAAATATGTTGAAAGATGGATAAACTATGATCCATGAGCGGCTTATACGATGCACATGTAAATCACTAGGGTTACCCTTAATTCACCCTTAGTGGCTTATACGATTTCATTTTCTAAGACAGATTCTTAATCGTTCCACAATGATAAACGTTGGTACCAGGTTCTGACCCCCGGCATTTCATATTGGGCTATAAATCAGATGCAAAAATGGACATCGGTTCATAGCATAGATTCTACCTTTTCCTCTGGTTAACGATGCCATATCTTTGCTTCATAATTTACATGAGACAATGGAATAACATATACAGAGTAGATCCTGTATGAGTCCGAGAAAACTAAAAAATTCAAGAAATGATACTTTCTCTACCAGAGTAACGAAACACCGTGTTCATTACAGGTGAAGACAGGTTATTTATTTCCAGCGTTGCTACCACATAAAGACCAACAACAATAAAAAGGAAAAAATTAATTTTACCAGGCGTAAAAGTTGTGCAGATAGGCATCTGAAGAAGATGCAGCGTCTGTGGACAGGGGAGGCAACATGCGTGTAATCCTCTGGGTCATCGTGCAAACAGCAGCAAATAGAGCCCATAAAATCAAAACTTTTCTCTTTTATTTTCCTTTGCTGCTCTGCACTAATTTCTCACGCATTCAATGCCAAAATTGCCGACAGAGGTATCATTGAAATGAAAAATGAGAATGCTCTATGCCAAACGCCGCTTGTTCTTTGTGTGGCATCTGGGGATTCAAGCAAGTGAAAGCCCCCAATTCAGGAAATAATATAACGAACTGCATAAGAGACACAATCTGGCGAAAGACCTACCAAAATTAGGGAGAAGCAAATAATAGGTTATTTCTGAGGAATTTTTTCTTTCTATTTTATCTTCTAAACTATTTTATAGAATACGAAGTTGCTGAAATAAGACCATAAGTTCAAAAAACTTATTCTGGATAGCAGTGTAGCGACGTATTTGAGATAAAAATTTAATGATACAATAAAATATTACCAACAAGTGAGGCTCACCGAGTTGGAAGAACAGCCACCTAGGCCTTTTTATTCAGTGATGGATCAAAATGAGAATTTCCATACAGTCGGAGGCACAAAAACATGCATTGCGAGAGTAAAACAAATGAACACCGAATAATTCGAAACGGAGGACCTTAATCATTAAACCTCGAGAAATAGATCCTCGAAAATGGTTTTCGTTTAAGAAAATAGAGACATTTCTTGAATTTTGTGATCCACAAGTCCTCTCGGGAAAATAGTCCTTTGTGATCTTCTCTCTAAAATGCATGATCCCTCCCAACAAAAGTACGTAAACCGATTGAGCACCCGAATCGTCCCTGATGAGAGAAACAAACAATTACCCTAGGAAAAATCATTACTCTGTTGTCCTGAATATTATCAGCTCGTAGTCAGATGCCCCAGAAAAGGCTCCGAAATCAACCAACCGATAGTCCAACAGAGACAGAGAGAAAGGGAAGAGAGATAAAATACCTTAGGTAGAGGGAGAAATAGACCCCCGGGAGTTGGAGAAACAGAAGAGAGAGAGAGAGAGAGAGAGAGAGATCCGATACCTGGCCCCGGGGTTATGCCTCGCAGGCTATATTCACCGGCAGAATCTGAGGGAGAGCAATCGATCAACTTCAGAAACCGACCAACTGCTGCTGCCTCCGCAGTTCTGACGTCGTAGTAAGGAAATGAAAAGACCCCCGATCATCGGAAAAATAAACAAAAAGGCCACGGGAGTATTTATTCACTGGCCGGCGACTCTAGGGCCGGCAATTTCCCCATCCGAACCAACGCGATAAGTCGTGCGTTGCATACTACGCAGTGCGCATCTCCCTGGTTACGTGGCACCTGGATGGCCAGCCGGGTGGCACATTATTGTCAGGTCGCATAAATCTGGAGAGAATGGTGAAAGATTCGATCTCAGAAGGCGGGGTTTCAGAGCCGACGTGCTGTCCGATTTGGACTGTTTAGAGAGAGAAAGGGGGACGTCTCTTCTCTAAGGAGAGAGACATCTATATAACAACATTCATGAGACATAAATTCAAGATTCTACAAATTATGGATAGTCTTAAAATCAGATTAAATGCCCTAATTAACAACATATCCTTTGGGCTTATCCTTAGGATGTTAATTTAGTCATCTTTATTTATTTATTACAAAAAAATAAATTACTCGTATTATTTTAATAATGACACTAATAATATTATTAATTTCCAATCATACCCTTATTAAAAAGGTTAATTTACTCATTCTACTTATTTTTCCCAAATAAATTAATTTAGTCATCTTATCTAATAATGATACTAATAATATTCTTAGAAGGCTTATTCTTCTACAAATAAATTAATCTAGTCCTCTTATTTTTGACACTTATAATATTATTAAATTCCAATAATACCCTTATTCAAAGGTTAATTTAGTCATTCTACTTATTTTTCCCAAATAAATTAATTTAGTCATCTTATGTAATAATGATACTGATAATATTCTTAGAAGGTTATTCTTCTACACATAAATTAAGATAGTCCTCTTATTTTTGACACTTATAATATTATTAAATTCCAATCATACCCTTATAAAAGGTTAATTCAGTCATCTTCTTTTCAGGGTCGGTGGCATTATTAAAAATATTATTTTCCAGATAGAAACACCGTACCACCGTTTGAATTATTGCAATAATTATATGATATCTCCAGAGTTTTTATTTTATTATAATTAAATGAATAAATAAATAATTTGAAGGGGCCAACATGGACCGGCAAGTATTCGGCTTAAAGTATTTTTTTATACTTTTTTTTGCTATTATATATTCTATTATTAGTTTTAGATTGGCGCCGACCGGGAAACGGCGCTGATTGTTTCCGTTGGAGTGAGGGATTTCCTGTCCTACAAAACCCTAAACCCTCATGGTCTCTCTCTCTCACTCCCGCTCAATCTCCCCACCTGGCATTGTGGGTTTTCTACCATGGTGAAGCGCAGCGCGAATCCCCGCGCCCCCAACCCGTCGATTCCTAAGGGGGAGAAGATTATGAAGAGGAAGAAGAAAAGCGCGAAGCGTCTCCTCTCCGCTCCGGGCGCCGCAGCTCAGAAATCAGCCCAGGCCGTTTTAGAGAACCCTTTCGAGAACATATATTCCCGTCGGAAGTTGGATGTCATCGGCAAGAAGCGGAAGGGCGAGGACCGCAGCGTTGGCTTGGCGCGGTCTCGGGCTGTTGAGAAGGCAAATATCTCGTTTGCTTCTTATTTCCACAACTTCGATTTCTCATTATTCCACTAAAAACCTCCTTCCTTAAATTGTGGTCTCTCTCTCTCTCTCTCTCTCTCTAATTAGATTCGCCAGAATCGTATTGGATAATAATCAGCACTTGTAAAACTAATTTTAATATAGTTGTGTTGTTGACTCGGGCAGAGAAGGAAGACTCTTTTGAAGGATTATGAGCAGAGCCGTAAATCCTCCATGTTCGTTGATAAACGCATTGGCGAAGCTGACAATGCGTTAGGTGAATTTGATAAGGGCATACTGCGTCTGCAACGCGAGCGTCAGGTAACTTTGTGTTCATCCGGTTCGGTTTGCTTCCTTTAGTTTAGATTATAGACATAAATTCGATGATATCAAATATAGGTCTTTGACCCATCCACTTTTCCAACAGCTAATCATTTTAGCATTCTCCTTATCGTCTACATTTAGACTGAACACCTTTTAACCCTCGGCATCATCGAACTGCTCAACAGAGAATAAAGTTTGAAAAGCGTATGAACGAGAAGCTGGAGTTCAATGCTCTTTTTTCTGAGTTTATGATTTCCCATTTCACGAAACTCCAAGTTATCTAATTCTTTATTGGATCTTACTTTCTCACAATAATTTCCAGCATCGTTCTAAAAATGCCAAATTTAACAGAGGTGGAAGAAAGAACTTATTTGGTTTTACTTCATTATGTTCTTGAATTTCATGCCCCAAAGTAGAACGGTCGTTTTGTGTTATTTGTGGTAAATTGGGATAGTTAGCTAAGGTTTCTTGTTATGAAAATGTACAGAGCTTCGTGGGTTTGGGAGGGTTGGTATGTTAGCATAGCTGAGTCTGGCCTAGAACATCTTGGTGCAGCGTGTGACAGTATTTTTCCTGGGACCTTTAAGGGACGTATGCACCTTTGCTTTTTTGGAAATTTGATGAATACGTGAAATATGCTTCTTTAGAGAATCATACCGTTATTCGCCACATCTCTCATTTTTTTTTTCTTTCTGCAATCCATATAAAAAATGATGATCTTATCTCTTAATAGGTGATTCATTTCTTCTTTCAATTCATCACTACATATCTTAGTCATATATTCACTTAATTTGCCCCTATTCTGCTACTCTGATGGATTGTCGATTTGTTTCTCAATGGCTTTGGGGAAATTGTGTTCGAACCTCTATTGTTCCTTTGTTATTTTAATTTTCTTTCACATTTTATGCTTTCTTATATCATATTCTGGTCAAATTTCTTGATATTGAAGAGCTTAGTTTGAACATTCGGAAATGCTTATCTTCTCTTATTCATCTATAGGTCATTTTATTTATTTTCAGAAATTTTCTTGCAATCCTAACATCTAAAAATGTGTATTCTCTCTGGGCTGTAGCCTTGTGGTTTCCGCCCTCGTCCTTTTTTTTTGCAAAGATAACTCTATCGATGTGTAATATTTCTTGAGGATCACATTTACCGTTATTGTATTGCTTAATGCGGTGAGGTTTAATCTTAAAATGCATATAGGAATGGATTAGGCATGTATCCTCTGTTAAGGATGGAGTAAAAATAAAAAAAATAATCTGAAAAGAATTTGCTCTTATGAATGTCCATTGCTTGCGATGTACACATAAAGACGGTCACTGATAATCTATGCCTCTAGAACGAGTTCTTGTAAGATTCTCGCCTCCAGTTGATCAAATATCTAGTTATGAGTTAAATGGTACTACTACTTTCAAAAATCCAACATTCTTGCCCAGTTATCTTCAGGAGAAGCAGTTCACTTAATTTGATTGGAAAATGTTTGTGCTGTTGCAGTGTGATGTGAAAGAGATTTTTTAACTGGTTTCTTTTTCTCCTTGAAGTTTCATAAACTCCTTATCAAGTAAAATTATCCACTTTGTGAGAGAAATTCATTTATTATCATAAGCCACCACCCAATGAGTAAATATGGACTGACTAGGTAACTGAATGTGTTGAGAGAAATCCTGATTCTATGGAGAGCATGTGAACCAGTTTAAAAGACATGACGTTTTTTCTTATTCACATCTCTTTTCTAATCGAAAATTAGGCTATTCATACTTTATAGTGTAGCCAAATGATAACAGATGGATCAAATTTCCACCCTCATAAAATCATAGGTGAAGCGAAATACATTTAAGCAATAAATTCCATTTTCATTCAGAGAGCATGTTCATTATTCCTTTTTCAACAAAGCACCATTTCCTCATGTGAGAGATTTAATGCATATGTGACATAAGATGAAGGCCTTTTTTTATTTAATTTTTTCCAGCAAAAGTTGAAGAAGGTGAATAAATATAAACTATCTGATGGAGAGGAAGATGAATCTGAACATTACAAGGGGAAGCTTTTGTCAGATGTAGATGATTTCCAGGATGATGTTCCTTTAGACGATGATGAGGCTGACTACATTCAGAGTATGTTGTGCTTTTCTTTCCCCTTATTCTTGTACATCATATTTCTTTTTTGAGTGGGATAGCCTTGTTGCCACTTAGATGTGGTGGTAATGATCATTCAACTTTCTTCATTCCCAATCAAAAAACGTGAGGTGAAAATTACTTACTAAGTGTTAATATAACATCATTGCAGCATAAAATGCAGCTTGAGATTGATTTGAAATGCTGAGTGGCCAGAATGTTCTGTCATTCTATTTTAGACAGCCATATTTCATTATAGTAAATTGTTCTTAATTCAGTCACTTGAAACTTTCAAATAGTTTCTCAAATTGATGGAGAGCTCAAGTTCCCTTTGCTCATTAAATTTCACTTTATATTTTCTGATTTCTGTCCTTAATTTATAACTGGGATTCATGAATAGGCAATCGTCGGTCATGATTTCTGTCTGATTTCAGCCTGGATGCCTATTTTCAGAAGGATATTACGTTACATCTGTCATCCATACTTCGCGTCCATAATATCCTATATTATAGGTTGACTTCTTTCTATAACTGAACCTGAGGCCATGGAATGACCAAACTTAGTTGCTTGAGTCCTTGCAACTTATTTTCTCGTGGTAAATCCCATAAAGCTAAGACAGTAAAAGGGGATCCTAGTTTGCTTTGTATCACACTCTCATCTTGTATGTCGTCCTACCTATTCCTCATAGGTTCGTTTCTTCCAGTAATTAAGGCAGAAACTCTGGATTATGCGAAATCAATTCGTTGAAAAAATTTTAATCTATAATTTTGAAAAGTAAACCTTATAATCTAATACCATACAGGATGATTGTACAATAATTGATATTCAGTTGTCACGAAATGGGGTATTTGAAAGGGTTTATTTTTAGCAAATGCATCCTTTGGCCGTCTTCTAGTGAATATACTGTGTCTAAATGATTTTTCTAGTACACAGAATTTTTAAGCATACATTTCTCATCTTCTATATTCTTATGTGTTCCTACTTGTGCCACCACATCTTTCCCATGAGCAACTGGATGAGGAAGGAAAAGGAGATTCAAAACCTTTATTTCGATGTGTGCTGTTAACATTCATATTGTTTTATTTTTCAGAGGATTCTGCGGCCATGAGGCATTTAAATTATCAAAGCACACATGAGCCGTTGGAACCTAGCTTGCTAGAAGAAGAAAATGTGAGATGAACTGGAATTTATCTACTTATTATGTCCGTGTTGCTTCATCCGATACTTGTTTAAAAACAGTAGTTTACCAACCTGTTCCTATGTCTGCTACCGTGTCTGAGCTCGTTACTTTCTTCCTAAAAATTTCGTGTTTTACATGGCAGATCCTTTTCCTTGAGACAATTTTTACAAATACTTAATCATTTTTATATTTATTATCTATTCCTTACTGTTGCGTTGGCATCGAAATTCCGAATAAGAAGGTGTAGTACATCAATATTGACTCTCAGCCCCAGACTGCATACTCGTTAGTTCGTTTTGAATTCTAATTAGTGGTGACGTATGTATACGACTGTTGGGATGACTTCTGCAATTAAAATTACTGCTAGAGTATTGAACCATGTCTTTATCTGTTGATGCATTTAAAGACATTTTCGTTATTTCCCTTCGGAGTGCATTATCATATCTCCTATATAATCTGGACAAATTTCAGTTTTTGCGGAGGTGCGAACCTAGCTCACAATTATCATGGTGTCTTTCTTCAAATTTTCGATTAATAGTATGATGATAATTTTCAACCTGCCGATCACAACTTGGCTTTTAATGTGCGAACAAGAGACTGCCTTTTTGGCCTTTCCGTCCATGCTACTGTTAATTGTATGTTTGTAAATGACGGAAGTTTCTAACTTATTTTGATGTTTTCCCTCAAAAATTCAGCTGGAAGAAAATAGAGGAAGCTTAAACTTTTAACTCTTTTGTGAATTTTGTGCTGTGCCAAGTAAATTCTAGGATGCATGGTCAGGTTCAAAAGTCCTCTTTATGTTTGTCAAAGGACGAAGACATTTTTTTTTTCAATGACTTTTCCATGGCAAAATAATGAAATGTAAGCCTAGGAGAAGACCTGAATGGAAGTAAAAATGGACGATTTCATAGCATTGCTTCTGGTGACGAGCATTCAAGTGTGTAATTCAATGGGCATTGCCCTTCGAAGGAAATTTTTAATCAGATCATGCGTGAGAGTATATGAGTTAGGAGAGGGTGATTAGTTTGGCGGGATAACATTGTGCTGAACAAACTTTCCAGTCGATGATGTTTTTTCTTGCAGAAAACTTAATCGAGAGAGGCCTTGAAGAAGATAGGCTTTGGAAATAAAAGTTCTTTTTTTGTGGTCTCTTCACCGAAAATACTGCTCATGCTTTCGCTGCTCATGTGTTTTCCTGGTTTTCCTGAGAATTATCTTATTATCCTTAGGGGTTCAGTGTAAAGACAATAATGATTTAGTTTTTTTCTCTGAAATTGGAATATCAATAAAATCCGAAAATCATTAAACAACTGTGGTTGCTTCGGCTACACACCGTCTTCTGAGTAATTTGATATGTTGGCAAACAAGAAGATTCCAGTTTACGTCATTCAAGCAGCTCTTCACTAGAACTGGTAGATCTGCCAAGGATTGGTTAGTTGCTGCAATTTTGGTTATTCTGAATCGTATTTGTCCCTGTATTGACCATATCATGCGGTCTGCAGAGTTCCGTGAATTCTACGATCTACTAAATTAGTTTGTCCTTGGGAAAATACCAATTTGAATTAAAAATATTACGAATATTTTTGATAATACGATCTACCAAGTTTCGAATCGTATTTTCTACCAAGCATCTTACTTTAGTTGACCCCTCCGCCTCCCCCTATGTTCCGTTACTTCATCCTACCCATTATCTGAGGGGAGATCAAGCAGGCGTATGCTGGGGAGGGAGGAGGATATTAAGTTGTCAGCAGGATAGACGAATTATTTTCTTCCTTCTCTTCTTTCTTCCTCTGGTATCATGCCATGCATGGTTCCAAGGAGACGCCTGAATAAATGGGAGAGGAGGAAACGTGGAGGGATGAAAGTCATAGGAAGAGGAACTCCTGAAGATATAGATGGAACTCTAAAAGAATTTATTCTGTAAATTACATTGTGCAAACCTTCAGGGATGGTGTATAAAGAATTGGAACAGGAAGTTCACGTGTGGAAGCCACATCCTATGAGGAGTAGGATCATCTATTGAAAATCTCATGGAAATATAACTTGTCTTCAGCAAACAAGCTATTGTCAGGATGCCCCACTTTCACACGTGCCAGTGTGCAGCTTGTACATTCTTTCTCTTACATACATTCGTGGATCTACTGTACTATCGATATTGTCAAAATTCTACCATATTAAGGTCTGTCCTACTTCCCATGACGTATAAAGCTATTTTGAGATGACCATTGATTGCGTGGAACCTTATAATACTCTTGGGCTGATACTGGAGTCCTGCAGCAGTAAGTGAACGTAGCCATCACGTTGTTGATGGAGTCGCGGGACTACTATAAAATTTTGTCTACAGCGTCTTTTCTCTTCTGATTCTTTCTCATCGCTCTTGACTCATATTAGTTAAGGTTTTACCTAATTCTCAACAAGGTGCGAATTAAATGAAGTTAAGGCAGATTCAGAGTCACAGGTGTAATGTTGTATTAACAAACCTCTCAATTTATTAGTGGCTGGATAGGCATTAACGAAACTAATCTAATTTTTGGCTAGTCATCCTGTTTTGAATTTTAAAAGACAATTCCAATAAATTATTTTAGCTTGTTCCAATCGCATGTATCAGGGTGTCCTCTTGGATATCCTTAAAAAATTGTCCTTTAATCTGTGTTTTATGCAACAAAAGGATTTCTGGCTTGCTTCTTATAATGAAGGCAGAAAAATGGTATGTAATTTTTTCTAGAGTAGTCTTTCAGTGCTGTGCTTTTTTTAGGTTAGATTGGGTTCCCTATATAGTTTTTTTGCGAGACATTTACAATATTTTTTCTTTGCAAAACATCTGCACTACTTAAATTGGTTGTCCATTTTAGTGGGTGGCTACCTGGGAACTAATGTTGCCCAAAGGAATTCATGACAAGGGGGTAACAGTTCCGCAACTGTAGCAGGCTTTAAAAGAAGTGCTGTCTTACAGGACCCAAATATAACTTGGTGTATACGGGGATAGCCTGCTGTTTTTACTGAAAAGGAGTTTTCTTCCTGTCGGATTCATAGTACGAAGGAGAAATTAAAGAAATATTGGATGAAGAAGCATGCGATGGGACTTTTGCTACTGGTCAATGTTCAATGCTATTAGCAAACACGACCGACCTCCTGTGTACCATATGCATCATGCAACTTTGCAGTTTCCAGTGATATATATCTTGTTATTTTTAAACAACGCCAAAATTGTGCTCAGCGAAAATATTAAAAAAATTCATGTCTTTAAATACTGTTTTTTCTATGCCTATATTTTTTGAGTTAGATATCTGGTCCCTGGATATGCTTTCTCGGGAATAGCTTTCATGATATGCTGGTTCTAAGACTTGCCTCTTAATTATCTATGTACAGAGGCACAAGACCAAAAAAGAAGTTATGGAGGAGATAATTGCAAAGAGCAAGTTTTTCAAGGTTATTCTACTTTCCTGATGAATATCCATTTACTTCTCTGACAATTTGAAAATTTACTTCTTTGACAATTTCAATTTGACACACTTCCTGCATGATGACTTTGTTGTTACTATAAGTTCTCTTGTCACTTGTGAGTATGGGACTTTGAATAAAGTGGTTGATTTCAGCATATTAATTGTATTGAATAAAGTTCCCCTTAATTGTGATGTGTATGGTGGGAAGGTGGTATATATGATACATATAAATGCAACTAGATTAAGATGGAAGCCAGAGAAATGTGCTATTAACTGCTTGGTTCTGGACCCTTGATCTTTATTTCATCCTACCAAAGTACATGTGCCTTATGAATAATTAAGGCTTTTACTATAAGTAAAAAGCCTTTCATGCGTATCTACATGTAAATCGTTATGAAAGATGACAAATTGTCATTTATATTATCTATTGCATGGGAGAAAGTTGAGGGAATCATTTAAAAAGAAGCTATTCTACTTTCAGGAAATACTATCTCCCTCTCTCTCTCTCTCTCACTCCCTCCCACTCTCACGTGTATGAATGTGTATCTGTGCGTTATAATGATAAATATAAATAAATGCTTTTTTTTCCTCCTTTGTCTACAAAAAATATGATGATAATTAATTAATGACAGCGGAATTTCGCTGACGATGCACAAAAACCGCCTTAAATACCGCAAATTTCATGGGTAAATGAATTTGTATTTGCCTTTGTTATTATTTCAGACTCAGAAAGCAATGGAGAAGGAAGTGGACGAACATCTGACAGAACAGCTAGACAAAGATTTTGCATCATTACTCCAATCCAAGGCTTTTTTGTCTTTAAGTCAACCCAATGAGGCGAATGCTTTAAAGGAGCTTCCAACAAAAGGCCACAGCAAATCTGAATCAAAAGAAAAAGCTTTAGCGAAGGTACCGTAGAGTCCAATTAAATCACTTATTATATTCCTTTGTTGAGCTTCATGTTCATTGCATATTTGATGTGAAGAAGATGTTACAATTGACCTTCAAGAAATATCTGGAAAATAAAAAGTATTTCATTGTTCTATTCTAAATTTTCATTTTATATTTCTGTTATTCTTCTTTGCAGAGATTTATTAACTCTGTAGCTGTTATCATGAACCCAAAAAAAATTCTACAGCGAACAGAAAAAAAACGTTTACTAAATAAAGATGCCTTTATTATTTTCACTAAATGTTTGAATATTTTCAATAATAATGCTGAATTGTCATTGCGTTCTTCTCTTATTCGTGTACTAGTGGTGACCTGCTTTTGGTTACAGTGGACATGCTTGCCCTTATTCTATGTGTTCGTATCCTAGGAGCAATCTGATGCTTATGACAAACTTGTTAAAGAGTTGCCAATGGAGAGGCGTGCTCGTCCATCTGATCGGAAAAAGACTGCAGAGGAAATTGCGCAAGATGAAAGAGAGAGGCTCGAATTTTTGGAGGTCTTATATAAGTCATCCTTTATTGACTTTTTTACTGATAATTTATTGATCAGTAGATAACTTTTAACTTCATCTTTCATTTCTACGATATCTTCTAGGAAGAACGTCAAAGAAGAATGGGTGGTTTGGAAGATTCAGATGATGACGAAGCTGAAGATGACGACAGTGTTCGTAAATCAGCACCAAAGAAATCAAAACATGTATCAGGTGACGACCTAGGAGATTCCTTGTTATCTGGTGACGATTTGGCTAAGAAAACATGTCACATTGATGATATTGTTAGAAGTAAATTTGGTGCCAATACAAAGATCGAAAATTCTGACAATTCCAGAGATGATGAAAGCGACGAAACTAGTGGCAATGATGATAACAGCAACGATGATAGAAATGATGATGAGGATAGCAGTGATGAGGAAGAAGAAGATGATGAAGACAGTGATGGGAATGAAGGTAACAGTGATATGCCACTAGTTAAAGATTGGGAACAGAGTGAGGATGACAATCTCAGTACAGATGACGAAGAAATGAAGAACTCAGAATTAGAAAACGTGAAATCTCAAGGATCCAAGTATAATTCTCCTGGTAAAAGGGATACTAATGAGAAGGAATCATCTTTAATTGAGAAGAAATCCCTTCCCTTCCTTATCGAAGCACCGACAAACATAAGAGATCTCTGTTCATTGATTGACAATCGTCCAGAGGCAGAAATAGTTGAGGCAATCAATCGTATCCGAGTATGCAATGCCATAAGGCTTTCCACTGAGAACAGACGGAAAATGCAGGTATTCACTTCGTCTTGGAAATAGGCTAAAAAGGTGTTTAAGCTTGGCAAATAAGGTTACTATGGTAATTTAGGGGATTTTTTTTCCCCCCTAAAACACTATTTTAGATTCACACGACTGCAACAATTTTAAAATTGATGGATTCTCAATGTTGCAGGTCTTTTATGGCGTTCTTCTGCAATATTTTGCTGTGTTAGCAACCAGAAATCCCATTAACTTTAAGTTGCTTAATCTTTTGGTTAAACCCTTGGTGGAAATGGGGACCGAGACTCCATACTTCACAGCCATCTGTGCTAGAGAACGACTTCTGCGTATACGAAATCAGTTTTGTGAGAATGTTAAAAATCCAGGTATGTGATAGAACGATCCTGTTTCTTAATCATTTTTTCCTGCTTTGTTTTTTAACTTGCATTCTTTATTGACGTCTGCAGAAGAAAGTGCCTGGCCATCTTTGAAGACTTTATTTTTATTGCGGCTATGGTCGCTGACTTTCCCCTGCTCTGATTATCGACACATTGTCATGACACCTGCAACCTTGTTGATGTGCGAGTACCTGATGCGCTGTCCTATAGTGACAGGCCGAGACACTGCTGTCGGATCCTTCTTGTGCTCCATGCTTCTATCTGTATGCGCCTAGTTTCATTCGTTCTTGCTATCAATTATCTTATAGAACCTTCTGGTGGCATTGAGTATAGTTGTTTTGGCCTTCATATCCCAGATAAGCATCTTCATGAACCAATATGGAGATTATTAAATTTGTGCCTCTAATGTGTTCTCGGCTGACATTAGCAGACGTTTCGCTCAATTTTTAGAGCATTAGCTCCACCCTTTTGCTACAGGCATAGGTCGTCGAGTTCCTTTTTATCTTATTATCAAAGATCATTGATTCTCTCTCTTATTAATCATGGTCCATCCAGGTTGCTAAACAGTCTCAGAATATTTATCCAGAGGCTTTAATGTTTCTGCAACTGCTGTTGACATCTGCTACAGAAAAACCAGGATCACAGAAACTTTCTGGGGTAAAGCATTTGCGTCTGGACCTTGGTCAAAAATTAAAATGTTTCATTTTTCTAAATTGTTAGATGCCCTTCTACATTTTTATTATGATAATGAAAACTTTCTTTTGAACAGCTTTCTTTTGCAGATTTCAAAATATTGAAGCCTTGGCTATATTTACGTTACCTTGTATCTTCTGTTGATCCTGTCAATTTCTTCTCGATCATGAGCATGCCAGCAGACTCTGCGTTCTTTCTATCAGATAATTTCAGGTAAAAGGAAATCTGATCTGCTTCAGTTGGCAAGCAATGTCCTCACTGTTGGAAATTAGAAAGTCACTTTCTAATTAACTTAATGGATCACTGCAGGGCGAGTATTCTCTCATCTGTTGTCGAGACTTTGCGGGGATTTGTGAATATCTATGAAAATTTGGTCTCCTTCCCCGAGATTTTCATGCCGATGTCCTCACTGTTGGATGAAGTAATTGAACAGGCTAACCTTCCAGACTTTCTACGAGGAAATATGGAGGCCGTCACTGATCTGATCAAGAAGAAAGCTGACAAGCATGAGACATTGAGGCTACCCCTTCAAATGAGAAAGCAAAAGCCTGCACCAATCAAACTACTAAATCCGAAATTTGAAGAAGAGTATGCATCCCCGCTCTCCAGCTGCGATGTGTTTTATTTGGCAATATTTTATTTCTTGTTTAAAATTATTTATTTTTATCGTCTCTTGGGATCTTTCAAGCTCCACAACCAGGTAGTAAGCAAGTCTTGCATGAGGCATCATATGTTATTTTTTATTCATTTCATAAGAATGTCATCTTTCTCTGGCTAGCTTCTCATCTTGGCCCGGCCATCTGATACCCACATGGCTATCAGATTTTATTTATTTTTTGCCTACCACACCTTCCGCACCATTCTAATGGTCGTCGTCTCTTCTCCAGGTTTGCCAAGGGAAGGGATTACGACCCCGATCGTGAGCGGGTAGAAAGGAAGAAGCTGAAGAAGCTTTTGAAGAAGGAAGCAAAGGGGGCTGTTCGGGAGCTCCGGAAGGACAACTATTTCCTGCATGAGGTGAAGAAGAAGGAGCGAGTTCTGATGGAGGAAGAGAAGGTGGAGATGTATGGAAAGGCCAGAGCTTTTCTCCAAGAACAGGAGCATGCTTACAAATCAGGGCAGCTAGGGAAAGGCAAGAAAGGAAACAGATGAGCTGCTCCATCCCTCAGGTGGCAAGTTTTGACTAAGTAAAGTATGCTAACTCTATCCTACGTGGTAGTTTTGCATATGTTTGACCTCGCTGACATTCTCTTAACGGGTTTTATTATTATTTTTTTTTCCCCTGAGCAGGCGAGGGGTCTGGGGCAACCCCCGATGATTTTCCATATGGGGGGAGCTGTGGTCCATTTTCATATCACACCCAGACCCAGAGAAAGCCCCAACTTGTGGTTTCTCAGTTCCATATGCATCAATTCACAGGCGATTCTTTCATTTCAAGGGGCCATTGCTCGAGGCGACCAGAACCACCCATCGCACCTCAGAGTCCTTGTTGAGATGCCGTTGGCCTCGGTGATTCGTTGTCATCAATTCATTGATGTTGCCCAGAACCTTATTTACACATTCCGCCATTGGAACTCTCTCTCTCTCTCTCTCTCTCTCTCTCTCTCTCTCTCTTCAAATCCCCTCTACTTATGGATGTTTCAACCCTACCCTAGCGGGTGTATTTTTTTTGTATCACATATAGTTTTTGGGTATTATAGTGTCTATTGAACACCATATTCACTACCCACAAGCAAAACCTCTTCATCATCTTGAAGTACTTCATCTCTATTAGTCACCTATTAGATCTCTGTTATTTCTCATTTTGGCCTCTAACACTGTATTTCCCCTAAGTTGGCAGCACCCTTGTCATTAATTATATTAATTTTAAGCTTGGGATCCCATGAATATCAGCTGGTTGTCGGTGTAACTTTGCCCCATCCATCATCTCCCCAGGCGTTGACCTTCTGCAAGACGACTCTTTAATTGGCCATGAAGACCAGCTGCCGACAGGGTACAGTCGATTTTTTTATATAATAAATTTTGGTTGACTTGTGCTCATAGGTAAGGTGATATACGGTGAAGAATCTGGTGATAATAATAACTTGGTCTAAATAGAGCAAAAATGACCTGCATGAAAACACATTTGTTTTAGATTATTCTGTATGATTTAGATACCGAATTATTTCCAATCGTGTCTCTATCAAGCATATAATAATCATGATAGTATATTATGTGACAGCTGGGAGTAATTAATCATTATAATTTCAATTTGAGTTTTTCTTTGTTTTCTCTCACGATTCTCAGAATTGCAACGTGGGTTCCTACGTTGTTGAGCCGTAAGAACAATAGCAAAGAAGAACACTCAGAGAGAGAGAGAGAAAGAGAGAGAGAGAGAGAGAGAGAGAGAGAGGTGCTCGCCTACGAGCCTCCTCAGACGTGTCAGAGCCGACGACTAACCGGGAATCGAATCAAAATCATTAGGGGGACGAAGAGCTGGCGAGCAAAGAAGTAGCTTTGATCATCTCTAGACGACACGGAATGAGCCTGCTCCCTGTGTATATATATACTTGCACCCGTAGAGCAGAGTTCGTATACCCATAGCGAAAGAAGCAAAGGAAAGAAGGATGAAGATGACGACGATGATGCTGATGCTGAAGACCCAGCCGGCGATGGCCCCGCAGGACACAGACTGGCTCATCCCTCTCGGCGCAATCCTCGTCGCCCTCTTCGCCCTCATATGCGTCATGGTGTTCATCTTCACGCGCCGGGGCAACTGCAGGGAGTACGGAGGGTGCGGGTCGCAGGGGGAGACCTTGTTCGGGCACGAGTGCCTCGCGGCAAGCCTCTCCATGCTCCTCCTCGTTGTTCTCTCCCTGGCCGGCCTCTATTACCTCTTCTGCTTCCGTGGCGGCTGCTACGGGGCTGCACTGACCGAGGTCATGGCGGGAGCCGCAGGGAGGAAGGCCAAGGTGATGACCCAGTAGAAGCCCGAGCAGGGGAGTCCACGGACGGCCGCCTCACAAAACGGGAGATGTCCGACAGAGTTTTTGCAGGTTTTTCGTCCCTACATGTAGTAGCCCACGAAGTCTACGTAGCTCTAAAGTACTTGCACCCGTTGACGACTGTCTCACAGCAATAAAACTATGAGGTTCTCAATTTTATGACCAAGTAAACTCTTAGAATCATTTATCAGAGAGGATATGTGGGCGAATACCATGTTTGCCTATCATTTTCATTCCTATAGTTAGCTATTAATTTCCCGATATAGATAAACTTTGTAGCGTTATCATCTTGAAGACACTATCGTCATCTTCATGGAATTCCCTTCCTCACTCCGAGACTCGGAGAGTGGGTTCGGCGCATGGGCCGTCTTGGCGATCAACACCCCGAGTGGTCAGTATTTGAGGCGTGCAGTGATACTAGGGAGCTACATTGATTTGGAGGTGTTATGACGCTGGTTTGCATGAGCAATTGGACTTTGGTGTTGATTTCATGCCCAGCTTAAAAGACTGCAATCACACGCATTTTGAATGTTGTTGGTGACTGGGTTAGATGATCAGGCAAGCACTCGAAGCTCTCCCACATTGAGACGATAATGTTGTTAGGTTGAAATTTTACATCTAAGTGAAATCTAAATGAGTTTCCATGCCTCTCGTGAAGCGTCACTAAACCAAATTATATATAAAAAAATTCAAGCTCCATCACTACACTCACCCATTTTTAATATTCACCTACCATGTAATTGATATTGATCCAATTGTTGCAATTTATTGAGCATAACACTCACTTTCAATGTTGTAAAAGTCACAATTTAGATATGCAAATAGTTCATTTAAGCTACTTGAAATGGACTCAATGCAAATAATATAAAGATTGACTACAACATAATCCGCTAGAAGCTAATTTCCAGAGGATGAATCCAATAAAAACATGCAGGCTAGGAATCACCAAATAGTAAAACCGTGTTTGGCCCTTTGACCGCTCATAAAATCATTTATGAGGCAATACTTGGAAATTCACATGGAAGCGGAACAATATCCAAATGATTTTCCTATTCCTATAAATAGTAATAATGCCAAGTCGTTTTTAGATTATTCAAATGGGAGGTAAAAGCTTTGGATCCCACCAAGCATGAACAAAATTACATACAAAGAAAACCGTTCAAGAAGTTGCACGTGAATGGATTTGGTAGTCAAGTGAACAAACATTGTGGTAGCCTTTTCTGTTGACCTTAACCAAACTTAAGTTGTGGCACCAGCACCAGCACCAACAGAGCTCATAGATCTCATGTCAGAACCCCAGCAAGATCTAGCGAGGGTGAAAGAAAATATTGGAAATTATGGCACCCTCCTTCTAATTGGCATTTACCAGCATAGACCTAGCTTAGCCCATCGCACTCACCAGGGGTAGAATAGTAAGATCCACGCTACACGTTTCTCAGTGCTAGGGATCGCCAGGTTTCAGCGGGGAGATATTGAGTTTCGCTTCCTCCCTTGTTTTATTTGAATAACTTTTCTTTTTTTTTTTTTGCTTGAAAATTATTTCGAAGCGTTGTGGAATTGCATGAGAAAGAAAATACGGCTCCTACTAGCCTTGTAGCTGGCACTCCTCCCAGAAGGATCGATTCCATGGAACATCTTGAAGCAGAACTCCTTGGTCTAGAACTAAATTCCCCCTTCAACTGGATGTGGAAGTCGGTATTCTCTTCCTTTTCCTCATAGTAATGTCTTTATTTTCAATTAAAGTGAGATTCTAATTTCTCTAATGTGTAAAACTATGAGGCAATATTTTCCTAAAAGACATTAAAAAAATAATCAGTAAAGAATAGAGTGATGATATTATGGATGAAGAAACTAAGATAGAGTGATGATCCTATGGAAGAACAACTGCGTGAGTGATGATCTTTTGGAACGTTTTCATCAGTCTTGTGGCGTGTATAACGATGAATTCGTTTATAAGCCTTCTCATGCGGACCCATCCAACGAGGGAAATTAAATCATGGGCCTCTTCAAGAACGGAGGCCCGGGCTCTTTCTTCTTTCGCCTATAAATTATTTTTCAAGAAATTATTACTTTCTCTCTCTTCTCCGACACCCAGAGACGAATCATATGGAAGAATGTACTTCTTACATCGTTCAAGGCACTCTCCATAAATCTCACGTGTTCTATCTTCCCATTGGAAGAGAGATTTGCTCCTCCCCATGTGGGCGGGAGTCTGCTCCTCCCCATGTGGAGCAGAAGAGATTTGCGGTAAATTAATGGGTAGGCTGCGCCGAAAAACGGAGAGATAGATCGCCAAGAACAGGCCAATGCACAGCGATGCGAAGATCTGATTCTTGTTGAATTGACATCATTTACCAGTGGGAAATTTCCAGTAAGCTTCATGGTCGAGTGGAGAATATACTAGTACAAATAATGCAACAGACCCCCCCCCCCCGGCGACGATCCATGGCAGAACGATATCGATGAATCGTCTTCTGGTGAGAGCTGGACCAGTCCCGACGAAGGCCACCATCATTCAATTATTTATACTCCAAAGAAGGTCAGTGAGCGAGCAGAGGGGAGAAGCCCGGGCAGAAAGAGTAGGCGCGTGGAGTCGGCGAGAAGACAAAGATTGACGGTGACTGACCGCGAGAGGGAGATGGAGAGCCTTCTGCAGATGCATGGGAAGAAGATGGTGACCATGGACGACGTCAGAGGACGAGGCGGTGGGGAAAACTTCGTCGTAGAGGGTTTGAGAGGGTTCCTGGTCACCCTCAGCAGCTTCTTGCAGAAGCTCGAGCAGATGCTACCGCCGGAGAACCGAGCGAGCGGCCCGCCGGAAGACACCGAATGGATCTTCCGTCACTTCTCCATCTTCCTCGTGGCCATCACCCTGGTGGCTCTCATCTACTACGTCTTCTTCAAGGGTGGTGAGCGGGGAATGAACGGCGGCTGGAAAGCGACCAAGATGATGATGCCGCCACGAAGTGGGCCGCCGACGCTGTACGAGCACGAGCTGATTGTGGCCGCAATCAGCCTGCTCCTCCTCATCATCCTCTCCCTGGGTGGCCTCTACTACTACTACTGCTACCAGGCGGGCTGCTTCGGAGACGGTGGCCACCCCGCCATGCTGATGAATGCCGCTGGGAGGAAGACCAGAATTATGAGTAGGTAGACGTGAGAAGCTTCGATGAAGGGGGGGGGGGAGGGACGGCTGGAAATAAGGAATATTTGTAGAAGATTCTCTATGTAATAAACGGTAGAAGAAGCTCTGCGAGTGTTGGGCAAGAGGTTTCTGCTTCATCCCGACATATTTTGGATGCTGAAAAGCATTTACTGAGAGCTTTCTTCCTGATACTAGGGTTTTAATTCCTCGCCTGTAAGTTCTCGCGCTGCTTTCCATGTTGAAATGAAGCAGAAACCTAAGAGTTTACCTGTATCCGTCCACTCCTGTAACTCTCAAGTCATCCTCGTCCTCGTCGTCATCGTCGTTGTGGTGTTGTCGATCGAGCCGCGTCGCCATTGCGGTCGTTTTTCATCTTCCAATAGAAGAGACGGAATGCCATTTTATCCTTTATCGGAGAAGAAAAGCCTGAGATCATTTATGAACGCCTAAAATCCTAAGCCGAGATTTTACCATATTTTGCTTGTTCCAACCCCTAGCAATCACATCAAGAATAAGGTTTTTTGTCAATCAGATGATGTGATTTTCTGTGGCCGTCGGGGGCCGGAGGGCGACAGACGATGCGCGGGTGCAATAAGACATCGAGAAAAATGAGTAAAAAAGCTCAAGAGAGGACTCATGGTGCCTCCATCGTTTCCAATAATTGGCAACTGATACAGTGATATTTTTCCTTATTTATTCTGGACAGCGAATCGAAGGTATCGGTGGAGAAGCTAAGAACTTGGTTGTGTAGAGAGAGAGAGAGAGAGAGATGTGGCATTCCGAGGAGCTGCTCCAGCGGGAGATGGGCGAGAAGGCGCTACTTCGGAGCCTTGCGCGCTCCGCCGAGTTCCTTCTGCAGAAGCTCGAGGAGGACGGGCCAGCGGCGACGCCATCGCTTCGTGGCCCGTGGATCGCCGCCGTCTCCATCCTCCTCGCGGTGGTTCTCTTCGTGGTGGGCCTCATGTACTACGTGTATCGCTGCGGGTGCTCCAATTCGAAGACCAAGAGGATGCAAGCGGACGTCTGAGAACGCTCGTTGGCCGCAGCCGCCTCTCCCTCCCCATAATGTCAACGGCCACCTCTGACTAAGCTATGCTAGTTATCTGTGTTACAGAGATCGAAAGTCGCGTCCACAAAGCGTAAACTCGCGATCGTTACTGGGGTCTGTATTCACGTTGACTCCTTATTGAGCCTCAAACTATCGAACCTCGAAATTTTCAAAAAGCAAAAAAATCTATAATCCGTTGACTCCATATTCTTTTGTGGTATTTGACGAGAGAAGAAGCACATTATATTGAGGATTGTGTCGTGCTTCCTGATGGAAAGCGAGAGAGAGAGGGAGAGAGCGAGAGAGATTCAACCAGTTCGTACGTCGTGAGCAGTGCCCGTGCAAAGAAAATCCAGGTTGGGAAACACGGATCATACAACTATGGACAACAGCTAGGGTTGTATACTGATGAATTCTAGCAACTTACACAGAACCAAAGAACAAATTCGACACGTTTCTCTAATGGCGTCTCTATTTGATGCAACAATCCATACTAGTTCCCAATATGTGGTTGCTACTTCGTAGAAAGGAGGTCACCATATATTTGATCCAAGTTAGAGGACCCAAAAGCCCATCTCTGAGAAAAATCACTGAAAATATCCGATTAAAAAAATATTTTGCCCAAGTTTCTACCATGGTTGGACGAAGAACGCGCAACCCATGAAGAAGTCAACCATGGTTGGACGACGAGATGCTGTCGCCATGAGGACTTCTCAGGCCCTCAGGGCTTCAGTCAGTCAGTAAGTAAGATATTTAAAACACGGTGCAACCACATGGATCGCATCTTCCCATGACGAGAACATTTCCGCGGAGTGCTTGCGCGATGATTTCGGGGCATCTAGACGAGGGCAGGAAGCTTCACAAGGAGGAGAGGAATCCGCATATCTACGAGAATAGAAGCCACCCGAATCCCATTGTTTCCCTTTTTTAGTTATTTATTGAGGAAACACACGGCAGCTTATCCCCCCACGTTCCCATCCTTCTACCAACTGGTATGTAATGCCCCCTCCTTTGGATCTGGGAACGACCATCTATGGATAGATAGATCTATATAAATATATACTTTTACACACATTCATACATAGAGAGAGAGAGAGAGAGAGAGAGAGAGAGAGAGAGAGAGAGAGAGAGAGAGAGAGAGAGAGAGAGAGAGAGAGAGAGGTGTTGAGAAGCTTGAACTTGGGCGAGATGGAGACTCTGGGGGCCCTGCGGGAGGCTCTCCGGCGGAGCTCCGGCGAGTTCCTGATGGAGAGGCTGGGCCTGCCCTTCCCGCGGTGGGGCTTCAGCAGGCTGCCAGCGGCGTGGTCGTCTCTGGACGATATGTGGTTCTTCTGCCTGGTGGTCGTCCTCCTCGTGATCGTCTCCCTGGCGGCGGTCATGTTCCACTTCTTCCGCTGCGGGTGTTCCGGGTCGTCCTCCGGCGGCGGCACCGTCGCGAGGAAGGGCAGAGAGCAGCGCGGCTGGGGGATTCCATGACAGACTGGTCGCCCACACACGCCGATCAGAGCTCCGGCAGGAGGATGAATTCAGGCATCCGTTCCCTTGGTCAACGACGATTAAAATAATTGGTTAGATGTAACATTGTCGTGACGATTTTCAATAAATATAGTTGAGGAAGTCTAGTCGTCACCCAAGATTCATTATCGGTTTAATCCATAGACTTTGTAGAGTATATCCGACCCTTTTTCGGAAAAATACTAAAAATATATTTATTTCAAGAAAATAAACAAAAATGTGTAGTCGTCGACTAAAATCTTGGGCATGGGCCCAATTTGGGCCGTGACCGTCTGACATTGAATGGTGGGGCCCAGTAAAAAGGTTCCAAAAGTAAGCCCATCTCGAGATTTTCGGCGGCCCAGGGATGGCATTTGGATCCCTCCGAGGGGTTTTGATGGAGATGATGTTGGAAGGAAAAATATGAACAAATGATAGCAGCGGCTGTGGGATTTCCTTCTCGTGATTATCTATGGATGCCTCCAAGGAGAACATGGCGCCGCACGCTCCCACGCCAGGGAGCCCTGTAATGGGCTTTGTCTTCCTGTCCCGTACACGTTGCGACGGAGACCCGAGCGGCCATCCTTTTCGTCCTCTCCAGTCGGTTTCACCCGCGTGCTTCGCCGTGTAGTCAGCTCTTCTTTCGATTTAAAAAAAGCGACTCCGTCTTGCTGGAATTGCATCGAAGCTCCGGATCTCGGCAGGAGTTGCTCGCAGACTACCAACTCGAGGAGGACGCGGAGAAACCCATTTCGGAGGTTGCGAGCCGTGTTTTTTGCTCGGCTGCTGATCTTGTCGCGGACGCTGTCGTCCGAGGTGTGGGGGATGTGTCCGTTCTTGCTTTGGGATCCCAGTCTTGTAAGATTGGTGCGCTGCCTCGGCTGAATCGCTGGTTTGGTCGTGGGTTTGGTGTTGGATTTATCCCAGACATGCGGCGCAGGGCGCCCGACTTCCGGCGCCCCGCAAGAAGGCGATTCGTGAGTTGGATCTGGTGCCTCCTGCTGGTCTTTTTAGCCTTGGGTACGATGATCTTCATGCTGCAGCCCCGCCGGGGGGCCCCAATACAGGTAAGCGAAGAGGGCACTCCCAGTCACTGATGGAATTCATTTCCTTCTCCTCATTTCTCTTGTGGGCTCATGGCTTATTTGCCTTCTCCTTGTTCCCCCCTCAATCAGCTGAGGCCGCTAGAAAAGGTCATTGATGTATTTTTCATTAGTAGATGCTTTCCCGTTGGTCTTTGACCGAAGGAAGTCTTCTTACGTTGATGTTGGCGTTGAGCTTAGCACCAATCTTAACGTGGATACCTAGAGTTATGCGGTAGTTCTTCCCGTGTCGAACATCACACCCAATCTCTGGTGGGTTGCCAGATACTTCCACTGCTGATGGAAGATATCTCCTTGAGTCACCTATTGCTGTCATATGAGATCAAGTGTTCTTGATGCAGTTGACGGTTATCTTATTCGTGGTATCATTTATATTTCCATGGCTATAGTAGAATCTTCTTTGGAAGAAGAAGAAAAAAAAGGGAAGAACTTTGCAGCAGGGTTTTTTTCCCTGGGCCTTGATCTTGACACTTTAGAGAAGATTTCTTCGTTGATTCTTCGTTGGCCTGTGATGAACAATCGTGTGTGATGGGCTTTTCTTGGACACTATAATGCTTCTCGTTTAGGATCCATAATTGCTTGCATTTGGACTGATATCCGGAATACTGAGAAAGATATGCATGGTTTAGTCATCTTTACCATACTTGTCATGGGCCAAGTGGAGAAGAAGCGTGTACCTGTTCTTAAGCTCGGGCCTGACCCTGTAGATTTCCCCATTAGGAAGGAATTCACAGTGGAGGGAAGCAGGCAGATCCACGGTAGGGAGGGAGGCTGGAGGAGTGCCTGCTTGGTTGGACCTAATCTATTTATGAATCGGGCCCCCAACCTGCAATGAGATTTACCGCATTGCCTCGGTGAAGATGGGTGATATTTAAGGAACGTTCTTCATGCTCCATTGCTTGGCTTCAACATATCTGCATCCATCCAGTTAAATATTATTTTCGGAATTTATGGTTGAAACCATACCAGTAGACTCTTTATACATTGATAAAGCATGCGCTCTGTCTGACACAGCGTGCAGTTACCCGAGTGACCTAATTGCCCAAACTATGATTTTGGTTGCATTTTTCTACCACACGGTTGATTGCATCAAAACGCTTAGAGAGAGAGAGATGTAAGAGAATGATTTAATATAGTGTATGGCATATGCATGGGTTATTTTATATCAGATGCCCATTTTGATTGTTATTTACTATGTCACTGCTTTTTCAGCTATGGATTATTTTCTCTGAAAGTTAGGATCTTTGCCATGCAAAAGGCTCTCCTGCAGATATCTTAAAGTTAAACAAAAGGCTTAAAGTCAACCCCCCCCCCAACTCCCTTATTTATGGAAATATTTCATTACCATGACTGCTTCCAGTGGCTTCGTAGGCTGAGTGTTACCAATCCAGCATACCCTTGGATTTTGTTTGTGACATTGACCAATACCTGGCTTTCTTTCTCTAGGAACTTTGAGACAATGATGTGGCAACGAGTTATGCTTGTTGATTGCTCTGATTACCGGAACTTAATTGCTTGATAATTGCAGGCCTCATCGTATAGAATATTCATCCGCCATTGCTTTGGCACGAGCCGTCCTTCTGTTTATTTCTGTTCTTTTCTGGATGAATTTTCCCATCTTCTCTGTAATATCGGAATTTAATCGCAACATCTCTGAGGAGAAAGTTCATCAATTTTTTTTTTTAAATTCTAGTTCGCGGGAAGAAGAAAAAAGTTTTTCTGTGCCCAAATTCGGTAATTTACTTTGCTCGTAATATAAATTTGACCTACAGTTGACTTCCAATTTTACATAGCGTGTGATAGTGTTCTCAAGTGACCCTATGGTTTGGCTCTTCTTGATCCCTCTTCTTCTTTGTTCTTTCCTCAGGACTCCAGAAAATCGAATCGGAGGTCGCAGCGTGAGACCTTTGACTTGAAAAGGGAGCTGTCGAGTGCCACGTCTTTTGCCCGGCAGCTGGTTGAGCAGATGACCCTCGCCAAAGCCTACCTTGTCATGGCCAAGGAGCAGGGAAACCTGAAACTCGCCGGGGATCTCAGTTCACAGATCAGGAGCTGCCAGCGCCTTCTCTCTCAAGCCGCCACTGGAGGAAAACGGATCACCCTGGAAGAAGCTCAGCCCGTCATCAGCAAGCTGGCGCATCTGATCCTTAAGGCCCAAGAGTCCCACTTTGACATTGCGACCACCATAGTCACGCTCAAGAATCACATCCAGGCCCTGGAAGCCCGGGTCAACGCGGCAACGGTGCAGAGCGCTGAGTTCGGTCGGCTGGCCTCCGAAGCCGTGCCCAGATACATACACTGCCTGAGCGTGAAGCTTACGGTGGACTGGCTCAGCAGCTCGTCTCTCAGGAGGCTCGAGGAGGACCGGAGGAACCAAGCTCGGCTCGTGGACAACAGCCTCCACCACTTCTGTGTGTTCTCTGATAACCTGTTGGCCGCATCGGTGGTGGTGAATTCCACCGTCTCCAATACGGATCACCCCCAGAAGCTTGTGTTCCATGTGGTGACGAACAGTGCCAATTACAGGGCCATGAGGGCCTGGTTCCTCGTGAACAGCTTCAAAGGTTGCACAGTGGAAGTTCGAAGCATGGAGGAGTTCTCCTGGTTGAACGCCTCCCACTCACCGATGGTGAAACAGCTTCCGCAGTCCGAGGAGTCCCAGGCTGGCCACCTTGGGAGCCCGAAGCTTGATTCCCTTCTGAGCCACTTGAGATTCTACATTCCGCAGATGTTCCCGTCGCTGGAGAAGGTGGTCTTCCTCGACGACGATGTCGTGGTTCAGAAGGATCTGGCCGCCTTGTTCTCGCTGGATCTGCGAGGGAACGTCAATGGGGCTGTCGAGACTTGCCTGGAGGCGTTTCACAGGTACCACAGGTACCTCAATTTCTCAGACCCGTTGATCAGCTCGAGATTTGACCCGCAGGGTTGCGGGTGGTCTTTCGGGATGAACGTTTTTGATCTGGTGGCGTGGAGGAAGGCCGACCTGACCTCGGTTTATCATCGCTGGCAAGAGCGGAACTCCAATGGCGTACTCTGGAGGACGGGAACCCTCGCCCCTGGTCTCCTGACCTTTCACGGCCTGACGGAGCCGCTAGATCGTAGATGGCATGTTCTAGGGCTAGGGTTCGACCCGGACATTGACAATCGATTGATCGAAAGCGCGGCCGTCGTTCACTTCAGCGGGAGGATGAAGCCATGGTTGAAGCTGTCCATCGCGAGGTACAGACCTCTCTGGGAGCGCTACGTCGACTACAGCAGCCCCGATATCCGCAGCTGCCTCGCTCAGTCGCAGCTCTGATTAGGTAGGAGGATTGATCTTCGCACATTGCCCCAATTTTCCTTTTCGAGATCGTAGAATCTTCTTCTGTGAGATGCATTTATATGAGAAGGATTTTTGTAGCCCAGCCGAAGAGCGGATGATCGATTGAAGAACAGAGGGGGGGGGGCTGCAGGATTTTTTGCGGTTCATACTCGCTCGTGATGTCAAATCTGCGATCTTCATTTGAGCATCTGTTCTTCCATAACTCAATTGTTTAGCTCTCCTTGAGTGAGCGGTGGTTCCTCTTCTGCCGGTTCCTCCCTTACCCTGTCAAGCTTCCCTCGTGACTCTTCCCCGCGGCGGAGCCCGTGTGCGCATTTGTTACCCTTATCAGAAACGGCAGGATGGCCATGGCGACGGAATGAAAGAGGCTGCAATCCTGAGAATTTCCATGATGTGATCTCACTGTAAAGAGGATTCATCAGACGATCCGCCCTTTTCGTCCTTTCCTTCGCCTTTCTCTACTGCCAGCGCGGAAAAGAAGACGAGCTCTCCCTCCTTCATTCACTTCGAGCCCCTGTCTGCTCGCCGCTACCCTGGTTTCCCCATGATGTCTCCAATGAAAGCCTCGAGAAGCACGGGAGGAAGACGATGACACGAGCCTTTTTGCCGTTCTATATATCTGGATCGGAGGGCCCTGGACTCACAAGAAAAGCTCATAAGATGGGGACTGGCCATGGAATCCCCTGCCTTCTCCTGTTCCTCGCGATCGGCCTCCTCTTCTGCCCTGGCTCGAGCTCCTCTGACCATGGCAATCCACGGCTTCCAAATGCTGTGGTGGTGGGAACCGTCTACTGCGACACCTGCTTCCAGCAGGAGTTCTCCAGGACCAGTCATTTCATCCCAGGTGGGTTTCGCTCTGCATGCTTCTCCGGGTGAGGAACACCCATTGAATCTCCCCTGAGATGAAGGAGCTCTGCTCTTCCGTGCTCTGCTCTGCTCTGCTTGCAGGTGCCGTCGTCGCCGTCGAATGCGGCGAGGAAGAAGAGGCGGCAGCGACGAGACCCATCTTCAGGGCGGAGTCGAGGACCGACCAGGACGGCGTGTTCAGCGTCCACTTGCCCCCTCGGATAAGCAAGCACCTGCGGAGGATAAAGTCCTGCTCGGTGAAGCTGGTCAGCAGTAGCGAGCCCTTCTGCGCGGTGGCGTCCTCCGCCACGTCTTCTTCTTCTTCCCTGCGGCTCAAGTCGACGAAGTCGGGTCTCCACGTCTTCTCCGCCGGGTTCTTCACCTTCAAGCCCCTGCAGCAGCCGGAGCTCTGCTACCAGGAGCCCAGCCTCGCCGACTCCCCCCAGCTCGACGCCACCCAGACCTACGCCGACTTTCCCCAGCTGCCTTCTCGTCCGTCTCTCCCGCAGTTGCCGACGATCCCGCAGTTGCCGACGATCCCGCAGTTACCGACGCTCCCGCAGTTGCCGACGATTCCGCAGCTGCCGACCCTGCCCAGTTTGCCGGGGCTGGAACTGTCGAAACTGCCGCGACCACAGGCCACCCGCAGCGCCGCCTCGTTCATGGACCAGAAGCAGGACCGCCCGGTCTTCTTCTTCCCGTCTCCGCCCAGCCCCTATCACTCTGCGCCCCCAGTTCTCCCCACCACCCCCTACCGAGCTCCGCCGTCGATTCTCCCCACCATCCCCTACAAGTCTCTGCCGCCGATTCTCCCCACCACCCCCTACGGAGCTACGCCGTCGGTTCTCCCCACCAATCCCTTCCAGTCTCCACCGTCGGTTCTCCCCACCAATCCCTTCCAGTCTCCGCCGTCGATTCTCCCCACCAACCCCTTCGGGTCGCCGCCGTCGCTTGTGCCCTCCAACCCCTTCCAGTCGCCGCCGTCGGTTCTGCCGTCCAACCCATTCCAGTCGCCGCCGCCGGCCTTCCAGCTACCGCAGTTTCCCTTCCCGCAGAGCCCCTTCTTCCCCGGCACCCCCCCTTCTTTTCCTTCTTCGAAGGGCGGCGCAGCGGCAACTCCGTGACCGCCCCTGCTCTGCTCACGCTGGATGGATCGATCAGTCGCCGTCTTCGGAATAAGCAGCAGCACAGCAGAAACTCCGGTCGGAATAACAGACGAGCTTCCGTAGTAGCCTGTATAGATGACGTCCTCCTTTGCATCTTCGACGCTGTCGCTTCTAACGACTCATTATAGAATCATCGCTGTCAGATCTTCTTCAGATATGAAAAAATCAGAGACTAGAATCTGGAACGAACTACAGAAATCCTTAGGCTTCCCAAAAAACCCACACGGCCAAGCCGTCGGCTGTCACCGGAATCCCGGTCGTCGTCGAGAGATTTGGTGGGGGGGGAGGGGTGGGGCGGGCAAGGGATCCCGTTAAAGACCGGCGGCGGTGACTGATTGCTCACCGGATAAACATGATCCCCGGCGGCCCAACGCGCACCTTTCCGCCGGAAGGGGCCAAAACGGAGGCGGAGGGGCGGTGGCCCGCGGGGGCCACATCGAACGGAAAGTGAAAGGTGGAGTGGAGCGAAGGATAAAGCTCCCGTTGTCGCCGTCGTCGCCGTCGTCGCCGTCATTGTCAGCGGGCCGATTCCCGCCGCTCCTCCGTGGAGAAACCTAGGCCTCTCCTCCATCCACCGGGGTCGCTTCCACCATGGTGGCGCTTCGGAATCAAACTAGCGTGCTGACCGAGAACTACTTTCTATTGGGTCCGGGTTGACAGGCAACTGGGTGAATCGATCATTTTCGATGTCGGAAGAAGAAGAAGAAGAAGAGTCCAGTGTCCCGGAAAGCTTTTTCTATGTACAAGAGCTGAACTGAATTTCCACTTTCAAAGCATCTGTATTTACATCATATTTACAGAAGTGTAGAACAAGCACGATCGTGATTCCCTGTGCATCGATCAGCTAGCTTTAGGGTGGGTTCTTTCGATGTCTGGTCCACGGGCCAGTCCCCTTGGACAACAAATGGCGGCGCGGCGGCCAGCGAGTGCTGTAGTTGTGATGGGTTTCTCAGGGCACTCAGAGAAACCCCCCTCCGCCGCCGCCGCAGGAGAGAACAAAGAACAGATATGTACATTCACGGCCGGATTTGCAAAGAGATCTAGTAGGGCCTGAGCAGCCCGAAGTTGCAGAGGGACTTGGACTTGAACAGGCCGCCGAAGAGGAAGCGCGTGGGGGACTCCTCCTGGGGCCTCAGCTGCTCCGGGTTCCCCTTCACCTGCAGCACCGTCAGGCCGATCGCCTGCCGCACTGCGTCGATGGTCTTGGAGTCGACGGCACTCCCCCCGGCGTCCCGCACGTAGAAGGTGTTCACCGCTTTGCCGCCCCTCGTCGTCACCTCCGCCCGCGTCACCGTCAGACTGTTCTCGCGGAAGATCCTCGTCACGTCGGACAGCAGGCCGACCCTGTCGCCGGTGCTCAGCTCCAGCTTCAAATCCTGCAAAAACAGAAGAGAAGGATCGAGGGGGTCATCTTCGTCGTCTTTCTTTCTTTCTTGCTCAAGAGGGAAGAAGAAGGAAATCCCACCTCGGACACCCTCCTCTCGATAGCCGCTTCGAGGCACTGGATTACTCGTTGCCTCTCCGCCTCTGAGTTGACCGGGGATCCATCCACATGTCGGATGTAGAATTCCTTCACGGTGATCGAAAGCAAAAAAAAAAGTTTACCAGACCTGAACAAGAAGACCGCAGCTAGCTAGCTAGCTAGCTAGCAGGAAGCAACCTACCTGATAAGCTCCGGGGCCTTCGATGCCGATGTTGGCGTGGAAGACGACGTACTGCATGTCTGTGAGAGTGCAGACCGTGTCGAACAGGAGCTTCGGCCTGTCCTTGCACCGAATGGTGACCACCGAGTAATCTTTATCCTGCCAGTTGACCACAGTCACATTGGGCCTGGGCTTCTCGTCGGCGGCGGCGGCGCCGTCTCGGTTTGACCTCTCGTAGTCTCGGTCGTCGAACATCATCTGGTGGAGGCGCCGCTCGGTGTGGGTGGCCCCCAGGGAGACGGCGGTCCTCGCGCCGCGGTTCTTGTTGCTGCCCTTGAGGACGTTGCAGAGGAGCTCCTTGATCTTAGCGAGCCTCTCCGGGTCGGTGATGGCGGCGCCGCTGGCCTCGTCTGTGACGTGCATCACCGCCGCCGCCCTGGTGTTGTGCGTCCAAACCTCGGCGTTGACCACGTTGCACTTCAAGCTGTTCAGCACCGCAGAGACCTCGGAAAGCAAACCAGGCCTGTCCGTCCCCGTCAGCTCGATCGAAGTGTACTCGCTCGAAGCCGCCACGCCCACAGATCTCCTCTTCGATGGCAGATAACCAGAGTCCGCCCCTAGAGACTGCACAGAACCACCCGCCGCCGTCAGTCTTACCTTCCCCGGGGATAAAGACGGTCGGTCAACGGGAATGTGGCACCTTCGTGTAGTAGCAGTACCTTGCGGATGAAATCCGCGACGGCGTTGACCGTCACCTCATCCCCCAGCTTCTTCCCTTCTCTGTCGGTGACGTTGAAGACTGTTGCAGCCCAAGAAGATTGTGTCAGATTGCTGCCGGTGAGGCAGATCAGTGAAGAACTCGACGAGCAGTGAAGAAATCGGAAGAGAGCTCTTGGAGATGATACCATCCATGAACCACCCTCCATCGGATGATATGTAGGCCTTGGAGATGACGAGATTCAGATCTGTCAGAACCTGAACCACCTCGAGAAGAATTCCGTGCTTATTCGCACTATCGACCTGAGGGATTAAACACGGGATTCCGACGATGAGCTGAGAAAAATACGAACAAATGGACCAAAAAAAATATGATGAGCGCGTGAAATGAACACGGGAGATTACCTGAATGACTGTCGCGTTCCCGCACGATTCGTTGTCGATGACGACCCTGGTTGGGATGGACGAAGAACCGGAAGAACAAGATCTTCAGGAAAATTCATGCCAAATCATTGAAAAAATATCGGCTAGGGGCGGATAATCACCTCGGCGGGTTCAACCTCCGAATCAACTTCTCGTATTCGTCATCCATATCCCATGAAGAACTCTGATGTGTCTCTGCAGGAAGCGCGAATCAGTTCAGTAGGTTTTAGGAAGGAACAGGGAGTCGGTCGGAGTAACAAAATTATAACCGAGGAAGAAGAAAAAAAAAAGGGAAAACTGAAACCGAAGCACATCTTGATTCCACACGAAGCGGACGGCAATAACGATTAGGAATCACGAAGAAGCCGAACTTCGGAAGCGAATCCTCGGTCATCAGGCGTAATAAATAAGGCAGAAGAACGCATCGGAAAGGGAAATTAAGCAGCGGAAATTCACAAAAACTGGAACAAGATGAGCACCGCCAGAACAGGTGAACACAGGGGAAATGAGAAACACTTGTTGAATTCCCGAACAAAAGAAGCAAGAACATCACCAATCATGGCCGTCAGAGACGAGGCGGCACCCAAAATGAGGAATCGAGCGATAAGAAATGAGAAATGATCGAGGAGGGATCCCTCTGACCGTAGGTGTAGACAGAACACAAAACGGGGGCCTAGCTATCGAGACCGATGCCTAGTAGCAACAATAAAGGCAGTACCCATTGTAGGCGCCTGGGAATCAAATGCTTCTCAGAACGTAGAGATTCCGAACACAGTACCACTTCGAGGTCGCGGAATTCCTGCAGGAAACACGACGGGACTTTGCCCTTTTCCTCCCCTCTTCCGTCTGTCTGGCGCACTCTCTCTCTCTCTCTCTCCCCCCTCCCACTCCCTATTCTCCCTCCCAGCGAGTGGGTGGTAGAGGACGTAGAAAAGCAAACCAGAGCCCAACACGACAATCCAAAAGCTGAAACTGCTACAGTAGCACTTGCAGAGATTCCTCCTCTCTCTCTCTCTCTCTCTCTCTCTCTCTCTCTCTCTCTCTCTCTCCAGCACCCACCCTCCCACCGTCTGTCCCAACCCCCACAGGGCAACCCCCCACGCGCCTTACCACCAAAAGAAAGGGATGGGAGCGTTGAGGAGCGAGAGTTGAAGGCTCCCTCCCTCTCTCTCTCTCCCTTTCCACGCCTTTCTCCCTCCTCCTCACCTCCTTCCCCTTCCTCTGAAACTCTGGGGCCGCCCTCTCCGCCCACTGACCTGCCCGTCTCACCCTTTTCTACTCCCCACCGTCTGCAGATCAGCATGCGCGACTCGTCAACAACCCGGTGAAAAACGCCGCTCCTCCTCTTCCTCGTTACTCAGTCGATAAAATGAATCCCAGAGGACTCATTCACCACCTCTGAAAATGTTAACGGCAGCCCAATCTGCGGACAACAAAATTATACTAATACCCCCAAGTATTCACCCACCTCTCGAGATACCCCAGATCGAGCCGATTCTCGTCCCAGGGACTTTTCCGGAGTGTTTTTCGACTCTCACGTGACTGCGCAGGGTTACGTCTCCAATATATTATGGTTTTTTGGTTTTCAGCCCCCCCGAAAACAAAATGTGTTAATTATCCATTCCAACCCATTCAATCGCGTCCCTAAAGACCAGGAAAAGAAAAACGGAGGGGAATTCTCTATAATGCTGCGCTGAATCTCGAATGTCAAACCCCCCTCCCCCCCTTATCCAGCCCGCCGCCATTCAAGATCTACGCCCCCCCCCTCTCTTGGTCCCCCCGATCCGAACCACCCGCAGTAGGCGGATCCAGTTGGTTGCCCGCAAAAGCGCCTCTCTTTCCTGCTGGCGTGAACCACGTTGACCCGTTGACACTTGAACGCCGCCGACTGGGATGGGTCCATCCCTACGAGAAGTGGCCTGTCTCAGATAGCCGATTAGCTGAAATCGTACCGAGAGATTAATCCGGGTCCGGGAGGTTTATTCCCCAGAATATTCCCTCCCCGGTGACGCGACTCCTCCTCGTGGTGTATGTGCATATTATATACTGGCTCTGCTGCCCTCGCCCATCCCACGGCGGCGCCGAACGGGGGCCACCGCCACCGTTTGACCGTTGCGGCCGCCGGGATTTCCGGCTCCGGTGCCTCGAGATCCGGCAGCCCGAGTGGAGGAGAAGAGGGCGCACCGCCTGCCGCCTCCGTACGGCGAATCTTTGGCTATCTGGCGGTCGGATGCTGCCAGGTGTTCGCCCCAAGTCCAGCGCACACCCCAATAAATGCATCGACCTAGCTACGTTGACCGGTTAAGAAGGCTGGTCAACCTTGAAGTCTGTAATACAATACACCGCTAATATCAATGAAAATATGTTTAGGCGTACGGTCAAATCTCGGTTGCCACGTGTATCTATCTATTCAGAGGTAGTCTTTAGACTATTGGGAGCCAGGCGCCGTTCTCTGCCGGCCACATGTATTCCTGACTTCGCCAGCCAACTGTGACGTGGAATTCCGATCGAGGCCTCGTGGCTGAGGGCCGTCCGATCACGGTGAGCCCGGGGGGACGGTCTGATCGGAAGGCCACCTGCCGCCAAGGTGCTCGTATCTGCGCTGGGATCCGAGATCGATCAGAAAGAGACCGCGTTTTTTTGGGCCCATCGATTCCGTGATTGATCTGGGCGGCGGATCCCGGTCGGATAAGGGAACATGAGGACTTGGGAGGAGGGGGATTCGTGGGGACCACACAAGGGTTCGGATCCTACGGTTAGCTATTCGGGTTATGATCCGAACCAATTTATTGCCCGAGAATGTTCAGATCCAGGGAGAAAATTTCTGTCGCTGCGTCCCCAGAGAAGACACTCATGGTCGGTAACGTGGCTGTCTCCACGTGAACGCGCACCGCTACCATCCATTGCGAAGCCTACGCAGTCTCCCGAATGTGTGCGATAATTAGTATTCAGTTATTATTAGATTATATCAGATTATAGCTGCCACTTGTCTTTACGGGCTTTTATTTATTCCGCCGACCTGTTTCAATAAGGGAAGCCGATTTGAGAACGGAATGTCAATGTCCATAAGTTATCTTCGTTCTTCTTAATTCATCGTAGACCCCTCAAAAGTCGACACGTTGCGTTCTCACGATTTGGACGTTTCAACGGGCCAGCTGGGTTGGCTTCCATCTCTGACGTCATCCTTTTCGTGGTTGATGACGCCACGTAGGCATGCTCCCATTAGTCCGACGTCGGAGAAGCGTCTCCACGGTCAACCCTCCCCTCGAAATGTTGAGATCTGGCGAAAAAGGCGGCTTTCGAAGCTCCAATCTAGGAGCGGCGCACTCCCAGTTCTGTGGAGACCCAAATCGTCACAGAGACGATAAATACAAACAAAAAAATGCACCTTTATAATTAATAATATTTATTTTTGAAATCTCTGGGGATTAATAATATATGTTCGTTTTCAAAATATTAAATAAAAATCCGCGGCATTCAAAAGAGGCAGTCTTTTACTAGTCGAGTTCGCCAATCAAATTCTCACAAAATACTGGAAATTAAGATGTGGATTAAAAGTAAGAGATTTGAATGACTCACCGAGAGGAGTTGACTTTTCGCTCGTACCGAGAAAAGCAGAGTAGCTAAAGTCAGAGCCCATTGGTTGACGTCCCGAGATTCACATGGCCGCCGCTGACATAACAGCTGGATCCAGTAACAGTGCACTGTAGATGAGAGAGAGAGAGAGAGGAGGGGCAGTAGGAAGCGACCACAGTAGACGGAGGGGGAAGTCGCAAGTCATTACTGTACTCGCTGATACTGATACCTCAAGGAACGAGTTCTTTTCCCATTTTGTCCCTTCACCGACCGTAACGGCCCTCTTCCTCGGTCGCGTGCTCGCCCGCCAAAAATGCGCGGGTAGGGTTTGAACAGGAGATTGGCTGGGCATCGTACTCGGCTTGGAAGGGAGCTTGGAGTGGCTCGCCGGAGAGCCGCGGTATGGAGGAGGAGAGAGCGGTCGAAGTACGCGGCCTCGACGGTTCGTCGACGGTGGTGCGCATCTCGCCGGAAGGCACGGTGGAAGACTTGAAGGCCATTCTCAAGGAGTCGTTCCCTCCCGCGAAGGAGTCTCTTAATTTTCGCCTGTTCTACAAGGTTCGTGGGATGCGTCGATCAATTTGTTGAAGATATCTCTTTTTCTTGACGATTTTCTTCGCTGGAGTTCGTTTCGGATTGGCCTTTGGTTTCATCGACGGTTTGTTTTTCCCGCTTCGCCCAAACCTTGACAAGTCATGTGAAACTGGTTCAGGGTGCTCAACTGAGAACTGGAAGCTCTATAAGGAGCCATCTGATCGAGCAGGGTGAATTCGTGGTCCTGGTTCCTTTTGCGAAGAGAACGACGGAATGCCAACCACCGGAGAGTCCGTCTGGTGGGAGCGCCAAAACGTCAAAATGGTGGAACCAAGCTGAAACTTCTGCGGATGCAGATTCGGCTTGGTTGGATATGATGGAGGACCTCAGATCATTGTCAGACGCTCCCGATGCGTCTCCACTCGGCAACGTTGTGCTAGAGGGCAATATGTCTCATGGGAAGCGTAATGTGGAGGGGGGTAGTTCTCCGGCAACCAAAAGTAACAGGGGGGAGTCTTGTTTCCTTTTCCTTCGAAATTTTTTGCACAATAGCAGATTTTTTTTAGATTCACTACCTGGGGGTCAGAGTTCTTCCCCAGTTTCAGGTTTAGCTGATTGTTTGTCAGATCCAGACAGCAGAAAGTGTTTTTTTTTCGAGGAATTCTATCGTAGCTCTTTGGAGGCGGGCCTCTGCATGTGTCCAGTATGGTTGAAGAGGCTAGTGAAATGTTTCTCTTTTCTGAATGCCGCGCATGGTATCCTACTAATGCAACGCAGATGCATCGAGTGGAAATGTCTAAGGCAGGCACTGGAGCAGCCGGGTGTTCTTCAGATTGAGGACATTAGTATCTCAGATGTGGAGCATCTTCTGAATTTTTGCCCAGAGGTGGTTACTCTCTTACTCCATTAGAACTCTGATTTTTTAAAATCTTTTTCTATTCTATTTTTTAATATTATTAGTTATTTTTATTACTTTATCCCGGATACATTTCTCTCGATGGCATTTCTTAATGATTTTAGGATGAGTAGGGACATTTTCTTCTCGCAGAAGTCGCATATATGTGCCAGAATTCGGTACAGAAATAGATTCGGTTATGTTTCAGAGTCTTGTAGACAACCTTGTATCATTAAAACTGATATTGTTGTGCATGGGATGAAAGACCGAAGGAATCACAGTCTAACACAGTTCTTTCTTGCCTTCATTAAAAGAACATAAGAGTTAAAATGGCACGCTGCTAGGTAAAACAAAGAATCTTGGAGAGGAAGATAATCGTCGTGGAGACTCTTAGAGATTTAAATAAGAAATTTATACTCTGCATTATTACACCAGAAGATATCCTGAGAGTCGGTACATACGGTTTATAGGGATCATACCTTGGTGGTACTGGAGTTATTGTTGAGAATGAGAATAGAACTTGTTTCTCTAATTGGATGTTTCAAGGATTCATTTACACCGTTACAAAATTAACTTCAAAAACATTTTTAGTCTTGCCGAAATCAATCCATATCTAAGACTGGGAACTGATACACCCAAGTAACATCCATAAAGACGGTCCGTTCTGGATATCCTTGTGGATTTTTTTTATCATTCAAGCATACTTTTTCCGTCCTTTGTGTTTGGAATAAATTTACATTTTGGAAATGAATATTCCAAGGCCAATAATAGTGAATAAATGCCTGATATCTGTCATGGAGATTTGAGTATTTTTAAACTCAATCGATTAAAAACAATTCTACTGCATGGATGGGGATTATAATTCCGCTATCCACCTTCAATGCTATCCCTCCTCTTAATAGTTATTTAAGTACTTGAAATTGCTGATAAAAGTTTTATGTAAAAGAAAAATCGTATTATCTTTTGTTAAGGCGTTTGAAAGTTCAAAGATTCAGTCTAGCTGATATTTCCCGACCCTGGTAATTTTTGTGGATAAACTATTTTAATTATAATCTTAGGAATGATTCTGTGATGAACTTTTCTGTCCCTACTCAGTTCCTGTCTATTAATTCCCTCTAAAATTTTCAACTTTCGGCCACTGATGAAGGGGCATAATTCCGATAGAAGATGTGATGGTATCTAGACCCAAATAATTTCATATAATTATCAAGTGAAAAAACTTCTCATATAAATGTTGTTCCTTCAGATTGAATTAGCTAGGCCGAAAGAAAGATCCGAAAAATTGGTTAAATTATTTGTCATCTTTCAAGCCTGACGGTGACTCAATATAAAGTGGTGCCAAGCATCTATGCTATGCAGATGACCTTTGAATATAATTTTTCAAAAATATCGTATCAATACTTGACACATATCATGTCCACTTGGTTGAGAAGTTTTGAGCTGATGCAACTGGGAAAAAAATCAAGATATTATGTCGTCGACATATTATCATCCTTGTTAGTTTCAGCTAAATCAAGGGATTGTTGTCACTGTTCTCTCCTGTTCTTAAAGGACATTTCCACTCAAGTGCGGGATGATATTTATAAAGGGTAACCTACTTGCTAGTCGTACTTATTAAGAGATATTGCGTCGTATACTGGATTCAAAGTATAACACTTCGTTTAAATTCTACTCATATAGTTTTCTGACTTCAGATCTGTGTTTTTATAGGTGGTGATGCTTGGTAATAAAAAAACTTTCTTGTCCAAGTCTAGGGATGCTGTTGTTATTTTAGATTGCGCTGATGAATTAGATGTGCACTCTATGCGAAAAAGTAACAGTAAGGCTTTTGTACAATGGCATCACCTTAATAGTTTTCTTTCATTATATATCTTCTTTTTTTACAAATAACGTATATCCATTTTCTTTTGCCTTTGCGTGTACATCCCTTTAGGTAGAATACACTCTTCCCACGCATCAACCATTTTTGCCAGAGAAAAGAGGGAGAATGCTTTCAAAGATGTTTTACTTACACTGATCAGATTGGCGCTAGTAAGTTGACTATGACTCTAGATATGTATTTTATTCAAGTTCTTTTATGTTTGTTGTACCTTTATGTTCAATTTGTCTGGAATGCTCATTAAGATATTGGCCTATAGAAAAAAGGATCTCTCTCTCGACACCAAAGCTATCTGAAATGTGTACCGATTTCTTTATATTAAAATAATTGGTTGTACTAATCATAGGGTACTTGCATGCCTTAGTTATATTGTCTAGTTTTTTGCATATGTTAAAAACTCGTTAGCAAAGTTTGGGCAATTATAGGCACGTGAAAGGGCAAATAAACATGGTAGACAATTTTGTATGCTTGGAGAACGTTTATCTAATATTTTAAAGCCTGGTCCAGAACTAATACAGATTGGAAGTGGCTCAGTAACTAACTGATTTTGTAATGTACACGATAGAAGTTATCTTGTTTTTTTTAAAAAGGGCTCAATTATACATAATATCTAAAGCATAAGGACGAGGAAATTTGAAATATGTATAAATATATATATATATATATATATATTGTTACGTAGGACAAGCTTTTTGCTATATTAGGCTTTCCTTCTATTTTTCCTTTCTTTCCTATTATTAGATGTATTTCATTTTTCGTGTTTCTGTTATTAGACCTTTCCGTAATACTGGAAAGGTTTATTAGACGCCAATATAAATACTAGCGTACTGCCCTGAAAAGGACTAAGTCAGTTTTTCCTTTCTTGCTTCCTCTGTATCTCATAACATATATATATATCTTCTCGCAGTATGAAATGAAAAAACTATGTACTCCCCTTTTTTTCACTATTACCTCTCTTATACTCCCCTCCCTCCTGTTTAATATCTGAAACTGTTCATGAGCTTGTTTAAGGGATAGGGGAAGAAGTCTCTGTAGTGTTCCCATTTCCTATTAACCTGGGTTAGCTCATCTGAATGGAAGCACCCGAACGAATATAATTAAATGGTTGTTAGTGGGATTTTCTACTGAATTAGACATTATGTAATACCTTATCATACATAGACTTCTTTCAGTTGATTGGAAGGATCAATATTTTGTGGCAAAACTAATCATTATGGACCCCCTTCCTGGAATCTGATCAGAGATTGTCGCTCAGATTGTCATGCAGAATTTAGGAATTTCTCTGATGTCCTTGTCTGGAAAAATGGGTTGGATGTGAGAATTCATATACTTGTGCATTTATTGAAAAATGTTATGAAGGAAACTATTAATCCTCCAATAGGTTCTAGTTAGTGAATACGCCTGGAGAACGTTCCTCAGCTCTCGTATAGATTTATATTATTTCACATCAATATGAAAGCTTTACACTTGACAGAGGACATAACAAACGAGGAATTTTTTTCCTTTTCAACATGTATTGAGGTGGAGTGTCTGCATTTCCATGGGTTGGATGGTTTTAGATGCTTGCTTCTTAGAAAATATTATTCATAACCCAAGTCTAAGTTCCTAGAAGAGTTTTCCGCTATTTTTTTCATGGTGATTCTCAAGTTGTACTCTTAAAAAAAAATTCCCACTTGATTTGAAGTTATTTTATGAGCTACATTATGACTCGATTTTGGACAAGTATGAAGAATAAGACAGTTGCGAATAAAGGATAGGTTGGATGCGACGTGAGGCCACATAAATGAGTTCATGAAGAGATGAGTTTCATTTTACTAAAATCTTTATGTCGTGCACTAAGTTCAATATGTGGTGTAAAATTGCTACTTCTTTCTGTGGACAGTTAATGAATAAGGTATAGTCAATGAATGAAAGGTAAATCTTATGTGTGTTTGGAGAAGTTGGCTAATTCATTTCGGATCTGAAATAGCAGTCCCTGAAAATGAAGGAGAATGAATAAACAAATATACGCAACTCACTGTAGTTTTTAAGTGCTGAGCATTGTTAAAGCTATTCGATCATCCAATTCAAATCAGTTGCCAATCAGTGAAGTGAGCATATCTTTATGGCAATATTTACTGTTAGATTGGCCAAGACATGGCTATTCTAACATGCCACTTCACGTTTAAGTCAACATTTCAACTCTGCCACATGGGTTACATGGATCGGGTACATATTGCATGTGAACGATCATTGGCTTTAGGAGCATGCAGTGGTTATTGGATAGTCCAACTCAAAACAATAGGTAATGAATGAAATTAGCTCATCTTTATTCCTACATATTTACTTCTGTATTAATTAATATAGTGTTATTCTAGCATGAATCTCATGTGCAAGCTGATTCATGACGTTACTCATAACAAGAGTAACCATTAACAATGATAGGTTCTCCAGGTATTTATCTACTGTTGAAAAACAAGTTCCCAACACCACTGATTACACAAAAAACATACGAGATCGAAACTTATCCCTGGATTCTGTATGGCGCCTCACTTGCATGCCCTCATTTTCTGGTAGCTTTATCTCAGAGTTGAGTTGCGCCTGTACTCATAGATTTTACATTCCTTAACCCCTCTGTCTTATACGATTTGCTATACTTTCAGCTCAGACTCTACATTTGTTCATGTATTTTACGTCTCTTGGCGCCTCATTTTTGGTTTGTATCTCTATGTCCCTTAAACGGTGAGATGTCTGTACTTTCCATATTTCTGGAAGATCAGAGTGGAAGGTTACTTCTCGTTGGATATGTTGGTTTCTCATCACAATTGGATTGAACCCATTCCGGCCTCAAATAATCTTGATCCGGGCATAATGTTTTAGTGCGTCTTTGAAGCATTGCACACAAAAATCAAGTCCTGGTTCTTATAGACTTGAATATGCAGGAAAGGACAACATCGGGAAGCATGATGTCATTTTCTCTCTCTCTAGAAGATCTCATTGCTTCAAAAGAAAGACGTGACTTGTTAGAAGGATCTACATTGAGAGTGGTAAAGAAGAAATCTCTAGCGTCTGAGAGTCATGAAGAATGTCTTTGCCGGGTAAATTTTCTTCGTGTTGACGTTTTATTAGATAAAGATATGGATAGCAGGTGCCATAAGTGTCGTTCTCTCTGTGTCACCTTTTCTATCTACTGACATAATAGATGGTTAGATTGACTCTGAAATGCTTTGATGCTCTTAGATGGATGTATTTCTGAATATCCACTGTAATTCTGGTGTTTTTATGTATAAAGAATGTGTATAATAAACTAAGATCAGCAGGGAACAACCTCATTGCAGCCTTTAGAAATGGTTGAGCATCTGCAGAGGGGATTAGGTATTCATGGCCAGGTCGGTAAAAAATTTTCTTGCACTCATGTGGAAATGGAAATTTATTTGATTATCTTACTGGGAAACTCACCGTGGTTAGATAGTACATGTGGAAGAGTTTCCAGCGAAAGCAGCAGTTTATGCAGAACTTCCTAGTGATCTTTCAGAAAACACAAAAGCAGCACTCAGACGAATCGGGATATCCAGATTATATAGCCATCAGGTGGCGTTCTGTTGTCCTACTTTTCCGAAATTCAGTATCACTTTATGTGCACTCTCATGCTCTCGGTAATTTGCAGGCGGATGCAATTCGTTCTTCACTTTCTGGGAAAAATATAGTTATTGCAACATCAACTTCTAGTGGAAAGTCTCTGTGCTACAACATACCAGTTTTTGAAGAACTAAATCGAAATGCATCATCGTGTGCTTTATATCTCTTCCCAACAAAGGTTCATGTCTGCCAGCTCATTCTCAGTTCATGTCTAGCAAATTGAGACGAAATATCCATTGTAGTTTCGCTTCGCAACCCTTTCGTTAGCTTGCCTGTATACACAGCTGTGCTGGCCTTCATTTCCTTTGTACTTATCTTATTGTATTCTTTTATTCTCTAGAAGACAATTATTTTTTGTTGATGCAGGCTTTGGCTCAAGACCAGCTCAGAGCTTTATGGGAGATGACAAGAGGTCTGGGTGAAAGCCTAGATATTGGTGTCTATGACGGAGATACACCTCAGAATGATCGAACATTTATTCGGAACAATGCCAGACTCGTATGCTTTATCCTTCATGAGAAATATAGTATCCTCCCTGCCAGATATTCAACTATTTAAATAAACCGTTGTCTTTTATCTGTGCAGCTGATCACGAATCCAGATATGCTGCACGTGTCAATCTTGCCTTTCCATGGGCAGTTCAAGCGGATCTTATCAAATCTGAGGTATCATACACGATATTCAATTATTCTACTCTTACATAATGTTTCCATTCTTTCTCAAGGAACAAGTGCATCATACCTTGGATTTTGTTTTACAAGAGATAAGGCCCTGTTCTGGGGCTTTAGGGGAGGGAGCGACTTCTCTGCCAGAGTAATTTACTTATCTAGAGTTTACTTGAACGTAGGTTTTATTTTTAGGCGCAGTTCCTCATAAGAAGAAAAAAGAGAGGGGTAATCTCCAGTTAAATTGTTTTCTTGGTCAATACATCCGGAAGTTTAGCTTCACTTATTTTTTTGTATCTTGTGAAAATGTTGACACCAAACTCATTCAAAATTTCCATATGCACAGTTTTTAATACCCATCTTTCAATCAGGTTTATTGTGATTGATGAGGCTCATGCATATAAAGGAGCATTTGGATGCCATACTTCTCTTATTTTAAGGAGGTTGTGTCGCATCTGCTCTCATGGTAGATGGCTTCATATTATTACGAAGAAAATCTCCATGGTTACATGATTTCATCTCATTTTAGGATGCTAAGGCATATGCTTTGTTGATGCAGTTTATGGGAGGGATCCTTCCTTTGTTTTTTGTACGGCGACTTCTGCAAATCCTCAAGAGCATGCTATGGTAAGCTTTATAACAGAACAGATTAGAGAGGGTCTTCACCTTTATTGTTCCATTTAAGCATCTAGAAAGAGATCGATGCATATACTGTAGCATTTATGAATAATGAAAATATGATGATTCATTAACACGAAATATCCTTTTTAACCCAGGTAGCTGTGTTGTTAGAAAGTTTCTTAAAGATGATTCAATCTCTGCAACCAGTCATAGGAATGTTAATCTTAGAGCGTTTGTGCCCTTTATTGTACAAGTAGTGGAAAAGCCCATCTTGATCCCTGATAGTTACTGAGATGTCCTAGGTTTTCTAATCTCTGATGTGGGACGTTAGTAACTGAATATTCTTTGGTGAGCTGGAAAAGTTGCACTAATGATTTATGTCAGTATGGCTATTGCCGTCCAACAAGTTTGGGGGAATTAGGTGCGGTCCCACGTATGATCCCATTGAAGGTTGCATCCTTTACCTGTATTAATGATGAACCATGATTGATGCATGAACCTCCTCAAATTTTCATAGTATTGATAATTTAATATCTATAGGCCTAACAAAGACTCATGGCCTAGATTTTTACAGGGAGTACGCTGTTTTAAGTGGGTTATTGAATCCTACAAGTCAAAGTGTTGAGGTGGTAGAATTCGTAAATGATTTATCATTTTTTCCCTTTTTCCAAAACTGTGTCTGCCGACAAATCCTCATATCCATTTTTCATGACGTCAACGGAAAATTTTCAAGCATCAATACCTGGGAATCTTCAAGCATCGACTCAGAACTAATCTGTTTTCTTTATGAAATGACCAAGGACCTCTTATATTTCCTATTGTGATTGCGGGACCTTCTCTTTTGATCTGTTGAGTGCTTGCTGACTTGTGATCGTCTGTTGTGGTACAGGAACTTGCAAACTTACAAGACTTGGAGTTGATCTCAAATGATGGAAGTCCTTGTGGTCCAAAGCTTTTTCTCCTGTGGAACCCTCCAGTATGTATCCCGAGTGTAATTTATTCTCTAAATTTTATAATATCTAAGCTCAAAGTTTACATTCTTAGTAAATCCATTTTTAAATGTTATGATTGGTGGAAACCTGAAAGCTGTGTAGTCAACAAGAATCATTGATTCGAGGAAGCAAGAAGAACAAATTTCTTGAGAAAGAAGAGATTGGCAGACGCTCAAGGTAATCTTTTTTAAGTTAGACCGACCAAATGTGCTCGTAGTTGGAAACTTTATTTGTTTAATATTGATTTAATTGGATACCATTTGATCATGATTGTAAAATTCACAGTTTTGACTGCAGTCTAGAAACTTCGTAGCATTTAAATCAGATAGACATATGTTGATTACTTAATAGGCATGCTTTGGAAACATTGTGAAAATAATGATATGCTCAAGTAAATTTCATATAGTCCCTTACTTCAACATGCTAGTTTGAAGGAGTGAAGGAAAGTGATATTCGGTTGAAAGTAAGGACATCAACACAGATATGGATTAAAATTTCATTTTTCTTATTTAGCTGTTTTGTTCATTTTATTCATCTGAAATCCATGGTATGGCAAACACATCAGCGGTCTCACCTCAAGTGTGTGGTGTTCAAAACCCCAGTCATTGTCAATGTGTCACAATTGCCTTTGGGCTAATATGAACTATGCTCATTTATCTATCTGGTTTCTGAATGGATCTTGGTTTTAATCTCATCTTATTTACCTCGTTGACTTGATTTTCCTTTGAAATGACAACAAGTGCCCAAAGACGGGTGCTCTGCGGAACTTTCTCAAGTCTGTGCCGAACTTTATCAAATATTAGGGTAAAAGTAGAATGATGGCAACTATATGCTTATTGGTTAAAGCCTAAACTTTCCCTATATGATAAAATGCTAAATACCCTAGGCAGATATACAGAAATCTTAAACGTTTACACCTCAATTTGTGTGTAGATGTCTATCACACTCTGCCTAGCATAGAGACATACTAGGCTATTTTTATATGGGCAAACATAATAGCTCACTTTAAATTAATTTTGCTCTCATAATATGAGTGTCAATTTCTATGTGTTTGGTCTTGTCATGTGATAATGGCTGATTTCAATGGCATAGTTAATTGGAAAAAATATCACTACTAAAATTATTATCTTATAGCTTCCACTGTTACGAGTAGTGTTAAAGTTATTGGAACATTCGATTCAAAACCACTTGTCTATGAGTCAAATATCCCCTCTTTTTAACCACAAGCTATTTTTTTTACCGGCCAATAATATTTTTCTAATACACCTCATTTGTGAGCCAACTTTCAGATATCATCGTGTGAATAATATAAGCGGGACGTGTCAAATTCAAGAGAAATTTTTGTATCGGTTATAATTTTAAGGTTATTGAGACATCCAAGTTAAACTAATTGATTATGGCAGAATAACCCATTTTATACCAACGAATTTCCTCGTAAACTAACCAATATGGTACTATTCCGATTTTATCATAAAGATGTCACTTACGACTAGCCATAGAAATTGTTTGAGATTTCTTGCTTTTAATATCATATACTGATTGGAATTGTGTTTACATTTTCTAGTGTCATGGGTTACTGTGTCCTGTGATCTCTCTTTGCATATTTTGGTTTTGGCTCCTTCTCTTTATAGTCGTCAATAACTGAAGACATAAATTTGTTGTAAATGCTGTTTGTTTAACTATTTCTTAGTGTTGATATTATGTTGCTAATGTGAGTAATATTTTTTGCAGCCCAATTTATGAGGTTTCATGTCTCTTAGCAGAAATGGTTCAACATGGTCTCCGGTGTATTGCATTTTGCAAGTCACGCAAACTCTGTGAACTTATTCTCTGCTATGTGTATGTTGTTTCCTATTCAAACCGCACTGGATTGATGATTTGATACCATATTTTGTGCCATATTTTTGGACTACTTTTATTGAAATATTACTTTTTGAGATGTGACACGTTTCACTATTGTGGTTTTGATAGACGCAAAATTCTTGGGGAGGTGTCTTCTGATCTAGTTGATTTAGTTTCTGTTTATCGTGCTGGCTATACTGCCAAGGTATCTCCCTTAAATGCGAATTGTTTCATTTCGTGTTATCAGGGTTTTCATGTAAGCTTTGTCTAGTTGAAAATTTCATGTTCGCATTAACAAGTGAACATGGTGTCACGCATATAAATGATTCTCAAGCCTTTTTTTTAATTCATCTTTGGGAAAGACAGATTGATTCTTTACTGTAATTCCTTCGTTTTTTATGAATATATTTGTCATTTACACTAGAGAACAGAGTCAGAATACTTAGCAAACATGACTTTTAACCGCACACAGATCTATAGATTAGGTGACCCCTATTGTTTGGTGGGTTTAGATTTTAGGCCTAACACATCATTGGATGACATGGGACTTTTCTTCGACACGTCATATTAGTGGGTAACAACCGTCCCCATGTGTCACGAATACTTAGCTCCGTGATGGTGCTACTGGGAGAAAATCTATCATCGTCACTTATCCGAATGGAGGGATCGTAATATGATATAGTACACACCTGCCAAAATGTAGTTATATTGGCATTACTAAGTGGTCAATTAATTTGATATGTCTCCATAGCCCGAGTATGTGTTTCATTTCATTGAAACATCAATGCAGGGAAGCACAGGATTTATGCATTTTATTCTTTCTGAATATTCCGGCGCAAACAAGGTTATATGATTTGACTTTTACGGAATAAAAGCAATCAAGTTGCACCCTGCAATCTTGATGGGAATTTTCAACTTAGGACAGACGCATCTTTGGTTATACGATTGTGGTGCTATGAAGCCCGTGCATCAAAGATGCAAATGTTTGTACTTTCTTGGATTAAGAACGGCATGGAGGTTAATGTTATCACAGCAGAGTTGTTACTTTAGGAGAAAAGCATGTTTATTACTTTAGGTTAATGCTTTGGAAGTTTCTTCCATAGACGATAAACATAAACCTTGTTGGCATATGATCTTCATTTTGTTGGATTTTTAGGAAATGAGGAACAACGAAAAAAATATCAAGGGTAGAAGCTAGTAGATTGGTATGATTGCATTTCAGCAACATCGCTGATGCTTGAAGCTCGTGTCAGAGTGAATGGCCTCTCTACAGGTGTTTCTTCATGTGTTATGTTATATTCATGCATTATGAACGACAGGTCTCTACACACCGTTGTCTTCTTGTTGGTTATGGATCATGCATCAAAATTAAGTATTATAACATTCAATATATAACTTGTAGTCTAATTTTATAAAGGATCCAGGGAAAAATTGGAATTGCAGCTGGTGAGATCGGAAAACTTACAGCTGTAGTTTTTTCGTTAATGATTATAGTGATACCATCCACCTTTTTATAAACAAAGAAGATCATGCATCACTGATTGTTCTACAGCATTATCTACACAAAAAAATTCCAAACTTGTCATTCATGGATGAAAATAAAAAATTAAAGTATGGAATACATTTCCTGAACTATATAACTCATGTTCTTTCTTCTTTGATAATACCGATGTTACACTGTGTTGAAAGAGCAGGACAGAAGAAATATAGAAAAGGACCTTTTCGGAGGAAAACTTCGTGGTATTGCTGCGACAAATGCTCTTGAGCTAGGGATTGATGTTGGACATATTGATGCTACCCTTCATCTTGGATTTCCAGGGAGTGTTGCTAGGTAAAAATGCAATGATCTTGGATTTTATGCTTGTTCCAAAAAACTTTTAAAAAATTCTACTGATAATGGTTGACGTAGCTTCTGGCAACAAGCTGGGAGATCTGGAAGAAGATTGCAGCCCTCATTGTCAATATATGTTGCATTTGAGGGTCCACTTGATCAATATTTCATGAAATTCCCGAAAAAATTATTTGGAAACCCAATTGAGAATTGCCAAGTCGATGCTTGTAACTCTCAGGTTTGTTTTCTAAGATTAGTGATCTCATTCCTTGCTCTGAAACAGAAGCAATTCAAGTGTGCCATCTTAGACTGTCATTGTTTCACATGTTCTGCAGGCGCTTGAACAGCATATTACCTGTGCTGCTTTAGAGCATCCACTCTGCATGGAATTCGATGAGAAATATTTTGGTAATGGCTTGAGAAATGCAGTGGTGGCCCTCAAAAGTCGGGGTTATTTAAGCTTCAATTCATCATGCAACATTTGGATATACATTGGACCTGAGGTACATCATGTGTAAAAAATATTAGCCTTACATATTTTGTGCACTTAAAAATTATGCGCTTCAAATTTTGCTACTATGATTTTTTTCCTTTCTTTGTTAGAAACGACCCTCACTAGCAATAAGCATCCGAGCAATCGAAACTGAAAAATACACGATTGTGGACATGCTCAGCAATGAAACCCTGGAGGAAATAGAGGAAAGCAAGGCATTTTTTCAGGTATCACTTTTCCCTATTCAACTTGCGAAATTTTTGTACCCGCTGAACTTTTATATTTTTTCACATTATTCTCATTCTAGTGCATTGTTTCTGTTGTGTTGTCACTCTCGCCCCTACAGAAAAACCCCCATGCGGTACCACTCATGATACTGCAGATCTTTTTTGCTTTATGTTAGATGATGACGTGTTATGATGAGTGAAGAGAAAGGGAATATATTCTTGCATGTTGCTGAGTTCATGAGAGTTCATAAGACTATCTCCTTTTAATACGCTGACCCCAATGAGAAAAATATCAACACATGTTGGTAGAATATAAAGTAAAAAATTGACTCTAACACCGGTAAGAAATGAGTTGATACCTGCAAGCAAAAAAAAAAGCCAGTACCACAGACGTCATCACCTACTAGAAAAAGGTGAGCATTGGAAAAATAAAAAGCTGAGCATTCAAGTGATGATTCGTGCAGGCAAAATAAAAAGTCATAACAATAGTGGTTGAGACACATTGCAAAAATAGGCGGCCAAATCTTCAGAAGCTGACACTACCATACCAGTGGTCAATACTTTCAGGCGGTTCTAGAAAATATAGGTATAAGTGCTGGCATAAGAAGCTTGGAGAGTTGGCACATATCATTTTCATCAGACTCAAGCATCGGCTCTTGACTCGAGTAAGTGTCAACTCCCGAAAAGTTCAACAGTCAAGTTTCTTGAGATAATAATTAAAACTAGCCTCAAAAACAAGTTATTAAAGATAGAACAAATCCCCATAATTCAAGCTTTCTCAAGTATTGAGTGAAGGCGGTACCCAATTGGAGAGATAAAGAAACAGATTCTCTAGAGCCAAATTTTCAAGTTAATGTTACAAAAGGGCCATCACGAAGCATACATTGTACCATCGTTGACTCTATTCCTCATTTTTTTGTGTACTGTAAGTGTTTTATTTTATTTATTTTATAAGAAAGCTTGCTGTCAACTAAGGCTTGTGCATTAGCTCCCTCACCCTGAGAAAGTAATTCGTAATATGCTAAACATAAACTTAGAATTATCACAGGTGGCGTAGAGAGTGACATAAGTCTTGGATTTATCTGGATCACTAGATGTCTTGATGTCACTGCGTGATTGTTTTTAGAAAAGTGAATCTTATTATGCACTGATTTTCATCATGAAACAGGTCACATTCCGTCTTGTAGAAATCATTTCTAGTCAGGGGCTTCATTTAGTATTAGAGTGAGGTCAAAACTTCGATTCTTACGCTAGTGATTGGGGACGAGGGTTGTTATTGGAGTTCGAGGGAGACAATTGGCTTGCAGGTTCTGTGGCAGCAAACAGTCTCCCCTTAAATTTGGGTTCAGTAAGACTAACTAGACATGAAATGGGGCCAGTGTGGCTGCTAGTTTAGATGAATGGAAATATATTGATCATTGCATATAACTTGTCTTTCTTGCGACACTTATTTCGTGTGCAATTATAAATTTTCCAATATTAAAAGACAAAATTCAACATGATCATATTTATGCAACTCGGATCGATATGATCAATCCGACTTAAATTGCTGGGTAAATCGGCAAAATCTGACATGTAAATTAACTTTTTTGGACATGTAAAATAAATGTTAACGGACTGGAATGATCAAGCTAAGGATTTTTGAATGATATGTATTTGCATGAGTGTATTTTATTGATTTCACTTGGTTTCTCTTGAACTTCTCGAAACTCCTGTATTGGATTAGTTCATGTCATAACCTTCGGACATGAAAGATATTTTCCCACTTTTTTCATGTCCTTTGAATTGATCATGTTGGCGGACCAAACTGTTTTGTGTTGCAATACTTCTGAATTGAGCTGGAAAATGAGTATCCCTCCTGTTGTGAGTCACCTCAACATATGCTAAACTTGCAAGCATCTAGTCGTTCAATGTACGGAGCGATACATTTTTTTTATATGATGTTATTATTTAACTAGTTTTTATAGAGTGTATTATTCTGCAAATCATCATTTCCTTGCTGTCTTCATTTCCGAAATCATTGGTGAGCATCCCACCCCTTTTTATCACTTAGGTCTATGATGGAGCTGTTTACATCAATCAAGGAATCACCTATTTAGTAAAGGCACTGGATTTATCTAGGAAGATGGCTTTTTGCCAGAAAGCTGACTTAAAGTATTACACAAAGGCGAGGGATTACACGGATGTTCATGTCTATGGAGGTGACCATGTACGTAAACGTTCAGCTTTTATTTTGGGCAATTTTGGGTGATTTTTAGCCTGATACGCGTAACATATGGAATAATCTAGAGGAATTCTTAGTTTTTATGAATTTATCTTGTTTATCGTTATTTTTTTCATCTCCCAGCTCCCAATTAATTTGTGCCATTTACATTTATCCCTCTAATTTCTAGTTTATGTTTAAAAATACATAATTTTCCACGAGTGAATTTATATGAGCGACAAAGCAGACCGGATGCCCCAGGCATCCAAGACACCTTTATGAGGAGCATAAACTTCAATGCCACTCCCTGTTTGGTATGCAAATGGGTGATGTCCGCTTTCTTCCAGGGTTTACAACCGAATTTCATGCTTTGTAATTTTGTTACTTAATAAAAATTGATCTGCTATCTATCTCTCAATTTTATTTATTTATGTGATTTTAAGTATTCCGCAGAGGATAAAATGTGTATTAAAAATGCTTCCGAAAAGTTGTGAAAAAGGATGGATCATCAGATGTCTGTGGTTTGTACCAACAACTCAGAAATTTCATCGAAACCAGCTTCCGTACCGTGAGGATTTACCCGATTCAAGGATCATAAATGTTCCATGTATGCCCTTCGTACTTCACAGGCCTACCCACCAGAAGTCTCTGATACCCAGAGTGCAAGAGCCACAGCGCGATCGCATCCATGCCGAGTGACGACCAACTGGTTTGGCTTTCACTGCATTCGGCGAGGGAGCAACCGGATCTTCGACACGGTCAACCTTTCTCTCCCGCCATACTCATACGAGTCAAAGGTGGCCCCTTGTATCTTTTTTCTGGTGGTTGACTCTTCAATTGTTACAGTCTACGCCATGTTCGATTAATGCACTATTCACAGGCTGTATGGATTCGAGTCCCTCGATCCATAAGAGCTTCAGTGGAAGCACGCAATCTCTCATTTCGCGCTGGGAAGCATGCCGCCTCCCATGCCCTCCTCAACCTGGCACCTCTGTAAGTCTTGCACCAGCTTCTCCCAGGCGCTTGGACCTCTGATTACTCTCTGAGAGCCTGAGGGGTTTACGCCTGCAGCTACATCATGTGTAATGCCTCAGACTTGGCCACCGAATGCGCCAATCCCCATGAAAATCGTGATATTCCTGATAGATTGCTGCTATACGACCAGCATCCTGGCGGCATGGGCTTGTCGATGCGGGTACATTCCATTCGATCTCGTATCCCGGTGATCTTCCTCCACAGTTTCTTCAAGAACTGAAGCCCATCGGAATCCCCTGTTCTGCCAGCTGCGGCCCCTTTTCAGGGAGCTTCTGAGTGATGCGTTGAGACTCCTCAAATCCTGCCGCTGCTCTGCCGGCGTCGGATGCCCAGATTGCATTCAGGTACACCCACATCGATTCTCCCCTGCTCCTCCCACATCGATTCGCTTCTGTCTTCGCGTGCTGCCTTCTTCTTCTTCTTCTTCTTCTTCTTCTTCCTGCAGTCTCTGTCCTGCCGTGAATATAACGAAGTTCTGGACAAGGAGGCTGCGATTGCGATTCTCGAGGTGAATCTTCAATTGTTCAATGCCTCTCAGAGTATGCTCCTGACGATATTTTTGCCCACGAATGCAGGGCCTAGCAGAACCTGAGAGAGATGGCATATCTTGAGGGGAAGACAGGCAGACCCACCATCCCCATACTCTGCGTATCTCTCTCTCTCTCTCTCTCTCTAAAAGACGACTTATTGGCTGTTGCTTTTCGTGCAGAGGGGGGGAGGAGAAGCATGTAGGGAAGGGTTCTACTGTAAGTCGCTGGCGATATGCCTTGCCAGAGAAAGGTGCACTCGCCGCAACAGTCCTGGCCATTTCCGCCCGCACAGCTTCTCCGCCTGCCTCCGGCGGTGGGCGCCACAGTTTAGACGGCGACGCTTCTTCTTCCGGCGGCCCACTTGCAGGGCCTCCTACCCTTTTCTAAAAGCTGAGAGCTTGCTCTCTCCAGCTCATTCCAGCCTGCTACTACTCCCTCAGATCAATGAATGGCCGCATCGATCCTCTCGAGGAGAGAGAAATAAGAGAGAGAGAGAGAGAGGGGGTAAATTGAGGAGGGATGATCATCATAGATTAGATTTTATGATACATAGATCGACCTTCATCCCAGAGATGAAGAATTCAGGGGAGTCAGTCCTCATCATCGCTCGGGTTGGTTTCCGCTCAGAGTTATCATCTCAAAGAATATCCAGACGTTCATCCTCGAGGCCTAGTGAGAGAAAAGGAGAAGAAAAAGGTAGTTCATGGGCAAGAGCGGAAGCGTGTAACTCGTCAGTCAGACTCTACCTTGCCTGCCGAGTCCACCGCCGGGTGAGGGGCTCCCGCCGCCGGGAAAGGTCCCCCTCCCTCCACTACCGCCACCGCCACCGGCGCCACCGCCCATGCCCATCTGGTGATGATGGTACGGGCCCGACGACGGCGAGGTCCCGTACATGTGTTGACCCATCATGACCATGCCGCCTCCGGCGGCGCCGCCGACGGGGTACATCCCGCCCGCGGCTCCGGCGGGGAATCCGCCTGCACCAGCGCCGCCCGACCCGGCTCCGCCGTTGCCGCCGTCCTTGTGCTGGGGCTGCGAGGTGGAGGAGCCGGCGGCGCCGCCGCTCTTGTCCCCCTCCATCTCGCGGAACCTCTGGAGGTACAACTTGAGCGGCTCGACGTACTCCTCGAAGCCGAGGGTGGTCATGGCCCACAGCAGGTCGTCGCCGTTGATGGTCTTGCGCTTCTCCCGCTGGCACTTGTCGGAGGCCTCGCCGGTGATGAAGCTGATGAACTCGGAGACGCACTCCTGCACCGTTTCCTTGGCGTCCTTGGAGATCTTCGCGTTCGCCGGCAGCGCCTTCTTCATGATCCTGCTCACGTTGGCGATGGGCAGGAACCGATCCTGCTCCCGCGGCGACGAGAACTCGCTGTTCCCCGCCGCATTGCTGTTGTTCTGCCCCCCGGACTCGTTGTCCGAGTCCGCCATCACCGATCGCAGCGAGAACAGTCCCCCAGATTCAGACGAAGAGACGAAGCAGCAGATCGCAGCTGAGCGGAGAAAATCAGGGTTCCTATCTACGGACTGGTTTGGTAGCTACAATCGGAACTCGGACCAACTATGGTGAGTAAGAGAGAACTGGACGCAATGAGAATTCGACTGTAAACCAAGATATCCCTGCAGCAGCCGACGAGAAGGAAAGGAAGGGAAGGCAAGGAGATCTCCGGCGAGAAAATCATAGCGAGGACTGCAATCTCATCTCCGTTGCCGGCGGCGAGGTGGAGCTCTCCCGCTGCGGCTTCATCTCCCTCGCGGGGCCCGAGCTCCGAATTCTCCCATGGATCAACCGGGACGCCAGCCGCGAGGGGGAGCTAGGGTTCCACGAGGCACCTGCGGATCAAAACCTTCGCCCAATTCGCCGTCGATTTCCTCCCTCCGGTGGCGCTCGGAGCCCGATGACGGAGGTGGAAGGAAGGAGACGAAGAGGGAGAGGAACGACAGTGGACTACTACTCTTCTCGGTTCGTGGCCGGTTTCCTGGGCTGGATATCTAATATCCTACCTGAACGCCACGTGGAAATTTCACGATCGTTCGCGTCACGATAAGTATGGACCTCGTGCGATTTGAGGACCGTCGATCATATCCTGAACCAATCGATCACAATCTTCAGATTTAGGACACGTGTCAGCCGACCCTATCGTCCCAGCCCCATTACTCTCCGATACGTCGTTGGAACCTCTCCTATGGGCCCATCTCCACTGACCTCAGCCGATGGCCCATTGTCGACGGGAGGTGGCCCATTAAAGGGTGGTCGTTCAGTTGGGCCCATTTCCCGTCCTAATTGGGCCGACCCATGAAAAGGACTGAGGCAAGCCGTGCCCAAAACAAACAAAGTCATCATCTAAAGTAACAAGGGGGGATTAAGAATAAGCAAATTATTTTTGTAAATATAAATACCAGATAATTAATAAAAATGTAGGCGCGATGTCCACTGCAGCTGGGAGCTTGAGGAAGGAGGTGGGTGGCAGTCGTCGTCGTCATCTCGCTCCGTTGGTAAAACCCTAGACCCCAAATCTGCTGCAGCATCTCATGCCTTGATCCCCAGTCTGGAGCACTTGACGGAGCCGGCGGCGAGGTCTATCTCGATCAGATTGTCTTCTTCGATGATCTCCGTCAACAGCTCCAGGAGCCCCTGTTGGTGGACGACCAACTCGGCGGAGAGCTCGGGGAAGAACAGCGGAGAATTGGGACGAAATGTGTCTCGGGATCCCACGGAGTGGCCACTCTGGAGGGTAATCTCGATCAGGCTTTCCTCATCCGAGATGGAGCTCTCCGGCGAGGTGAGGGTTTGATCCGAGCTCTCCACGGACGCCTCGTCATCGGAGTTCGCCGGAATGTGAATGTGATCCGCGGCGCCCGCCGGCGTCCATTGCGGCGGCAGGCTCGGCGATCCAACGCTGAAATCGAGGGCTGGAATCTCCTCTTCTCCCTCGCCATGGATCTGCTTCCGCGGTTCGAAGGCACCATTATCCCTCCTGCCCCATGGAGTCTTCACCTGATCGGTCTCCTGAACCTGATCTTTCTTCGAGAGGACGAAGACCAGAGAAACGGACAGAACCATGACCAGGAAATTGAGAGCTATCGAAGGGAGCAAGTACCCGCCGCTGCCGACGGCGACCAGAAGAAGAGAAAGTGGTAAATGCTTGCGGAAGCGGGAGGAAAATGGAAGCAGATTGGAACCCATAGCGCCTTCGGTTCTTCTCCCACAGATTGGGAGAAAGGGGGTCAAGAGGGGCGGCTTGCGGCGTCCAACCAGACCAGAATAAGATCAACTTCGCAGCAGAGAACCCTCTGGTGCTAGAGGAGTCAGGAAGAACACAAGAAGCAACTTCCACTGGAAGCCGTCGCCAAGAAGATCGACTCTTCCTGCAGAGAAGAAACAGCAAAGGGTAAGATCAGGGGCTCGATCCTGTTTATATCCAAAACTCGTTCAATCTCATACCATGTAGGTGAAACCCATCGAGAGGAAAGCAGCCATTTCTGTGCCTCCAACCTGCCTCTGGGTAGAAACAGGGAAGAAGGGAGGAGCTCTGCTCTCCTTTAAAGCGCTCGCTCCTCTACAGCAGCGACCAACTGGTGGTCCTTGCTGCTTCCTGCCAACGATTCTCTCGGAGGAACCAACGCCATCGTTTTTGCTGGTTTCGGAGCACAGAGAACTTCGAGATCGGGAAAGCCATGTGGACCGCTCTCTCAGCTCCACTGCCCAGTTTCTCCTATCCATCTTATTCCATTAATATAAATCCTCACGATACGTACTTGAGAAAACAATCTCACACCATTTTCTGGATTTCTCCAGGTTAATTCGGCCAATCACAATGATGATGAACACCAAGAAGCTGAAAAACCAATCTCTGGCAGGATATTCGCTTTCGCACGGCTGACCCAGAAGCCCCCTCCTGGTCAAGAAGAGGTGGAGGGAGGGAAGAACCCACAGTGGCCCGCCACGCAGAGCCCACTGTCTGATAGAGATCAGAAGCTAATAAAATAAGAGTAGCAGAAGCATGGATTTGTTGTCGATCTCTCCCAACAGGGGGTCTCCTCTCTGAGATCTCTCTTATTGCGGCTTCAGAGAACCCATGTGGAATGCTCAAAGCCACCAGCCCTTTCTGCTGCTGCTCCATCAGAACCCAGTCGCCAAAATGCGTCAAACGAAATAAATCGCCTTTCCCCTGCAGCAACCTTTCAAACTCTGCAGACCCATCATCGCTCCACTGCTCATTTCATCTCTGCATCATCATTTCCTTGTTGCCAACGTTCAGAAAGTTTACAGCGGGTAGGGGGGGAAACCCTAATTTCTCAATGCCCAAGTGCAGGAACTGGAGCGTTTGCAGAGAAAACTGCCCCCTGCTCCGTCGTCGTTCCCCAGCGAGGCGACATTTGTCTGAACGCCCTTGTATCATGTTCATGGCCTCAACGAAGGCTCTGTGGGCAGACCCCCTCCCCCAACTCGCTGTCCTTCGCCCATCGAAACTCACCCGGCGATTATCGGCCTAGCTCTTGGAGCCTTCTTCCTCTTCTAATTCTCAGAGATTATCTTAACAAGCGCATCTGGCGGCGTGAGAGCCTCCACAAAGCGACGACTGGGGCGGGCGACGCTTCTCCTCGGGTTGGGCGAGAAATATATCCCCAGCCGGGCCCGTTGATCCAGAATGCACTTCTTTATTCGACCCTCCCTCTAGAGAGAGAGAGAGAGGGAGAGAACCCGGAGGGTCCGGTACGGATCAGACGGCCTACGACGCCCACATTCTCCATTAAAGATCACGGAAGTCCGACAGTCAACAGCTCTCCCAAAGGACGACCAAAGAATGAAATTCTTGCCAAAAAGGGAACTTTTGAGGTTCAAGCTGCAGGGTTCTTCCCGGGGCCGCCTCTGGCTTCGGATAGGATGAAGTCAACCACGTCGGAGCAGCACACCAGCTGGTCCGCCCTCTCGTCGGGGATCTCGACGGAGAACTCCTGCTCGAAGGCCATGACGAGCTCCACTCGGTCCAGGCTGTCCAAACCGAGGTCCTTCTGGAAATCTGCCTTCTCGGTCACCTGGAAGGCATCGGAATCGTCAGAGGGCAGGCCCTAAAGAAAGAAGATCGATAGGAAGAAACAGATGATCATCATCTTTACTGGGTCTGAATCATCCAGATATCAGTCGCCCAGTCTTGGGCATGATCTTACTGATCTCACTTCACAACATACGCCACTAAATGCATATCAGATTATGTTTGATCTGATCAATAATTCGACAGAGAAACCGCAAAAGTAGATATGTGAGGAGGGCCACCAACTTCTGGCAGATCACCGCCACCTGTTCTCTCCGAGGAAAGAAAAGTGTTGTTTCATGTGATTATATGGTTTTGAGCACAGAAGAGTAATATCCGAGAGATAACTAATCGTCCAGACAGAGCTAGAACATCACGGAACATGCACAAAACGGGGCTTGAAGTTCATACAGCGATATGATTACCTTGGATGCATCGATCTTGTCGTATTTTTTCACCAACCCTAGAACGCGATTCATGACAACCTCTGAATCGGCATCGCTCGTCCCGCTCATAAGGCGAACTGCAGCTCTTGAGAGCCACATATCCTTCGTCATCAACGATTCTGGCCCACGCCTTGCAACCCGAACGTGCTTCAATAAGAAGTTCTTGTAGCGATACATTTTACTGCAAGCTGGATGCAGCAGCAGCGAAGGGTCGCAGAGATGTCAGAAGACCAGGTTGACAGCTTTTGAAATCACTTCAGCATCAGTTGCCATACACCATGGGATAGCATACAATGGTGATTTTTCTCAGATTATGCTGCAATATTATGGGTCTAAAGATGAGCCATTGCTTCGAAAATGGAAAATAGGGCAATGGAACAATAGCGTTGCGAAATAATGGAGAAATTCCCAAGAACGGAGAACCTGTGATCACATCTGTCTGCCAAAGTCATGCTCATGTTTTTCAAATAGAATAAGTAGAAGATAACGAAAGAACAGGGGATCTCTGGAGAGAAGCCGAAGGACAGGTAGGTTACTGCTTCCAATGCTTCTATGCCCTAGTCCATATCCGAATTTAAAGCGAAGATAATCAGAAATAGAACAAACCCTATCCCCCCTCTCTATCTCCCTCTCTCTCTCGCGCACACACAGACTAAACCAACAACTCGCCGTGCGATCCGACCTCTCCGAAAGGGGAAACGGATCATCCTCCGGTGAGCATTGTAGAAAACGGAAACACTGGAAGAGCCCAGAGAGACGGGATGCCCTAACCCGAACCCCAGCGCGGAAATCGAAGGCGAAGTCAACAAACGAAAGAACGGAGCGACGAGATCCAGAGCAGCGGCGCACCTTGCCAGCTTCCGCTTCCGGGATGTGGGAGGAGGGAGATAAGGTTAGTGGAGAGCTCTTTGCGTCACTTAAGCTCCCTGGCTCGCGAGCGAGGGACCAATGACCAATGTCCTTGGAGCAGTCAGCCACCACCGTCGCCGGGCGACCATTCAGCCGCTACAGATCCAAAGTAAGTGACTGTGGGAAGATGTTGAGACCTTAGCCTAAATCGAAGAATTCACGTGGCCCAAGATTCCGGATCCGATTGTAGAAGGTAATTGGGTGTATAGAACCTAGAAGCAGGTGAACAACTAGTGACAACCGAACGGTCGGTGACAAATGAGGACGACAACCGTTAAGATCTGCTTAACAGTCAGTAGGGCTAGTTAGGCCGTTAAGCGACCACAAAGATTTGTACCAAATGACTTTGGTAACCCGACAGCCCTCGCTTATAAAAAACAGAAAAAGATAAGGAAAAAAAAAAAGAAAAACTTCCGAAGACCTGCCATCTCAAAGAGGTGACCTAGTGAAGAACTCTTGCAAGAGCTCTCTATATCCTACCCTTTAGTGTATCTTTCATTTTCCTTAAACTCCTCACGCTCTTTGGAGTTTGAGGACTCTCTCTCTCTCTATATATATATATTCAGTGTTCGGGCATTAGTTGAATTCTAGCATCCTATCTCTTCCTTCCTTCTTCGGTGGCCATCCTCTAGTTGAGTGCTAGTCATCCCATCTAGGGCACCTATCAACTCGATATCAAAGCACAATAGGTCCTTCGTCATGACACCTAAGTCTCAAGACAACCGGCTCGAATTCATGGAGAAAGGATTCAAGGAATCTTGCTTAGAGCAACGACAACAGTTCATAGTTGTCAACGTCGATAAAGATGCCTTTTGAAAAAAACAAGCCAAGCTCAAATGCCAACTAGACGACGTCAAGCAAGAGCAAAGGACAACAAACCACCAATTGGAAGACGTTAAATAGGAGCAGATAATGATGAACAAGCAACTTAATGTCATTGCCAGGGCCCTCGAATCCCTCTAGCTGACCTTGAATCAGTCCTCCACAATCAACCATCGTTCTGGAAAAGAAAATATACTCTCTAATGAATGGCATTCTGGAGAACCCAGCCATGGAAGATTCTACCCCATCAAGAAAAATGACAAGGGATTCGCTAGACATCGTAACTCAGACAAGGATCCTCCAACCGGCCAACCAAACTCTCATCAGCAGTCCACCGAATTATGGCAAGGGTGAAAGGTAGAATTACCCACTTTCTATGGACGGGACTCAAGAGGTGGATCTTCAGAGCTTAGTTGTTTTTTTCCATGCAAGGGGTTCCAAAGCAAAGGAAACTCAAGTTGGCCGGATTAAGCATAGATGGGCTTGTGCTACATTGATTTTAGTGGACCATGGATCAACACCCTTTCCAAAATTTATATGATTTTCATGGTAATCTGTTGGAAAGGTATATAGATCGAATCAATCCAACTCCTTATATGATAAATGATAAACTATTGGGTCTCTATCAATAAGGTACGGTTGTCAAATATCGAGAAGACTTTGAGATCCTCACTAGCATAATTAGGGACACCTCAGAGCAGATTCTAATAAACACCTTTTTCCATTGTCTAAAAGAGGAAATCCAGGCCGAGGTCAAGGTATTGTATCCCAAAGGACTCGAGGAAATGATGAAGACAGCTCAACGAGTGAAGTCCAAGCTTGAGATACTATCTCATCTGTCTAAGATGACTAAACCTCATCTCCCGAGACCCTTAGAAGAGTTAGCAGTTGGCCTGAAACCCTGACACACCCAAGTTACAGATTTCGGTAACATCTACCAAGGAGAGGAAGCCCATGTACCTAGGGCTGCTTTAACCGGCTCAAATGGTGGACAATAGTGTGATGGATCAAAGGAAAGAATTGACTCTCACCATTGCATATATACTAGAACGACAAGTTAAAGATCTATGTTTTTATTGTAATGACAAATTCTCCCCAAGACACAAGTGTCATAGAGAACTATAGATTCTCTTCACACCAGTAGAAACGAATTTCTCAGAGTTCTTAGAGTCAACAAAAGAGACCCCCCCAGTTAGAAGAAGTCATTTTCAACATGAAAGTTATTCTACAATCCTTAATAGACAGGTAGAAAGCTTTGAAGTTTCAAGAAAAAATTAAGAACAAACTTGTTACGATCTTGGTGGACATTAGTACAACCTACAACTTCATCAACAACCAATTGGTCCAAGACTTGAGATTGTTCCTAATCCAAATTCCTCAGTATAAAGTTATCACCAGATTTGGCAAGAAGGTGGATGACATAAAGCTGCCCTCGAATTTTCGTGAACCTATAGAACGTCCATATCTGCAATGACTTCCTCTCCTTTTCTAGCCATAGTGAAAGTCATACTTGGTATGAAGTGGTTAAAATCTCTCCATTAGTTTGATGTAGGAACCTTCTCCTTTTGCTCTAGAATCAGCCGAGATTGCGCTCAAGTCATTATTCAGTTGAGTAAAGGCATGTGATTTTTGTTTCAAACTCTCAACTATCTCAGACTGAATTAAGTTCCAAGCACACCTTGTGGGAGGAACAATTGCAGCAAGTATTCTCAGAGTTGTTCGCAGAGCCTTGTAGTTTGCTGTCACAACGAGAGGTGAATCATCAAATCGACTTACACCTAGAGGTTGCGTTTGTCAATATTCGACCATTCTGCTACCCCTACTTCCAAAAGACGGAACTAGAGAAGATGGGGGAAGAGATACTTAAGACCAACATCATACAACACTCATAGAGCCCCTATTCAAGCCCAACATTATTGGTCTAGAAGAAAGACGACACCTAGAAGTTTTGCATTGATTATCGTGCTCTCAATCAAGCCACAATCTGTGATTGCTTTTCCATTCCCATGGTGGAGGAGCTCTTGGATAAGCTCCACAGTGTGAAGATTTTCTCAAAGCTCAATCAAAGAGCGGGGTATCACCAAATCTGAGTAAAGATAGATGATATTCCGAAAACGGCATTCCGCACCCACGAAGGACATTATGAGTTTCTCATAATGCCTTTTGGCTCACCAATGCCCTTACCACTTTTCAAGTGTTGATGAATCGAATTTTTTGTAGGTTATTTAGAAAATTCGTTTTGATATTTTTTAATGATATTCTGATCTATAGCCAGGGTATAGAGGAACACCAAGGGCACTTAAATCAAGTCTTCAAGATTTTGAACCAACATCAGCTACCTCGAGCAGCATCAGATCGCCTAACTCGAGCATTGGATCTCGACTATATAGGTCAAGATGGACCAATAAAAAATCCAAGTTGTGTAGAAGCGGCCAACCCCCCATAATCTTTGAGAGTTGCAGGGATTATTGGGCTTGTCCAAATATTACCGGCACTTCATTGTAAGATATGAGATGATCGCCTCAGCCTAACCCAATTACTAAAATACAATGCATTCTATTGCGGAGATGAGGCAGAAGAGGCATTCCAACAACTCAAGCAGGCTTTGACCTCTACTCTAGTTATCTTCTTACCAAATTTCTCCTAAGCCTTTGAACTAGAAGTAAATGCTTCAAGTAGAGGTGTAGGAGCTGTTTTGATGCAAAAGCGGAAGCCAATTACATACTTCAACTAAATACTATCCTTCATTGGGAAATTTACGGCCATATACAAGTAGAAATTAGTTGCAATTGTGTTAGCAACCCTAAAGTGGAAGTAGTACTTATTGAGTTAACGCTTCATCATCTTCACAAACTAAAGAAGCTTACAGTTCATCTTGAAACAACGACAGGTACAATTGGAATATCAAAAATGGGTGTCTAAATTATTGATCTTCAATTTCAAAATCAGGTAGAAAGCTAGAATAGAGAATCAACCAGCCAATGCTCTGTCGTGAGTTCCTAATAGTGTGTGACTTCAAGAATTCTAAATGACAAACTATAGCTACTAGACGACAACATCATTATCAAGGAGTACTGCATAAACCCATATTTACTAGACCTGTAAAATCAGCTATAGCACCATCTAGAGCAATGGCCTTCAAATGAGAAGCAAGATGGGTTGCTATTTTGAAAAGGGTGACTGATTATTTCAAGGCAATCCTTGCTCATTCCTCCACTCTTGAAAGAATTTCACAACTCTTGCACTAGGGGCACCTTAGCTTTCATCACACATATTTGAAAATCATACAAAATGTTATGTGGAGGGGGATGAAGTGCTAAATCTGACAATATGTCACTAGCTGCTCAGTATGTTAGCAAAATAAGTTTGAGAATTTATCGTCAGCATGTCTTCTACAACTACTTTCCATTCTTGATAAAATCTAGGCAGACATCACCATGGACTTTGTGGAAGGAATGCTACCTTCTCATAGATTTAATGTTGTGATGATTGTTGTGAATAGGCTCAATAAATGTGTTCATTTCTCCTTGCTAAAATATCCCTTCTTGACAAAGGATGTGGCTCAAATCTTTGTCTGTAATGTGATTCAACTCCATGAAATCTCATAATGAATGTTGTCTGATAGAGACAGAATCTTCCTCAACAAATTCTAGACCAAGCTCTTCCGATTGCACAGTATTACCCTCTAGCACACAAGCTTGTACCATTTACAGACCGACGGTCAATCGGAGGTGGTAAATAGTGAATTTGAAACTTATCCACATTGTTTCGCAGGGATCAACTCAAACAATGGAGCCAATTCTTCACATGGGCTGAATATTGGTTCAACACCACCTTTAATGTCCCTATTGGCACAACACCCTTCAAAGTAGTCTATGGTAGAGACCCTTCAACTCTCTATCATTCTCATTCAGGTTTCTCTGTGATAGATACACTAGATCAGATGCTTCAAGAGAGAGATCAAGCCCTCATTCAGCTGAAGCAACACTTGAAATGAGCCCAAGTCTATTTGAAAAGGGCAACTAATCACCATAGGAGGGACATAGAGTTTCTGGTTGAAAACTAAGTCTTCATCCGGCTCCGACCTTATTGACAACACTCAATAGTTCGACAACCATACGAAAAGTTATCTCCACACTTTTATGAGCCATTCAACATCCTAAAAAGAATTGATCTAATTGCCTATCGCCTAGAGCTTCTTGAGACAACTTGAATTCACCCCATCTTTCACGTATCCCAATTAAAGCAAGAAATCAAATGTTCAAAGCCTAGTGAGGAACTTTGAGTAGAAGAAGATGTCTCTTGGATTCTTGAACCCATCGAGGTGCATGCCATCCTTCACTAACCCAATAAAGTGAGGTCCTCATTCATTGGTGAGATCTATTGACTGTTGATGACACGTGGAAATCGGCTTGCACCATCCTCGAGCAATTCCTAGACTTTCACCTGAGGGCAAGGTGAGTCAAATGAGAGAGTATTGTTGAGACCTTAGCCTCAACAAAGAATCCACGTAACCCAAGATCCCGAATCCGATCGTAGAAGGTAATCAGGTGTATAGAACCTGTGCAAGAAATAGTTGAACAACCGGTGACAATCGAACGGTTGATAACGGACGAGGATGACGACTGTTGAAATTTGCTTAACGGTCAACATGGCTGGTCAAGCCGTTAGGCAACCACAAAGATTCATACCAAATGACCTTAGTAACCCAACAGCCCTCACTTATAAGAAGCGGAAGAAGAGAAGGAAAAAAAGAAGAAAGACTTCTAGAGACTTGCCATCCCGAAGGGGCGACCTAGTGGAGAACTCTTGCGAGAGCTCTCTATATATCCTACCCTTCAACGTCTCTTCCTTTTTCCCTAAGCTCATCATGCTCTTTGGAGTTTGAGGACTCTTTCTCTCTCAATATTTAATGTTTGGGCATCAGTGGAATTCCAGCATCCTATATCTTTCCCCCTTCCTCGATGGCCATCCTCAGGTCAAAGTGTTGACCATCCCATCTAGGGCACCTATCAGAAGAACTATGGATTCATATGAATGGCAATGAATAGTGTAGACTCAATCTCATGCTATATGCTAGGAGCTTATGAGTGACAGTCCGGTTCCTCACCATTACGGTGACTAGGTTGATATTCTCCTCGCCATGGATACCTACAACGTGGCATAAATCAAACAACTGAAGGTTCTCAAATAGGGTTCATCTTGTTAAGGAAGCAATTGATGTCCATTAAACATCAGGCTAGCCCATTAGCAATACATGACGGCCCACTAGGTGACAGTTATGCTTGTTATAATTATTCACGCCAGCTCATGTGTTCGATATGTACCATTTGGACTTCTTATTCTTTCCTCATTTAGGAACTTAACTCCTATAAAAAGAAATGTATTAACTCATCTAAAGACGATGAGTGACACCCCAATTTCAAAGTTCTCTTCTTTTCTCTCCACTTCTTTTTTCCTCTTTTTCTTCATGGTATCAGAGCCAACGACGAAACTAAAATGATAGACTTTGTGGTTTCAATGGAGATTACACAGTGATGAGACAATCAAATAGTCTCCCTTCCTCAGCCAACTGCATCGAATTTGATAGGACTCCACATGCCTATCAAGCTCACGTGAAAGAATTTTCTTCTTTGGAAGACACAACTATTCCCTCTACTGAATTGCTACGATCTTACACATATTCTCATACAAGATCCTCTAATTTCAATGCAATCGGACTCACAAGGAGAAATCATCGTGAATCCAACATATCAGGCATGGTGGTGATAAGATCAGTAGGTGCTTTCCCTAATTGTCTCCTCTCTCTTAGAAGGAGTGCTTCCCTACGTCATCGAGAAGAACACAACAAAGGATGTGTGGGAGACGCTTTCCAAGAATTTATCTTCTATTAATCCATCATGCATTGTGCACTTGCATAATCACCTCCACAATAACTTGAAATGTACCATATCAATTGGTGATTATGTGCAGGAAATTAGGCGCACATGTGATGAATTGGTGGCTGCTAGACATCTAATTCAAGAAATTATGTCAATTTATGCTTTACTCAGAGGTCTTGGTCCATCCTATGCAGCATTCAATGCTAGCATTACGTCTAATCTGCATAATCTATGCTTTGCGGATGTCGTCACTCAAATCTATTCACATGATGAGCTGGTCACCTTCTCAAATCCTTCTAGAGATATCGTAGCTTTGGAATTTCCTCCCACAACAAATCAAACTCAATTTAATGTACCGGATCATGGTCAAAGGAATTTGAAGGGTGAAATAATAAAGAAAAAGGGCATAATAGAGGTAGATACAAGTCACAGTGCCAAATTTGTGGACAATTTGGTCACCAAGTCCAAGATTGCCACCAACAGTTCAACAAGAATTTTTTCGAATGTCAAAATTCTTCTAGATCCTCATAACTAGCTCCACAAGCCTATAATATGAGTATGCATCCTCATCCAGCTCCGCTAGAAAACTCAGCATAATATTCGAACAACGGAACTACTCATCATGTTACTCATGATCCACAAACACTAGTGGATTTAGAACTCTACCATAGAAAACGAACAACTAGAAGTCGAAAATGGATCATGTCTGTCCATTCCATCTACTAGTTATGTATCTTTGTTATCAAGTTCATATCCTCTAAAGCTTGTTAACATCCTACATGTTTTGGAAATTTAAAAAAATATGTTGTCTATTTTTCGCCTCACTAATGACAATAATGTTTATATTTAAGTTTTATGCTGATCACTGCATTGTGAAGGACAAGGCAACTAGGACTCCACTCCTTAGGAGAATATTTAAAGAGGGACTCTATCTTGTCAATTGATCCAATAATCCGAAGACTTATCTCGGACAAAAAGTGGCCTTCAACATGTGGCATCAAAGGCTTGGCCACTTGAATTTTAAAATTCTTCATCACATAATCACTGTTCATGAACTTCTTACTTTGGCATTCAATAAAAATTTAGTATATGATGCATGTCTCTCTTCTAAATCTCACCGACTATCATTCTCAAGTTTTTGAAGCAATCGAGTAAACCTCTCAAATTGATCCATTGTGACTTACGGGGACCTTCACTCACAACATTACACCTCGGTCATTATTATGTTCTATTTGTGGATGACTTCTCAAAGTATACATGGCTTTATCCCTTCAAAGCCAAAAGTGAGGTTCTATAGACCTTTGTAGATTTTCAAACTCAAGTGGAATGACAATTCAATCTGAAAATTCATCATTTTCAGTTAGATTGGAGACAAAAATATCAATCCTTGAACAAACATTTGAAGCAATAAGGAATAATTCATAGAGTGTCCTGTCCACACACCCTAACTCAAAACGGTACAATTGAAAAAAAGCATTGGCATCTAATTGAGACTACTCTATCTCTGTTCAAATATTTATACCTTCCACATATGTTCTAGGATGAAGCAATCTACACAACTAGTTATCTGATCAATAAGATGCCGACACCTCTATTAGACTATAAATCCTCTACTGTCTGATTTTTAATTGACAACTTGACTATCATTTCTTATGAAATTTTGGTTGTTTATATCATCTTTATCTTCGCTACTATGTCGACAACAAATTAAACTCAAGATTTAAAAGGTGTGTATTCATTGACTACAGTGCTTTCCATCTTGGGTACAAATACCTCTCCCTATCATCAGGTTGTTTATACATCTCACGAGACATTATTTTTCATGAAAATAACTACCCTTATGCAGAGAAGACCGTCAACATTTATCCCTCCACAAAGCCCTCCCACAGAATTATGGGTTCTCATCTAATTGTCATACCCATAACCCAACTTCCACCATCTATTTTTCTTGATCCAACTCTAGCCATATCAAACCTAATTGACTCATCCCAATCTCCACATTCACCACTTGGGCCCACAATTGACCTTGACACATCCAATTCCTCATCTCCTCCATTAGGGCACATTCCTTCTGATGATCCCTTATCACCATCAAATCTTGACCATCAATCATCCCCCTCATGTATCAAAACCAAGCCTCTTACAAACATTCTTCAATCACTTGATTCGGCCAAACCCATCAAATACCCTCCTCCCAAGTGTTTTTCCATTACCTCAGCCCAATGTATTGAGCCCTAGAACTTCTCCTCTACTTACAAACAATCTCATTGGGTCAACGCGATGAATGAAGAATACCAAGCCATGCTTTGTAATAACACCTGATGGCTTGTTCCTCGCCCATCCAACTGCCCAGTAATTAGTTGTAAGTGGATTTGTTGAGTTAAACACTCACCAAACAGCAAAATCAATCGATTCAAGGCTCGCTTGGTGGTGAAGGGTGGTTTCATCAAGAGGAAGGTGTTGACTATCACAAGATGTTCAGTCTAATGGTCAAAGTCAACCATCAGACTGTTCCTAGCTTTTGCCATCAGTCAAAGATAGCAAATTTGTCAACTTGACATCAGTAATGCTTTTCTTCATGGAGATTTGAATGAGTTTATCTATATGGAACAACTTTAGGGGTTTGTCCATCCTACTCACCCGAGCCATGTGTGTCAATTGAGAAAATCATTGTATGGGCTCAAATAGGCACCACGCAAATGATTTCGTAAGTTCACCCGTCAGCTCTATCATCTCGACTTCACGAGATCTAAAACAGACACCTCACTATTCTTCTCACACTCTAGCCCCATTCTCATATATTCTATACATTCTCATATATGTCAATGATATTATGATGCTTGGACCTTCTATATCTCAAATTGAGAATCTCATCAACTCTCTTAGTTTGCATTTCTTTCTCAAAGATCTGGGCATTACTTCACAATTTCTAGGGATTGAATTCTAGCCACATAAAGATGGCTACTTGCTTACTCAGGCAACTTACACGACTTCTATACTCAAAAGTATAGGTATGGAACTTAACAAACCACTACCCACTCCAAGCCCCACAGTCTACTCTATTTCAAAAGCCAAAACACTTGAGGATCCAATTGTCTATCAAAGTGTTGTTAGTGCACTTCAATACCTCAATCTCATTTGGCCAGACATTTCATTTGCCATCAACAAGGCCTGCCGTTCCATGCACTTGCTGAAAGACGCTGACTGGGTCCATCTTAACATCTCTTAAAGGGACCGTCACCTATGGTCCGTACATTACTGCCAATTCCGATCTCACTCTCCCAACTTACAATGATGTCGACTGGGAAGGCAATGCCTCTAATCGTTGATCCACATGCGGATTCTTGATCTATCTTGGCTGGAACTTAATCTCTTGGCACTCTAAGAAACAACCAATAGTTGTCCGATCAAGCACCAAAGTAGAATACAAAGCTATTGCTGACACAACATCCGAATTAATTTGGATCAACTCTCTCTCTCTCTCTCTCTCTCTCTCTCTCTCTCTCTCTCTCTCTCTCTCTCTCTCTCTCTCTCTCTCTCTCTCCGTCAAGAATTATGCATCACCACATCACCTCTCACATTATGGTGTGATAACATTGGCGCCACATATCTCTCTATCAATCTCGTGTTTCATGCCCGTATGAAACATATTGAAGTGGGTTTCCACTTCGTATGAGAGCTAGTTGCAACATGGAAGCTTTGAGTGTGTATCATCTCCAGCAAAGATCAACTTGCTGATCTCTTCTAAAATATTGATTTCTTCTTCTTCGATCCAAGCTCAATGTGATTCCGGCGTTTTGCTTGTGGGAGGATGTTAAGGAACTAATGTCTATTGAACATTGAGCTAGCCCATTACCAATGCATGGCACGGCCCACTGGGTGACAGTTATGCTTGTTATAACTGTTCACGCCAGCTCATGTGTTTGATCTATACCATCCGAACTTCTTGTTCTTTTCTCATTTAGGAACTTAACTCAGGAGATGTACTAACTCAAGGAGAAGTAGGACGAAAGGGACAACGAGAACGGGAATGGCTGGGACAACCTTTGCCGGCTCATTTCCCGTTACACGTTACGAAAACCCTACTTACCGCCGAGCAGCAAGAGGGTGTGGAGGGTTACGCAGGCAGTGGCAGAGAGAGAGAATGCGGGGAGTGAGAGGAAAGAGCCGGGCAAAGCTTCTAAGGTAGGATGTGGAGAACACTCGAGGACACACTTTTTGCTGGACTTGCTGACAGTACAGCCTGCCGGGTCTTTGCCACCCTTTACAGAACAGCCTTTTCATTCTGCCACGGGCTGAAGGAGCTATCCGATCGGACCTCAGACCCGCGTATTAATGGCCACTAATGGCGAGATCACAATCCCATGTGAGGGGGTCTCTCTCTCTCTCTCTCTCTCTCTCTCTCTCTCTTAGAGCAAGTGGGGAACGTCCAGGCCTACCAAGTCTGTAAAGCGTAACACGGCGGCAGCTATGGAAGCCATTCCGTTCTTTCTTCTGCCGCCATCCCCACGCTGCAGAAAATCGGGGGGCACTCCGATATATGTGGCCACGCAGCGGGCACGGCGCCGCCGGCGTGGCCAGTCACAACAGCCCCGGGGGAGGCGGTAAGCCGCCACGGGAGAAACCCCACCACGGCCGTAGCTGGATAGCCCACATCCTCTTTACTCCGGAGTCATTATGGTTTAGGGAGAGAGAAGCAGATCCTGAGAAATTTTCCTGGGCATGTTGGGTAAGCATATTCGACTTCTTGAAGGAGATAACGATGGGAGTGGTTCCGATGCGGGCACCGAAAATACGAAGAACTCGCTGATGTGTAAGTAATAGAAAAATGGCAAATAAAAAAAAGCGGCACTGATCCATCACTTGGGACAGCTGAAGAGGAAGGATTACCAGACCCGATTTCTATTAATATCTATCTATGAAATCGTGGGAGACCAACATTTTTCTAATGTTATGTCGTTTGGGTCAATTGCTTTCTTTTCTGATGGGGAGGGTCAACAAGGATTGTCGCCTTCAGACATCAGGATCTTTGATGCCAAACGGCCCTGCATACGAGGAAATGACGCCCTTTTTTCTCTGAAAAAATAAAATATGCTCGAGGAAGGGTTGGGATAGCGCGTTGCGGCCGGACTTTCTTCCCAAATTGTCAGCTACACGACTAGAAAAACCTTTTCTTTCGGGAGGACTCTTTCCCAATATAGCCAAGCCAAATGGGTATCATCTTGTCAGAGTGAGGATCTCACGAAGCGTCACCATCCGGCGGGGGCAACCGGTGCCGCTAGGGACGAGCGGAAGTGAGGATCCAGCCGTGGATTGCGGTCCCTGAACAGTGATGTTCACCCGGAGATGCTTTCAGGGAAGGTGAACACCGACGGATGGGTTGGAACTGGTCCTGCCGGGAATTCTCTCTCTCTCTCTCTCTCTCTCTCTCTCTCTCTCTCTGTGGGGTGGTTTTTCTTTCGCGCGTTCTTCCCTCTGCATCCTGTGGTGCCGCTTTTCCGACAGACAATATTCTCGCGAAGAAGAGGGAACTCTCCCGCAGAGGTAGCAGCTCGCGCGTGCCGGGCACCAATCAGTTGCTTCATGCGAACTCTGCCTCTCTCTCTCTCTCTCTCTGGGGTGTTTTTTTTCTTCGCGCTTTCTTCCCTTCTGTCTCTGTGCTGGCGATTTTCTGACGGTGCTAATTCCATTTAGGTCAGTTCTCTCCCCGCCGGACCGCCTGCCGTTCGTCTTCTAGGTACGGGGGCACTGGGGTCTCCGTCTTCATTTCTTCTTGGTACGTCTTGCCCGGGAGCCATTCTGTCCCTGGATGGCATTCGATTGAGTCCCGGTTGACCTACCTTGAAAACCACTGGATCCTTTCTGTCGGTGCGCCGTTGACTTCCGATCGCAGTGAAGAAAAAGCAGAATTCATTCGTCCAACCTGTTTCCTATTTTTCTTTTTTTGCTCCCCTTCCTACCGCAGCTTCTTCTGGCTTAGCAGCGTTGCAGTACGGCAGGTATAAGAAGCAGAAAGGTATGCAGCGCATCCACCTTCAGTGCTCTGACTCTACCCATCAACAGATCTTGAGATCTACGCTCCTGCCCAGATTGGCTAATACCGAGTCCATTTGTCTCTGTTCTTGATGCAGCAAGAAGACATCGAACTGCGTTCATCACAGCCTCTTCTTTTCCTTAGTTTTTTTTCTATTTAGTTTTCTTTGTCCCTCACTTACTAATTAATACCTTCCAAAACCAGTGTCATCACAATAGCTCCTGGGAACTTTCAAGTTACAGACTTAAAGTCAACCAAGGGATCTCCTGAAAATAAATCGCTGTCCTTGCAGACTCCTGTTCATATTACCCAGCTCAGAAAGTACTTCCACAGACTGGTATTCCCCTCAGTCACCTCTCCAAAATAAGATCATCTCCTTGATTTCTTCCTCGTATCAGTACCAACGTGGGCGTCCGATCAACTCGCAGGTCATCCCAATCCGTAACGTGAGACTAACCATCTTTGAAGGACCCTGCAATGGCTACTGACATGATAAGACAGCCTCTGCTCCAAGAATCATCAGCTCCCCCCGATCAACTTCCGATCAAGATCACACCCAAGAAAAGAAGATTCAGGCGTTGCAGAAGCGCCCCATCAGCAGACACGCACTCTGACTTCTCCCCACCCGTTGGCTCCTTTCCGGGATCTGAACGCTTTTCGGGTGAAACAGGTCCCAGCCTGAGGCAAGTGGTGGCCTTCCTGGTCGTCTACTTGGGAACAGCCACTGTCTGCTTCTCGGTGGTTCAGAACCAGATCGGGGGCACGAAGACTGTAGGTCTCATCGATTCCTTGTACTTCTGCATTGTGACGATGACCACCGTCGGCTATGGAGACCTCGTGCCGAAGAGCGTCTCGGCAAAGCTCATCGCCTGCTTCTTTGTGTTCACTGGGATGGCCCTGGTGGGTTTTCTCTTGAGTAAGGCGGCGAACTACTTTGTGGAGAAGCAAGAGGCATTGCTGGCCAGGGCGCTACGTCTTCCTGGGGAGGCTCAGGAGAGTAGAGTCATGAAGGAGATTGGGGCGAACAGAGCCAAGTACAAGTTCCTCACCACTGCGGTCTTCCTGGCGCTTTTGATGGCCGTGGGGGAAGTTTTCCTGTGGAAGGTCGAGAAGCTGAGCCCCGTTGACGCCTTCTACTGCGTCTGCTCCACCATCACGACGCTGGGTTATGGTGACAAGAGCTTCTCCACCTTGGGAGGGCGAGTTTTCGCCATTATCTGGATCCTAACCAGCACAATCTGCCTCGCCCAGTTCTTCCTCTACCTCGCGGAGTGGAAAACAGAAAGTAGCCAGCAGCTGCTTGCCGAATGGGTCCTCAACCGGAGGATGACCTTCGTGGACCTCGAAGTGGCAGACATGGATCAGGACGGGGCCGTGGGGTAAGAGAAATCCTAGCACTCAGATGAAGCTCTGTTCTTTCTTCCCTCCCTTCTTTCCTAAGTCACCCTCTCTCGGTATCTGTTTCCTTACTCTACCAGGGCAGCTGAATTCATAATATATAAGCTCAAGGAGATGGGGAAAATCACTGGAGAGGACATAGCGCAGGTAATGGAGGAATTCGAGGATCTGGATGTTGACCATTCGGGCGCGTTGACCCCAGGTGACCTGCTGCTTTCTCGGTCGTCGTCCTAGGTGTGGGGTCCTACTCATTTTCCTAATTACCCTAATCTTAGAGGGGGGGAGGGATGAGCTTACCGCAGCCATGAAGAGATGTACTCAGATGTGCACTCCACCTTGAATCTTGCCCGGTATGTACTCCTCTGACAGGAAGGAAAACGAAGCCACAGACAGAGCTTCGATTTCGCACTTCACCCCATCTTGTAGCATCTTCTCCAGCTCCAACCTGCCACAAATGGCCCGACCTGTTCAGTAGCTTCCAATTAGCTTAGCCAAAAAGACACAGGTAAAATCGAACCTCCAATCAGGGGCTTTCTTCTGCAAGTAGCATCTCTGCAGCATGGCCCCAGCCTTCATCCTATCTGACGATGGATCACACCGAGATCAGTTGCGGATATGTGGAAGAAACTATGGAACCCAGTGGAGGTGGACCAAGCAACCCCATGTACCTCACCTTCAGGAGACAGAGGAAGGAGACATCGATCTGGCAAGGAGTATTTCTCGTGATCAGAGGGGAAGACCCCGAGCCAGCGAACCTCCGGGACGCACATCAAGCTTGCATCGAAGGCCATTTGCTTGGGAATAAGCAGCGTCAAGTGGGGTATTAATATTTTCCAAGAATTTTGCTAATACGGGGGGAGAAAACTCACGAGGAACGGTGTTTGTGGGACTGTCAATTTTTGGGTTGACTAGAAAAGGCTGCCATGATTCATAGAGAACGAGGCTACGGGATGGTTGACCATATAAAAATAAGGCACCAGAGGGGACTCACCATGGAACCAAACCTGTATGTCATGAGGATGTCGAGACCATACGGATCGCAGTCCACCAAGCAGTAGACGGGTAAACACAGATTTTCGACGAGTCGTTTTAAAAACCTGGAAGAAACAACGAAGCGAACAGGGAAGATGTGTTCGAGAAGCCAATAATTTTCCTGAAAGGGAAGAAAAATGGGACGATAGTAGGTTGACCCGAACCTTCTAGTGGAAACATCAGGGTAGCCTCTTCCCTGCAGATTTTACTTGCATCACGGTGATCGGCGGTATAGGAAAAATGAAATAACGGTTTCTAGAAATGGATGTGTGCTTACTGTAATGACTACGCATTGGTTCTTCTCACAAAACTTGTCATTTGCCAACCGCTGGAAAACTGCGGAGACGATCAAAAGAGCAGCCTGAATATCCAAACTTACGGCTACTAGAGGTTGAAATCAGTTGGGCTGGAGTGATGGAGGCTTTACCTGTTTCCTTCTCTACAACAAGCACATACTGGGCGACACTAAAGAGATCTGAGGAGGGAAAACAATGAGATAGGAATAATTTGGATTCATATTTGAAGATAAATATCAACAACACCATCGTATTTGACAAGAAAAGGGGGATTTGCTGCGGGCGGAAAGTTTTTTCGGCAGTAATTTTAAGTTTCTAAAAAAACCCATAGAATGAAACTTAAACATGAAATAGATGGGTACCTTCCACATCCTCCACATGCACGGGTACAGGATAGGCCTGCAACGCAGAATACTTTAACGAATTTCAATCATACAATGAAGAATTGAAATATAGGGCGCCACGATCATTCCTTACAGTATTAGGGCTTCTTATGCAATCAAATCTCCTATCACCATCTGTGAATCTCACCCAGCCCATCAGCAATCTAGAAAAAGAATCAAGAGGTTTCGAAAATGGAAAACAAAAACGAAATGGTCCTCTCGACTTCAACCAAAAGGAGAACAATAAAAAAAATCAATAGGATATCGTATCGTTTTAAATGTGAGGAGTTTTTTCATTCTATACTTGATGGCGTGCCGTTTTAAAAATTATACTCCCAAATTTTATACTGAGAAAATCATTCCCCAGAAAAAACTTTAGCAGTTGACTGTCCTATATGGGGGTACATATTAGTCTCCCGTCTGTGTAGAGCACTTCTACAGAGATCAAACTTCTTAAATCATAATTTATCTCAAAATTATTTTCTTAGTCATAACGTCGATTGCTCAGAGAATTCCTAAATCTGTATAGCTAGATTTGAAAAAAGAACGAACATGAATCAAAGAGGATAAAAGCCTCTGTCACGGAATCTTTTAAAATCCAGTTTGCCGTCTCAATTGCACAGAGATTATTTTATTTTTTCTGATTGTGTACATCTAGAGTATGAGAAGCATTCAAAATCGAGTCATAGGACAATGCATTGCTTTATTATTCACATCATGGATAAATTAAGAAAAAAATAGATGGGATGCATGGTCAAACCAGGACATGTGCGAAGTCATTTAGTCATACTTAAAAATATTCATCATCGTAGGTGGGATGGGAGAAAAGAAAAGCATTGCACAGAAAATATGCAAGAGTCGTTGCTTAAAGCTCATTCTCTACGTGTAATCGAAGCTGGGTCTTGGTTCAAGTGATCAAGAATTGGCCCGCACATGCAGATGATAGCCCGAAAAGAAAGTATTTTTCCAACCAACTGTAAAGGTGCCTCAGTCCAGCCTGCGAATCAGTAAATCTCTGCCTCGTCGGCCAGGTTTGCACTTGACCATTTGAATGAGTAAAAAATTAAGAGAGAGAGAGAGAGAGAGAGAGAGAGAGAGAGAGAGTTTTCAATTAGTCTCTCAATGAATCCCAGCACGTTCTCTACAGACTGTTTCGTCTTTGAAGCACCTTGGTAGTATAGACCGCAGTGAGGGTGCCAAACAGATTTCATGCGTTTACATTGGAACGCACAAAGTGATGGTTGTCAGTTCACACAATGAAGCATTTGCCCTATAAAAGTATTAGGTATCCAGAATCATTCAATAATTTATTTTTCTGTGGCATACCTAAAATAATCAAGTTTCGTTGCCCATGAACGAGATTAAGAGGATAGAACTTGTAATTGCTTACCCTTTTCCAACAGGCACCTGCCAAAAAATACGAAAACTGATATCATTACCACGTTATCGGCATGCTCTATTGATACCATAGAGATCATATGAAACGATTCCAGATGAGGAAATATCCGCGTGGTGCTGGAAAATATCTCACGTCTCCATTTTGTGCGGACTATAAAATTGAATGAACCATAAACTGAAATTCTTCGTAAGAAAGCTAAATCCTTTACAATTCGTACCATCAGGTGACGCCATGTGATATGACATTAATCCGGTTTAACTCGAATTCATAAATCAAAAACCTATAAGCGACATGTTTTCCAATTTACAGTGCCATTTTGATAGTTTCCATGTTGAAACATGTGGAGTTGAAGATTGGTAAGAAAAGAAGAAAGTAACGGACAAGAATAATATATATATATATATATATATCCAGTTTGTAGTTTCCACTTTCTGACGAAATGGATATAAATGGTGATTGGCTTAATAGTTAAAATAGTTAAAATAGTTAAAATAGTTAAAATAGTGAACAAGAGTATAAGAGCATAGCACTACACTTCCGTTTATTCCATTTACACGTGACATTGTAATATTTAAAAAATCATAAACCTTAAGACACCTGAAATCAAACAAATCATTCTTGAACCGAGCCAAGGAAGATTGTGGCCTAAAAATTTCCAGACTCATAATAACTTTCATTGGCGGTCCTTTCCTCCTAGATCTGTTCGTGTGTAATTCATTTTCATTTGCTGTCATCTCCGAACATTTTCAAAGCTTTGAAAGAACAAAAGGCAAAGAGGAAAATATATCTCTCCAGTTATGCGTACCACATTAAGATTATGACGACTGCATTGCAAAAGGATGCATATGTCCTTGATAGCTTGGTCCACAACTTTTTGCTCTGCGACAGGCAAAAAAAAAGGTCCATCCAAGATATAAGGTTGCATGAGATGACAAGCAATTTTGACAACAGTGCACGAGATAACAAAAAAGGGAACACAGAGAAACACATACCTATGAGTATTAGGTATATTTGAAACAGAAAAACCATTGAATCACAACTGGAACAAGAATAACAGATGATCTAACTAGAATGATGTCATTTACTGCCTACATTAATTCCGTTTCTGGGTATAATCATGTGGCAATCATGTACTGTCCTATAAAATCAGATGAAGTAAGATTTTACCAAGTAACCAATTTACAAGCCGCCAGTTCTAAAGAAATGAAAATGAGTAAAAAACCTTGGAAAAAACTAAATACCAATTTTTTCAGCAAAATATCCAAGAGCTTGCCGAGCAGTTTATGCGGGGAACCACCAAGGCTTGAGTTGGTATTTTCCAGTTTCATGTGTGTCTATGTGTGCTTTAAAAAGGTTAAAGGTAGAGTCAACTGTTGTAAAAGGTTAACGGTATCTATATACACGAACTGCAAGCATGATGATGATTGAAAACCGAAGCAAACCATTAAACTCAAACATGCAGGCAAGATTCAACATCCGATTGGCCTATATATTAAGGGTGTCATGTGAATAGCCTTTTTAAGCTTTTCTTCAGAGTCTATGACATCCAAAGAACATAAAATAAAATAAAAATCCATTTTTACCAGGGTATGATAGAACCACTCTCCCCTCTCAGATTGAGATTAGCTGTAGAAAGATAGCCTTTGAAAAATTCATCGGCCAAGACTTTGGGTCAGTTAAAAACCAGCTCCATTAGATTCGGAATAGTTTACAGGCTGATTTCAAGGCAGCGTTGAAATCAATTGATTTTTTCCAGGATGACTTTTTTTACTGTCCCTTAACATATGCTTACTGGTTTCAGTTTTTTTGGAAAAAACTTCGGTTTTTCCACGTTTAAGAACAGGTTGGACCTACAGTGGTATTGGACCGCACGCACTGACATTTGTGACCATTTACCTATTTCGTAATTTCATCTTTGGATCTATGTTTCTCAGTGGACAAAAAAACTAACAAATATTCACATGCCTTAGATTTGAAAGAGGGCAAAATTAAGTTCATGTCGCTCGGGTATTACGCGATAAATAAAAATTACCCAGGAACACGGATGGATGCATGTAATATATGTCCCTCTTTGATCCATGCCTGTTTTCTTGCAGGAGTTGCTGGATGATTCGCAACACCCTAAGCATGATATCTGATAGACAGTAAAATAATCATGAAGAAAGAAGACTAGAAGAGGCAAGGTTTGATAGCAAAAAAATTACTCACCCAATCTCTGAGCATGGCTTTCCTTGTAAAATGAGATGGCCTCCTTTCCATGAGAAATATCTTCATTGCAATGGCTGCACGGGAAAGGAAACGGAGATTAAATCTAAGTAGACGTTAAATGATCACTCAAAGTAGACCTTAACGACGATTATATTCAGATATCACTTTCCAAATTCATTTTTCAATGGACCTCTCCGCATGATCATTGAAATCCCCATAGTCACTACGACTTCTGATTCTTTTGCCAATTTTAGAGTCGATGGAGGCACCAAATCCCAGTGGATAGCATGTGTAACCACGTCAATGTTTAGCCGACCGATGGGAATTTTTTCCCGCCTTCCTGGGATAACTTTTCCTGCATTTCCATTGAACAGAGCCAGCGACCAAGCGTCGAACCGGAGGCGGAGGAGAGAGAGAGAGAGAGAGAGGGAGAGAGAGGGAGAGAGAGAGAGTTCATATAACAGCGCAGAACTCGACGGAGTGCGTATTTGATATCGAGGATTATAAAGTCGTGCTTCCAGAGCCACGAATTCCATTCGACGATAAGCTTTGGCGAGAAATACATACAAAAATTCCCCAACTACAAAACATGAAAAGGAAACATTGACTTCCCTTGGGAAATTCCCCCGTCATCAGGAATTCAAGTCGTGAAAAATGCAGATGACCAAATAATGCGGCAGCATAAGAGTGAAAGGCTCATTGCCGCACAGAAATGAGTCCAGTGATTTATTTAAGCGAACGTACCAATTACCGGATGAATCCATGCAATACGTCCTATACCGATCAAGCACAACCGAGGGGAGGCGCTTGTTGCAGAGATCCACGACCAAGGAGCGAACGATGCCTGCAGATATCCTCCATACACATCCGAAATTCACACCTCTGCCACTCAATACAACCACAAAAAATTTCTTCGACCCTTCCCCCCCAGTTCAAATGCACCGAGCAATTACCTCTGATCTTCGACAGCACTTCTGGGGCCTTCGAACCGGACGATCTTCCCGCCATTTCTTATCCCCCACCGACGGACGACTACAAGGACACTAAATAACCGGGTGATGCGGTCAAGCATTCGACAAATTTTAATAAAAATTTCAAAAAATCTGCTCATCTGGAACAATGATTTTGCCTGTTTTTTGAAAAAAAAACGCTCATAAATATAAAGTATTTAATTCGCCAATTATTTTATATAGAAACGTATCCATTTTATTTTAACTCGGAAATTTATATGATCTCAAATCATAATCATTTCGCTGCATCTTATAACCACCAGAGCCTCTAAGGCCCATATTTTTCAAAACAACATTAAAGTTATTATCATATTTTCATACATGCAATAATAATTTCCCACAATTACACGTCGGATTTAAAATAATATATAATTTAAGATATTATCGCCGAGTTCTATAAGAGCCATTAAATTTATCATAATATGTTATTTGCACTGGCTTTTAAGATATGAAATATGAGATGTATACCTGTTTATGTAAAATTTTAAAATATCAGTGGTATTTTAGTAACAGAGGTAATACGAAATTAGCACGAAACGATAGTACATATAACAGCGTGTAATATTTTTTATTATAATAATTTCCGTAGAAAAAATTAACTAAATGTAAAAATAAAAATTTGCGTTTTTTTAAGGTATACTGACGTGTGCAAGTATTTATTAGCGAGCTAAAATTATAATGTGATTAATTATTTATCGGTAATTACAATAAATAAGCTGCATGGCTGTCAGTCGGGTTACAGGATATTATTCCCGAAGATCAACAAGGGAAGTTCATTCCGTTTGCATAAGAGTTAGGGACAGAGGAGCCATTAAACTACAGAAAGTTCGTGGCTCCTTCACGAACTATTCACAGCGATGCACACGGAGGGAGTGAGGAGGAAGAGAGAGAGAGAGAGAGAGAGAGAGAGAGAGAGAGAGAGAGAGAGAGAGAGAGAGAGAGAGAGAGAGAGAGAGAGAGAGAGTGGCGGTGATTCTTCATTCCAGCGTCTTCTACAGGAGCTTCTTGGTCTCCTGCTCTCCTACCGCTTGAGCCGTTTCGGCGTCTTCTCCGCTCACTGAGGGGCCTGCCAGACTGCCCCCCTCTGGAGTGTGATCGGTAACGAAGTGCAGGAAATCCTCTCCCGTCTGGTTACTCTGGTTCTCGCTGTGGGGAGGGGAGAGGACGCGGAAGACCAGCACGGCCGCGAGGAAGACGGCGGTGGAGAGCAGGAGGGGCCACAAGAAGGAAAAGACGGCGAGGAGCCTAGGGCCGAAGCGCAGGAGAATGAGAGCCAACGCGGCGGCGGCGGCCAGGATTAGGGAGTAGAAGATGAACTCCCGGAGCGCGTCCCTTAGCTTCTCCGCCAGCGCCATGTCAGCCGACGCCGTATCACCGCTCCTTCTAGGGTTTCACCTCGGCGATGAGAATGTTGGGGTTCGTATTAGTACCACTCCGAGGAGGGATCTCCGATTGGAGAAAATGCCCGCTAGCTGTTTGCTCTTTTGTCCAGAGATCGTCAGGCCTTTTCCTCTGGGGCTCACCGAAGCTGGTCTCGGTGATCGACTCTCTGCCACGGCGGCGGTGGCGCTGGCTGCCGGAGCGCAGGGGACGATGACAAAATTGTGGAGACGATAATGATCTTGTGATCGGCTCTACCGCTCGAGGGACCAGCCCAAACTGGATCATGTCTGCTTGTATTTAAAAAATTCATTCAACTCTTCCGATGTACATATTTACCATTTTACCCTTAGTAAGTGCATTATCATCGATTTAATAATGGATTTCATCAGTTATGATTTATATTTATTGGGTAGCATATTTATATTTAGTTACAATATGATTTATATTTATTGGGTAGCGTATTTATATTTAGTTGCAATATGATTTATATCATTGGGTAGCATAATGTCACACGGAAATTATTGCAATTTTTCTTTCTTGTAAGGTTTTTATAATCTTTTTCATCTTTTTTTTAATATTCTTGGGAACCCTGTGGGGGATTCTCCTCCTCTTTCCTGTTGGATTTGCGTCCTGATACAAAGAGAATTGGGCACAAAGAGACCCCCCCGTTTGAGCGGGCGTGGCCCGACCAAGCTTCAACCGAGTCTCGGCCACCGAGGACTCATTGTGGGGAGGCTGGAGCCGCCGCTGTATCCTTGTGGAGCTGCTGCTGCTGCAGCAGCGGCAGCGGCGGCGGCGGCGGCGGTAGCTGTTGCACTATTGTCATGTTTCGCTTTCTCCCGCGGCAGTATATTCCCCGCTAAGCTTTCGTGGGGAACGGACCTCCGAAGGAAGAGGCCTTCCCGGAGAGGAGTCCTCGAAGCTGTGGGCAACACTCCTTTAATCAGAATCAATAGTCTCTCCGATGCAACGGGTTGCGAAGTAAGCGACGGCTCTATCTTCATCCTCTCTGTTTTCTCTGTGTTCCTTGCCCTTTCAGTCGCTATTTCTCTTTGAGCAGTGATGTCCGCTGGCCTTCTTCTCCTCGTGACGTGTATATTTTGCGATGTTTTTTTCTCTTGTCATTGGGTTCTCGTAACCTGCTCTTTAAAACGCAGATTCTGGGGAAAGCGGAGTTTTTGAATCCTGGAGGCAGTGTCAAGGATCGGGTGGCGGTTAAGATCATTGAAGAGGTGAGGTGAATCCTCTCAGTTACTTGTGTCGCTTGACCTTTCTTTCGTCCACAATGGGATTCTCCTCATCGCCTCAATGGCTTCTCAGTGAGTGTTGTCTCATGAGATTTTTGGTGCTAGCCGACCTATTCGTCGTCATCTCTTTCTTCTGAGCATGCCAGCCATCTCATCAAATGTATTAGCATTTCCGCCTGGGATCATTCTTTCTAAAAATAATTTATAATGTCTTGTAACCTTCCTAGAAATGGTCCAAGCCATTTCGCGTGTGCCTGGATGGTAAGCCTTAACTTTGATGGAGCTGCCCTGGATTTGAATCTACCTCAAACTGAATTTTTTAGAAAATTTTATTTTTCATTCTTGATTTTTTTTTTTACTTCCCATGAAAGAGTGAAATCCTCTCAAACACTTTACGGAGTGTTCTCCAGTTTCACGCCTAAAATGTCTGACAGATACAGTAAAAAAACTGTTTTTTTAATCTTGTTATCATTTTCATGAACAACATTTTTTCAAACCCCAGTCTTCGTTTTGTTGGCAAGAGATGCTTATTTCCCAAAACGATCTCATTTATTCAGCTCATCTGTGAGTTTCTAGATGTTTTCATGACAACAGTGTCTAGGGTAAGTCCTAAATCCTTCTTTCTTCACCCTCTAACACCCTCTACTTGGCTTTTTTTTCAACTCCAGGCTATGGAGTCTGGGGATCTTGTTGAAGGCGGTATAGTGATGGAGGGCAGCGCTGGAAGCACCGCTATTAGCTTTGCAACCGTAGCTCCTGCTTATGGCTGCAAATGCCATGTTGTTATCCCAGATGATGCTGCTATTGAAAAAGTTAGTATACCTGCCTTTCACTTCTGTAGTCTATGCTATTGGTTTCAAATTCATCGCAGGTCTACATTTAAACTTTTTCCTCTTAGTTTAAATGGATTTATATATATATATAATTCTTCTGCAAGGCCCAGCGGGTGCTAAAGATGAATGAAATTACATTTTCCCTCAAGATCACACATTTAGTGGGTGCCCATGGCGCTATGTTGGGTTTTTATAATCAAGGGATATGGCATACTGTTAGGCATATCATAATCGATCAATTAACCCTCTTTCTTCGGATCTTTTTTTGAGCGTTGGTAGTAAACTCCCCCAATAATCATTAAAGAGAAGCACGCAGGATCTAGAGTCAAAGCAGGGAAAGAATTCCAAGGAAAGGTTGCCCCTGTATCCACATCTATGCAAATGGAAAGCCCGTCGTTTTCTTACTTAAGTAGTCAATTGCCCTCATCTTATTTTATGCCTCAGACTTGATTCTTCTCTCCTCGCATTGTCTAGTCTCAAATACTCGAGGCTCTTGGCGCTACTGTTGAGAGGGTAAGGCCCGTGTCCATCACGCACAAGGACCACTTTGTGAACGTTGCGAGAAGAAGGGCCGCAGAGGCCTCTGAAATAGCAAGGCGCCGGGGAAGACCCACTGAATCTGTGTCCGAGTTTCTTCATGTGAACGGGGATGGTTCTGCCATGGAGCATCCTTTTTTTGGCAGCGATTGCAGGGGTGGCTTCTTTGCTGACCAGTTTGAAAACCTGGCAAATTTCCGGGCCCACTATGAGTCCACCGGTCCCGAAATATGGGAGCAGACTGGAGGCAATGTCCAAGCTTTTGTCGCCGCCGCGGGTACTGGTGGTACCTTGGCTGGGATCTCACGATTTCTGAAGGTTTCTCTCGTCTTCTATCGCTTTTCAGGCATACTTATCGTCGTTAAAAGTTATCATTCGATCATCAAATCGTTATCTTCCTGAGAAATCGCTAGTCGTTTTCTGGTATGTAGAGCAGAAACCCAGATATCAAGTGCTTCCTGGTTGATCCTCCTGGCTCGGGCCTGTTCAACAAGGTAACCAGAGGAGTGATGTATACAAGAGAAGAGGCCGAGGGGAGAAGGCTGAAGAACCCATTTGACACCATCACCGAAGGGATTGGGGTCAACCGGCTTACCCAGAACTTCTTACTGGCAGAGCTGGATGGCGCGTACAGAGGCACAGATAGAGAGGCTGTGGAGATGTCCAGGTTCATATGAGACAGATTACCCTGGACCCTAAACCCATATCCGTATTAGGCATGAACCCATTTATTGGTGTTTAATCAAATGATATGTCTGTCCAACCCTTTATTTCTTATGAATTTCCCATGAAGACGAGACCGATGAGTCTGAGTCTTGGTTTTCAGGTTTCTTCTGAAGAATGATGGGCTGTTCGTCGGCAGTTCATCCGCCATGAACTGCATCGGGGCCGTCCGGTTGGCACGGGAGATGGGGCCAGGCAACACAATCGTCACCATCCTGTGCGACAGCGGCATGAGGCATCTCAGCAAGTTCTACGATGATAAGTACCTCACAGACCACGGCTTGCTTCCTTCTGCCTCTGGCGTGGAGTTCTTAGACTAGTCCGCGCGGGTCAATTGGGCACGTGCTGAACATTTTGTAATTTATCGTCAACGTTAAAGTTGGGGTAGGAATGATTTGCCACGTGTGAACAGGCTGCCGAGAGAAGGTATTGCACGTCCGTGTAACCATGGCATGTGTACTGTTTCAGGTCACAGACTTGCAGTTCGTGCTTAAATTACATGAATTAGTCGTTCATACATGAGGAAATCATGTGGCACCTGGCGGGTTGCCTATAACTGAAGGGCATCACGTCCCTATACATAGATGATGGTTCTTGATGACCCCTTCCAGGAGGGGCTAGGCTAAAAGCGTGGAAGCAGTCTCTTCTACCTCTCTATCTCTCTCTCTCTCCTCTACTTCTTGTGTTGATCTTACATGGGTGTTTCTTCCATGGTGCCCTCGTGCTAACAAACATTTTCTACTGTGGCGGCTCTGTTTTTCAGCTCAGCTTTCATGGCTCGCCAAGGTTAACCGCGGGTAACTCTAGGTGGACGATGAGGGAGGAGCTGGTAGCCTCTCTGAGATACTGCACCGTGCCGCTCATGATCTTCACCAGCTTCTGGCTGATGTACAGGCCGAGCCCCTCTCTTGATATCTCCTTTTTGTGGTGGAACATCTCCTGAATCAGCGCATCCGGGATTCCCGGTGCCGGGTGTGCAATCCTGGGGAAAACATACGATTCAGTCAGATGATTGCATCGAAATGAGGAAGACAATGCCGATCTTGCAACAGGGCCACCTGAACTCGAGGTGGGCAATCTGCATCGACGTTCCGATCCTTTCGATTCTTGGGGTAACACGCAGCATGACAGGCCCTTCGCATGGTGATGTGAAACGGAGTGCATTCAGAAGAAAGTCCGCGAGGGCTTGCTGGAGCCGCGGATTGTCCCCATACAGGCGCAGGCGGGATGCTTCAACAGGCGCTTCGAGGACGAGGGCTACTTCTTTCTCCTTGCTCATAGCCATCCCCTGGCTCATGACGGCCTCCAGGGACTCGCCGAGGTTAAATTCACCGTTGCTCATCTCCATGTAGCTGATTGGAAACCAAGAGACGAATGCAGCAGAAATAACAGCAGTTAAATGAGAAATTTTTAGCTACCCAGAATGGAGAGATTGAGATAGGATGAAGTATATACCACTCCTCAATGCTCTCCAAGTCCATGTCATCTACGATCTTCGCCAACTGCTCCTGACACAGAGTGGCCGTTCTTAGAAGCCGCTTCTGCTCCGCAGTCAGATCAGAGGCTTCCATCAAACTGCGAGTAAATGTCAGGCCTTGGAGAGGATTTCTCACTTCCCTGCGGACATAGGCCAGTCCCTTTAGGTACTTTGCCTCAGCTTCTTGCGACATTCTTTGCAGCTGCAGAGCGTGCTGAAGCTCCGAGCTCGCCGCATGCAGGAAACAGAACACCCCCGTGACCCTCCCCTCAGAGTTGGTCCTCTTGGTGGCGGAAAGTATTGCTTCCACATATCTACCATTTGTGCTAAAAAACCCAAAGTGCAGCTTCTCAGAATCATGCCCTGCTATCAATCCATTCAAGACGATCCTCAGCCTCGTCAACATGTCACAATCTTTGACCCGGCATCCGAAGTTCTGAACACTGAAAACCTCCCCGGCCAGAATCTTATCCACAGCATCCTCCCTTTTCAGACCAGTGAGCTTCTGCATCGGCGCATTCCACTCGATGCAGCAGCCGAACTCGTTAATGATAAATATCGGAGGGATGAGAGTGTTGGGATTACTGTTTATGGCAATATAATCTCCCTGGATGCGGGTGTACTTGTCCAATATTAGTTTCTCCCCTGTGATATCATGCGCAACGAAGCAGACACCGACGACATTACCCCTCCCGTCATGGCTGCAGCAGGCATTCACGAGTAGAATGATGGGGGCAGCATTTTCTTCGGAACTGAAGCTTTTCAATTTCATCTCGACATCATGCTCCTCCTTGTCTGCCATGAAGCAAGCATGGGAGTTAGAACAGCTCATAGAAAGCATCTAGACGCAGCGAAAAGGAAATGGAAAGAATGTGCAGGAATGCGATAACACCTTGGAGCGCCAAGGAAAGCATGTTGTTGACAACTTCAACAGATTCATCCTCAACCAGATCTACTAGAGGTGTGCCGATGGCCTTCTCCACAGGCAATCCTGTCAATTCTGCTGCTTTGACGTTCCATCCATTCACGTTCCCCATGGTGTCGACAGCTATGATAGGAACTGTGGCCGTTTCAATGAGGCGGACCATCTCATTAGCCACCGTTCGCAGCTCATCGACGCCTTGAATCCTCTTCGCATCTTCTGAGATGAAGTTCACGATGGCCTTCGAGCTGTCATTCTCAAGCTCATCCTTCAAGGAGCTCCGCAGGATGAGCTGTAAGGAATGGATGGCATCCATCTCTATGTCTTCCCATGGAAGACTCCGCCGCTTCACCACCTCCAAGAACGCCTCAAACGAAGAGCGAGGGTACATCTTCCTGCCTTCATCTCCCTTGGCGATGGGATCGTTCTTCGCTCCTCCCCACTTTATGTCGTTTGCTACGTGGGACCTGAACCAGAATATGAAATCCCTGCTGGTGATTTTTATAGCGGCCATTCCACACACAGCAACACCCAGAGATGAAGCACCCGGATAACCTGCTTCAGAGAGGCTGTCAGTGCTTAAACCAGTAGTATTATTGTGGGAATCAATGAGCCACCCAGAGATATCCTTAATCTGCGCCTCTGCAGGTGTCACTCCGAGCAACCAGAACTGGTTTCGATAGTAAAGTGCTGCACCATCGCACTTCACAAGATCCATAACATTAGGTGACTGCGTGAAGATCCCCACAGGCGCATCCCTGAGGAGCATGTCGCAGAGAACTGTCTGCGTCCTTAGGATATGTTTCTCCCTTGTCTGAGCAGCTAGTTCTACCTCCTTGTTCAATTGGACCGCAAAGACCTGCATCAGGAATTCACAAGCATATCTGAGCGGAAATGGGACAAATCTAGGGCTGGTGTGGTGGCACACCACCAGTCCCCAAAGCTTCCTGGCCTTCTGCGGTTGCTCGCCGCCATGGTCGATGTCGTCGTCATTGATTGTGACAGACATGACGAGGGAAGCAATGGAACCCATGTTAGCCATGTACTGAGCATGGCATCCATGGGGCGCCCTGAGGGTAGACCCACACAGACTCAATGGCTGGGCCAACCTCTTGTCCTGGATTATCCGAATTGGTTGGGCAGAGCAGTCGCAGATCATCCTAACCTTGTTCTTCAGGAATAGGAACCTTGAAGCTTGAGGAATATCAGTAGCAGGGTAATGAAGACCCAGGTAAGGTTCCAGGTCTGACCTGCGACACTCGGATATGACTTCACCATGTTCATCTTCGTGGAATTTGTAGGCCATCACTCTGTCATAACCAGTGAGCTCCCTCACCTCCCGGACAAGGACATCACACAAGAGGGAGATGTTCCTGCTAGGCAGGGACTGCAACCGCGATATGGCTTTTGCTGCCAATTTGTAGGATTTGAGCGCTCCGGCGGCCGTCACAGGCACATCCGATGGATTGACGGGCTCCAAGTCGATGATTAGACCCACATCATTCCTGTGCAAGATCGCATAGAAGGGTTTGCCAGAGTTCTTGCAATGCACTAGAATCGGATTGAGGAGGTTGACTTCCCCAAAGGCGGCGGCCTTCTGCAACGCGACGGCGCTCTGAGACCGGAAAAGGGTGCGCGCATCTGTGCCGATCGAGAGGGCCTCTCGCTGCTCGATGCTGGGAACGGCGTGAGGGGCCAGATCGAGCATCTCGGGAGCATTCTCGCTGAAGGCGATGACGGCGAATGTCCCGTTCTCCACCGCGATCACGCACCCAAATGGCTGGATGAGGTTTCCCCGCTGCATCCTCTGGAGATAAGCGGACACAGCGGCAGACGACGGCGCGCTGCCTCCCGATCTGTTGCCCGCGGCGGCGCCGCCACTCGAGGAGGAGCAATCAAACGGCCGCTCCGATTGCTCGAACTCAGCGTTGAGCCTCGCATCCTCCGTGGTCTGCGCGACCAGGCGGGCGCCGTTCTTGGAGCGACCGGAGCTGCTCCGAGAACAAGAAGCCTTGTTCGATGCCGACGACATATGTCATCCCTCGCCCGATCTACCCCCTCCCTCCCCCCCTTCGCTTCCCGTCACACAACCCACCCCTTTCCTTTTGTGGAGCCTACTTCCTTCCTCAGGGACAAATAGACAGAAATCCCTCAACCCTCGAGACCTACGTGCGGAGCTATCGAAAAAATTCAGCACAGACACCAGAGGACCTTCCCCCCGCCCAGAAACACTTCCCCAAGAAGAAAGGAAGACCAGCGGAAGATGTAGAAAAATGGGATCTTGGACCTTCCTTCCTCACGGGAGAAAATTCCAGGAACAGGGAATGACCCGGCGATTTCCTCGTGAACCCTAATATACCGGCGATCTGCCACCCCCCCCCTAAGGACAACGATGCGAGCAAAACCCACGAGAAACCTAGGCCTGGTTTAGAGGGCCAGAGCAGCTAGACGGAGAGTCCGATATTTATACCCAAATTACGATTTATTCCAATTTTCTTGGGTTTTATCCCAAGCGGGGTCCACATTACCCAACGCAATCCTCGCAGTCCTAACCCAGACATCCACTTGAGGGGGACACCCATACCAGGTGCAACGCATCCGCACGACGGTGTAAATTACTGTTCAGCCCCTCGTTCTTGAGATTATTTTTGTCAGGCCGTAACGTCTAAGATAAATAGAGAAATCGCTTCTCCTGTCAGGAGAGACACGTGAACGACGTACAATGGACAGAGAAAAGATGAACGCAGAGTGCGTAGAAAGATACGGTGGACGGAAGAAGAGATGGCCCGAACCCACGTGAAGGGCCCAACTGATGAGGTGGCCTTCTTTAGTGGGCCACTGTACGAGGGAGAGGGGCGGGGGGGGGACATTTTGTCTCTATCCCTTTAAATATATTCTCTTAGAAAAAAGAACCCCAACCATTGTGATATTGGATTTCAAGGCAGGGCTGACTGGACTGGGCTGGGCAGTTTCTAATAGTCAGCTCAAAAATAAGAATAAAAACCACCTATCAAAAGAAATAGATTATAAAATGATAAACATTGATAAAAACCCCGTAATAAGACGGTTAAAATACTAAAAAAATCACCAAATGCCTGTTCCTCGTGAAGAAATGTGCTGAAAAGCTTCCTGAGTTTGAACTAAAATTTAAGATATCACCATTATCTGCTAAAATAAAACAAGGAAAAATGTATATTTATATAATAAATAGACTGAGATATTAAACCGAAATTATGATAAAAAAACAACCAATAGAACCATGACAGGCGGTGCCCTGGAGAAGAAAACCCCAGAATCGTAGGACTAAGTGGTGCCATTTACCTAAATGAGGCTGTTCTCTGTCTTCTTCTCCAGAGAGTCGGGGGAGCAACATCCTCAAGGCCACTGTCGGCAAGCCTGAAAAGCCACTGGACTAAAGGCAAGCGGATTACTAGAAGGCACATGTTCAGGAACATTCAGACCGTGCCACGCCTCTGAACAAAACTGGGGCTGAGGAAGCTCTCTCTTCCCTGGCTGCCTCCCCGGAAGAGAACCCACAGGCTTGCCAAGATCTCTGCTTTTTTTCAATTTGATTTGATGGGTCTCTCCGGACCCCTCAGGGCCAAGAAAACTCTGGTTAAGTGATCCCAAGAAGGCCCATCTTCTGCCTGGCAGATCCCCATCGGCTTCAGAACCAGTGCCAATTCTGGCAAGAGGGCAACCATCTTATCTGCAGCTTGATGCTTATCCATGCTCAACCTCGCAACAAACTTAACGGCAGTCGGCAAAAAAGGTAGAGTTTTTATTTCAAAAGCAGATCGCCAGGAAAAGGCAGAGGCGACAGAGATGTATACACTGAATGGATGCATGCATGCATGCTATGATATGCTTTCTAAACAGGATCACATGCTCCAATAAGCCTCCTGAAGATGAGATTCCACCTCATTTTCAGTACACAAATCAAGAAGCACCCCCGTTGCTCGGTTCAGTTCCTCGAGAAGAAACCATGAGAGCAATGAGGTACAGTACTGTTGGTACAATGAGACGTAGAGTCAGGCTTTACAGGAAGGGATATGGCGCGAGGAAAATAACACAGAAAACTTCATAGGACTATGTGGGCACAAAAATAACGGAACACTCAAGAGTAATATATATCGCCTGGAGAGAAGAAAAAAATAAGAAGAAAAGGTTCTATCAATCGTAGCCTAGACAGCAGCAACGGTGGGAGAATTCCTCGACTCCAACCATGGCTTGGCAGCAACCTTCGTCGTCAAAAACCAACCCACCTTATCTGGGGCCTCATGGAAGGGGGCGTTCAGCTTTCTCAGCTGGGATTCAAAGACAGACGCCAATCCTTTCTCCGAGTATCGATGCTTCCCATGACCAGTGTTTATACCTAGCAATGGAGGCAGGTCCTCGCCGTTTTCCAATGCCCTAGACAGATCATTCATCCAGACATGCAAGGCTGTCAGAGCCGCCCCAAGTGAGAGGCTCCTCACATGAAGGGACCATTGGGTGGTGGATTTCGATTGAAGACCAGAGTAGATCCCTAGCCTGAGAGCCATGTCCAAGAGCACGCACGCCCTCTCCAGCATATCAAGGTTGACGCAAAGATCAATCAAGCAATTACAGTAAGCCTTCTTCACTTCTTTGCCAATGTTTGTGAATAGCTCCTCAGCCTGGACTTTAATTACTTTGTCCTCGACTTTCTCGTCCACGAGTTGCTTGACTAAAGAACCCAAGGCGGGATTTGCTCTACTGATGCATTCGATAACCTTCCCCAGCTCTTCTACTGGGGCTTCAGTAAGCACATTCAGAAGACAACCACAGAACCTGTCGTCTGGTGTTATATCCAGTTTCAGCATCCTGTCAAATGTTTCAACAACGTTGTCGATCTTCTTAGCCTTTCCATAACACTGGATGAGGGAAGTGAGCACGAAGATGTTAGGCTCAAACCCAGAAGCCACCATCTCAGTGAAGATGCTCTCTGCTTCTTCAACTTGCCCACTGCATGAATAAATGGTGATCAAAGAAGAGTAAGTCCAGCTATCCGGTTTGCAGAGCTCGGGTGATCTTTTCATCTCTTGGAATATCTCCATGGCTTCGTCAACATAGCCCAAATCGGCACACATGGCTAAAAGGGTATTACACAAGACCACATTCAGCTCTATGCCTTTCCCCTTCATCTCTCTGTAAACCCGGAGGGCATCCTCTGGATAACGAGCCCTACTATAGGCGCGCACCAGTGCTGCATACGTTGCGCGGTTGGGCGAGAAGCCATTGCTCTCCATCTCCCTATATATGGTCTTCACCTGCCATGGCCTGCCGGCTCTGCCCATTGCATCCAACAGCGTGTTATAGGTAATCAAGTTGGGCTTCACTCCCAGCGCCTTCATCTCTTCATAGACATTCAGTGCGCCGTCAAAATTGTTCGAGGTACTATACACCTTGATTACCGTGGAGAAAGTCACAGGGTCCAGCCTTCGCTTCTCCTCTCGAGCCTGATCATAGAGTTTCATGGCCATATCGACATTGCCCGACCGACCATATGCATCAATCATCGCCGAATAAGTGACGTCGTCAGGTCGGCAATCGAATTCACCCATCCTCTCAAACCACTGCACCGCTTTCTCGGGCAGATTGCACACCCTGGCGCTGCTTATTATGGTGGAGAACGTCACATTGTCGGGCTCCACCCCTTTCTCCAGCATCTCCTTCAGTAGACTCTCCGCCCCGTCCCAACTCCTGCACTTCCTCATGACTTTCAGGGTGACGTTGTAGAGGATGACGTCTTTCTTAACTCTAATCTTCTCCTGGAACCACCGGAGAGAAAGCAGGGCCGTCTCGGGGTTACCCATGTTGTTCAGCACGATCACGGCCTCCTGCTCCGACGGCTTCTCTCCCAGGACAGAGAGCTTTTCAGCGACCTCCAGCTCGGTGGGATTGCAGGAGTCAAGAGTTTCAGCAAGCTGGGCGAGGCGAGCGTACCTGGACTCTGAGGACTGCTGCCGGAGGCGGGAGGCCCTCGGGTTATTAGGGTTGACCCAGATGGTGCTCCTCACAGCAGGCGCAGCTCTCAGCTCCGGCGACGCTTGTGATTCCGCCGGTGGGTCTGCGGAGGTCTGGGGAACAGGGTCTTGGAGGGAGACCCTGGCCAGCGAACCCGGCCTTTTACAGTGGGTCACAGTGGGCAAGTGAGAAGAAGAGGGGAAGAAGGCAAAGAGGAAAGCGCGGCGGCGCCCGTCCTGGAGCAAGGAGGAAGAAGGAGCAGCGGCCGCAGCAGCAGTGCTACAGGTGCAGGAGATATGGATTGACGCCATTACTTCTTCCCCTCGACCTTCGCAGCCGCCTCCTCACTCAGGAAAAATCGAGATCCCCGTCAGAAAAATACCTTATCTGAAACAACGATGGGCCGAGCCTGAGCGGCCCATATCAGCCTAAGCGGCTAATGGAGCAGGCCCATTTTCGCCCCCAGAGGTGGGCCCCGGTTCGCTAAACAGCTGGCCTCTCTCTATGGAGGAGCGTCGGGCCACTCAGAGAAAATCTGGCCACCTTATCCGTTATCCACTCAAAACGAGAGGGTACAAGATATGCGAAGGGGCTTTGAGAGCAAGACTGAAGACGATGATGGCGGCACAAGCAGCGGGTCTCTTCCTTCCTGCTGTCGCCGGCGGTTTGGCCGCCCCCGGGCGGCGCCGCGGATGCGGTGGCGCCGCCGCTCCCTCCAGGAGGACCGCTGCGGGTCGTATCAGCGCCCAATTAGGTAACTAAACAGGTGCCGCTTTCATTCCCGTCGTCCCATCTCCGTGACGAAGTTATTGGTCCCCTTCTGTCGTAGGTGGGGAGAAGAAGCCGGAGAAGAAGTTCATCACCAGGGATGAGGAGCCCGAACAGTAAGCCGCCGCCCTCTGGAACCTCCGGACGCCATTTTTGTTTCTTCTTCTTCTTCTTCTTCTTCTTCCCGGGATCAATGGCAGAGCCTGGAAAATTGCAGGTACTGGCAGACGGCGGGGGAGAGGGAAGGGGAAAACCCCATGAAGACGCCGCTGCCCTACATCATCATCTTCGGCATGTCGACGCCCTTCATCATTCTGGCTGTGGCATTCGCCAATGGGTGGATCAAGGTCCCTATCCGATAGCGGAGACAACTTCCTGTTGTAGCGTACACATCTCGCTCCTTCAAATCTCCCCAATCGATCGGCAATCCGACTGTGGTGTTGCCGTCGGATGATTTCCCCACACCATGAGAACTGAGCTTGTAAAGACAAGAAAACTGATGAAATCACTCGACGTCTCATGCGCCATGTCCAGGACCCAGAAGATTACATAAACGTACATAAACGGATGTAATCGTCTCGCAAACGAACTTGCAGTATGTTTCTAGGTTTAACCAGCGAAGGAGAAGCACTTCTCGAAAGGGGGAAGCCTCTAATGAGGGTCGAGCCAGTCGCGGGGTGAACCCTTAGCCATGGCGGCGCTCTTCACCCTGGCGCTGCCGCCCACAAGCTCCCGCAGGATCTCGACCTTGTTCTCGCGTCCGGCCCCGGAAAACCTGCGGTCCGCTTCCTTCAGTTTGTTCTTGGACCGCAGTCTGTTGCCGGGGAGATTGGGGTCCTGCTGCTTTGCCGGAGGAGGAGCTCCGTGGGGTCCCAAATAGATCTTCTCTTCCTTGATGGGCTGCCACAAGAGTAAACCAATCACAGATTCTATACATTGATCATACGAGCTGATACCCAGAAGCCAAGAAGGAGAGAATTACCTTGGAGGGCGGTTCGGGGTCCGCTACTGCTGAAGCATGGCGATTGCCACCCTCAGAATCTCCGATAGACAAGCTCGGGATCACAAATCCATCCGTATCTGAAAAATGGGAGAGGGTCCAGGTTACTAAACAGAGGGTACGTTGAATGAAGGCAGATGATAACTGGGTTTCTCTTCTATGGTCTCATCCCACTGTGCCCTCTTATTGACTTTTTTTAGCATAAATCATCGCCAATAAAAAACCCACTTTTAAAACTGTAGACCCATTAAAGATGATACCAGTGGCTACCCAACTACCCATACGATACCAGCCGGGAGCCGATCGAGGAACCCTAAATTTGCGCCATGGTTTCATAATCTTACTATTTGCAGCCCTACAGTTTCCATGGACCTCCCAGGAATCAACAAGTCAAGAATTCCCATCTCTACCAATCCTTTGGCCTGAATGATTCCTAATGAGTGGAGTTCCATTATATTGAAAACGAACAACTTCAGAGAGCTTTTAGAGAGCTTTTTCTATTGTATAAAGGGAAGGCCTTCATGTATGATTACTGCGGTATGAAGGAACAGACAAAAATTAGAAAGTTTTCAGAAGAAAAAAAAGGACGGGCTCTCACGAACCCTCTATACAACCTCTCCAAAGTCTAGACGAAGCTGGCCGAGGCTCTCAAGACAGAAGAAAACTTTCGTTCCTCAAAGCAATAGTTCGTAGTTCAGTTCTCTGCCAAGCTGAGAATATACTCTCTTTACGTTTCTTTCTCCAGGTACAAATGTATGAACCACAACCACCACCACAGCATAGCCACCTAAAGGCTCCAGAGTATATTCACATGTTTCCAATATTTTTATCTTTCTTTCATGCCGCTAGCAGATGTCTAACTTAATTGAAATGCAACAAGGTGAATGCAGTACACTGCAGTGAAACTCCAAGTAAATCCCAACCCTGTATTCTTTTCTTCTCAGGGTGGTCACTTTCCTCACACACACATGAAGACTGAAAAATTATAGAATATATACTAGGCCTCTGATTCGAGCAGTTCATCACATCTCTCAAAAACAGATCTTATATTTGGTGCCGTTCTAAAAGCATTATCTTCCACCACTGGCTTGATTTCAGATTTAATGATATACAGAAGTCACCATTGTATCAAATAGTGGAGCCCATCAAACGTAGGCCGCATTTTATCCATGGTTTTGACAAGAGAATTGTAAGGAACGTCTTCCAAACCACATTTAATCTTCTCAGATAAAATATGATGGAAATGTTTTTGTGCCTTTCACAATATTTATATTATTTAATATAAATGCGCCTTCGAATTTATGGATACATCCCTCTTAAGTTTTTTGTGAAATTTAGTCAGCTTGAAACACAATAAGCTGTATAAGTACCACAAGTTACAAGTTATTCAATCCTGTATAAGCAAATCAGACGATGGATGGCTGCTTCAGTCGATCTGCATGCAGACTGGGACAAAAATAGCTTATTAATTGATGTAGCCTATAAGTTGGACAGATGCATCCTTATCTTGTTTCAAGTTATGATTCGTTTGGGATGGGAGAAGGCATTCTGGTTCCGAATTAGAATTGAATCAAGCCAGGGAAGTATTGTTTTTGAGTCAGATGGGGTCAAAGCTGTTGGGTATGGTTTTACACTTGCCTTCCCTGTGCCCGGCAGTGTATGTTGCAGCAAAAGCTAACTCAACCTGAGTTTCATACCTACTTTCAGAAAGATCCAAGAGGTTGCATACAATACGTAAGGTGCAGCAGTAATGAAAGTATGTAAAGCAAAACACATATTTCAAGATAAAGGAAAAAGAAAAGGCTGTCTTCATTTACCAAAAAGTGAGCCAAAGTCCACAGATATGGTATGACAAATGACACGTGAAAAGTTTCAGAGGATAAATAAATCTGAGCATATTTCTAAGAAAAGAAGATCAACCAGCCTCTTATTAAGAAGAACCTGATTGTGGTTATTTATATTTACTTTCTGCTCTAAGAGATTCTACATTAACTGAGCATTAGGGTCATTAGCATATGCGTATAAAGACTATCTGTGTGGTAACCTCATCTCACCCAAAATTTTACAGATGTGTTAAGCCCCATGCTCATAACTTTGATGATTCTTCATTTTCTACCCAACCACTATATTATATCGGTTTTCCCTTTTGACTGAATATCTTTCTTCTCCCTCACGCCGATTTCTACTGATTTCAACGGTTGCTTTGCTTTTATCTCATCTTTATTACTTCTGTTCTTTATTTGTTTAAAGAGACTGCAAAATATTCCAAATATCCATTAGAAGAAGAAGAGCATGCCCCTTTATCAACATTCACCGGAAAGTTCTCCTGTCCATCATAACATTATGATTCGTAAAATATATCATACGATCTCCTCCCTTCATCAACCTACCAAGTTACGTATCAGGGTTGGATGACTCACTTGTGAGGCCTGGCAGAAGACACATTGGCCTAAAACAGCATCGACCACATATACAGGACAACACATTAATGATTAATACATGGATAACGCATAAGGATGCTCGAATGCACAAAAAAAAACGAACCATGAATAAGTCAAGAAAATATTACCAGGTGATCTTGATAACTGATAGCAGGTAGAAAACAGAAAAAAACTAAGAAATAATCCAAGATAACAGGCTGAAAAAAGTTAACCACAAAAATGAGAGAGACGGACATAATAGATGATCCGAGATCCAAATAAAAATTCCCACACAGAATTTCCTACTGGTACAAAATATTTTTGACTCCCCAGATAAACACGGAGAAAAAAAATAAAAACTTAAAGCAGTATTCTCTGTTACGGGTAAAAGCGAAGACATTCGATAAAATATTAAGTTGGCAGAATACGGGAAGGCAGTAGTTGTGGCGTTAGACATACCCCACTCGTCTTCCTCCTCGACTGGCGACGTGGCACGGTTCAGGGTAGGGTCCATGGAGCACAGATGAACATGGATTTCAACGGTCGCAGGGCAAAAGAGCCCAAGATGTGCCTCTCGTATTACTCGGAGCGGCGGCGATCTATAGTATCAGCCGAAGGGCGAGACAACCTAGAAAAGCAAGAGACAGGAGATAACAACAGATGGGTCGAACAAAGTACAGAAAAAGCTAAACACACTCACAACAACAGCCGTGAGATCACGAACAGGCACACAGGGAGAGAGAAAGAGAGAGAGAGAAAGAGAGAGAGGCCGGTGCTCGCTTTCTTGCAACTGGAAGGTTTGGAAGGATCAGATTTGGCTTTCCATTTCGATTTTATTATTCCTGTACCTTAGAGTAACTATCCTTGGAAAACAATAATACCATATGACCCCAATACCCTTTTCCCCTGAATCGTACACACTGTCATGAACTGTAGTTATTGAGGATAGTTAAGGTATTATGCTGCCGTTGGCTGGAACAGATCGGGATCCGATTACTGGGGTGGGGCCATGGCTCGGTCAACGAGGGGCCCCTGTCAGTCGTGGGCTGCGATAATCCGCGTGTTAGAATAATTTAACATCATTTTGAACTTTTAAATTATTCAATATCCCATGCGAATTATAAAAAAAGGAAAAAATAATTAATAATCTATTTTTTGCACTCTTGATACTGGCGTCAAGCGCCTGGTAAGCTCAAACTCCTCTCTCTCTCTCTCTCTCTCTCTCTCTCTCTCTCTCTCTCTCTCTAGCTATATGCAGACAGAAGCCAACCTTGGGCCATGAAGCATGCTTTGGATCATTTATTGGATCTTGTAAAAGAATGGTCCCAAGTTGGGCTTTAACTATGTTTAGGCCCAGATTGTATACTGTTTAGTTACTATTTTTATGTGGAGGATAAACGTGTGATCCGGTGCCTTTATACTAGTAGCCCACAGCAGAAGGTAAGATTACTACTCATCATACTTCTAATTAGCCAACGGTTAGATTGATCAACAAACAGTAGCAGAATGGATTTAAAGAATAAAAGCAAAGATTTTTATGAAGTGCAAATACATTTAATATTTTTAAAGGGTATCATTTTGAACTAAAGACGAGCAAATTTATACGTATAATTTGTATAGTATTTAGATATCATGTTTTCCTAAGATTTGGAGCTGTGTCGATTGATGACCATCTCATGGTGAAGCGTATCCTCAAGATGGGATGATGCTACTTGGCTTTAATGAGGTTTCCTCCATGAATTATTTACATTATTTTTTTATCCAATTAAAATGTAAATATTACATTTTATATAATTCCAAATTTCCCATGTAAATAATTGCTTCCAAGTGCATTAGATGTGGATGACATTGATGGATGAGGTATAGTGACATAGAATACATCTTACATTTTTTATGGATGTAAATTGAAAACTTAATTTAAAAACTAAAATTTCAAGAGAAAAATAAAGGTCCCTCAAGAGCAAATACTTACGTGGCTTGGCAATTTCCATACCCAGCTTGACCCTAAGTTTAGCCTTATTTTTTTACAAATTTTCCCGATTATTATAAAAAATGATATGTATATTTATTTATTTATCTTATGAGTTTGCCCAGGATTCAACCCGTCTAGATGCCCTTTACAACATTCAGACCTAAATTAGAGTTAGAAAAAAAACTAGGTGCCAGGGCATAGGCAAGGCTCTTTTGAAGCGCATCCAGAAGCAAACACCTTGTCTCTATCCTCTGCAGAGAACGTAGAGGGATAGTATGCCACGTGAGTGAGCTGGAAACAATCAAGCGATAAAAAAATAATTAATGCGATTTACGAAAAAAAGTTGACTTTGAGAGGGGACTCAGTTGACCACCCTGAGCAGTGTGGTAGGATGATTTGAATCGGATCTAAATTATTGATGGTCTAAAAAAGTTTCTACGTAGAGAATGGAAGCGGCCCGACCTCAATCCCTTCTTATATCTCTGTCATGAATCTTTCTGTCGGCAGAGGTCGACCGTGGGGGGTTGACCCCGCATATCCGGCGTGTTCTTCACAGACCCTAAATTCCCCGGGACCGGTTGGTCGAGGGACCTCGCCGGGGGGAAAGCGGAGAAGACAGCAGAGGCTTCTGCGGCTGGCCATCTCCGAGACAGCGCCGTCAAGGCAGGGCTGAAAGCTTGATCGTCGAGGCTTCTAATATTAAGGCTAGCGGTCAAACGGCGCGAGTGGCGGCAGTCGGCGTCATCTTTTGGCATTTGATTCTTCAATGTATTCTGCGTATCGGGTAGAACAAAGACATCCAGACGAATGATGTCCAGAGGTGAGTGTCGGCTCGGCGGAGTCGGCATGAGGTGCTCGCCGTGTTAGAATTATTGCAGAAGCGTGGCTCGTCGATCGGAATGAGAGTCTGCACCGTCTGAGAGAAATGAATAGCGTTCTCTGATATATCTTCAAGAAGCATTAAAACGGAGTCGGTGTAGGTGGAAATTTTTCTAGTAGGTGCCCAATTTTCTTTGGAAGGTATGCAATTAAGAGATGAATCCAGGAAATATGCGTCAAGGAAGAAAGGAATCTTGAATAGTTTTTAAGTTGACTAAACGCAGCTTGCCCTCCCGACAAGAATGTGTTTCTCATTAGGTTTTCTCCTCTTGTCATCTTCAACCATTTCCGTCTCGCTCTGTCTGTCTGTCTGTCTCTCTCTCGCTCATTGTTCCTACGTCTCTTTTACATCATCTCCTTGACACGGCACGCTTACCACGAGACGTATGAACAAAGATTGTTCTTTCCAGATGCTTCAGAGACCTTACTTCTCTAGTCAACCTCCGTCTCCTTGTCATGAATAGCCCGCATTCGAGAGCAATCTTCTGGCATATATGCACGGAAATCAGGGGAACTAAACCGAACCCAAGTCATTTCTGTTGACTAGTCCTCTGATCGGCTATCGTTTCCGAGTCTCGACCTCCTCGGAAGAAAAGGCAAGGGAAGAGCCTTTGCCGTATTTATTTAATATGAGAGCAGACCAGAAGGGCCTTCATTCGAATCGTTGAATCCATCAATGGAGTCACAATGAACCTGCCCGCTGAGGATTCCCAGAAGACTCCCCGCGGACAGACGGTGGTTGACGAGCCCCCTTCGGACTCGGAATCCCGGGCGAGAAAGCTCCGGCCGGGCCTCGGTCCGGCAGAGCGCCCCCTCCCGCCACTTGTCAGCTCTAATGGCTGGTAATTTACGGCAGGGAATACGGTGGCCCCCAGATGGACCCCCAGTGGGGAATCTTTGTCCATTCGCCAGTGGCCCCATGATTTGGGCTTCTTTGCGTCTAACTTTTTTCAATGAGAAACTGAGAGTATAGTTCGGCACGTATGCATGCGAAATATGTGCAATATTTGCACGAGAATCACGTAGTTTGGCGTAAATGCAGATAAGGCAGTGCGTATCTTAGCTCTGTGCGAGAGTGGGCGAGGGGACGATTACGATTGACTTGACAAGCACCGTGGTTTCGACTGCATCTCCCCCCCAATCCACATCATTCGGGCACATCTTCTCCATCCGTTTGGCACGTGGGACCCTCCCTCACGCCCTCTCTCTCTCTCCTCCCGCGTTTCCCACGGGTAGATTCTTTCCTTTGTCAACTTGTCCATCTGATGGCAAGCCAAGCGTCCTCATCTCTCTTTTCTCTCTCTCTCTCTCTCTATCTATCTATATTTCTATCAAGTGGCGTGTGGGAAGTGGCCGTTTTCCTTTTATTCCACAGTGCGTTGGCTGTCCACAAGTCATGAACGCTTGCGTCTGGGTTGTACATTCTCCCTCTGATGTACAGGGTAGTAGGGCCGTGGAACGGTCGAAGGCGGCGCCCAAGCTTCTTCAGATTCAACTAAGGATATCACTGAAGCTAGAAACCATTGAATTATTTTTCGTCAAACTGTCTGAAATCTCCTGGGATAAGGGTGGTTCTGATTAAGTATCTGTTCTAGTTTGGTTTGATCGTTATTAGCCTCAGAGATAACGTGTAATAGAATCGGCATACCTGGTAGATCGATCGAACGCTGCAAGTAGTGGGCCACTTCTTTGTGACAGTTCTCAGCTTTGAATAAACTCTTTGAATACGCGGGACATTGGGCCAAAGAATCTCTCTCTCTCTCTCTCTCTCTCTCTCTCTCTCTCTTTCTCTTTCTCTCTCTTGTGCCTATATATACCCCCATAGGCTCTGAGAAGGAATCAGAATGGATAGGAAGTGATGAAAGGGAAGGAGCCCGCCCTCTTTCCTTTCGCCGTGGAACCACGACGCCGACACGATGACGCAGGAGATGAGGAACGGCGGCTTCTGTAAATAGATCCTACTGCCATTCTCGGCGCGTTCAAGGCCAAATTACGGCTGGTTTGACTTCAGCCCCTCCATATTAGATTCTAACATGGGTGAAGTGAGCGCTCTCTCTCTCCCTCCCTCCTCCCTCCCTTCCCATGTTTACTATTGTCCTGATCGATTCTCGAGTAACTCACATGCCATTGGGAATGTGAAAAGGAAGAGAAGAAGGGGGTAGCTGCAGACGAGAAGAAGGATGGGGAGGCTCCGACGGAGATCGTGCTCAAGGTCTACATGCACTGCGAGGGCTGCGCCAAGAAAGTGGAGAGATCCTTGAGAGGATTCGAAGGTCAGCTCTTCAATCTCAAACTACTTCCGGCTAACGCTCAGAGAGACGGAGAGCGATCCGTAAAGCTCGTCTAAAAGTGCAGGCGTGGAGGAGGTGAAGGCCGACTCCAAATCCCACACAGTTGTGGTGAAGGGGAAGGCGGCTGACCCAACGAAGATCTGCGAGCGTGTCCAGAGGAAGACCGGCCGGAAGACGGAGCTCGTCTCTCCATTGCCCAAGCCCCCCGAGGAGGAGGAGAAGAAGGAGGAACCCAAAGAAGTAGAGAAGGAGGAGGTACCCGACGTCACCACTGAGCAGAGCTTCCTCCATCATCCAGTTTACTGATCTAAGAAGATCCAGCATGCATGTGGATCTCCTTATTACCGTAAACTGTTGTTTAAATTTATTTTAATTTCATTCTTTGGAACGAATTCGGCAGGGCCCTAAGTCAATCACGGTGGTGTTGAAGGTCAGAATGCACTGCGAGGCATGTGCCCAGGTTCTGCAGCGGAAGATCAAGAAAATGGATGGTATCACATCGTCTCTCGTACATTTTTTAAAGGAAAAAAAAAACCTAAAATAGATTAATATTTCTTTTCTAGTTCCCCTAATTTTTATTTCCTTTTCGTAATTTCCGTGGAGTTCTCGCCGATATATATATATCATTGAAAGTATTTCTGGGACTCCGTATAGCAGAATAAAACTATAGAATTTTTTTAAAAAAATTGGAATATCTTCTCTACGCGTCGGTTGAATCTGGCTATTTAAGTCTCTCGGATATAACGACCTAGGGAATTCCACGTTGATGAATAGAGACATGTGGACACGAGGTATGGCTGTCCCCATACCATTTATATACGTCGCTCATGATGGATTGTTAGTATCATGGGGCAAATATCTGTCTAAAATATTGAAACAGGGGGAGGAAAATTTCTATAAATCTATCAAAAATTCAAAGTGGTGGAACGTTGAACTTGCCAATATCTGTGTGAACATTTCTAATTGTTATAGTCAATGCTCGCAAAACGAATCTGATAAGCATGATGATGACATGTTTGCAGGTGTGGAATCGGTTGTGACAGATTTGCCCAATGATCAAGTGATTGTTCAAGGGATTATAGAGCCCGAAAAGCTAGTAGAGAACGTGAACAAGAGAACAAGGAAGCGAGCCTCAATTGTGAATGATGAAGAGAAGAAGGAAGAGGCGGCAGAAGGGGAAAAAAAGGAGGAGGTGAAGGAAGGGGATGACAAAAAGACTGATATGAATAAGCTTGAATATTGGGCACCAAGATACGGCATACAATATGCATATCCGCCGCAAATCTTTAGTGATGAGAATCCAAACGCTTGCTCTATGATGTAGACCGGTTTCATGTATTGTAACTCCCCATACATAAGCCCATGCATGTTTTCCACTCGTATGCATGATTTTGATATAAAAGTCTGGGACTATGATGTGAGCAGAAATGAATGTGTATCATTTTTCTAGTTGTTTCATGTATGTTTTAATTTTGGGCCTCTATTATTTTCTAATATGGTGAGTAGTTCGATGAAAAGAGGCACAAAATGATTTCAAGGTTGAAGAAAAAAAAATATAATGGAAGAAAAAATCTAGGAAAATATTAATAATTTGAACAGAATGCAATTAATGAAAATCTAAGTTAATGACATTTGTACACGTACCAACTATTTATACGTTGCTGGTATAGTTTTATTGTTATACGCTATGAATAATGTATTAATTTGTGCCAACTTTAGATTGACGTTGGGTCATGACCAAATTCCTACGAGGCATTCTCGTGCATAAGCCCTCCGTGAATGACCTTAGTCAAGGAATTTGAACCGCCCCAGCCCTCTCTCTCTTTCTCTCTCGCACACACAAACACACGCACGCACGCATGGCGTCTATCTCGCCAAACGCACGTCGAGATACGTTCTTTAATGGGCTGTTCACCAAATCGGAGGGGGTTCTCTCTCTCTCTCTCTCTCCAACTATCTATTTATACACAGATATATTTGCCTATTCTCCATCGTTGGTTCTCTTTCCCACCGCTCCACCTCAAACCCAAGCATTTTAGGATCCCAGTGCTTTCCCCCTCCTCCATTCTTTTTTAAAGCCGACAGTGTTTCCATTGGAAGGAAAGGACGACGTACCAGGTCGAGCTTGGGCGGCGCTCGGCACGGGCACCACACGGCCACTCGGGGAAGCAAGAAGGATATGCTCACTGTCCACCATCCCTTATCTGTCAGTGTCCATGGGGTCCCGTCCCTCCGACCACGCTTCGTAGTTTTCAAGCTTCATAATTCCTTCTCCACCCAGCAGCTAGGGGGGAACCACCCCTGACCTCATATTCATTCATCCCCCTCCCCGGCTTTTCCCTAGTTAAGGCAGATGGGCGGCTTCCCTTAGAAGGCTCTCCGAAAATGGCGGACAGTCGGTCGCCTCTCTCTGAGGTCAACTCCTGTTCTTGTTCTGATGCCTGTCTTCTTCGCGGAAGCCCTTGCTCTTCCAGTGCTCTCTGAACATCTTGTCGGGAACTCCATATCCGTCCATGGGCGGCCGGAAAGTCGCCACCGCTGACCGAGCACCGGCGGCGACACCTCACAACGAAGGATGCAGGATAAGGGAATATGATCCCGCCGCCCCCTCGTCTGGTCAAACAATGACAGAAATCGGGTTCCCTCGAAGCGCACCAGAGCTTTCCGGAAATCCAGCCGCGGTTTTGGAAGCTCCCCCTCCTCTTGTCTCCGTTAGAACGGAAGTCCACCGGCTGCCTGGCTATGAAGAGAGGAGTTAAAGTCAACTCCCATGTTTTCACCAAGGGACATTGACCTGGTTATGGAGGGTCCTTGTTGAGATGTAGGGAGAACCTTAGAAAGAGCTTGCCGATTCAACCCCATGAACTGTAGAAAAATTGTTTTCTGTAAATTATTCGTATTGGTTGTGTGGAGATATCTATCATCAATGGTATTTATTTTCTATTTCTGGCTCACTTAACGTATTACAATTCTTGAAATAATTTCATCATATTGTTTTCTCTTTGCCTTAAATTACCAAAATTTTCATTATGTTTATGTTGAAGTATGTTTCTCGCTTGGTTGTATTACGAGGATCATTACTCGTTGACCAAAGTCTTCGGACAGCTGCTATCGAATGCTGCCACGTGGACGAGACCTTAACGAGACGCGTCCTCTTGACCGAGAATGGACTGATCAGATGTGGTCTGATCCTCTCCTGTGAAAGAAAAGCAGATAGAACGGCTCCGTTTTATCCATGAAACGGGGACGTCCACGTAGCATCTAACTGTGCATCCCTGCGTACGCCGTTCCGCCTCTCGCTTCGCCCGCTGGGGGGGGCTATCGCCCGTGCCGTTGCGGACGTCCACGTAGCATCTACGCTTCCCCATAGGCATTTTGATGTTACCCAAAATACCCATCCACGTACCTTGCCACGTCGGATAAACTATCGTGAGGCCGAATTTCGCTGGTTATCAGGACTTTAGTCATACACGGAACGGACTTCCGCGAATTCACAGATGCGACCAGGTCATTTGACATTATAACGCACAACTACTCCATCCATCCATCCACCCCGTCGTTCGTAGTCCAGCGAGTTCTCTCTCTCTCTCTCTCTCTATCTCTCTCTCTCTCTCTACACCATGGCGACCAAAGACCCGAAGCAGGAGGGGGGAGGGGGAGAGACGGAGAGGTGCCCGGTAGAGGAAGTGGCGCTCGTGGTGCCTGAGACGGACGACCCGACGATGCCAGTGATGACATTTCGAACGTGGTTTCTCGGGCTGTTGTCCTGCGTCGTCCTGATCTTCCTCAACACCTTCTTCACCTACCGGACCCAGCCGCTCACCATCTCAGCGGTGCTCATGCAGATCGCCGTGCTGCCCGCCGGGCGGTTCATGGCGGCGGCGCTACCCAGCAGGGAGGTGAGGGTGTTCCCAGGGTGGAGCTTCAGCCTGAACCCGGGGCCGTTCAACATGAAGGAGCACGTGGTCATCACCATCTTCGCCAACTGCGGCGTGTCCTACGGCGGGGGCGATGCCTACTCCATCGGTGCCATCACCGTGATGAAGGCGTACTACAAGCAGAGCCTGAGCTTCATCTGCGCTCTCCTCATCGTCCTGACCACACAGGTGAATTGTGGTCTTCACTTCCTCCGAATGATTACTGCTCCATGATTTTGAAAATGAGCTCTATTCTTCATATTATCTTTCAAACTGCATTTTTCTATCAACAAAGTACACTGTCCTACGAACTACGGGAATCAAAACGAGCACTGTAAAGGTAAACTATTGATTGATTTTATTTGTCTTTTTCCCCATTTCTATCGGTTTCAGAGGAATTTGCAACTCCCGAATGGGAGCGGACCAGAGCGATCACCAATATTGATATGCTTGCGAGGTGACAATCTAAATTGTGCTCATCGTGTTACTAATGATCTTGGCTACATACGTGCAGCTGGTGGGTTACGGATGGGCTGGAATGCTGAGAAAGTATCTGGTTCAGCCGGTTGAAATGTGGTGGCCTGCCAACCTTGCTCAAGTATCTCTCTTCAGGTTCACCTCTCGCTCCCAGTTCCTCAGCACATCTCTTGGCAGTATTCTTCGACCTAAAATTAATAAGAGAAGGAGATAGCCGCGAATACCCGCCATCAATCATGGGCATAACGATGATTGCCAAATGTTTCAGAGCACTCCATGAAAAGGACTCAAGGTCGGAAGGATTGACGCGGATGCAGTTCTTCCTCATATTCATGCTCGCTAGCTTCGCCTACTACGCGCTGCCGGGATACCTCCTCCCCATTCTGACTTTCTTCTCGTGGGTCTGCTGGGCGTGGCCGCGAAGCATCACCGCCCAGCAGATCGGATCTGGGTACCACGGCCTGGGCGTAGGAGCCTTCACCCTGGACTGGGCGGGGATCTCCGCTTACCACGGCAGCCCCTTGGTGGCACCGTGGTTCTCCATCGTTAACATCGCAGCTGGGTTCGTCATGTTCATATACCTGGTAGTACCCCTGTGTTACTGGAAGTACAACGCCTTCGACGCGAGGAAGTTCCCTATATTCTCCAACCAGCTCTTCACCTCCTCCGGGCACAAATACGACACCACCAAGATCCTGACGCCGCAGTTTGATCTCAACGAGGCCGCTTACAACAACTACAGCAAGCTCTACCTCAGTCCCCTGTTCGCTCTCTCCATAGGGTCTGGTTTCGCGAGGTTCACCGCCACCCTCACTCACGTGGCTCTCTTCCATGGCAGGTCAGTCGATGTTACGGTAGACCTCGATCGATCAAAAGGAATAGGAAGGCCAAAACACTGATGAGATCCTACGGTGCAGTGATATATGGAATCAGAGCAAAGCAGCGGCGAAATCCCTGAAGCTGGACGTACACGCGAGGCTGATGAAGAACTACAAGGAGGTTCCCGAATGGTGGTACCTCGTTCTCCTCCTGGGGAGCATCACCCTCTCCTTGATGATGTCGTTCGTCTGGAAGGAGCAGGTGCAGCTGCCATGGTGGGGGATGCTCTTCGCGTTCGCGTTGGCGTGGCTTGTCACCCTCCCCATCGGGGTCATCCAAGCCACCACGAACCAGGTACCTCTTCCCCTTCGTCGTCGCCAATTCGTCCTCCTAAAACCCTAAAGGGAGAGGAGGTATATAACTTGGCTTCCTTCTGAACAGCAACCCGGGTACGACATCATAGCGCAGTTCATTATCGGCTACGTCCTCCCGGGGAAACCCATCGCCAACTTACTCTTCAAAATCTACGGACGAATCAGCACTGTCCACGCCCTCTCCTTCCTGTCTGATCTCAAACTCGGCCATTACATGAAGATCCCTCCCCGATGCATGTACACCGCTCAGGCAAGTCTCCCTTGACCTCGCAGAGTCTCCGCTAATATCTCTCCGTCGCTGAACATATGCGAGAGCCATGCAGCTGGTCGGGACTCTGGTCGCCGGAGTCGTAAACCTCGCTGTGGCCTGGTGGATGCTGGAGAGCGTCGAGAACATATGCGACGTCGAGGCGCTTCACCCGGACAGCCCCTGGACCTGCCCCAAGTACAGGGTTACCTTCGACGCCTCCGTCATATGGGGCCTCATCGGCCCCGCTCGCCTCTTCGGCCATGGCGGGCTCTACAGGAACTTGGTGTGGCTGTTCCTCGTCGGCGCGCTGCTTCCCGTGCCGGTCTGGGCCCTGAGCTGGCGCTTCCCGGAGAAGAAGTGGATCCGCCTCATCAACATCCCCGTCATCTCCTACGGCTTCGCCGGAATGCCGCCGGCCACGCCCACCAACATAGCGAGCTGGCTCCTCACCGGCACCGTCTTCAACTTCTTCGTCTTTCGCTACCACAAGCGGTGGTGGCAGCGGTACAACTACGTCCTCTCGGCGGCGTTGGACGCCGGCACGGCCTTCATGGGCGTGCTCATCTTCTTCGCGATGCAGAACGAGGGCCGCAACCTCAGGTGGTGGGGGACCCAGCTTGATCACTGCCCTCTGGCTTCCTGCCCCACCGCCCCGGGGATTACCGTCGCAGGGTGCCCCGTCTTTTAGAAGAGGACGTGATTTGACCGTCAAAGTCAAAATCGTTTGACCCCTGGTTTCTGTAGAAGAATGACCCTAACCCAAATAACAGTAACAATAAAAATAATCGGATATGAGATTATAGTCGGATTTAGATGTCGGGTCCGGTTGCGATTCTCAGTGCTGTTCGTTGCGGATGTTAGAGGGGTATTTTTGTCCGTGGGAAGAAGAAGAGAACGCCGCCCTTCATGAACGGGAGATTTCTAACTGCCCTCGCCGCTGCCCGACTGCCATCTCCACCACTCCAGAGCTTCGCCTCTGCTTCGGAAACCTTGCTAAAACCCTGAGAAGTCTCCTCGGTTGTTGGCCCGATCGGTGAGAGGAGGGGAGAAGGAATCAGGAGGGTCATGTCTTGGCTGGTCCGATCCCGCCGCCTCCTACCCCACATGTACAGGCGCGGGGCTGGTGGGCGGCCATTCTGCTCTCCGACCGTCTCTGCGAATCCCTCGAAGGAGCAGATCGTCGCCTCCGGCGCCGCTGCCCTCGGGGATCAGACCGCCGCTTCTTCCGCCGAATCAGCTGCTGCCACTTCTGGGAGTGCGGATGCCGCGAAGGGGTCGCGAGCTTGGGGTTTTCTGAAGTTCGGAGTTGCAGCAACACTCACCGGCGCCGTTGGGGCCACTTCCTATGCTACCTATGGTCTGCTCTTCGTTTGTCTTATTTTCCATCCGTCGCATGTCTTCTAACAGTGGTTACTTTTACTTCCAATTTTTTGTCTTTGTTTTCTTGAAAAAACACGGGAGAGTAGAAATCGTATAATGCCTTAGTCCCCCCTCCGTGGAAGTGGAAAAATTGTTGTGCTCCTTTCGTCATCACTCAATTGTTGTGTTTGCATTCGCCCCTCGATTATCTCAAGTATTATTAAGACTTTCTAGGAGCACATCGTTTGAATCATATAGACGGACGTCTTGAGGAATCTTTTCTTGTTTTGAAATAAATTATAATGTGGAGAATGAGATATTGGAAATGGTACCGTAAAAAAAAAAAAAAACACTCTCTTTGGTAGAAGAGGTATCATATCTAACTTTTAATCATATGAAGATATATTTTGCCTAAAGAGAAATGTTTTTTATTTGCCTTCATGAAGGTGTGGTACTTATCAGTTTGAGCCTCGTAATCTTGTTTCGTATTTGCTGGTTGAGAAGCTTTTTGATACCTGTGGAGCGTCATTATTTTCAATTTTATAGAATAGTTCAAGATGACGACAATAAAACTATGCTGCCTTGGTGACCTAGAAAAGCATCTTTTAGGGCTTTTCCCCTGCACCGAAATGTTTCCCTTTTATTGTGAGAACTTCGGAATTACGGTCTGACGGTACATTCTCATTTGGTATCATTGAAATTCTCTCTCCCCGTAATTTGATTAAATATTTTAATAAGAAACAAATCTTCCGTTTGCATTTGGATCCAATTTTCCCGTAATTGATTGGATGCCTGGTTAATATAAGTAGTTTATGTATTTTTATTGGCCGATTTTTCTTTTCTTTAGATTGATCTTGGGGGTTTTCCATGAAAATAATGGAGAGATGAGTGGGAAATTATTGTGGACCAGATACGAATCAAGGTTGAAAGGGGAGCATGCTTTTGGAGCCTAACTTGCCTACTGATTCAAATATTATTTGTATGAGGGGAGCTAAATACCAGTCAAATAATATGACTTATGGAAATACACAAATGTATTTTGTTTCTGTAGTTTTTTATTTATTTACGGTAGCATTAAGGTTTGACTCACGACTTCATAATGTTTTCTAGGGTAAGAATTTAGTTCGCAAATTCATTTTCGAGATTTGCATTGTCTCTTTTGCTTTTTTTCCCCCCCAGCAATTTGAATCATATTTGAACCGTTTTCTGTTTATATTTCACTTTTCTTAATTTTTAGCTCGATTTTCTCTGTTAGTTTCTCCAGGAGAATTCACACATCTTCCTAAATTTAAAATCTTAAGTAAACTGCAGGAAAATTCCACTCTCATTCTCAAATAGTGGAAGCACATTGGGATGATATTATGAGTTGGTCTCTCTGGGTGGCTTCTTGTTGAAGCTTCCTTATTTGCATGATACTCTGATTTTGGCATCACCTATTTTTGTAAACCTGTCTGTACTCTCCTGGGCCTATTTCAGTTGATTAAACAGTATCGAGTTCTCTCTTTGTTTCTGGTTATGTATTCGGTTGGGTATCATTTCTAATAGGTGGTTTATGGTTATGTTACAGCATATACTTTGGATGAAGTGAATGAAAAGACTAGTGGTTTTCGGTCATCTGCGAATTGGACAGTTGGAGATGATGCGTCCTCAGTTGATGTAAGTAGTTTTTTGTGCTTATGGTCGACTGTCTTTTGCAGACTTTCTGAATTCGTGAGTACATCTTAAGGAAGAAAGCATCCTGCTTTTTCCCATGGAAATATTCTATTTTATCCTTCATACTTCAATCAAATAGATATCCCCCTCGAGCTTATTACAATGAAATCCAATTTTTTTGGTTCTTGTTTGAAAAGAATGGTGATATTAAAAGGTTGAAAGAAGACAATTTCCTATGTTGAAGATACAGTAAAAATACAAGTCGAGATGATCAAAATTGTAGCAATGAGAAAAATGTTACTGGTACTTATGACTATATCCGTGTCATAAATGAATTGTGTTCATTTCCTTTTTTTCTGCTCATGTGATCTAATGATGGGAAATCCGTGCGATTGCCCATAAAACATTAGACACATTCACTGCTGCCCGCAGACCTGCCTCCATTTATTTTGGGACCTCTACTGTTGAATGGCTGATGGGCTTTGACATGTTCGCCCACTGCAACTGAGTTGCGAATCTCCAGATGAAATTTTCAGCTGTTCATGGATATTTGTGTTTGGTCGTGTAACACTAATTTCAGCACACGCTCTCACTTTATAATAGAAAAGTTAAACGCTTGCTTTTTGTTGTGAAGCTCATTGGTGCATGCGTTAATTTCTTCCTTATTATTTAATAGATAAACTTTCGACTTTGAAATGTTAGTTCTGAGTTTCTGATTTAGAAGGGAAATTATCTTTTGCATTCCCATCACTACTCCCTTATTATTTATTGCTCGTGTTATTTGGTTTCATGACATAATATTCTTGAAATGTTGAGTTCACTTCCTCTGTGACCCAGACTTGTTAAGTGGATCATTTATTTCTATAGGGTAACCTTATGGGTCTGTTGGATGATAAGATCATCTCTTCTGACCCTTTTGGTCAATTTCCTGAAGTTTGATTGATCCTCTCTGTCCAAACTAGATTAGAATCCGTGCTTGCCTGATGAAAGTGCAAAGGATAATTGCTGTTATGTGCAAGGGGATATGGAAAGAAAGTAATTTTCATATTGCTGTGGTGGTCATGGGCAAAAGTGTTCTTTTAGCTCTTTGTTGACGTTTTTGTAAGCTTCACACTAAAATTTCAAGGTCAGTGGCTATAACTTTTCCTAATTCTCTAATTTTGAAGAGGCGGCTATCTTATCTCATTTCGCTCCATACCTGGCTGTGATGGGCAGGGATTGGCAATCCTTGCCTAGCTTGTTTGTCTCCAAATTTTCTCAATTGAAATGAGTCTATTTCTGGCAATCTTGATCTATACTGATTCATAACTCAATTCTGATTTTTTCTCCTCTCATCTCACATTGTTGAATGCATCTTATTTAGTGGCAATATGGCCTTTTGTAACCTTTGAAAAAATAAATTTGTATTAAAAATGGGCAATAAAGTGGATTGAAAATAGAGTGACTGCATGTCAGGCACATACTCGCATATGAAAGCATATTTCTTGTTTAGTCATGTTAAGTTTTTGTATTGGAATTATTAGTTGTTAGCTTGATGTACTTGAGACCAAGAATAAGACTCATTCCGTATCCTGCCCAATGATTGGAGGTTCAACCTTTGAAAGCATGCCCATCTTTTGTGTGTCATTCAAAGAAGCTGATGGGGACATATTTGTCATATATGCCACTTTTGTCTGTTTCGATACTACTTAGGAGGAAATTCTCAACATTTAAAGGTAAATAGTATTTTTTTCGAATCACTATAATGGCGTTATGTTTTGCCATTTCTAGACTGAGCAGGTGTTGGGGACTATTCCTCTGCAATATGGTGGGCTATCTGTTAGGATAGAAAGATGTTATAGTTTAGAAAGACACTCGAAATCATACTTATCATCTCTGTAAGTTTCTCCCTAAAAGCATCGCTGGTAACATTTTGGGAAAATTACTAAAACAGAGATCTGTGTATAATACACATTAATGTTTGGGATTTTTGTGCTTAGAGGGTGCCACTCCTATGACACCAACCTACCAGCTTCAAAAGTTAGATATTTTGGCCTTCCTTTTGGCTTAAGGTTGTGAGTATCATTGATATTTGATTACAAGTGACCTCTCCTCTATAATTGTTTTTTACGCTTGATCATTTAGTTTATTGAATTTCTGGGATTTCTCATCAGCTTGTGAAAAAAAAAGAGAGGTCCTCCTTAAATTACACTTATGAGTTATAATGCATCTATTCCTTCTGATTCGGCTGTTTTTTGGTCAATTCTTCTTTAGTAAAAATTGTAAGCATACCTTTCATGTGTGAATGCACAAATACATTTTTTTATACATCATTGACTTTTTACAATAAAAGTATGATTTCTTGTTTATTTATCTTTTAATTTAAAATTCCCTCAACATTGGATTTGACCATTTGGCCTGATGTTGTTGTTTATCCTTTTTCTTATGCGTTGATTCCTCTTTGGGTGGGAAAATTGTGCCAATGGTGAGAAGTATGGCTAGGAGACGCCTTTGGCTGCAATTTTTTGGTTGACTGTTCTTCTGAGGAATTTAAAAACAATATGCTTGGAGTGCTAGAATTTGGAAGAAAGACCTGTTTTCCTGTTCAATAGTCCTTCTTGATTGTGAAACAGGGATTTGGCTGTCCAAACAAAGAATTTGATTAACCTGATAAATGTGGACCAAGGATTCTTACGCATAGTTCTCTTTTAAAATTAAATACAGCAGCTACCATATTCAGAATGATCACAATCCGGTATCCCCGTCCCTTGATCTGAATGACCATTCAAAGGTGGACTTAGATGGAATTTCTTATGGTTGAAAAGCTAATCATTGAGGCCGAATTTGTTGAAATACTGAAATGATTCCCAAGCTTGGTTTTCTTCCAAGATACTCCACGTTTCATGACAAATATTCTTAGTTTCAATATTATGCAAGGGTTTTTTCATTAATGCATTGTTTTTCAATAATTTTAATTACCATGCCCTTGTTGTTTTGTCTGTTGCCTATCGGTAACTTTTTATTTCTGTCATCAATTTTCTAACTCAAAGTCACAACTGTGTCGTCTTTATGATATCCGGCAGAAATTCCAGGCGTTGGTCTATTCGACAGTGATGAAGGGTAAGAGTTTCTAGATCCCCTGTGACTTATTTTTTGGTAGATGTGATTGTTTTAAGTCCAAGGACCACCAGATTTGCATGTGTTGTACATATTTATATTTTGGGAAAAGTTTCTCATCATCTTTTCTTGACTAACTTATCTGCTTTTCTCATGAACTTTGAATGGTTGGATTCATCTCCTATTTAATGATGTAAAATAAGAAAGTGCTTCTGATATTATTTGTTGCTGTATGGTTGGAACTCAGTTGTCCTCTGTAACTGCAACCTCCCTTTAGAATTTTAAAAAATATATTTATTTTGATTAAGTTTTTAAACAGTCTTGGAGAAGGATCAACCCTTTTGGTTTTATCGTGTTGCTATTTATTCAAACAGAAATGAATGATAATGAGTTATAGGACTGGATTCAACACATGATGAGGTGATCATCATTTGTGGAAAACTCTAATCATCTGTGTTCGTGTACCATGATGAGGTGATCACGCATTCAGATGAATCCTGTGAATCATCTTTAATAGATTTGGTGGCATTACTTGGGGAAAGGTAAATTCAAGAATAGCTCTACTATGTATGCAAATTCAAACATTTAACTCTTTGGTTCATCAGTTTTTCTCATCAGGTATGTACAAAAAACGACTTGAGGATGTGTAGGTGTCAATTATTTCTGATTGGAGGTTAGATGAGGCTTGGTTTGTATAAATGTTTCCCTCTACCCCATACTGACAAAGATCTAACCCAGCCCATTGCCACCACTTTTGAATTTTTAATCACAGAGACCTACCTCTGAACCTTTCTAGTTTTGTAGGTTTTTTTTTTTTGGTGAATTCCCACGATGCAAATTACTTTTGAGAAATATCGTCCCAGATGGGTACATTTTCTTGTTCATGTAAAGTGTAGCCAACATCCTCTGATTTACTCTCTGAGATATATGACCTAAAATCTATAAGAAAAATAACTAAAATGAGTTGACAGATGAATAATCTCCATATTCGATTACTGAGTTCTTACACGAGCAATGATTTGTCTATTCCTGTTTGCTTTGATGCAATATATATGTAGATATTGTGAGACAATTTTATGAATTTTATATGCCACACATCTCTATCGATGTAGCTTTTTGTATTTTCTCTTCTTCTCCTTATGTTCGATTCCAACTTTGCAGTGCCTGTCAAGATCATTGAGTTGTACTTGGATGTCAGGAAATCCACTGAAGAACATATTCAGGTGGTGCCTCTTTTGTAGTTGAGTGTTGTCTTTTTATGCTGAAAGTTTTTTAATCTCTTAATGCTGAAATTATTTTTCCTTCTTTTGCTCTGAGGAAATGGATTCCGCTTTCTTGTAGGGTTTTATAGAACCATCGTCAGAGAAGCTTCTTCCAGATTTGCATCCTCAAGAACAACATGTCTTCACTCTTGTTCTGGACTTGAATGAGACCCTTGTGTACTCTGATTGGACGGTAATCCTCTATCTATTCTAGAAAAATTATCCTGCTGTTGGTACACAGTCCTGCCATTATTTCCTTCTTGGCTTTCCTTGACAGATGTTGATAAGATGTTAATCAGACTAATATTTGATAATATTCTTTTGGGAGCACGCCATTATTTACCATCACCCATCATCACAATCATTGCTCTCACCATCACCCTCAGACACAATTGCCTCCCCCCTGCTAGCCACCAGTCAACTGCCACCATCATCATCATCCATCACTGTGGTTGCCCTTCATCCTCTGCCATCTCCCCGCATCACCACCAGCACACGCTGCCAAAGGCGTGCCCACTATCAAAGCCACTGAATGCCATGTATGCTAAATAGAATCATGATTTAATCTCTGATTGGTTTGGTTTGAACATGCTTTGGATTGAGGTCCTTTTTCCCTTTTTTCCATTACTCAGAAGCATATCGACTTACATTTGAAGCTACAAAGTCAGCATCCAAAAATGGGAAAAGGTGAATAGCGACCAATTCAGATTTACACTTTACCAGTTCGTACCAAACAAAACTATCTGCTCGCTTTGACGATGTTGATTATTTCCATCCCTGCACCTCTCACATCTCGGCCCTTCTGGTCTTTTCTTCATCTGCTGGTTGCGACCTTCCCTTTTTCTTTCCTTTTTTTAGCTTTTCCTTTGTTTGCAGCTGTAAAGGCCTAGGTCCTTAATAGCCCAGCCCAAAATCTGCCAATCTCGGCATCGTCACTGGTTGACTCTAAATTTGTTGAATTTCAAAGGGGCGCCACGATTCCACGGTGAAATGAGGCCTTGCCATCCTATTGTCACTGTCACACTGCCTTCTATGTTCTCCATGTGCTGGCACTGCTGATGGTGATCTACCTTGAGCTTCTGTGACTATTGTTATTTGTAAAAAGTTGTTACAAAGTATTTTGGGAGATGAATTTGTGGAACCGTTATGTTGAGGTTGTTATTCGCAAGCTTTTTACGTGCAAAATTCTCTCTTGTTTGCGTTTTTCATACATAGCGTGAAAGAGGTTGGAGAACTTTTAAGAGGCCTGGTGTGGATGATTTCCTTGAACATATGGCCAAGTTCTATGAGGTCGTTGTGTATTCTGATCAGATGGGCATGGTAAAGCTTTGTTCCTTCTGCGTTTTTCTTATATGATTTATTGACATGCATTATGACCTACCTATCGTTTGTTGGTTAGTATGTTGATCCAATTGTTGAAAGGCTGGATCAGAAGGGTTACATTCGGTACAGACTTTCTAGAAATGCAACAAAATATAAAGATGGGAAGCATTATCGGGTATGTCAACGTTTCTCCCGTCTTATTTTTTGTAAACATTTTATGCTCGGATATAACTTCCCAAAAGAGTAGATTTATGTCTACAATGAGTAATTTTCCTCCTTCTCATTTTCTTTCTCTGAGTGGTAAAACTGTTGGTTCTTTTCCACGTCTCGGTTGTTTATGTGTGTTCCTGGAGTTTTTTTGAATTTGGTTCGTGCTTACTTTTCTTCTTCTCAATTTTAATGTAGGAATTGATGTATTTGAGTAAAATTAGCATCTCCAAGTGCTGCAATATAAGATCAGTAATATAATCAACAGTTTTCGCCCCATCTTAATCCTGGGTACATAAAATCTTGAAGGTCTTTATGTGTTCGCTTGCCAATGTCTGATGGCGAGAGAAAAGTGGAAGATTAGAACAAAAAAGTTTCACCCTTGGTTATAATGTCAGGAAGGCAGGATTTCAATTTAGCTTCTTATACTACTTTTAATTACTTTATTATTATGAAATTGATTCGAGCAATAGGATGTTTGCTTATTTGGAAGGCAGACGGGTAAAAGGAAAGAAAATGCTGTGTCAGGGTGGAATTAGTTTATGTAGAAGTAAAATGGGACGAGAAGGTTTGGCCAAATGAAATGCATCCAGCGAAGCCCAGCCGATCAAGTGGCTGTGGAGATTTGGTGCAGCCAACTCACTGTGGATGACATTCAACATCGAAGGTGACAAGAACGACAGAAAAATGTGGAGATGGCATGTAGTGTGCTTGAAACATAGATAGGAAGAATATCTTTTTCTAAAGGGAAATTTTCTTATACAATGTAGCTCGCAAGAGGATACCTGCGTGTAATTTTATTGGTAAATTTACGGATGGTATCAGCATCAACTGCATATTTTGTAGAATTCAGAAGGAACGTTATTGTCTCTTTTAAAATGTTTGGTCGGGTCAATAGGTTTGATCTAATTATATTATGGACTTTTATATGCTATATAAAAGATTGAATGCTCCTACAGAACGGTGGGGAGTTTTTGGACCTCACAATTCTGAAAAATATTGGTGGCAACTGAACAGCGCTCTAATTGACAGAAGATTGTGACATTTTTAGCTGACAATGCAGAGCACTGATAATTCATAAATTCTCTGGATGACCTTTTTTATATTGTAATATTGTCTCTATTAAAGGTTCTCATCTGCTGTGATGAAGTGACTGTAGGAATAGGATAAGCTACAGATAACGTGGGATGGGTAAAATGAATGTAAATGAAGAAATTAAGGACAGGAGCAAATTGATCGGAACAGTTGTCAAAGATAAAATAATACAGTAAGAGAGATTTAAAAGTCAAAGTATTTCAGTTCCAAACAATCAGAGATACTCTCCTAGACTTATCAAATATCTGAGGCAACCCTGTGAAGATAACGAGAGCTTATCCAGGTCTTATGTAGAGCAGTTTAAAGCACGCGTTATGATTCGTGGGGTTTGAAATTTCCATTTATGGTTTATAATATCAATTATGTTCACTTCTCTAAACTTTTGTGTACTATAGTTGACGTCAGTGAGGACCCAACAGCCAAATTATTGGAACCATGTAATAAGCTTAGCATTACTAATCTCTGACGTAGATTTAGTCTCATGCTATATGTTAGGTAAGACAATGGCTCACCATATTGGATTTTCTGATCGACATCGTTCTGCTGAAGTAAAGACGCACCAAGAAGTTGGTATAAGAATCATTGCTCTTAAATGGGTAGCAAACTCAATGGATCTGAAGGTTTTGTTTATTTCCTGATTTCTTGTGCACCAATTCAGCTATCTATGTCGATAGTTTGCTGCGTGAATGTTTAGACTGGATGAAGATTCCCTTCCCTAGTTTGTTAGTTGAGAAAACCAGATACCCTCCTAGTTTTTTGTTGGAGGTACATTTCTTCACTCGTTCACAAATTGTCCAATATTTTTGGGGTCTAATTTAATCTCCCTCGTTTCTCTATGTTTACATTTGTGGCAGATTTCTATATGCTAGCATGTTCTTTCTTTCTTTTAACAAATGCACCCAATTATATGTTCCAATGGATCTTAACAGGACCTGTCAAAGCTGAACAGAGATCCGTCGCATATTCTTTACCTGAGTGCCCATGCCGTTGAAAATAGTCTTCAGCGTGAAAACTGCTTGCCCATCAAGCCATTCAAGTGCGAAAATGATGACACTGCGCTTGTGGACCTCATTCCATTTCTCGAATGTAACACTCTCTTCAGAGCTTTGTCTACTATCTCTTTCCTTATCTTCTGAAAGTTTCATTGAAATATTAATTTTTCAATGGTGGTTTTTGAATATCATAGATGTGGCTCGTCACAGACCTGCTGATATAAGGCCTGTTCTGACATCTTATGAAGGCCATGACATACCCACTGAGTTTATCAAGCGATCAAAGGAGTACCAGAAGTGAGTGACCTCACCCCCACTTCCTGACGCTGTTTCTGACCGCAGCAATTCCCTATACGGCTTGTGTTAGCTTTGTTTTCTCGTGAGCATCACTGTGAAGTAGGCAACCATGCTGCATTACTGTCATTTCTAACGGCTATCGCGTCCGACGTGAGGAAACAAAACAATAATCATCAAGTCTTCGGCCCTGACGTCGACACCCAGATGACCGGTTTCGTTATTTTGTCAGGCGGATGCAAGAGCAGAAGCAGCAGGGCCTTTTCTGGCGGCGATAACTTGACAGACGTTCGAAGGCTCCTCTGGCGGCGGTTTGTGTATTGATTCTCCAGGGACTCGATCTATCTTGAGAAAACATGCTTCATCCTTAGCGACTACCACCCATTAAATCAGAAAAGAATTCCGCGAATAGCATTCGTTCTTCTCCACTTGGCCCGCTCTTCCAAAGATGGCACCTTTGAGGAGCACTGATTTTTGGTGACTGCTTTTATTTATTTATTTTTCTTCCATGAACTTCGCCTACAGAGGTGGCTTCATCCGGAGATAAAGGGTGCCGTTTCTGTTCTGCTGATTACTTGGACGGGCAAGCCCATGAGTCCTTGTTGACGGCTACATTCTCAGGGACATCGCTCAGCCTTCAACTGTGGCTAAGTACGCAATTAAAAGGACAAGTATTCTTTTCTGAAGAGCTTGTGGAGGTGGGTTCCAAATGAAACTTTCTCCAGGTTCTTTGCCGCTGAGTTATGGTGTATGATATTTGGGCTATTAACTTCACTTAGAAAACTTACAGAGATGTTAAGATCATAAGAGTGGTTCATGGACTGATTGTCTCCATTCATGTGGTTGATGACAAATAGTTAAGAAATAATCTTAAAATAACCGTATTAATTTAAATTAATTATTTTGTGAATTTCCCCTCTTTTATCTTCCTTTTGTGAATTTACCACCAAATTGTGGATTAAATAGATGGTCTGATGGGTCTACGGGCCTCTATCACATATGAATACGCGTTCTGACAAACCAATTACTTATTGGGCCGATGCGTTAGTGGGCTGCAATGCTTGAGTGCGAATCTCATGGTCAGCAAAGGCCTTTTTTTGGCTGTATGTGTATCATCATTAAATGTAAGTATCATTTCGGCTGCTCTCGAATGGGATTTTTCTTTTAAAATTCACGATTCATAGCTGATATGTATATTAGTGCAAATAAAAATATTGATAACTACAATATTACCCGCTGTTTATGCTCACCAGAGATTTATTCTTGGTCTGTTAATTATGAGAAAAATATTAGTTTTCATGATTGAAAAAATATTAGTTTCTGATCGTCGTTATCTTCCCTGTCTCCTGCACCCGTCATTCGTCGCCGACCACAACTCCCCTAGTAGTACGTGATTACCTGCTAACCTTGGTCGTCATACTACACCCGCCATTCTCTCTCTCTCTCTCTCTCGCTATTGCTCTCTCTGTGTTCAGTGCAGTGCAAGGCAGTTCAGTGATTCTCTCTGTGTTCACGCGATGCGCTTCCCGCCGCCCCCCGAACCTCGCCGCCGTCGCGTGTTCTTGTTGGTGATTCATTCCGTCTGCTTCCTCGGGCACGGCGGCGGGCACAACGACGACGACATTCGAGGGGGAGGCGATGCATCGCCTGGGGAGCCGGTGAACCTGAGGTCCAGGGCCCTGATCCTCGTCAAGCTCTGGTGCCTCATTATGGTGTTTGCTGGCACGTTCGCTGGCGGGATCTCGTCGTTCTTCTTCCAGTAGAACGAGGCGTTCCTGGCCTGCGGGGCGTACTTCGCCGGCGGCGTGTTCTTCAGCACCGCCCTGATACATTTTTCCGCGTTGCCAGCGCAGGGTACCTGCTGATGTTGCTCGTGGATCGTGTTAGCTTCAAGAGATGAAGAAGACGACATACAAAGGGAGACGGCGGCGAGAACAAGGAGAGAAGAAAAGGCCACGTACGGCAAAGTCTGAAAAAATGTTTATATCGGGTTACAAGAAGCAATGGAAAAGAAGGCCCAAAATAAGACAAATCTAAGATATGACAAGCCCGATATATAAGGACATCATATCAAACAACCCCCCTCAAACTCAGGATGGAGAAAACATTGAGAGTTTGTCTAAGATGAACTCATTACTTGTAATAGTATGTGTTTTGGTGAAGAATTAATAAGCTGCAACGAGGACTGAACATAGGACAAACTGTTTATTGTTAAAAGTGGTGCCAAACATAGCAACAATCAATCTCAATATGTTTGGTACATTCATAAAAAATAGAGTTATGAGCAATTTGAATGACACTTTTGTCATCAAAGTAAAGAGATATAAGATCATTTTAATGAACACTCAAACGAGCAAGAAGCCAACATAGCCAACAATATTTTATTGCAGTTGTGGATCAAGTAATAACATTTTGTTTCTTACTCTTTAATGAAACGAAAGAGACCAAGAAAAATGTGCAAATCAGTAGTAGATACTCTATCAGGAACATCACCGGTTCAATTAGTATATGAAAATACTCAAGAATGTCAACACAAAGGACGAAGTCCATGAGACCATATACCATGTAGATATGGAAGGATTTGTAATACAACTCAATGAATAATGAGAAACAAAGTTAAACTGCATAACTGTATGTACTGCAAATTATATATCAAGATGAGTAATAATCAATATATTAGTGAGCCAATAATCTTTTGATAGTGAGTAGGATCCTTTAATAGAGTATCATCGTTAGGAGAATGATTAACATTCCACTCAACTAGAGTATTAATAATACATGCTTTGGAAACCAGGATATGTAAGTAAATTTAACATATATATAGATTGAAAAAGAATATAATGAAGAGAAGAAGCAACCTCAACTCCTCATAAATAATATATGTCCAAAATCCTTCATATCAAATAACATTTGAAGTTTAGCTTTGATGTGAGTAAGGTCTTCATCATCCTTGCCTCTAATGATCATATCATCCACAAAGTAAAAAGATAATTCGACTACAAGTATAAAAAAGAGATAAAGTTATGAATCCAAGGCAATGATGTGCAAGACTGAACTTCTCATACCAAGCTCAAAGAGTCTATTTAAGCCTATATAAACTATGATGAATATGACAAAGATGACAAACATATCATTTTGGATGAATAAGCCTAGGAGGTGGAGAGATATATACTTCTCAAGAGAGATCTCCATTAAGAAAATCATTTTTGACATCTAATTGATATAGTGACCAATTGTAAAGTGTGACAATAACTATGAGAACTCAAACTAATGTCATTTCAGCAACATGAACAAATGTCTCATCGTAATCAATCTATATTTTTAAGAAAAACCTTTATCCTTGAGTCAAGCTTTGTAGCATTTAATATACCCATCTACCTTATATTTGATCTTATATACCCATTTACGACCATAAATAATATTTTTTTCTGAAGAAGTTAGACAAGATCCCAAAAGACGATTTTATTTAGTGCATCAAGTTCTTCTAACATTACTTGTTGGGAACTCTTATCTTGAGATGCTTCTTTGAAAGATCAAGGCTCAACAAGGGAATAAATAGTGAAATGAAATAAAATATAGTGAGGAGAATGTGTGGAAGAGAGAGAAGCATACAAAGTAAGTAATCAACAATTAAGAAGAGGAAGAACCAACTTCATCTTTATATTAGATGACCCAAGAGACAATGAAATAGAATAATTTTGTGTATTATGTATTGAAGTATATTCTTGTATGTTAAAGAATGAATCAAATATATTAAAAATAGATACCAATGCGAGTAAGATAATATGAAATATATTTTAAGAAAATAACATAATGAGAGAAAAGGACAATTATAAATGAGATCATAACAAGGGTAACATTTTTGAGATGAGCCATATCCAAGAAAGACATGCATGAGTGAGAAAATAACTCAACATATTTATAAATAAGTAGGAGAAAACAAGTTGAGCCAAAGACATGAAGAAAGTAACAATCATGACACAAATGATATAAAGATAAAAATAGACAAACCAAAAGTTAGGCAATAATATATACAATTAATAAGATAAGTAACACTTAAAATGGCTTCTCCTAAAAAAATAGACAATATATGAGTGAAAATAAGAAGAAATGTGTTGATAAGATGACAATGTTTGCATTTTACTACTCCATTATGTTGAGGTATACATGGACATGAAGTATGGTGAATTGTTTCCTTAGAAGCAAGAAGATTTGCAAAGGTTTTAGACATAAATTCTCCACTAAAATCTGAACGAAAAGTTTTAATTGATTTTTTAAACTATATTTTTACCATAGAAATGATAGATTGATAATTAGATAAAAAAATAAAGTATTTATATATTAAAAAAACCCATGTATAATGTGTAAAGTCATCCACAAACACAACATAGTTTTGAGATCTATCTTTTGTAGCTAGTGGAGTAGGTTCCCAAATATGAAAATAAATCAAGTCAAATGAAACTGCAGTAAATGTAGATTGATTATCAAATGATAGATTTTTTTTTCAAATTTTACATCCACAACAACTAAAAATATCACAAAGGGGTAATATAACTTAAAACACTTGTAGAAATCAAAAATTGTAATCTAGACGCATACACATGACCTAAGAGATAATGGAATAAGTAAAAAGGTAAGGAATTTAAGATTAACCGAAATGAGGAAAGATTTGGAGATGATACAATCACCGCAATAAGGGAAGGGACATGAAGCAGTTCTAACTCATATAATCTTTCAATTTTATAATCTGTCATATTCTACACCTTAGTCTACAAATCTTCCACAACACACAAGGTAGGAGAAAATGTAGTGTTGTAACCAAGATATAATAATTGACTTACAAACAAGAGACTAATTGACAAAATTAGAGGCATAAAACACATTATTAGGGAAAATATTAAATTGAACAATAGAGTCAATACCACTAAGAGAGAGATATCAGAATCATTAGTCATATAAATTGATGTGACAAAGAAGAGGTAGAATATGTATGCCAAGTAGTACAATAAGTCATGATTTATTGTGCCAGAATCAAAGTATGCTTGAACTATTACGAATACTCAAATTTGTGGTAACAAAATTAACAAAACCAAGGTTATTAATTGATATAAACATGCAAGTTGCTTGAATAGAGAGGCTTGAATGTTGGCATTCAAAAAAAATTGAGATAAAGAATCTATTGGTTGTTCAATAAATATATTAAATGTAATTGAAGAAGCAAGTCTTTGTACACGATTGATTACCTTGTTCTTGTGGAATAAATGAACCGCTTTCTCAACCATGTCCATGGTCACCTCCATTCGATTGAAGACCATCTTTTTTCAATGTCCTTCAGCATGACAATATCTACATTCATCATTAGAAATATGAGGCATTGATTTCCCTAGATGTTGAATAGAATTATTATTAGCAACAACCACATGGTAATAATGATCCACAAACAGCCTCAAAATTGTGTCTGTAGCAAGAACCACATGGCACTAATTATTTTTTTGATGTGTTTCTATCGCATGTAATTCAAAAAGTGTAGCAGAACTTGTAGGTAGAGGAGAGTGATGCAATAATGATTCACAAACAGCCTCAAAATCATCACAAAGAACCATAAAAAATTGTGTCAAGCTCTTCTTCTTTTTAAAAATTGTACAAATCAGTATTGCCTAGGTTTTGTAAGAACAAGTTGTCCCATAAATACCTTGACGAGAAAATCTAATCTCACCCTCAAACTGATATTCTTTAAAAAAAATTGATTGTGTATAAAGAGAGGTTAAATAATCCAAAGCAGTCTACTAATATAAAATTTGATTAATTGTAAACCAATATGCTGTTCAACTAAGTTTTTAATCCAAGTAAAAATCTTAGAATTATGAACATGTCATATTTCTAACTGCTGTTCATATTTAAGTCCAGCAAATAACTCATATTTATCATTAGGTTGAGGCATATCAAATGTACCATCTATATATTTCCGCATTTTGTTTTCCTCCCAAAAAATAAGTTGTCACATAGCTCCAATATGAATTATTTGTTCCATTCAAGTGAACACAAATAGCTTTCAATTCATCCATTATTTCAAGTAAAAGAATGAGCCTGGTAGGTATCTGATGAAAACTCTGAAGTTATTGCAAATATTCAGAAAGTTTGTGTGCTGAGGGACAAAGTACTTCGATTTTGACGGCCCAAGATGAGGCCTGATCCATGACGGGAGAGAGGCTAGACCACGAGGCTTGATCAAGATGATGCCTAATCCACGACAGGAGAGAGGGATGAACGATCCAAAATGGCCACCCAAGGTCACACCTGATCTGCGAAATAAAACTGAGACCAGAGGCTCTGATCCCATGTTAGTTTCAAGAGATGAAGAAGGCGACATAGAAAGGAAGACAGCGGCGAGACCGAGGAGGGAAGAAAAGGTCACGTACGACCAAGTCTGATATAATGTTTATATAGGGTTACAAGAAGCAAAGGATAACAAGGCCCAAAATACGGTGGACCCAAAACAGCACAAGCGCAAGACATGGCAAGCCCAATATATCTAACAAATTGCACCATGGTATGGGCCTTTGGGCGGACGGAGACATGGAAGGAGGAAATTCTGCTGGTGGGGTTAAGCTTCTGAGAGCTCTCTCCTCTACCCTCATATCCATCGTTCCATTGCCATCTCCGAGAGTTGACGTGATCGGCTGTATGAAAACTTTCTCTGGATCGCAAAGAACCGTCTCATCAGAATGACATCTATCGGACGGAGACATGTAGCATTAGGAGGAGAATATTTTTTTCATGGACTTGGCTTCAAACGAGCTCGAATGGCCAGTTTTTCATGGTTAGAATCTGCTTTTTCTCGGGTACATGACAGTATTAGGTCAGATATTCGGAATTCTTTTTTTCCAAAATTAACTACGATCCCGTCGAAATTATCTCTAAAACTTATTCATCATCCTCGCTGGAAAGAATTACAAATAATATTTACAGCATTGCCGCAAATACATACGGAGATGAGCTGAAGTTCTTCCTCCTTGTCCATTACTTGTTATTTCTTGTCAATAGGTTGGTCTAGGAATGTCAGACTCCCTTCGAGTTCTCCTGCCCTTGTCATGGAGACCATTCCACAAGGATGGGTACGCCACAGACGGGTAGAAAATTATCTCATCAAACAGAAAAAAACAAAATCTTCTGGTCGAAAAATTATCCGATGAATTTCCAATGATTCACGTAAAACCCACGATGAATACGCGGGTCAACCCCTGCCGTTCGCCGTTGGTTCTGAATCCAACAGTCCAGTTCTTTCGGAATTTGTAATCGCTTGAAGATTCATCGACGAAGGTCAACTGTGCATGTGTAACAATTGTGGAGTCACGTCGTCGGTTGATGTTGCGTTGTTCATAGACCGGAGGTGGAAAAATTTTCAACCCCTGCGAGTGCAAGTCCTTTTGGAAACGGCATGCTCCCTTGACTGGCCCTCCGCTTCCATTCTCTCTTGGAAAGCATTGCCGTTAGAGTTGCAGGTTAGATTCAACGATAAGGATGGTACTAAGCACGGTCTCCTCGAGAACCTCATCCTCCGGGGACCTGAGTGGCGGTCTAACGTCATATATTCCGCTTAGCCTTGAGTTAGACGTAAATGGCTCTCGAGATCAGATGTTTTCTCTCAAAATATTTTTTTGGGGTCCCCGGAGATCATCCGCCCGGCGACATCCGGGCCGGCCCGCATCTCACGGTACTGCAGAGCGAGGTCTCGGGCTGTGCAGGAAGAGAAACAAAACCAGAAGAGGGCAAACGGATGAAGACGATGTACCTACAATATTTAAATGGGGAGAAGGGACGGCGATGGCCCAGGTTTTCGGCCGGGGCATCGACTTAAATGGGGAAAGCGTCCATTTACTCCGGCGGTGGGCGCCGGCCACAGGCGACCGTTCGGGTCAACTTGCCAGCCGGAAGAGGAAGCTTCAAAAGGGGAGTTTGTCAGGCGTCATAATGGTGGATGAGAGAGATAGAGAGAGGACGCGATCCATTGCCGAGACTTGCCTTTTGATCTCTAGTGGACTGGACGAGAGAACCTGCCAAAGCTGCAGCAGCAGAGCTTCCACCGGCAGCAGGAAGGGCCAAGGCTTACGTCTCGGTGCTCAGTCCCCCCACCCTGCGCCGATCTTCTCCTTCCTCCCCTTCTCATTCCTTCCACCTCTCCTGAATCGTCCGACTCTGCCCCGATTCGGTTCGATCGGACTCGCCGGCCGGCGCCCTTCCGCCACCGTCGACTCGCCGCCGCCGACAGGAAGGGTGCTGGCGGGGGGCGTCCTTTCTACCAAAAACAGAAAAAGGGCTTTATAGAAAAGCCGCTTTCCAACGACCGCCAGGTGGGGGTTATGTACACATACGCAATTTTTCGTCACACCCTTTTTCACTATTACGTAAAAACCCCCGGATCGGCCGTACTCTCCACGTCGTCCTCCCTACTTCCTCCGACCCGACGTACTCCCTGTACCGCATAAAATAATCCTCCCCTCGCTGCTCCTGTTAGAAGGTAGTTAATGCTTCCCCTGACCTCCCCGGGCAAGGTGCCAGCACCGTCCCCCTCTCTCTCTCTCAATCGTCGGAGCAAGTCCGTCAACGAGGGGGCGAGTCAACGGTCGGTGCAGTGGAACACGAAGTTTAAGTCCGGGCAGTGGTAGTCCCACACGAGCTGTGGACCTTTTTACTCTCCCTCTCTCTCTCTCTCGCGGTGTGGCCCCTCGCCGGTTCTGCTGATCTGACGGCGATGGGCGGCGCCTCCGGGTTGGTGGGAAGCCCCCACTCTCTCCCCCCGCTGGGCCCTCTCTCCGTTGTCTGCTTCAGACATGAGAACTGAGATCCCACCCCATGCAGCGCCCTCCCCATCACGACCACCTCTCCTTTCTGCATGGGAACCCATCCCTCCCTTGATAAAGAGAGAAAGAGAGAAAGAGAGAGAGAGAGAACTTTCTCTCTCTCTCTCTCTCTCTCTCTCTCTAGGTCTCTGTGGGTGCACAGGTGGGAGAGGGAAGCAGGGTCTTCGATGACGACTCCCAAAGCAGATACGCCTGCTGCAGACGTCTTCCCGGCGGGGATGAGAGATGAGGTAACCTAACCATCTTTAAGGAGGATCGGCAGTGAGTACCCAGCTCGCTTGCTGCTTCCCGGGGGGTCCCCCCCCCCCAACCGCTCCTCCCCCTACGAGATCGATAATAATAATATTCGGGGACATATTTGGCGTATTTTTCTAAGGCCCGAGTGTTGTTCTAAGGCCACCCGAGATCCTGGAAATTATTGTTCCCACGAGAAAGGAAGTAGGAGAGTATGTTTCCAGGCATATCGAAGTTGGGAAAAAAATACGTTTGTTTGTGCATGTCTATGCGAAGAGAAGGGGGGCTGCTGCTGCTGCTGCCAGTCCGGCGTTATGACTGCGCGGGAAGAAAAAGGAAACGCTGCGAGACGAGGGGATTATATTTCGCGCGAAGTTAAAAAAATAGATAATGGGGGCAATATTCTAATGTTTTCGTTCATTAAAATAAAAGGAAGAAAATTAAGGCCGGTTGGAGGGAAGGGCAAGAGACGGAGGCTTTTATAACGCCACTCTCCGCGCTGGAACATTCCGCTCCGCTGCTCTTTGTCCGATCCCTCCGGCTTCTCCGTCGCCTCGTCCCCTCCGTTCGCGGCCACCGAGGAACGAGGAGTAGTTGCAGGTGGCGGAGGGACATGTCGTCGGCGGATCCTCGGACCGGCGAGCCGTCGTCGTCGCGGCGGAGGTCCGGGGACGGGGTCTGGCCGGAGCCCTTCGTGGAGGCGCTGGCGGTGCAGGTGGCGATCGACGCCAGCAAAACAGGAGGGAGGCTCTCCGTTGCTCCCGCCGTCGTCGCCGTCTTCCAGGTATCGCTCCTCCGTGGCCTCTCGACTGCCGGCTGCCTTTCCCTCTCCCATCCGTCATCTTAATCTAGAGTCGTAGTATTTATCTCTGACATGCCTAGCCGTGGATGATTCTCCATCCTCTGCATTTTCCTGTTGGAATAGTTTGCTAGAGGAATGAATTTCTCCGACCTACGTCAACGGGACTATATAAGCACCTTCGAACCAAAAAAAGAAAATAAAGAGAATGAGAACGAAATAGATGGGAATAACGCAAACACGATCATAGCGCATGGCGCGGTGGCTGGACGTGGATGGGTTGCTTCGATCGAGAGGACCAAATCGGATCGTTTATCTGTTCTCTACTTTCCCATTTTCTTTCTTGTTCCTTTTCGTTCCTCTCTTATCGATTATAGGTAAAAGTTTCCTCTCATTTTAGCTATTCTAGGTCGTATAGCGTGCTTTCTTTATCTTGTTACATTCCCTGCGCCTGCCGATTTTATCAGATCTCTGTTTCACTCCCTCCCTGTCTGTCTCTTCCTCCATCTGTCTCTCCTTCTCTCTCTCTCTCTCCCCTGCCCTCCTTGCCCTAAGGTGGCTCCCTAGGTGTCAGTCCCCTCTGCCCTCTACAGAATAACCTGTGTCCTCCACGCAGCCGAACTTAAGCCGGAGAAGACAAAGACAGTCGAATTTGGGCTGCCCGCTTTACTGATGTGAAGCGAAAAACACAAGTTCGCCTCTCGGTTTGATCATCCCCGCACAGTGGTCCTACTGTGGTTATCGTTTATCTGTGCTCACTCTCCGTAAGTCTGCAGTTGGCATTACTTCCCTCTGCTCTTTTGTCTCTCTCCTCTCTCGCTCTCTCTCTCTCACGCTGTTCGGCCTGACAAGCTCGAGCCGATGCGTCCTATTATCGGTTGAGCCTCTCTTTCTATTGGATTCTGCCTAAGTTCAAACTGCATCTGACCGATCGCTATCGCGGGGTTCCATCTCTCTTCTTCAATTTTCCCTGGCATTTAGAAGGTTAATGGCGTGGAAAGATGCACAAGGGAATGCAACTGCCTTGGCACGGACAGCAGCAGAAGGTGCCTGGATAGATAGAAATTCATTCCAGTGCCAGACTCACTGCCCCAGCGACGCGATATCAGCTGCCAGCCCTGCTCCCCCTAACCTCTTCCGGCATTACAGTTCTCCCAGCGTCCCTCTCCCTCCGATTCTCTGTCTTCCTCCATTTTTTTATTGGCTTCTGATCTGCGGTGCGTCAGGCCTACGCTGCAACGACCGATAACTACTGTCCGTAGGTAGGACTCAGAGCTTGTCTCCCGTGGAAAATGGATGGTCTCGACCATCTTACCTTCTAATTTCATTAACTCTCCTTCCTGAGGTCCATCGTAGGCTAGCTTGGCTGCATGCCCTCACGCCCCTCAAGGAACCTGAAACGGGCAACGCAAACAGCTACAGGAGTGAAACAACGTGAGCTCTCTCGAGCCTCACGTCCTCTGAATCTCTTTGATGCTCCACTCCTTTCAATCCTGGAGCCAACTGTAGCCTTCCACCCGTCTGTAGCCGTGGTGGAGGGGAGCTCTGGGGATTGAAAGCAGGGTCTGCTTGCTTAGCTGTGTACTTCTGGGTAGTTCCGTAGGGAGTATCAGGTTAGCGGTTTGACAATCTGACGGTGCCCTGGGGGGTTGGGTATGGTACCATTCCATCATCAGGAAGACCACTCCAAGTTGTTTTCTGATTTCTTGATCAACGAGCGAGGATTCTCTAGAATAAACAAACACCCGGGGTCAGCATCTCCTGCTGATTATAAATACACCTGCCCGGTGGTGACCTGTTTGTCACTCTCGGGGAGGCTTTGGGTGAGATTCCTCGGAACTCGACGTGTTGGCGAAGCTGGGGACGGGATCCGCCGTTCTTGCCGGCTATGCGGGTAGACCCCCACCGCTTCCGCGACCCCACCGCACCCCTTCTCTTGGACCTAGTTTTTTTAATACCCGCTCCCCTGGATCAGATCACATCACGACTTCGCATCCAACCTCCAACGCCCACGCCCATCTTCGCCTGTCCCTCCAATCTGCCACTCCTCTTCCGCTCTTGGGGTCTTCCGATTGCCTCCATCTTCGTTGCTGCGAGTTTTAAAATCCCCCGTCTGTGGCCATTCGGTCACGTGTGGAAGATCGTCTAGTTTTTTAAGTTTCTCATCTCGATCGTTTAATTTATTGTCGTCATCTAGCCCTACTCCTATAGGATGCGATGATCTTTAACAACACTCAGCCCCTCTTTGTCCCCCCAGTCATTCCTAAACTCTCAGCCCTACTTTTAGGGATTAAGACGACCCATTGTCGATCAGATTCCAGAGTTCTCAGTCTCGCAAAATGCTGGTAGAACCCTTCGCCCGCCAGTCCGACGACTCTCTCTCCAGCAGAAACAGTCAGATGCTATCTTAGGACTTGTGTTCTGCGAGGGATGGAATGATTCGGAGCTATAGGGGAACCTGCGTCCGTCCTCTCCTCTGGGGCACGGTACTACGTTACGCCGATGCGTCTCTCCCAATTATCCAGTTCCCGATTCTCCGTCTCGTCGTGTCGGCGAGGAGAGGGAGGGCAGGGCGTGACTGGATTTGTCTCACGGAGAGAAAAAAGTATCTTTTCTAGACGAAAAATGAGACCTCTTCCTCGCGGTTACTTCCTCGCGCCGCTACTTTCGTCCCCGGTCTCTAAACGTGCATCGGTCCAGCCCTCATTGATTGGACCTTGCGATGTGATCCAGATTCCGAAGTAGTCGTCCGGATGGGACTACTGATATTCCAAGACGATCAATGTCTTTAAACTCTCTCTATCCTCTTTCTTCACCACCTCTGTACCTGTCGTCCTCGTCATTAAGTGTAGGTACCAGGAGGGAAGGATTAGACAGAACTGGGGTTGAGAACTAGGAATTCCACCACTTTTGGATTCGTAGGTCGAGGAGTCGCATCGGTCTAGAGGCAGGTACGGCTTTTGCTTAGTCTGGTTGAACACGAAAATGATGACGATCAATAAACGTTAAGCAGTTGTCTGTTGCTTACGGTGATTCAGCCATCAATTTTGTGATGCTCGCGGGTCTCCGGAGCCGGAGAGGAAGAAGAGTGATTTCTTGTTTTGCATCGGCGGATGAAGACGCCATGAGAAGCCTCGGCCTCGTGAATACGGCGTTGCGTCCCACATCAAGGTGGTGATACAATCGTGGCCTTTTTCTTTTTCCACTTTTTTCCCACGGCTGAATGGTGAATGAAAATTGAAGATGCACATAATTTTGAGTCTGCACTTTCGTTTGCGCGTTTGTCATATTATTAGTTAAAACTGTACTTCTTTTTTAGATCTCATGTATCGGGTATCTACCAGTCTAAACGGTAATGGTCTTACAGAAGGAACGCAATGAATGTTAATGTGAGGTAATGTTTAGGATCAGTTTGATCCTAGACTAGAGACGGGGATTTCTAATCATTAAAATTTTCACACGCATTCACTGGCTTTCTCTGAACAGTATTCATTCACTGCGCCTTGTTTACCGATATGTATGCTGGATTTCCCCTCATGCCCCGCATCTCTGAGATATCCTTCCCCCCACAGAATCGCATTCTCAGTACTCCACAACGGCTGTGACCATTGCTCTTCGTGATGGCAGAAATCAAGGGTCGGCTTGAGTTTTCCTCATTCAGATGTTCCATTCTTATGAGCAATTGAGCCCTCTCCTGTCTAGTCGTCGCTCCCTCCTTTAATCAGAGCAGTGATGGCAGCCCTGTCCACGGTTTGAACCTTGTCTAACCGGCAGGGGTATACCCCTCTCGGGGGCCTTCAAATATCTAGATTTATGGTGCACCATTGTGTTAGATGAAGGCGTCTGAAGTGGTGTACGGCATGGCCCCGTGATTTTCTGTGCAGGTGTGCAGCTCGTGGCGGGCCATCTCCCAATCCGAGCTCCTCTGGCAGAGCCTAACTCGGCGCGTCTGGTCGCGCGAGCGGCGGCGCCTCCTGACATGGCGGGCCGAGTACGCCCACTGCCACCGCACGGGCCGAAATTTCCGGCTGCGACACTGCGTGCACTCCACCGTCTTCATCGACCCCACGCTGGCCTGTCGACGGCTCTCCCTCTCGGACCGCCACCTCGCCGCCGGCTTCCTCGACGGCTCCGTGCGCCTCTTCGACCTCTCCACCGCCGACCTGGTGGCTACCTACCTTCCCCACCCCGGAAGGGACATCCTCGGCAGCTTCTCCCAGTCCATCTCCGGCGTCCTCCTCGACCGGGCCTCGCGGCTTGTCTACGCCTCCCAGGACGGCGACATACACGTCGCCTCCACCCTCAACGGCGCGGTGCACGCCGCGCGGCGCGTGCGGGTGGGCAACGCCGTGGAGGACGGCACGCTGGTGGACTTCGCGGGCTGCGACCGGTGGTGGGTGGGCCTCTTCGCCGGCGTCCCAGGGCGATCGCTCCACGTCTGGGACGGCGACACGGAGGAGCTCGCCTTCGTGGGCGGGTCGCTGACCGATCCCGACGCGGTCATCGGGTGGCACATGTTCACCGATTCGGGAGGGCCAGTGGGGCGGGTCCGATTCTCCGACCCGGCGACCATTGTCGGCTGCACCGGCTCCAGATTGCAGGTCCTCAGTCTGGACGACCCGGAGGTCGTCCTCGCCGAGCACGGCTTCCGGCGCGGTGCCGCCGTGGAGGCGGTGGACGCCTGCGACGGGCGCGTGATGGTGGTCAACGGCCAAGGGATAGCGAAGGTGAGCGCGGCGCGTACGCTGGAGGAGGTGTGCCGGTTTAACACGATAAGGAGGCGGCCGGCCGGTGTGCAGCAGCAGGCACCGGTGGGGGAGAGGCCAGTGGGCTGCATGAACTGGGGCTACGCCGTCGTGTGCGGCCCCGACGGCGGCGTCAGGCTCTGGGATGCTCTCACCGGGGAGTACCTGTACACGTTTAGGGAAAGAATCGCGGGCAGCGCCGGCGCCGTCGCATCCGACGACCGGCGCGTGGCCGTCTGGTGCGGCGAGACGGGCCTCCACCTTTGGGACTTTGGCCAGTTGTAGTAGGCCCGGTAGGCATGGGAGAAATTTGCAGTGGCGGCCGAAAGAGAGCGCTGGGGGAGAATCTACATGCTGACGCGATCAGCATTGTCGCGGGCTGCCTTCTCTTCCATCGCCCCTCTATTCTTTCCTCTTGGTTTTTTCTGGGTTCATCAGTCGGTTTGGATTTCGTTCATCAGGCGCGTATTTTGACGTCCGGCTGGCAGGGGACCTCGGAGGCCACGAGGAAAGGTCATATCCGGCCGACGATGGCGGCAGCAACTTGGTGGCCCCCCTACCACCAACCCCTTTCCCGCGCATATTTTGCTTGTTAATGACTGTGAGTAGCACTGTCACATCCTGTGATTCATTTCAGATCACATCTGTAGTCAGAAATTCGTTCCAATTCAATTTAAGATCTATATATCGGTTTTCATTCCTCAGACTCTGCCCGTCCAAACCATTTGGGAGCGGCTCTTAGGGCTAGTTAGTTGCCAATTGGGCTAGTGGCTTCAGTTTTGTGTATCTGGGATTTGGACTACTAAATTTGTAGACATTGAATTATAGTCTAAGTCAAAGGCAAAACATTTTCCACACCTTCATGTTCTTATGTCAAACTGTTGGCTTCCTTTGGTGTACATTCCTTCAAAAATCACCAAAGCCCTGTAGCTACACCTTTAATACGGAACCTCAATAACCGCCAAGCAGTGAACTTAGACATCACGGCTCACAATTTATGAGCATAAGCGGAGAACGTTAAATTTTCATATCAAGTTGACATCTAGAAATTTGGACAAGATCCCCGGGAGATCCGGGCAGGTGGACCTCTTCTTCGTTTTACATAAGAGAGAGACCCTCGCCCTCATGAGGAGGATGAAGAGAGTAAAGAGTAGAGTAAGGTTGATGCATTCCTGCTCCACGGTAAATACAGTCTTCCCTTGGTGCCCTTTTATGTACTGGTGAAAAATCATACGGCGTGGAATCTATCTCCATGACAAGGAGGTGTCATAGGACAAGGGCCAACATGAATGGAGGAGCGAGGTGCCTAGATCGTCTTCTCCCAAGAATGTGGGGGAGTGGTGCGCGTACAGGCATGGAGGAGCGACCGGATGCGGCGCAGATGGTTGCACATGAGGCAACATTGGCCCCCGCGGGAACATCAATGTTAGGCGTCAATGTCTCGCTATTGACGCGTTCATTCAACGGGACATAGGAAAACAGTGTCGTGTCAAAGGGCTAAGATCCTCAAACTGTAGGCACTATCAAACATATGAAATGGTAATGAACTCGAGAATTATGAATGGTGCACGCCTTGCAACTAAGGAAGGTAATGCTGCTAACTTGTGGAGTATGTTTCTAAAGGAATTAAAAGAGCAATTCCTCCTTACACAACACAAATGATGAGGGAGAGAAATAGATATCCAAGTTCATTAAAAGGTGGCACCTATTGACTCCGTTAGAGGCGGCAGAGTAAAATGGGCATGCACTTTGTGCGATTATGCAAGAATTCACCTTCGCAAGTCAAGAGTATACGAAGGAGGCATACCGAATAAAGAGAAACACGAATCCACAGTGTCACGACGTGGAGTTTAATACCGGTGACTATATGATGTTCTCTAACTGACTCATGGCTATACGAGATTATGAAATTTGCGTGACCCCATGGCTGATGATGCTTCACTTCGGTAGGGAATTGGAGGATGTGATGCAGATAGGTAGGCTAACCTGGTTCCTCAGCTTACCAAGAAGACTGTTAATCAAGCTAATCTTTGACGTCTTGTTACTGAAGTGGTGGATGAAGATGTAGTTGCGCTCCTTAGTGGGCATCACCGATTTGTTGGGAAGTCAAATGCCAAGTCATAAGTGCCTCGATAGGCACCATCTAATAAAGATGTCAAATTTTCCACGTGGGGGCATGTTACACCCTTGGGATTTAGGCAAGAAGTGAGATTTGGCAGGTGAGCTCCTGTGAACCGCAATTTGTAGATGAGGGTCAGATCTTCTAAGTTAGGCAAAATCATTGATATATATAGATGGGCGTCTCTCCAACCCCAAGAAGGGAGAGACCATCTTGGGCTAAGAGTGAGAAGAGGAGGCGATCAGAGAGTGAAGTAAGGTGGAGGACATCTTCGGTCCCTTTAATCGAACATACTTCCACGATGTCATTCATGAAGAGTGGCTGACCCACGCAGAGAGTTAGATGGGTAGGGGAGGGTAGGAGAGGTTGTGCCCCTAGTGCTGTTCTTTATCCCTCCCTCCCCCCACCGACACCCCCTCCAACTACTCTCATTTACTTGCCACGCGAGAGTCGCCGAACTCTTCGCTGGAGGGCGCCGAGAGGTGTCCGGCCAGAAGTGTTCTTTTCCCCCTCCTCCCTTTTCCCTTCTCCTCCGGCTTTCAGACGCTGCCGGGGGCCGGTTCTGTTGTCCTCTGCGGCTTGAGCCTGCGGTCGGCCTGGAAGGGCGATGGGTCGCCGGCTCCGGCACATGGCGACGAACGGGGTCTTCCGCTACTTCCATTTGTTTCCTTGCTGGTTGAAGCCGTGGAAGCCCTAGTTTAACCGATAGTCCATCTGCGCCCCCCTTCCTCCGCCGCCGCCGCCGCCGCTTCTCTCCGTCGATGCACCCATAACGTGTACCCTCGACGGCGTTTTTGGCGGCGGCGTTTTTGGAATCCTGGTTTTGACGTCGGTGCACCCAAACCCTGGTGTAGGTTCGAGGTATGCTTTCCATATTTCTGTGGATTTCTCCTTCTACATGTGCGAGATTCCGAAGAGTCACCTTCTCCCATTTTCTCTGCAGTTTCTCCCATTATTACCTGGGACCATGACTCTTGATAGGTTCGGTTGTTTTTGTGCTCCTGCCACGACTTTCTTATGATTCCTTGAGGTTCTATGCTTGGCTTTCTCCACAGTCGCTATGGCGGTCAACGGCCGTGATTTTGTGGAATGGAGGGAGCATTTCGTCTCGCAGGAGCGCGGCAGTCGCGTGGTTCACTTCTTTCTCGAGGATTCTTCAGGGGAGTCCTTTCTTGCCGCAGTTGGCACTGAGAGGAGTTTAAGGCATATGCTCTATGTTGTCGCGGAGGAGTTCTTGCAGGCGGCTGGGATAGACAAATCGGCTGCTTCTTGTCTGAAGTGGAGGTCGAGGAGGGAGGTCGTGGACTGGCTCAAGACATTTCTTGCCAAGCAGATCTGTACCCAAGATCCATCGAGTACGAGATTACGGCTACTTTGGTGAAATCTGTGATGCTCCTCGTCTGGAATTAGATTTCTGACTGTGGTTGTGTTTTATGCAATTATGATTTCCTATTAGCCATATACATGAAGCAGCTTTTCTGAATACTAAAAAACTTGGCCTCGGACATGGATACTATATGATTTTTTCCCACGTCTTTCAAGGCTTGAAAGGGGGGGTATTCAAGTTATTTCATATCTTCAGCCTGGTGTGATTGTGTTGCATTTTCCATTTTCTTAAATGTGTCATCTGGGATACGTCTGACAGTCTTTGCAGCATAACATCTCGATAAGGTCTACGTTCCACATAGACAATTCTCTGGGGGACGCTATGATAATGCTTCTAATGTGTTCGAATGATGTGCTCGATAGCGAATGTTTTTTGGGCTCTGTTTTTGCAGTATCTTTTCGTCTTTATGCTGAACGAATGTTTTAGCACATTTTCAGATAGAGGTGGGTCTCCTTGTGTTTACACTTGGTAATGTGAAAGTTGCAATTTTTAAAATGGATCTAGTAATTTCTTTTTTACCTGCTTCTCTAGCTGATCCACCTCGAAATTAAGTTAACTCAGTTTGTGCCAAAAAAATGCCTTGTTCTGACCTACTTAGATCTCTGGAGAGTTCCTGTCCAGTCGTAGTATGAAGAAAATCTGTAGACGATCTGAGAATAGATTTTCAAGTGCGTTGAACGTTAAGGATATGCTTCTTGTGTCTCCAAGCATTGGAGCTAGGATTGGTTGTTTACAGAAGACATTTGAACAGCCTATGAGATGTCTACGGAAAAAGTTGCTATTCGGTGGACATTAATCAGATCCTATGGTAACATTCCTACGTCCTGAATTTTTCGTGCACACTGCAATTTTCATTGGTTAGGATTATAAGCTAGATATGTAATTTCGGAAAAAAATTGTTGTAGTGTCTTCCATTGTCGAGTTTATCCATGTGCGAAAAAAAAAAGGTGGGATCTGCATCCACAATAATTCTTCGTTGGAATATTGTTAGACCGATTCATTCTCTGATACAGATTGTTCATAGAAGCATCTTTATTTCTATGAGACCATCATCCAAAAGGATGATTCGGCTATGCTAACTGCCTCCAGCCCTATGGTAAGGAAGGGGATATTAGAGCTTTACGAAAACGTTACAAACATGGCCATATAACATTTTTTTTTAAAGAAGGTTTCTAAGCAGTAATTTATTCTAGTCACGGCTAATAGTGTATTTTGTCTCTCGCTAAAACCTTTATAGTGGTTATCTGAAATATGGAAACATGGATCAAGCATTTGCTTATTTGGAAGGTCTTAGGAATTTTATTTATTTCATGTTGGAGATTGGGAGAATCTAGTACCAGTTGTCCTGAAATGTATATGGAATTCTTTTTCAATTTCCTGCGATGGACAGAACGTGTGCCTGTTTGACCCGTCGACCAAATCCAATTGATTATCTTCTTTTTTGGCGTCCAGAATGTTTGAACTGTCATTTGACGGCACTAGAAAAAAATTAGTGGAGCCACATCTAGACATATAAGAAATCCATGTGCGCAACATATAGGCATGCATGTATAATAACTGAAATCATGGTCGTGTTTATTTCAAAGAAAAACGTCTTGGTAATTATTGTCAAACCACGACCTGTTGGTAATTGATTTCAGAATCAACGCATACCATAAGTGTATTCCAAACTATGGGTTGACTGAGAATCTCAGACCAGTGTCAGAGTGGCCTATGAACCTTCCTGCACGTTAGTAACCTTGGTTGCTGCTCTTGGACTATACTTGCTCTGCAACGAAGTTCTGAACTGCTGAATACCTCTTGTTTTGCAAGTATTTTGAAATAATCTATCTTTGATAATATTTGATTGATTGTAGTAACTTCGGTAGGAAGCTTAGAGTGAACTGATAGTTCAGTTTCGAGTAAATTAGAGAGCGCTGGAAGAGCAGTTTCTGATATTTTTGATAAGTATCTCATCATTTTCCTGGCTTGTATTTTCTTCTTTCTTGACTGGGAATGTGGAAGTCTTGACTCTTTCTTTAGACCATGCCTTCTTTGAACTAATCACTGGATTTCACTGTGGTTTTACTGGCTATTTTTCCGATTCAAGCTTTGCAGACATCTTTTGATTCTATATGAGGTTTTTTTTTTCAAAGATAAAGGAAAAATAGAAAGATATTTTCTTCTTCAACTCCTATGGCCGAATTGGGGTTAATGTTCATCCAGATTCTTAAATGAAGTTCTATGGTGTCCTTTATGCATAACTATGCATCAGAATCACTCTCATTGGATCCTTACTAAAAAACTTCCTTTTTTTAACGTGCTAGGTTCACCAATTACCAGCCCACTTGATGGAATCAATGATCCAGAAGCTTATCTGAACAAAAATGTGGTATATATCTCTTGATAAACTCCTCGTGTACCCAATTGGTTTTCTTTTATGTACCTGCGGCTCAACATGAGATCTTATTTCAGGACCAGTCTACACGCAACTTGAGAAGCCACAATTCAGACATTTTCTGGTCTGGGGTTTCGTGGACTTGTAGCAAACAACTCAAGCATTACAAAGCATTTTGCCGTAATGGAACAACAATCGCTGTATGCCCCAACAATTTTGTATCCCATGCCGATCCACTTCTTCTAGTTCTGAGTACTCAGGCATGGGCTTTTCTGATTTGCAGATTCATTCTTTTGTTGTCGTCATGTCTGAGGGAGAGGAAAATCACTATCTTGCTTATTTGGAAGATATGTATGAAGATAAGAAAGGCCAGAAAAAAGTTAGAGTACGGTGGTTTCACCAGAATCAGGAAGTAGTTGGCTCTATTCCACCTCCAACTCCCCACCCGAGAGAGGTCTTTATTACACCATATATGCAGGTCATTAGTGCAGAGTGTCTGGATGATCTGGCTACAGTCTTAACGCCAGAGCACTATGACAAATGCTTGGCTAATCTTCCGTATGCCTGTTCAGCTGGCATTCATCTTTGTTCTCGGCAGTACAGTAAAAATAAATTCAAGCCCTTTGATCTAAGCACATTGCATGGCTATTTTGATCAGTCTATACTTGCATGTTTAGATATTTGTATCTCAGGTGAGCACAAAGAATCTCTGCAAAGAACTAGCTTAAAATGTTTATCAAACAATATTAGTGACTTAAGGGGACATCTGAGTTTTATTGCAGGTGGACTCTCTATCAGATCATTAGGTCACAACAGTCAAATAGCCATGAATGGCTCAACTTTCCAGAGTACAAAGTTTGGGCTATCAGAAAGGAAGAGTTTGACTGTAAAGTTGATAAGGCCCTTTTCCCATGTTGTGCTACCTTTTAAGGTTGATGAGAAGGTTGAGTTGCTATGTCAAGATAGTGGAATCAGAGGTTGCTGGTTTAGATGTACGGTTTTACAACTATCTCAGAGAAGATTAAAGGTTCGATATGATGATCTGACGGATGAAGACGGTTTTGGAAATCTTGAGGTAAGAAGAAATACTAGAGCATTGCTTGCATCATTCTTGTTCTTCTTGATCCTCAAATTCCAGTACATTGGACGTGTTCTGTTTGAATAAATGTTCTTGAATGACAAAGCTATTTATATATATTGACAAAGCTAGAGATTGGGTGTACCATATTCACTTAGAAAGGCACATAGAATGCTGAAATGGCTTGTACGCTGATCTTTGCCTGCCAATCAGAGGGGTATATATTGTTTTTACTTTCATCAAGTTTCTACATTTTTTTCTCTATGCATCTGGTTGATTCATGTTAATTGAAACTGATAAGAGAAGTTTTTTTCTTCATCATTTTACTGAAAAATATCGGAATATTTTGGATTTTGTTGATGCTCAATTTTGTTTGACGTTGAACACAGCTTAGACAACCAGAGAAAGGCCAATGTTCATGCAGACATTATCTTCCCGAAATCCTGGCTATTCTTAGCATGATATTGGGGACTCTCACTGCTATTTCTCAGACAAGCATGAAACGTTTGCTTGCCTATTCGTCTTTTGGACAAATCGGATGGATTATAGATTTATAGTTATTTGTAGACACATATAATATGGGGATCCCTTGACAGATATTTTTTTAAATCGCATAGAATATATTATGAATAATGTTGAAAACTGTATTTTTTAGAAATTAGTACGTCAAAATGCCCAATGTTAGGATATTCCTGATGAAATTCATACTCGAAGAAACAGGGATCAAATAGAATATTACAGTCTATTTCGTCGATTTAAAGCTTTATATGTAACAATAGAAATATTTCCTAACATTTGAAACTACATGACTATTTGGCTGTATATTTGTATCATATATTATCTGTCGTGATTTTTTTTCATGATCAGGTTTTGTATAAAATTTTATCCTTTCATCTTCTTCTTTTTTCAGACTTTTCTGTAAATTTTGATTATTTTATTTTTATTCTTTTATTTGTAGGAGTGGGTTCCTATTTTTAGGCGCGCTGCTCCTTGTAAATTGGAAATTAGGCACTCAGGTCGGCTCATGATTCGCCCATGTCGCCCACATGATGATTCATCCGAGTCTGCTGTCTATGAGATTGGTTCTGCAGTGGATGCTTGGCGGAATGATGGCTGGTGGGAAGGGCTTGTAATAGGAGTCAACGATTTCTCTAATGTTATAAAAGTTTATTTTCCAGGTACATATTTTCTAGTTACGTTGCTTTTATATGTTTCGAATTAATGATTCATATCAAGTTGGGAACAAGTTTTTGTAGCTTGAAAAATTTGCAGCGATGGTAAATCATTTTATGGAAATGTTTCGTCAAGCTATTAGATCTCCTGAAAGTTGACTGAAAATTTTTATAATTCAAGCTTTCAGGTTATAAACTTACACATCCAGTTTTTGATGAGGACATCTTGCTATGTTATGATGCTTGAAGCGTGTTTTTGATCAATTAATCAAAATATTGTTGGAAAGTTGTCGACCATTAGAGCGGTTTGGTTGCACCAGTGTTGTCACTTTGGTTTTTTTACATACATTAAAACTTGCTATTTGATATTCAGAGTAACCCAGTCACATCAGCTAAATCCGGTCTGCTGCATACCTTTTCTTCATTTACTTTGCAACACCGTCTTCTTCCAGATGTGCTTCTGATCAGAAATTTGAGAGCCTCAATCTATTCAATATACCGCATGACATAGAAGAAAGAATCCTCCCGTTCCATGTTACCGCAAAGTTCTTGCGTTTGATTTTTCAGTAGAAGTATCCCTGTGAGCTATTTTCTAGTAACCTCCACATGAATGTGTTGGGGTTGATTCCCGGTTTTGATTTTCCATCTAGCAACATCTCAGAGCCACTCTATTTGCTTTGACTGTAGATGCTCATCTTCTTGACATTTATCACCCCTTGTCCACGGTAAGGGGTTGGTTTATTCGAATTCCTATTGGATTATTCTTTATATCTTGTAAGGACTTGATTGACAAGGTTTTCAGTGATATGACTCTCTGCTTCATTTACTTGAATGAAAGGGTAGCAATTCACCGTAATATGATGAGCGACAGTCGTTAACACAGATTTTTTCCCCCCCATTATATTACATCCTCATGTGTTCAGGTTGTTCTGGTCTTTTTTCTTCTGGAAATTTAATTCAAAGATTGAGACGAATGCCATATGTTACAGGTGAAGATAAAGTTTTGGATTGCCCGCGCAGCGATCTGAGGATATCTAAAGATTGGATAAAGAACGATTGGGTGAATATTGAGGCTAAGCCCCTTGCATTACCGGTCTTATCTTCTATCATCTCTGGTGCACAGGCATCCTCATTGCCAACCTTTACAAGAGCAACTGAGTCGGGCAGCTCTGAAATGTCTGACCATGATGCTGCCGAGTCCATGAGATCGAATTCAAATGAAGGGAAGGCCCAAACAACGGGCGGTGTGCTCGGTGGAATCGTTGCTGCTGCGCTGGATATCACCAAGGTCTATTCAAGGAAACGGCGGAGAGATGAAGATGGCATTAAGCTAGAGGGTGACAATGGGAAGGATATCGACAGGATGGGAGATGGACACAGCGATGACAGCGGAAGGATGGGCTGCTAGATCTATTAATCATTTAGGGTTTCATGTGTACATATATAAATATATCAATCTATATTTGACAAGAGTTTAGTCCCATGGAGCCGGTCCATCGCACTGGCTTTGGTACGTAGGTGTACAGGCAAAAGAGCTATAGATCCGATGGTAGAATCGGCGTTTTGATATTTTTTTACCCTAACTTTTTTAGTATGTAACATATTAAGCTATGATCTGATCATGGGGATCTCCCCTTTCTAAAATTGTTTAAGCCATTGAGCTCTCCGTGACACTTGGATCGGCCATTCTACACATCATGCATGTACTTTCAGTGTGGCAATCAGTACGTCATCTGAACGAGAAGCAGATGTCTTTTTGGGTCTCTGGGTCTCTGAGATCGAAACGAAGATGGGGGTGGGGCCGGTGTTCATGGGGTAGCTCCTTCCCACAACTGCTTCTCAGCAGCTGGTCAGTGGTCCCATCACTTCCACGCGCAACGCGTGTGGCATGGGCCTCGGTGCAGCCGCCGCGCGTGCGTGCTGGATGCGGCAAGCCCTGTGATGGGAGCTGCCCTCGTTCCGCTCGTGATGGCGGCAGTCGCCCTTTGTGGACGTGCTTCCGCCGATGTAGCCCTCCGACAAGTGATCCTACACGCTTTATATCTCGACCCCTACATTTCTTGAGGAATCTTCATCATTCCGGAGAACGTAAGAGCTTCAGTCAGCACCTAACTATCTTCTCAAAGAAGAACGCGTGCCCGTCTTTGTATCAGCAGAAGAGGGTGGAAAGCCGTGGGAGTGTACCAGTCTCCTGGCCCCCGCTGAGCAAGGGTCGATTCCCTTAAGCGACTAGCGACAGTCGCACTCTATGTATCTTATATCTGAATATTTGCGCGTCGAATTTACAGAGGAGCGAACGAACGCTGTCTCTTTCCATGCATGCACGGAACAGGGCGGTACCTTCCGCGAACTACAGTCTGAGCCATTGATTACCGTCGATGAAGCTCCGGTCTAGGAACGGCCGCGCTTCGTCGTAGGTAAGCGATCTAGCCCACGGCACCCTCCCCCTCTTATCAGCTCCTTCTCCTCGGCACTTGTACTCTCCGAACCACGCCGTCCTGCAAAATCCAAAGTATCTTCGATAATACCCTCGTCGAATTGAATCCTCCCCAACCCCCGAAGACGTCGTTATTTCAAAATGATTGGTTCGTGGGAGCCGCAGCGCGTACCTCCTCCTCGACGGGTCTCCCCAGTCGTTCCAGCCTTCGGGGTTGACGATGCCTTCGAAGAGGCAGTAGGAGTAGATCACTCTGGCGTACATTCCCCATGCCCTACCCAGGTAGAGAATCCCCGAGCCGGTGAGCCTGCAGTCGAGGAAGGAGAACCCGGAGTCCTCTTCGAGCGAGCTCCTCTGAGAGGCCGCGATTGCGCCATAGCTTGTGGCGACCCCGTGGAGTGTGCATGCCTGCGCAGTAACATAGGATTCGGCGAACATACAACACAGGACTCCAGCCTTCTCTGATCACACTCGATGAGGACTCCCAACGAGGAATTAAAAGCTTGTAAATTATGCATGCTAACTTACGAAATCTGCAGCAATGTGAAGTTCGATCATCCCGTTCTAATCACAATTTTATTTTATTTTATTAATTGTGACACTATTCGAACGCATCTCCTATTTTTTTTCTCTATATGAACATCAATGACCATATATTGCCTTTTGGAGCTCTAATGCCAAAATAATCAGACTTCTTTTTCAAAATCAAATCGACAGAAAATACAATAAATCCATATATTTCGATTTCACGTTTAATTTTGGCGCTGTTCAAGAGGCTGAATTCACCTGGTACAACGATTTTGCGCTCCCGAAGATGAAATCGATGGATCCTTGGATGTAAGTATCGAAGAAATAATGCCTTCCCCATTGATCGAAGAGGGTGTCCTGCGAGCCCAGAACTCTGCATCTAAAGAACATCGCCTTGTCTCCCGATACTCTCAGTGCGACAGCTTGCATGCCCTCGGCTCCTGGGTACGCGCCCGGCGCTGTGTTCTAGAACGCCACCCACAGATTATAGTCAGAACCTGCTTTAGACTCCCGCCGGTTTGAAGCTGTATAACGAGTAGCTAGCTTCCCCTTGCATGAAGAGGCCACGGTCGCGCAAGTTTCATATAAATTTTTGAGACGTCGTTGACTTCTAACAGCAAATCGATGGGATTACCTCGAAAGTGATTCCCCTCGCGCAGAAGTAATCAGATTCTACGGCGACGGTGGCGGAGCCGAGGGTTCCGATGACCTGACCGCCAGTGTCTCTATCTGAGGCTCGTGTGTGCCAGGAGATCACGGTCTCGGAGCTCTCATTCCCTATGAAGGAGATATACGGCTTCGTTATCGGAACCACCACCTTTTCTCTGCGACAAACCAGTTCACGACGAGTTCAGAATCTGTGGAAGGTCACGACAAGCACAAAAAGCACGACGTTCAAGCGTTTTTCTCCCCACTTGTAAACGCCGGGGAGTATCACGATCTTGACTCTCTCCTGGTTGCCGGGGGAAACCAAGTCCACCGCTCCTTGCACCGTCCTGGAGTCGCCGCCGCCTTCACCGGACACCACGATGACCCGAAGTCCCTTGTCCCCTTCCGAGCTCCCAGAGAAAGCCCAGGGTGGCCTCATGTCGTCCCACGAGATGAAACCGTTCGGCTGCTCACCGCCTGCCTCACGGGGACCCACAAGGTTGCCTGCGGCCACGAGCAGAAGAGCCGCCGCGTAGAACTTTTGCCGTCGTCCGACAACGGAGCCGTCCATTCGCATCCCCCTGCGCTTCACACGTTCTTCCTCTTCTTCTTCTTCTTCTTCTTCTTCTTCTTCTTCCTTGCTGCTCGTGAAGAGATCCCGGCCGGGGGGCCCCAGGATTGGGAGTTTGAGCGCTTAAATTCACAGAGTGGAGGGGGAGGAGTTGGACTGGCGAGAGAAGCGATGGCTGTGGGCAGTGAGCAATGGGGGGAGCGATCGGCCGCACTCCCCCCCTCGAGCACTTAAAGAGGAGGGAGAAGGCGAAGCAGATTGTAGAAAGCGTATAGATGTATTTATTTCTCCACACAAGTCGAGTACTCGCTCCACTTAGAGAGAGAAAGTTAAAGAAATGTGGGGAAAGGTTGGTCACGACATGCTTACCCGGCAAAAGAAAATAAGGTTAGTAGTTCGGGATTGTATCAGAAGATCTTCATTCCGTACCAGCAGGAACAAAAATTCCTCTTCCTTCAAGGATGCTGCGTGATGCTGCGTGACGTCGTGTATGAGTTTAGAGAGAGAGAGAGGCAGGCGACATTTACTGGGTCTTGATGGGCAGTTAAACATCAACGGTTATGGGAAGACTAGGAAGTGGTAAAATAACGGCCGCTTCTCCCCCACGATCAGCCGCCGCCGCCGCCGCCGCCGCCGACGGACGTGATTCAGCTGGACCGGTTCCCTCTCTCGGGCCCTCTCGCACGTGCGGCCATGGCACCAGCAAGAGTGGAGCTCATCGATCGCAAGAAAGACGTGGGGAAGAAGGAAGTGGAGTGGGGTTTTGTTCTGTCGACTTATCACCACATTAGCTTGGTCATTCATCCTCTTTGACCTCCGGGGGCAGGTCAACAAGGCGGGGTCAGCGCGGTCAACGGACGCTCATTGGAGAAGCTAAGCTGGAAGATAAACACGGGAGGATGTCCATACTGGCCGCCCCGGAATCAAGCGACGGCGGGCTCCTCTCGCTTACCCAGCTTCCTCGCGACCACGCTGTAGACTCTGTCCACCTTGCCCGGGTCAACCTTGAAGAGCCCGTGGGCGTCGCCCTTCTGCTGGACGGTCCCCTTCATTATCTCAGTCACCAGTACCTCCTGCATCTTGAGAAAATGACTCGGCAGCAGCCTGCTCTCGCAGCACAGCTGTTGTTCCTGAGGATCACCACCAGTTTTTGAGACCAATCACCCTGATTTAGTCATAAAAGAAAACTCTGGGAGGGAAAGATAACAGAAGCCAGTGTTCTTACGGATTCGCTGAGCAGATCTGCTCCAGGAAGTCCAGTGATATCCCAATCCTCTGACTTCACACCGAGCGGCCCAGCGCTCCCCGGAGTCAAATCTCTTCCACCGGCGTCCAACCCACCGCCACCTTTTGCCTTTTGGCTATCGATGGTGCTCCGAGGGCTTCCGTCGTATTCTCCCTTCTCCCTGTTCACCGTTCGGTTCGTCCTTTGCGGGCCCTTGCTGCCTGTAGAAACCTGACCAGCCTCCCGAACCTTACGGCCGCTACTCTCCAGTTCCCTCTTCGCCTTCTCTGCCAGATATGCATCAGCGTCGGCTCTCGTACGGCACCCAGCAGCCTTGCACTCCTGGAAAACAGATTAGGAAGGAAGCAGCGTAAATGTGCGCCACTATGAAGGGAAAATTTTCCATGTTCTAAAAGCAAAAGCAAGTGGAAACGGCATCACTTGAAAGCATCCCGATGTCTCTCAGTAAAACTAAGAAGAAGCTCGGCACTACTACGGTGGTGGGCTTTGTGATCCAAGCATACATACATGATAGGTTTTATTAGGTTTTCGGCTGAATGTGGATTCAAGAATTCCTAAATAATTACCATAAAAATAAATGGCCCGCAGTACTGCAAATCAGCAAGAAAACCAGGAAAAAGAGATATGATCGCATTGTAATCGACCGAGGAAAAGTGAAAAAAATATTACCATACAAGTCAATAACATACCTGAAGCTCTTGAATTCTTTTACGAATTCTACGCTCCTCAATTAGTGTTCGGATTAATTCCTCGTGTTCCTTCTGGGATTGGAAGCGCATGAAAACCTTATAACGCTCATATATTTCTCTGTCCTCACTTGATAGTTCCTTCTCAAATGGGCTAGGATAAAGCAGGTTTCTTTCTAGTATGAAATCCTTCCTCCGTTTCCTTTCATCAAGCCTGCAAAAAGAATTACAGTGCACGATAAACAAAAGTAAAAATAAAAAACTAGCGGTAATGGTTCCTCGATGCAAATAAAGTGGTCTTTCAGTTCGAAACCAAGAGGCGTAATAAGACTTCATGTCGGCCATAGTTTTTAAGATGAAAGATTCGTCCACTTTTCCCTTGACCATTTAGTCATTATGGCATGCACTGGAGTTGGTTCTTCTCGTTGGTCAAAAGCATGCCATTGAATGCTTGAATGAACATGCATAAGATCGTCCGTTTGCAAAAAATTCCAAAACACAGAAGAATGACTGGATATGGCACAGAAAATATATTTTCTATTTTAATAGCATGTACAGCTTTTGGAAAAGCCTGGTGCTAGGGTACGCATGCACCTATAATTAATTTAGTGCACCTCTATAAGATATGAATGATACAAAAAAAAGAAGCAAATCAAAATCACTAAAAATAATAAATACACACCTAGAATAGTAAATATGCAAAATCCGCAACTTCAATTCACGATCAGTTTCAGAGTCAGTTTCTTTGAATTCCATCTCTGCCAATGACTGCTCTGCATCAGCGTCATACTCTGGATCAAACTCTTGCCTTTTGGGGTTGTATCCAGACAGCTCAGTGATAGGCAATTCTTCTCCAGAATATTTGGGTTTCTTTATCCCAACACTTCTGTCCACGTGACCTTCTGCCAAGAGAAGAGTACTAAGTCAAAACCATCAGCAAAATAAATCAGCAAAAGGGTTAAAGCCAGAACAAACCATTTTTTTTGTCTATTTCAAATATGTAAGCTAAATCATAATCTTCTTACAGAACAAATCATACTCCTCTCTAGGGATAGGTATTCAAAAACCCAAATAATAATCCCGGATACGAAATGCAATTGAATTTCTAAAACTAAATCCAGATTCTATAAACTAGTACAAATCACAAAGGCAATGCAAGAGATACAGAATACACATAGAGAGCTCCCAATAAATAGCAACGATTCCAACTAAATAAATCCTCAGAACATAAAGAGCTCTCAATTTGGAATTCTGCTCCCGAGCATGGTTGGTTAAAGGCTAAGCAAAGTTGGCGTCAAACACTCAAATTTAAAAACTCAATGGAAAATTGAACAATTTTTATGGATCTACCCACCATTCCGCTGTATGTAGCAAATATCCCGTGCGAATGTCTGGCCTACCGACTCGTGTGTATCTATATTGGAAATTTTGGAACCTCAGCCAGACTCATGTGAGTCACTTGGAATAAAACCATCTATTTTCAACAATGCAGCCATCTATTTTCATTGAAAGTCAATAGATTGTGTCCTACCCTTTTATCATTACAATGACATATTCAGCTCTTTGGGGTTCCACAGATTATCAGTACCTTGTTCCCATTGAGCAGTTCACTAAGGATTGCTTCCATAAACTAGAATACATGCTTCACCAGTTGAAGACATAATAACGGAATGAATCTGCTCTCTGGAACAATTTGTTTATGTCCCATGACAATTTCATAGGAGGAATAACGCCTCCACCCCGATTTCTCCCAAAGAAAGTTCACCGATCAGGGTTTGTTAATTTTTGGCTCCATACATTTTGGTGCATATATACAACAATTTGCGTATGTCTTGTATTATGGCAACCATATAAAAAATCAAGCAGACCTAAAGTAAAATCAAAAATCTTTTATGGTATCAGACAGGATTTCCCTGGACAAATTGCGACTGAAACGAAACTATTTAATGAAATAGTCCTCTGAGCTTAACGTTCTCTGAACTGTCATATTACCTACTAGAAATAGAAGAGTATGACAACACATCACATTTTGAAGATATGAGGCTTGAGTAAGAACTCTTTCAAGAATACCACGCAATAAAACGATTCAGATTTCATATAATACGACAACTTGAGAAACAACATCTTCTCTGATACCTTCAGAAGATGCCAACCCTTCAACCTTTACTCTGTCAGAACCTTCCTTTGCATGCATCATCCGTGAAGCCTTCTTACTAGCACCTGCGGACGATGCACCTGTACTGTTGCTAGGAACACCGGCCTTCGCATCAACAGAATCCCCATCTAATGAACAAAGCATTGAAGTGTACTTCATATTAGATCACTCCACAAAATGAACAAAATGGAAAGATTCAATGGGATATAAAAATTCATGATCTTTCAAAAAATACCAGCTATTAAGCTTGAGGGTGACTGGCGTGTTGGAGTTTCTCTACTTAAATCTTCAAGCCTATAGCAGAATGATAAAAAATTAATGATGATTGAAGAGGCAGAAAAAGAGAAACTGGTTATTGTTGTTAGCCATACTTGACCCTTGAAGGTGAGAAAGGTGAATCTTCCTTTGGTGTGGTCTCCCCAGCTAATGGGAATCCTATGAGAATATAAAACACAAATTAGTGGAAATAGAGCTCATCATGACGTAGTTTCTGGTTCAGAGGGCTTATAGTATATAAAAAAAGATTAATTAACAAAGCAACGTAAAACAATTAACATGGACAGGGAAGAGAAAATCTAGCTACATATCAAAGAAAATTCCATTTTCTATAACAGGGTAGCATTTTAAGGAAAATGTTATGAAAAAATGGAGGGTGTAGCAAGCTATTAATGGAAGATTATACTGAGGAAGTGCAAGAATCCAATAAACTGCCATCTTCCAAGATCATGCTGCAATGCAATGCGGAAAGAAAGACTTATGTGGCTTGCAGAGACCTGTTTGTAATAAAACTTGAGACACGAGGATCCAGAAACGTCTTACCCCATTAAAGACCCATTCACCAAGGATTTACCCAATGTTTTTATCTTGGTAACATAATTTAAACAAGCAAAGGAAAAGTTTTTTTCTTAAATGAGACATGATGGAAGGAAACTTACGGCTAACTTAGCAATGCTGATAAATGTTTTACGTCATTTAGACGTTCATATGTTTGTAAATGACTTTGGCAAACTTTTTTCCCGTTTGCTCTTAAAATCAAAGCCCCACGTTTGATTAGTCATTCTGTACGTGTATATGTGCCTGAGATATTTTTCCAATGTTGAATGAATGCCTGAGATGGAGCACAAGATTGTTTGTCAAACGAACCCAATTAAATTATATGAGAGGGTTATCTGCGCATCTAACTATAGTTTAATTTGGTATATTTTTTTAGGTGTGAAAATGCAGAATGAGTCAGCGCTGAGTGGCATACCTTCATGAATTTATAAATTGTCATTTGGATGTGACCAGAAAGTAACTAGGCCTCGAAAGTTGAAAGAGACAGAGGAGATAAGATAATAATATCCTATCAAATGTTTACAGTTAGCTGCCATGACGAAAGCGTTGTGTTACATAACGTGTATCCCTGATCTCTCCCCGATTCAACCAGTTTAATGCTGCAAGAGTACTATATTCTTTTCAAAGGACAATGGTTTGGGTATAATTTGCCAAAAAAATTCTCTTTAGATACCTTTGAGAAGATGGAGGTATAGGAATGATTATTTTTCTCAAGGAATAGACCTTCCTCTCATGGGTTCTAAAGAGAATAACTGACGCATTTTCGAAAATATTATATGCAATATTTAACAAATAAATGATGTAAGAACACAGACCTTTACAAGATTATAGAAGCAATGTACAAATGTTTTTTAAAGGACATAAATCAATTACATGTTTATTACACTGACACATTTGGGCAATTCCAACTAACGACATCCACAGGACAGAAGAAGGCTAACAGATTCCTGTGAGGTGCTATTATGCAGTTTGAGTTTTCAACAAAATACTCACTCACTTACTGTCGCTGTTCAGATAACGCCTTTAAATTAATAGATAGCATAGTTGTAAAAAGTGCAATAAAACTGTTTACTGGGAATAGGTACTGCTATGTAGAGACAGGTTCCTGCTAAACAAAGTATCCATAGGTGCGTTAGATAGACTTTACCAATGATTTCAGTCTATCCCGTCCTACTTAGTAAAGACTTGGTGCTTTAAGATTTGAGTTCAATCGGAATATACAAGAATACAGTGAGAAAAGTCATTTATAGAGAGGTTCCACTGTACTTCAACCAAAACAACTTTTGATAAAATGATGACTAACCCTTTTTACCATCAACATGCCCTTTGGCCATGGCTAGAAGTTCCTTCCTATTCTTTCCAACAACATGAGCCATATTCTGTGGAAATATAAAACCATAAGTAAAAGAAACACACTCTCAAACCATTAAATATAAATCATGATATATCCTACCGGAAGTGGATAGCATGGAGAATTCAGGTAATACGCCGTATAATGGTCAATACATTGTCCTTTACTCTTCGTCCCAACATGCTCTGCAACTTCAGCCCAATTCCCCAGGCCATACATTTCTATCCCCTAGAAGCATGTGGGCACAGCCATTAGTTATAGGCTTATTTCACAATTTTTGTTATTGATTGGCATATTTCACAATTTTCGTTATTGATTGGCATATTTCACAATCACGCAGCAAGGCATGGTCAAGTGTGCCCTGATCACTGGTCATTCATCTATACCTCAAGGAGGAGAATTTCTTCATCTGCATTCCACTCTGGTGAGAAAAGTGGAAAAGACAAACTGTCCTGAAAAAAGAATAAATGAAAAATCAGTTCAAATAACCAAGTTCGTCCATTAAACGATAAAGTGCACAAGGGAAAAAAACATGAACTAGGGTTCATGAGCTAAATGGCACAACTAAATTAGGCAAAGTCAAATTGCACATACTGATATCAGAATACTATAAAAGAGCGATAAATCAAATCTAAATTGTAAATGTTACCTTTGTATTTAAGAAATTCATTACTATCCGTCATTCTTTCACGATTTAAACGAAACAATTCAATTTAATCTGTTCCCATCAATATGCTTTCAACGGATTTCGAAATTTTGGATATAAGTTACCGTTTGTCCACAAACTAAACAGAACGAAATTCAGGACATCTCCTGGAGGCTTGTTCACTTCCAGACTAAAGAATCTTTCTTCATTCCTTCTCCACTAAATGTACTGCCAATCCAGATTGCAAACGGGAAAACCACTATATTTTTCTTTCAATAAATCGTTCCACTAAATGATACAAACAACTAAAACGGAAGCCTTCTCCTAGAACCACTGGTCCCCTTGTTTTACAAATTAAATCTTCAGCCATCTGTTTATGAAACTAGCCAACGATTGAGAAAAGATGGTAATTTTTTCCCATTTAATCATTTTTCCCACAGTAATCTGCTTTGGCTTCATCGTTTCCCTAAATTCTCCATGACTACCTGAAGCTCTAGTCATTCCACTTTTAAGAAACTCGTATTGGACTTCGAAACTTTCCAAGAGTTAGTTTTCATTGTGTTGTCAGAGTTGACGTTTCTACTTACCTACATTCGTGAACTACGAAAAGTCATGTTTTCTTACCAATCTCTTCTCATGTACGTCCAAATTGGTCTCTTTGGATTGGTCACCTATCTTATGCACACTGACAATTACATAACACTAAATCGAACAGAAGAGCAGGTGACTCATAGGTATTGGGAAGGAGAAAATTGGTTTGAGAGTACAATATGCCCAGAATTTTAGGAGTGATCTTAAGGTCAGTAGAAGTAGATCAGTGATGAAATGTAAGTGGGCAATGTGAATATGCGATGCAACACCAGAAAAATAGTATTCTAAGTTCATGTCACGAACCATAACCCTGTAGGGATGATTGCTTTTGTGTGGATGAACTTCAGCGCCCACAGTGAAGCACTCCACACATAGATCAAAATCAGGGCATTTTGTGCACTTAATACGGATCTTTCCTGATATGTCCTTGTTACAGTAATTGCAGTGGTATAGTGCCTTTTTCCCATCACCAGCTCCAGAACCTGTGTTTGGAAAAAAAACACACACACTAACAAGGATTAATATTTTAAATCAAATAGTCTCTCAGAAGACTAGATAAATTAGAAACAAATGTCTTGGAAAAATTGAACAAAAGGCATACTAGAGAAACACCGAGAGATATGAGCTTCCTCATGCATCACCAGATCAAGCGGGGTTTATATGAAGACTTATGAAAGAGCATTGCTATGTAGTTCCAACTTCACAGGAGAAAATTCATAAACAAAAGAACACCTGTAGTTACATTCTCTAAAGTTTCTGCACTTGAAGGAGCCTTTCTTCGTTTTGATCTGCAAAAGTAGTCAAGTGAAAAAAATTAAATTAAATAATTATAATACACATGAGGGAAACAATAAAAAAGGAATAGATAGTCTCAGATTCATCCCGGACCTAACTCTATTCACCATTAAGAAGCACAGGAATTCCGAAATCCACAAGATTGAAACAAGACTAGGAAATCAAACAGACCCAATCGTTCATGTTTAACATCTAAAAAAATGAGATATTACTACATGCGTATGTATATATACTGAAGTATATAAAGCTACCTAAAAGTGGTTCAAATATAACAACATAATTTTGGGGGCTTCAATTATGCAGGGAATAACCTTTGAAGTAAAGTAATCATACTCCTTTTCACATAAAAACAAATTTTATAAGTAAAATACAAATGAAATGTAGATAATAAACTTATATTTTATAGAAAGGAATTTCTAGAGCTTCTTTTTAACACTGAGGCAACTTTAGGCACTTTCTGATTTCCTTCCGACAAATGAACGTGGACTGCACCACAGTGTTGTAACGCTAAAAAGATAAAACAATGACGACTTCTCGCTACAGCATGTTTTCTAACAGAAATATAGCTGTCTTGATGGCTTCCTAATTGTATTTTTCAGTTAGGTGTCACAACAAGCCTCAGCTGCAACTCTTCTGATGCACTTGTCTTTGAGCAGCATAACTCTAATATCCAAGTTGGAAACTCTCGGCCGGCTGACTGACGATTTTACCAGCATGACACAGGCGTTTCATTTATTGGATAACAAGAAATCCTTTTAGGCCTTTCTTGGTGACATGATGTTAGCGTTAGACCACAATTTATGACTATGCCATACATATTGATGCGTAATTTACGTCAGTTCATGGCCACAGTAACTTCTTGTCGTCTGTACATTTTGGACATGGCTCCATAGGACACTTGATCCGAGTGCATTACATTTTATACATGTAGTTAACTAGAGTGTAGTTAACTCTAATCTCGAACTAGAGTGGAAAAACCCAAAAGATAGTTGGTTGCATTACTTTATGATACATGCATACGCTGCAAACCAGTCGGAAGGTTTTTATCTGGCCTATCTACTTCTGGTTCCTATCTTGTTTATACACTTACTTCTTATAAATATCTTCCGAGTAGACCAATTTTTTTATGCTTTCTTTGAATTTCATTAGCTTATCAATTTTTTACCATTTTTTTACAGCAAAAAGAGTGCATTAACCATGCTGGAGTATGACCGGCTACTGAAAACAATTAAAGACGCAGTATACTGAAACAAAAAAATAACAGCATTATTCTTTCTCTTAGAGACGAGTAGCCATACAAGAGGGGAAAGGAATACAACAGATTGAACAGAAAAACTAATTAGAGGGAAAATTAACGAGAAAAATACAGGATTAAGGAGAAAAAACGGGAGGAACACTCATACAAGGGATGCACAGAGAACAGATCAAAGAAGTTAACCAACACACCTGTGACTTAGGTCTTCATCCCCGGGGTTGGTCGACACCCCGCGCGAGCGCCCCATGCCCGCCGGAGCCCTGAGGCTCGGCTCCTAGAGCGGGCTCACCGTGAGGAGAAGGGCAGAAAGACGCCGGCGAGCCACGCCGTGATCCTGCGGTTACCTCCGACGAGGTAGGGCAGAGACAACCCCGATCAGATCCTACACCTGAACGAAGAGAGACAAGGGATCTCGCGGGGGTTGGGAGTTTGGGAGGGGAGGGAAAGATGGCGTCGATCTGACCGCCGAACGCGTTTTTTGAGAGAAAAGAAAGAAATGGACGGCTGCGATTCGAGAAGGAGTTTGCTGCGTACTAAAAAACAGACGACTTCAAGAAGCTCAAACTACTAAAATAACCCAAATTCCTATAAAATGTTTATATGTCCTATGTTAGCCAGCGTTACAACGCATGCATTTTTTATGTATTTAGGTCAATGGTGTATATAAATTCTTTCTAAGCGTTTATCTGAAATTTGCTTACCCAGAATTTGTTTTAGGCAAACCTCTGGACCGGATGGGGTACGTACGTCTCTGGCCGGCCGGATCGAGCGGCCTGGGATCATTTCCCGAGCTATGGTAGCGAAAGGCTTCCTCGCTCTCGGCTGCAGTTGCTTCTTCCTACCCGTCCTCGGCTCCAATTGCAGCTCCTCCGAACCTCAGTTCGCCTTCTCCTTCCACCGGCGACGGACTGTAAGCTCGCGGCTCTCTGTCTGCTCCGCAGGAATGCCACCTGTGGGAGAGTTCTCGACCCCGGAGCTCCTGGAGGCGAAGGATGCTGCTGCTGTCGAATCACCGGGTGAAAGTATAATAGGTGTGGAAGGCTCCGGACCCGAGGTTAGAGGATGTAATGCACCTTTCGCCTCTCGCGATGATTGTGTTGGAGAGTTGGTTTGTTCTCCCAGTTCGCTTCGACACCTACACGGAACGCTCTATATACGCGGCAACTGGGTCTCTTTCCTCGTTGGCGCGCTTTTTTCTGCGTTGTTTCCTGTCGCTGGTGTATTTGTCCCATCACATATCATTTTTTATTGATCTCAGCGGCTGTTTCACGGGGTTTCTGCTAGTTATTCTCTGGTATCAGAAGATTTCCCTCAACTACATATTAAACATCATTTAGGTTCAAAAATAGTTGGTTCATATGATGATATTTATTTAATTTAAATATTTTTGCAATGGTGATGCCTATTATTTACCAACCTTCTCTGATTTCCAAATCCAATTCGTATATTCAATGCAGCTAGCTCTCGATGGAGATTCCAGCATGCATGTTGATACGGAGGGGAAAGTTCCAGTTTCACAAAAAGGCAGAACCCTGTTAGTGGAAAAGAGTGTACAGCTAGAAAATAAATATGGAGAAAAACTCGTAGGAATATTACACGAGAGTCATTCCAAGGAACTTGTTATCTTATGTCATGGATTTAGATCATCAAAAGAAAGTAGAACGTTATTAAAGCTTGCTGATGCTTTTAAAGAGGAAGAAATTGCCGTCTTTCGCTTTGATTTCTCAGGCAATGGAGAAAGTGGGGGATCATTTCAATTTGGCAACTATTGGAAAGAAGTTGATGACCTACGTGCAGTTATCTTGCATTTTTCAAGTCAAGGGTGGAAAATAAATGCCATCATAGGCCACAGCAAAGGAGGGAATGTCGTCCTACTCTATGCATCTTCATATCATGATGTTCCTATGGTTGTCAATATATCTGGGCGTTTTTATCTGGGAAAAGGAATTGAAGAACGGCTTGGCGCAGATTTTAGTGAAAGGATTAAAAAAGACGGATTCATTGACGTCAGAGACGAATCTGGTGGGCATTTGTATCGTGTAACTGAGGAAAGTCTGATGGATCGCTTGTCAACTGATATGCATTCGTCATGCACATTGATCGACAGTAACTGCAGAGTTTTGACAGTCCATGGATCGAAAGATGAGATAGTGCCAGTTGAGAATGCGACCGGATTTGCAAATGTTATTCCCAATCATGAACTCCGAATTTTGGATGGTGCTAACCATCGATACTCAGGGCATTTTTCTGAGTTATCTTCATGTATTTTGGAGTTTATTAGAGAATGACCGCCCGAGGAAGGGAATTTCTGACTCATTAGATTTCGTTTTTTAGTACTCTTTTGATCGAACACTTTTGGAGTGTATATCAATTTGTAAGTGCAGCAGAAAATTTATCGTGTGTAAAATGCGTTTGGAGATTTTATGACTCTGTTGGTGACTTTCTGATGTCACGGTTCATTTGAAAAGCACAGTTTTTTTGGGATTAAGAGCGCTGTTTGACACTTTCTTTTAAGAATGTTGATGTATTCTTTTAAAGATAAAACTTTCTTTTAAGGATCTTGACGATTTTACCCACATGACACAGGGATTTCATTTATCGCACTATAAATCCTTTTAGGCCTTTCTTGATGGTGGCATTAGACCACAATTTATGGCATTAGGCCTTTCTTGATGTGTAATTTATATCAGTTCATGTCCATAGTAACTTGTTGTTGTCTGTGCATTTTGGACATGGTTCCATAGGACACTTCATTCGAGTGCATTACATTTTATCCATGTAGTAAACTCTAGTCTCGAGCTAGGGTGGAAAAACTCAAAAGATAGCTGATTGCAGGAATTTATGATACATACATGCATTGCAACCAGTCCGAAGTTTTTTATCTGGCCAATCTACTTCTTGGTTCCTATCTTGTTTATGGAGCTTTCCTTGTAAATATCTTCCGAGTAGACCAAATTGTTTATGCTTTCTTTGAATTTCGTTAGCTTATTAATTTTTTACCCTTTTTTTACAGCAAAAAGAGGGCATTAACCATGCTAGAGCATGACCGGCTACTGAAAACAATAAAAAACGCAGGATACTGAGAAACAGCCAAATAACAACATTATTCTTTCTCTTAGAGACGGGTAGCCATACTAGAGCGGAAATGAATACAACAGACAGCGCAGAAAAACTAATTAGAGGGAAAATTAGTGAGAAAAAGACAGAATTAATTGGCGACGGGAGGAACACTGATAGGGCCTGAGGTGATGGGATAAGCTAAGAGACGATGGATATGGTGCAGTTAGCGTGGAGAGTCACAAAGGACATGATGGGGCGGTAAGCAATTGTTCAGTCACATTAGAGAGGGGACAGAGGATGCCACGAGAGAGAGAGAGAGAGAGACCAGGGAAACCTCTTGAGAGACAAAGGAACACTGGAGCACAGAAAGGAAGATAACGAGGGTAGCTGGGCTGAAGCGACAAGGGAGTGGAGGATAATGACCCTAGAGTGGGTCAGACTTTCAAGCACCCTTCGAGTATTTGAGACTCTAAAGGCCACTAGGCCTTACCTATCATAGAAGAAGCAAACGGGCCCAAGCCCAATAGTCCCCAACCCTTACTTAAATGAGGAATTAGGGAGGTTAAGCTAGTTTTTGGGAGTAGTAAGACTCTCTAGGGAGAGTATGGGGGCTCTTGAACATCCCCTTTGGCGCTAGGCTTTCCGGCGTCTTCTTCTTCTGCCTCCCCTAAATTTCCCATTCATCTGTCGTGGTTTCCTTTGATCCTGCTTGTTACGATGTAGTGTCCTAACAACTAGTATCAGAGTCGTCGATGTAGGACGTGACGGCCCAGCCCACCACCAAGAAGCACGGCAGGAATGGAGATGAAGTCATGGTTCAACAAGGCAGTGAAAAACCAGGGAGCGATTGCCAAAGAGGAGCATGATGTGAGTTATCACGAACTCGCCCAGCTGGAGCCAAACAAGGGCCACATCCTGGGTCAGTTGTCCCAACAACTCGTTAGAATCAACCAGCATCTAGAAAGTGTGGAGGCAAGGCCCACATGCAGTTTCCCTAGCAACACTGCCACCAATAGCTAGGGAGACAGCCATCATGCCGATGAGGACTCTATTCCATCCTAGAGTGAAACCCTGATGCAAAAGAGATGGCACGAGGGAGGACACACAGATCCTTGTGAGTTTCCTCACATACAGATCCTCATCTTTGGAGGAGAGAACTCCACATGGATGTTCTAAATGGAGTTCTACTTTAAGATGATGAAGACGGAAGAGCAGCAAAAGCTGCCTATGGCAGCCGTGAAATTGACTGGTTTTCCCCTCTCCTAGTACACATGGACAATGGAACACATGTCATTCTGAGACTGGACCGCATTCAGTTCCTACAAAGGTGACTCAAGTTGGAAACATGCACTGCTGCCTACCAACCTAAAACAAGAAGGGAGTGGCAAAGTTTTGTCAAGAATTCAAATCTCTTGCTGCATTCTTACCACACCTGCCACTCATGTCCCAGAGAGTAAAGCTAGAATTAATAGCTGAGATCAATATGTTCAACCCTAAGAACATTAGGGAGATGTTGGATGTGGCCCAAATGGCTGAAGAGGACTAATGTGTGTTGTGACCAGCGTGGAGCATAGGAGGAGCAAAGTACCCACACCCCAGTATATGGAGCGCTTGCATCTACACTCTAGACCTGGCAAGGCAGCCCTCGACTAACAAAAGTTTGGTAACACTGGCATAGCCCTCCAAATAGCCAGCCATGGGAGCTATCAGGAGAAAAGTGAAGATGATTGACCCCGAATTCCTCTGTTGATGGGAGTAAGATCTTTGCTTCCATTATGATGATAAATTACGTCTAAACCACTGCTACAAGGGAGGCCTACAAATACTAGTGGTGTGAGAAGAGGACAACTACAATGATGAAGAATCAGCTAGGGGGCCCCAAGAAGCAACTACAAGAATGATAACGGAGGCTACCCAAGTGGAAGCATCATTATACATAGTCATTGGTCTACCTATACCAATGCCACTAAGGGTAAAAGTATTAAGAGAATACATCACTATCTTGGTGGATCTAGGAGCAACGCAATTTCATTACTAGGGACCTAGTGCAATGACTTAAAATTTTGGTCAACTTGATTGTACGGCACAGCATGTTGTGGGGTAATGGAGCAATGACTAAAGGAGAAGGCATTTGTTTGGGTGTTTACTTAAAGGTACAAGGTCTACACATTACTAATACTTTCCTCCCCCTTATCACCTTACAGCTAGGATAGCATACTATGACAACAATGGCATTGGGCTTCACAAAAGTCTTCTCACCTTTGAAGGGGTTACCCCTAAAATGCCAGGTGGATCATGCAATCCACTTTTGACCAAGCACTACCCCCATCAACGACCATTATGCTATCCCCACATAGAAAGATGTGATGGAACAATTGACACAAAATGATGTCTGCAAGGATCACTTGCACCTCAATCAGCCCCTTCTCCAACCCCGCACTGTTAGTGTCCAAGAAGAATGGGAGATGACACTTCTATGTAAATTATCAAGTGTTAAACCAACCTACCATTCTGGACAAGTTTTCCATATTGACATTGAATGAGCTGTTTGATGAGTTATTATGAGCCCAAATAGTTTTGAAGTTGGATTTGTAGGTGGGGTACCATCAAATTAAGATGAGAACAAAGGACATCAAGAAAATAACATTTTAGACTCATGATGGCCTTTACAAGTTAGTGGTCATGCCACTCGAACTCTAGAATGTTCCATTTAAATTCTAAATATTGATGAACTAAGTTTTATGATCTTATTTACGTAAATTCATCATCATATTTTTTTGATGATATTTTAGTGTATAATTAGACAATCACTAAGTATGAGCAACACTTAAATCATGTCTTCTCCATCTTGATTACCTGTGATTAATATATCAATAGTCATAAGTGTATATTTTGTCAAGAAAAGTTAGAAGTTCTAAGTCACTAGAGGTGATAAGTCTTCATTAGTATGAGTTAATAATTACTTAATAATATAGTTTTAGTCTTAACTCAAGATAAATAGACTTATATTTGTATTAAATTATAAAAAGTGATCTTTAATTAGTTAATGTGATTTTTTAGCTAATTAAATAATTTTATGTTAATTTATATAATTTTTATAATATAGTTTTTGAGATAAATAAAGAAAAATATAATAAAATAAAAAGATTAGAAAAAGGGATAAACATGTTGGCCAATTGGGCCTACAAGTGAGTCGGAAGCACAATCGGGCAAAGCTGCGAGTGATAGGCTCGAGTAACTAATGATAGACTAGGTAAGAAACATGTGTGCATCACTCTCCTTCCACATCATTAGTGGCTAGTCAAGCATAGAGGCAAGAAGAGGTCATACACACGTGAGAAATGAATTCATTAATTACCAAATCTTGTATACTATATATCCATCTCAAAATTTGACATATAATTGATGTGGGACTAAATTGACAATCACAACCTCTCTATAAAGTTTTAATAATTATAATACCTAAAATACTCATTATTTATAAAAAATAATATCATGATGATATCATTTTATAAGGGTATCCACATACTTGTATCACTCTATCTCATGTAAGTAGATGACCAATGAGGGTTCGAATCTTATTAAAGCTAAAAACTCATATTTTTATCTAATTAAATCATATTTTTTTGTAGATTTTTTATGAATAATTAAGTTGCCAAAATCACTCAATCTTCGACAAAAAAATTATTAATATAATTCCCAGAGCATCACTATTAAAATTATTGAATGATTCTGGATAAAAAAAAATCGTGATTCTATTGAGTAAGTGATTTCAATTAATCAATGAACAAACTATCATTGGGAAGAGAATGATCTATTAGAAGATAAGTCGTCACTTCCTGAGAGCATAGTAGATGTAATGAAGAACCTCTTCTTACTACGTGGACTTAAGAATGAAGTTTCTTAAGACACATCTGACTTGCATCTAGTTTATCTCTAATAGGTGACAACTACTAGAGAATTACAAAGTCGTCATTTTTTTGCTCCGTCAAGTGATAATTGCTAGAGACGATCTAATGACTTACTTCATTAATTTATAGACTTCGGAAAAAGATCTAGAGATTGTCCATATCATTTGTGTCCAAAGAGAGTCTTCAAGGTTATGGACATTACACAATATTATTCCTAAACACACACAATTCTAGTGATCATTGTCACAAAATAAAAATTCTACATTTCCTACTTTAAACTTATTTTTTTTACTTTAATTAATGATACTTTATGTGAT